GGGGGGGGGGGGGGGGGGATGATGCAGCGCGTGCAGCGCGTGCAGCGGGCTGTAGGTGGTAATTTAGTACTCCTCACTCCGTCGCTCACTGTCGCGGCAGTCGCGGCAGTAACTTGGCCGAGCAGCAGCAGCAGAGGTCAGAGGTCAGCGTCATGGCGGGGCTTTGTTCTCGCCACGAACAGGGCGCACAGGGCTCAGTTCTTGTCCGACCACGACTGCAGCGGCGTCACCATGCCCGTTAAGCTCGGCGACAATCAGCGAGCTCATGACATCAACCCTGCGAAGCCCTCCGTGGGCCGTGGTCTGGTCCCCGCCGTCCCCGCCGTCCCCGCCGTCCGGACCGGCCATAACCTCTCCGATGTGCGTCATGCCACAGTGCCGATCTCCGGAGTCAGAATGAACCCTTCATCCCCTTCGTCAAACCGAGCCGGATCCACACTCTGGCCACGAGCATTAGCTACAAGACCGAGCACACTCGACGCTGCTACCTCCCGCCCAAGTCCCCAGGTCCCGATTCCCAGCATGCTGACCCCGGGCACCCGAGACGCCCACTCTGTCTCTCGCGATCGCTCGGAGAATATCCTGGTCATGAGCGGGATTGGGAATTGAGCGTAAAATTCGAGCGTAATTGCAATGGGAATCTCAGGCACAAGAAACATGTCGAAGAGTGTGGAGCAGGGGTCTTGACCGACGCTCTATCGCCACTCCTCCGTGCACATTCTCACCGTAGCACCGAGGCTGGCTCGCCACTCACACCTGCGCCCTCACTGATTGATCGCCCGTACTCGTCAGCATCATTGCTCAAGAACGTTTGCGTTATACTATGCAAATTGACATGGCAGCAACTGCGCCTGCGCGTTGCGCGACGAGTCAGGAATATGGAGAATCTATGCAAATCTAAGGAAAACTTTGGATATCGTGCGTGGCTAAGAATACAGTTGGTGGTGAGGGTGCTTCAGTCCGGGTCGGGTCGTCTTTACTCCTCCTGGGCGAGCTCGCGGTTCTGCTTGCCGGCGAGGGCGCGCTTGAAGGCCTCGAGCGTGACGCCGTTGGCGTCGGCGGCGGACCCGCGGCGCTTCTCCTCAAGCGCGTTTGGGGAGCCGGGGCGCGAGTTGATGGGCGAGCCGACGACCGAGTCGTTGCCGGTCAGCTCGCCGGTGGGGAGGAGGCTGCGGGCGATGCGCTGGCGGTCGCCCGAGAAGGACTGAGCACGCGAGCCAGCAGGCGTGACGAGGGGAGTCGAGTCGGGGGTGGCGCGGGGCTCGGCGCGGCCAGCGGGCTGGTCGATGACGAGCTTGAACGACTGCGTCTCAGGGTCCCACGACGCCTGGACGTGAGAAAGGTCCTCGACGAGGAAGTCGGGGCGCTCCTTCTCGAGCTCCTCGGCAGAGTGCGACGTGCAGGTGGCCAGGACACGGCAGCCGGCAGCCTTACCGGCGCGGATACCCGTCGGGGCGTCCTCAACGACGAGCGAGTCGAAGGGCGAGGCGTTGCAGCCCTCGGCACCGAGGAGGTAGGGGTCGGGGAAGGGCTTGCCGCGCTTGACCGAGTCGGCAGTGACGAAGATGTTGGGGGTGTCGAGGCCAGCGATGGGGATGGCCTTGCCGGCGTAGAAGTAGGTGGACGAAGTGCAGATGGCCCACTTCTCCTCACCGTCGCGGTGGGTGTCCTTGTCGGCGCTCAGGTCGTTGAGGAGCTTGGCGACACCGGGGAGGACCTCGATACCAGACTTGCCGGTGGCGGCACCAATGGCCTCGGCGTTCTCGAGGATGGCGGTCTCGAAGCGGACAACCTCGGCCTCGATCTCAGAGTCGGGGACCTTGCACCACTTGCGGAGAACGTCAATGGTGCGCATGCCGTGGGCAGACTGGAGAATGTCCTCGAGGTCGAGGGGGTACTTCTCAGCGAAAAGCTCCCAAGCCTTGACGACAGCGGGAGACGAGTTGATCAGAGTGCCGTCCATGTCGAAGAGGACAGAGTCGACGTTGATCGTGACAACGTTGGGCTTGTCGTTGTCGAGGGCGGGGGTAGAAGAGCGAACCTGCTGCTGCTCGGCACCCTGCTCACCGACGGAGCCACGGCGGGAGACAGCGGCAGAGGGGGCGGCGCTCGACGCGGGCGAGGGCATAGCCGACATCTGGAAAGCTTCCTTGGTGAAGACAGACATAGTTGCGGTTGAGTTGCTGTGTGTGGTTGTGTGTAGTGTGTGAAGCAAGTGTGTGTGCTTGTTTTAACTGGGTAACGACGAAAGTGTGGTTCCGAGTTACGCAGGCAGTGTAAGGAAAGTGGGAGTTATCACAAGTGGGTGTTGGTTGATATGTGTTTTTGCTACCAGAGCGAGAGGAGGTGCAGGTAGGTAGAGTGGCGAGGATGGGGGAGGAGAGATGATGATGATGAGGAACACAAAGTCGACGAGTGCCCGCCTTTTTGTTCATCTCGAGCCGACTTGCAATCCAGCAATCCCCACGCTGCCCCGGATAACTTTGCAGCTTTGTTCCGTAAGCGATCCTCGGGTGGTGCGCCTGGGCGGACGCTTGCCGATAGACTCTGGCGGTGGCTCGGACAGAAGGTCCGATCACCGTCTTGCATACCGCCGCTAAAACGACGATGGTTGTGCGGTGGCCGCGGTGCCCGGAGTCGGAGGGCCGGGGTAAGTCACCCCACGGAACCCCCATTGCGACAGAGACCCTACGTACGAAAATTCGAGCGGCGATCTCTGGAACGAGAGAGTGCCTTCTCCTCTGGTGCGGAGGCATGCCAAGCGAGACGGCCGGTATGTCAGGCTAACAAAGGTAGGACCGTCCGGCGCATGTACGGCGGCGGCATCGTCACGGGGGCACGCCGCCCGAGGAACCCAACAAGCGAAGCATCAAAGGCGATTCCAGGGCATTGGAATTGACCGATGACGAGTGTGCGGTGTCGGTACGCGGGGTGTGACGGACCTAGGGATTTCTCCCACCTCCCAGGCATAGCCCCGTTTCGGGTGTTGGGCCTTAAAATTACTCGCTGCACTTTGAATCACGCAGATTAAACCCTAGTCCGCCCACGAGGCATCACAAGGGGCCACGAGGTTGAGCTACCGACGGACCAGCAATGACGACGAGGCGTAACCGGGCGGCGGCTGGGTACAGGGTACCGCGGGCACTGGAAGGAAACAAGGCCTTGCATCGACGGCGACCGGCTTATCAGACGCCTAGCTGACGAATCGCATGCTTCCACAGCGCCAGAATGCGCGATTTCATCCTTCTGTAACGTTCGCTAGCCGCCCCTCCCGCTTATCTCTAAGCCCTTTAGTGTTTGAGCATGCACCGCAGGCTCGCTCAGCCTCCAGCTCAGCCTCTGACGTCAGGGGTCCTTCCATTGCCTTGCCACCACCGCAATCAAAATTTCCAGTGTGTTTGTACACGGAGTTACTGTCCGATGAGATAAGCCGCCGTTACCGATTGGTTTGAGCACAGACACTCTCAGCTGAGACTCAGCTGAACACACGGGGGTTGAGCACGTGTTTCACCTGAAGCACAGCACAACCCGCTGCGACTGCTGGGGTAGCTCTGGGAGCGAGCACTGCACCGTGAGAGCGAGCGTAAGCCACGGGGCGCTGCGACGTCGCTGTGCACATCGCACGATAAACAAACGAAACAAGCCACGATGTCGCGAGGGTGACGGGTGACTGACCGACCCGGCGACAGCTTCGGACTGTGCTGCATGATGCCATCAATGCCCAAACTAGACTGCTCCAACGTGCATCCACAGATCTCCCCACGACCCCAATCGCTTGGTGTGTCGCTAGTGCAGGATTTCATGTGGAGCATGAGGCTGAAGCACGCCGGATATCAGAAGCAGCCAGGAGACGCCGATGAAGCGTGATCGCGGTGGTGCCACGATAGCAATAGGATCAATCGGCGCTGCGTGCTGCGTACGTGCGCGGTGCGGAGTTGAGTCGACGAGAATAGCAGAAGTGCCAAAATTTTAGACGGGAGGGTCAGCCAAGGCGGCAACGGCGGGTCACGTTTTTGCGGTGTCAGGGACGGAAGGGTTCTGGGAATCGGGGGGTGAGGTGATGACAGTTGATCAGGGCGCCCACGTGAAGCGCCCTGTGACTGCCCAGGCACCCCCGTCCCAATGCCTCCGTCGGCGTCTCCCCTATCTCTCCCAGCCCACTTGTACGGCATCCGTTGACCAAAGAACCTCCGTCGCCTTTGTCAGACTCATCCCCGGTACCATGCCTCAGATTCCGTGCCTGTTATCTGCTGCAAAAATCTACACCGTTCCAGTGGCCAGTGGCCTCTCCTCTCCTCTCCTACCATCCAGCCCCCCTTCGCTTGCTATGCGGTGCCTCCTGCTCGGGCACTCGGGGATCCAGATATGCTCTCGCCGTCCAAGTCCCTGACAGAGAGTGAACCGAATTCCCCTATCTCCTTGCGCTCCTCTGTTCTGCCGGACTGACATTCATGACGAGGTGGCAGAGCCCGAGCGGACGCCGTCATAATTTTCTCATCATGGCTCTGCAATCATGCCTCACCGTCGGCGTTCATGCAGCTCCCGTTCTCTTGGTCCTCGGAGCATATGCGCGGAGCAGACAGTGCGCTCTCACCGCCCGCACCGTTTGAGCCCCCTACACGGCCTTCACCCTGCACCCTGCGCGGCCGCTGCGACAGCGTTGATAGCTCTCACGCCACCAAACCCGTCGGATCTCGAGCTGCCAGGACCGTCACCGGTGACAACTTGTGCAAGTTTTTCGAATACCGCGGAATCCCAGGATACTCAGAGGCAATCGCCAGGGACGATAGGAACTGGTTACAGCACGACGCATGGAATAAAAACAGATGGACCTGCGTCTCTCCACCGAACTCATCATCATCATCCATCCTCCCTATCTCCACATCACCCCCCACACGTACACACCTGTACAAGTATCCTCTTCCGATTGAACTGTCGCCACTTGTTCAAGTAACCAGTATCGCGACAATCTACACTCTTTAGAACACACACATCTCAACACTCGACTGTTCACGACTTTGTCCGCGTACAACAAGAACGCAGTCATAACCAACATAAACGACAACACTATCTCAACTACCACCACCACAAAGATGTCTCGTGCTTCCACCGCCCCCTCTTCGCCTGAAATCCACCCCGTCTTCGAGCGTCTCTCCATGGCTCCTCGTTCCGGATCTGGCGCTACCACGCCCGAGCAGACTGCTGCTCTCCCCCCGTCGCCCCTGCCGTCTGGCAAGCACCGTGTCTGTGTCATCGGCTCTGGCTCGTGGGGTACGGCTCTCGCCAAGATCGCCGCTGAGAACGTTGCCCGCCGCAAGGCCGACTTCGAGCCTCAGGTGAACATGTGGGTCCGCGAGAAGCTTGTCGGCGGCAAGTCTCTCATCGACACCATCAACACGACCCACCGCAACCAGCGCTACCTCCCCGACGTCGACCTTCCGGAGAACCTCGTCGCGGTCCCGAAGCTGAAGGACGTCGTTGCTGGATCCGACCTCATCGTTCTCGTTACTCCCCACCAGTTCCTCCACACCGTTCTCGCTGAGCTCAAGCGCTCCAAGGCTATCGCGCCTGGTGCCCGCTGCGTCTCGGCGATCAAGGGTGTCGAGGTCAACGGCACTGAGATCGAGACCTTCGCCTCGCTCATCGAGCGTGAGCTCGGAACCCCCTGCTCTGCCCTCTCGGGTGCCAACATCGCCCTTGAGGTCGCCCTCGGCCAGTTCTGCGAGACCACCATCGGCTGCCCGTCTGCCGTCGACGCCGCCCTCTGGGAGGCTGTCTTCGACAACGCCGACTTCCGTGTCAACTGTGTCGAGGATGTCAACGGTGTTTCCCTCGGTGGAGCTCTCAAGAACGTCGTCGCCCTCGCTGCTGGTATGGTTGACGGTCTCCGCCTCGGTGGCAACACCAAGGCTGCCATCCTCCGTATCGGCCTCGGCGAGATGACCCGCTTCACCCAGGAGTTCTTCCCCGGCGTTCAGCACACCACCTTCTCCAACGAGTCTGCTGGTATTGCCGACCTCATCACGACGTGCTACGGCGGCCGCAACCGCAAGTGTGCCGAGGAGTTCGTCAAGTCTGGCGACAGCTTTGAGAAGATCGAGCGCCGCCTCCTCAACGGTCAGAAGCTCCAGGGCACTACCACCGCCGAGGAGGTCAACCGCTTCCTCGAGGCTCGTGGCCGCACCGAGGCCTACCCGCTTTTCGAGAAGGTCTACCGCATCGCGTTCGAGGGCCTCCCGCCCCAGGAGCTCGTCAAGGGTCTCTAAGAACATCCTTGTCATGCCCCTGAGTAACGAACCGTGTACGACCACTTTCACCGGCCACCGCGCCTTGTAGCATTAGAACTTCAAACCCCCTCCAGCATCGCATCCAAACCGCATTCCAACCAATTTTAGGCAAAGCAGTCCAACCGCGGGGCGCCCGGTGCGCCCCCAGGGGGCAGCAACATCAATATTCATAGATAATCTAGATGTTACAGAAAGCACTTGAAACGAACACCTCTCAGCAGCGCATTCCTCAGATCGAGACTGACATTGCCGCGACTAACCAGATCACGACCGTGTGGCCCGAGAGGAACGAGGAGGAACACCTTGATCGTGATCGTGTGTGGCAGCGATCTCAAAAGCCACGTCGGTGGTCAAACGTGTCATCCATCGGTGGGCAGCCATTCGCCACCATTCGTCTTGGCCGCACACTCACTCAACTGACATTACTGGGGCGTCTGCTGGCGTTTAGGTGGGGCGATCGCTGAACGCCCAGCAGTCAGCGGCGTCAGCGGCGTCGCGGCGTCCACCCACGTCAACACCCTCGCTTATCGCCACTGCTCGCCACCGCCCTGTGTCGTTTGCCACACCGCATCTCGTCAGCCATAAACAAAGCACCCCCGCCCTGACACGGCCAACTGACAGTAGCGAGGGCCGATCGCGAGCCATATCAGATCCGTCTGTGCCGCTCGGGTGTCCCGAGAAAGTTGCCCCAGTGCCCGCTCAGTTGATCCGACTGTCCGCGAAGTCTGCCAGTAGCGCCCCTCACGCCACGGTACGTTTCATGATCGTGCTTGAGTCGGACTTCGCGCTCCTTCGCGCGCATTCAGCGCATTCAGTGTCGCACAGCCGTCAGTCTCAGAATGCGTCTAAGCGCTGGTGTGCAGGGGGGATGGCGCCGCGCAGCAACGCAGCAAAGCAACCGCGTGCTGATCGAGAGTTAGGTTTCTCGCCTGAGACTGAGGTTCGCCGCGGCGGCGACGGTCGTTGCACTAGCTCAAGAGTGCGGACAGTGCCGAATTGCGCTAAACGTCCCACATGCTGCCCAGCTGAACAGGATGCCCGCCCCATGTGCCCCACATGTTCACCCCGGGCCGAATCCAGTGAATTCTGGGGGATGCTCCGAGTGTTCCAATCGAACGCCGGAATGGCGGCGGACGGCCCAAGGATGAGCCCAAGCGGTGGTGGACGGCCAGGGTGGAGGTCAGGACGCGCTAGGACGCCAGGGGTAGGAGCGGTATGAGGGGTGCTCACTGTGCTTGCCACCGAAAATTTACTTCCGGGCCTACTCCTGCGGAATGGCACCGAGACTGGGGATGACCGCACAACGCCGGGCCGAGGGTCCGCGGACTTACGGAGTGAGCTTCCGCTCTTGTCAAGATCGTTGACTAACGTGCGACCGTGGGAGATGTGCACGTGGTGCACGTGCCCAGCGTCCGGCTGGCAACCCGTGGGAGAGTATGGGACCGGAAGACCCAATGCACCGTGGGAGAGCTGAGGTGGACCCTCACCACGCGACAAATCACGTGACTCCTTTGACCGCACGAAGTCTTCTGGGACCCGAACATGAGCTTTACTACTGCGACTGGCGGCAAGCAAGGTGTCAACAAATCTCGAGCTGGAGAGCGTGCAACGCTGCAGCTCAACAGCTGTACTCACACCAGACCTTATCGACCACAGACAGGGCCACGCAACGCCGTAGCAAGATCGACGTTTCACGACAACGGCACGCCTACCCTACATCACCTGTCTGCGCTCGCCCAGCTTCACAGCGCCGATCTCGATCACCCTCACAACCGCCTGTCACTTCCTTCATCTCCTTCCACTCTCACGATACAGTCGCTTGACTTACCCACTACACAGCTTCGATATCCCTCTTGTCCCTCTTAGTATTCGACCGAGCGCAACTGCAAGCGCTCGACTTCAACGCACACCACGATCCACCGGAGCACCTCGCGCTCGCTACCGCCCTCGACACCGCTCGCTAGATGAGCCGGCCAGGCGGCAGCGGGCCGTCCGCGCCCCGCGTACCAGAAGACGGTGCAGCTCTCAGTGTCCGCCGCTTGAAGCGCATCGCCGAGGACGGCCCCCCAGTCGTTGGGACAATCAAGCGGCCCCGAGGCGGCTTTGCGCGTAACGACAGCGGTCTCCCTCCGAGTGTCGGCTTCGCTGGTTCCTCAGGTGGCGGCGGACGTGGGCGCGGGCGAGGGCGCGGCGGGTCCTTCAACCACGGCGGCGGTAACAACGCCAACCGAGGTGGACACTCACACCGCGGCGGACCGCATCGCGGTCGCGGTGGCGGCCCGAACAGCTTCAGAGGCGGGAGGGGACAACCCGGCGGGTCTAGAGGACGTGGCCGGGGGAGAGTTCCAACCCACTGGCGCCAACGCCGAGCCTCAAACGGACTATTACTCGACAGGCGCAGATCTGTATGCCGACTACGCCGACGTTGGTACGGGCGAGGAGGCTCATCACGGGCACGAGGAAGACCACGAACCACAAAGTCCGCCACCGGCCCCGCGGATAGGAAGACCGGAGCTCACGGATAGTTACCGCCCCGAGCGACATGCGCTTCCGCCTAGACCAGACGTCAGGTCGCCTGGTGGCTCGCCGCATAGGTCTATGCCGCCGCCTTCCTCGCCCCCACGCATGCTCCCGCCATCGACACCTGCGCAGCCGACACCATCTCGCGTCTCATTGTTGTCATCTTCGCCGGTCGCACGCTTCCACCTCGACTCTGACATGGTGTTTGAGCTGGCGTCCGAAGCTGATCACGCCGATCACGATGAGCCGCCCGCACGCAAGGAGAAGGAAAGGGAGGTGAGGAGGGGTTACGGAGAGTACACGTACTCGCCGTCTTCACCTCTTCCCGAGCTCGCAGCGAGCACGCATGACGATGGGTCATGGAACTCGGCTCTCGGTCTTACCACGGCTCCTGCCCCCAAGCCTGCAGCCGCGGACAAGGGAAAGGAGAAAGAGAAGCAACCCACGAGACCGCCACTTCCGCCGTTGGAGAAGGACGACAAGCTTGCGCCCAAACCGCTCAAGATTAAGCCGATGAACCGCAATGTGCGGAAGAACGACCCGCCGAAGCCGCCGAGCTTGGCTTTGCCAAAGGAGAAGGAGGAGGCACGACTTGCGTCCAAGTCACCTGTCGTCTCAAGACCGCCTTTGGCGGTAGACAGCCGGTCAAAGTCGCCCATGCCCTCAAGACCGCCGCAGGCTGTCAGTGGTGCTTCCACGTCTGCGATGCCTGCGGCATCTTCCTCGGCAGCACCTCTGACATCGACAGCCTCCTCCAGCTCGATTATCAACATTCCTCCTCCGCCCCGAATGCGTACCCCGGAGCCAATTGAGCTGTCGAGCTCTCCTCTGGTCGCGACCTCATCGATTCCGGGTCCCGCGCCCCGCTCACCCGAAGATGTCAAGCCCAACCTGGCGCTCCTCGCTCCGTCTTCCCCGCCACCTGCACCTGCACCGGCCGCTTCAATGCCGCGCGAGGGCGTCCTTGCTTTGCGGCGAGCTGACCTGCCCACAGATTGCTTCAGCACTGACCGCATTCGCCGCGTCCCGGCCCGTCACATTGTTGCACAGGACGCGAAAGCTCGTGTCGTCGCTGAGGGCAAGATTGTCCTTGGCACTCGCTGGCGTGATGACGGGTTCTGCGTAGACTGGCAGCTTCCCGCGCGCCCGGAGAGCGACTCGGACGACTCGGACGACAGCGGTGTCGAGTTTGTTGCGGCGCCGCCGCGTCCACCGCCACCCGTCGTCGAGATTATCGATAGCAGCGAGGATGAGGAGCCGCTCGCACGCAAACCGAAGAGCAAACGAAAAGGAAAGTCCAAGCGTCGCAGTGAGGAACCTGGGCAGAGCCGCGATCATTCCGCTGCGGCAACAACCGCTACAACGTTGTCACCGACTCGCTCGCCTCCACCGAGAGCGTTCGCCCGTGTCCCTAGCACTGGTACACAGCGCGGCGTCGACTCATCGACCCTCCCACATGATCCCGAGACGCCCGAGTCCGGCCCCGCCCCGCTGCCACTCCTTGATAGCGACGAACGTGACGCCGACAAGTGGGCCGAGTACGTTGCCGCGAATCCGAATGGCTCGATCGTCCTCCCCTTCCCGGTTAAGTTCCAGAAAGAGGACTCGCGCCAGACTCGCGGCTATGTTAAGTGGAAGGAACGCCAGCTCGTTCTCTTCCGCACGTACCGATCGCATGTGGCTAGTAACGAAGTCACTTCTGCCGAGACGGACGGGAAGGATGCCTGGGCTCCCGGTCTTCGGGTGCGCTGGCGTGCGCTCTCAGAGGACGAGATCTCTGCCGCCATCGAGAAACGCAGGCGCGAGAAGCGCGAGCGCAGAGAGGCGAAGAAGGCAGCTAAGGAGGCGAAGGAGGCTGACAGGCGCTCAGCGTCTGTCCGTCCCCGTGAACCAAGTGAACCTCATCAGCCCGAACAGAGAACCAATTCGAGCTGGGTTGCCGCCCAGGACCCACGACCGATCGAGGAGCGCGATGAGCTCGATGAGGAGGAGAGCAAGGACGATATTGCAGAGCGCGCCGCGAGACAGGAGAAGGAAAAGGAGCGCAAGAAGTCGGACCGCGCGGAGCGCAGAGCCATGGCCAAGCAGCCTCAGGACTCTGCGCCGAGACCGTCTGCGTCACCCGCCTTCCCCCTCGCGGCTCTACCTTCGCACGCTCTGCCGGCGCCGACGCCAACGCCGCTCGTACAGCCCTCTGCTCTATCTGCGCTACCAGCCCCTGCTGTGGGCAGCGTTCCCTCCCCGCCACCGTCGCCGCTTCCGCTCTCCGAGACGTCACCTGAGGATGCAGAACTCGCCCGACTGCAGAACGAGATCAGTGCCGCGCTCGAGAAACTCGACCGTTGGCAACGGCTCAAGGACTCGGTTCCCGGCAAGGTTGACGTGGTCAGCGCGCAGATCGAGCAGGTCACGCTCGAGGTCTTCTCGCTTCAGACCGAATATGAGCGTTTACTCGACGCGAAGAAGGCGAGAAGGGGAGGATGAAGATGAGAGGAAGGACGAAGCTTGATGGGCATGTCGAAGAGGAGAGCAGAGTAGGGAGGGAAGGGGAAGGAGGATGACCACATTCAAGACCCAGTTGCATGTGCACCACCATTGTTTTTCGCATTCAAGCATCACTTGCAATCCAACATCAGTTTTTCAACCATGTACCCTGCATAATCACTGTACACTGTTCTGCCGCATGACGATGCATCGTTCTACTGACTTCTCTAGCCGCTGAGGGGCAGGCCGCATACGTCGCAATCCGTGTTTCCAGGCTCGTTGATGAAAGTGCAGTGCGGGCACGCCTTGGGCCCACTCGCCTCCGCCGCTGCCGCCGCACCTGCTCCGCCCGTCGCCGGCGTCGAAGCACCCGTGCCCGAGCGCTGCGGGCTCGCGATGCCCATCTGGGAGAATCGGTCGTTCGTGTCCATAGCACTGCCGCTCGACTCGGCAATGGTAAGCAGCGTCTGCCACCCGCCGGAGCGGAAGAGCTCCTCGAGCGCGCCCTTGTGCTCCGGGTGTTTGTGCGCCGTCGCGGCGTGCGCGAGCGTCTCGGCCTCCTTCGGGCTGAACGGGCCGTGCATGGCCAGGAAAGCGACGAGGTGCCAGTCACTGAGCCAGCGCTGCACATCCTCCCTGATGCGCGAGGGCCAGGTGCCGACGTCGCCGATCTCGAGGTCCGCGCCGCGCAGGATGCGCAGCAGCTCGCGCACGACCAGCTCCATGCTCTGGTCGCTGAGTCCGGGGCGGTTCTCGACCGGGAACGACTGCGAGAGGAATAGCGGGTCAGGCGACAACGGGAAACCGTGCGTGATCTGCGGGTTAGCTCAAGGAGGTGTAACTTAGCTTACGTTTACGAAGAGGTATTCCACGGGGAACGTCGGCTTGGCAGGCATCTTGACTTGGATCCCGTACTCGTTCTTGAAGCTGTAGAAGACCTCGGGGATGTACTCGCCGTCGCTTGGCTTGCGCACACGCACCGTGCCCGGGTCCACGGATGCCTCGACCGCATTCGCCTTCACCATCGCCTCGCCGTGCTCGCTCGCCTGCCACGCGATCACGTCGATGTTGCCGTCCTCGGTAGCCGTCAGACAGCACGTCACGAAGCGAGACGAGAACTGGCCCGTCGGCGACGCACGGGTCGCGAGAGGGTGGAGGACCTGGTACTTGGCACTCGTGAGCATCTCGAGCGCCGAGGCAGTGAAGCTCTGCGCGTGTCGTTTGTACAACGTCTTGGTGATGTCGTCCGGGTCGGGCGTCAGGTCCGTGTAGATCATGCCGACAACACCGAGGCCCTTCTCACACCACTCGGCGACCTGCGCGACCTGCTTTTCGTCGCTCCAGGGCACCTCGATCGTGAGACCGTCCACTTCGCCTTCCTGCCGCGGCTCCCACACTGCCTCAACCACCGCCTTCACTCCCATCGGCACCTTGTCGTAGCGGTCGTAGTGTCCGATGAGGAACGCGAAGCGCTGGTTGCCTGTCTTGCGCCATGCCGTCAGGATACTGTCGATTAGATTCGGCGTCGCAAACTCGACGTGGTCAACCATACGGAACGGCTGCGACTGCAACGTGAGGGCGGACGGCTGGCACTTTGAACAGATGCCCTCGGGGAATGGCGGGTGAGAGCCACTCGGACACGGCGTGATCACACTCAGAGAGAGCGGGTCGAGAGGTGGCAGGTCGACGGATGAGCTCGTTGCAGCCGACGGCGGGCGTCCGGCAAGAAGCTTACGCAGGTGCGCGTTGAACGACAGGTGCTTGATCTGGTTCTCGGTGTGGTATTTGGGGTCATAGGGCTGAGAGTTAGACAAGGGACAGCAATTAACTCACCTCCAAAGGCATGCAGTAATCGCACATAGCCTTGTCGCCGTGGCGACAAAAGGCAGCGTCGCGCTTCCGTTCGATCTTGCCGTCCTGCGTGCGCCAGTACTGGTCAACCTCTGGCTCGACGACCTTGCTGAGGTCAACACCGGAAGCAGCTTGACGTGTCGGCTTGGCTTCACTACCACTGGTGCTCGCTGATGCGGCAGGCGCAGCTGTCGTGGTACCAGAGGTGGTCTGCGCCTGGGTCTGGGCCGGCTCGGATGCCCCGCTCTGGAGCGGCTTGTACGAGAGGAAAAGCAAATCGCCATGACTTGAGTCAGCTAGACATTTCGCTCGAACAAGCTCACCTGAAGCCCATGTCGCCGACCTTGCGGCCACGGAGGGCGTCAAACCCAACCTTCTCGCCGCTAGCACCCGGCTGGTTGCTCAAGCTCAGAGTTGCGGGGTCAGGCTGCGGCTCGTCCTTCGGGATCGTGTCGAGGATGAGCTTCGCAAGCTCCTCTCCAGGAGTGCCATTGTCGACCGTTATCCGTGCCGTTCCCGACGGCGAACGGATGCGGAGAAGCTGAGGTCAGCTATAGCAATCCAACACAACCCACCATGATTCGAATGCGCTTGGCAGAAAAAGTCTAGGCAATGAAGTAAAGGGAGGAAAGTGATTGTTCTAAGAGGGTATCAAGTGCTGTTGAATGCGAGGTGAGGCGCTTCTCGGAGCGCTGACAATGGAGACGATGCTGAGTAAGTGGTAGACAATGATCACCGGTGGGAGGAAGTCATGGTGGAGGGACTGGGTCCACAGACGTCAGCGGTCCGTTAAGCGGGAGTATCTGGAGCGGACATGCCACGTGGTCTCCGGTTTGCCACCAGCCTCCACTCTCGTAATGAGCGATCGAGCTGATAACAAGGACTGTCTTCCTTCAAACTGCTCTTCCGCTGGCTGGTATCTCAGCAACCATGCCGCGACTACAAATTCTCCAGTGAGTTGGTTCGTAGAAGCTGTGCTAACTCTCAGCCACAAGTCGTACCATCCGTACAACGAGAAGAACAAAGCGCGCGTACGCGAAGATGAGGCGCGAGCCCGCGCCGAGGAAGAGAAAGCGCAGCAGCGAGCCATCGAGGCGGTGAGTTTTAGCTATGCGAGGTATTACTCTTCAGCTGACATCCAGGAAGGAGAAGCTCGACTGGCTGCTCTGAGAAGACCAGCTGGATCGCCTTCTGCAGATGTTGACCCTACCGCTGGGCTCAGCACGAAGGAGGTGCTCGCAAAACATCAGCGAGAGCGGGAGCGCGAACTGAAGTTGGAGAAGCGGGAACGCAAGAAGCGGGACCGCCTGGACTTTGACTGGCCATCTGAGAAGGACCGGTATCGGAAACGTGACGAGGAGCGAGAACAGCGCGATCGCGATCGGGGAAGCGAGCGCGACGACCGGGGCGAGGGCTCGTTCCAGTCTGGCGGGCACGTGAACTTCTGGGCCGACCTTGAGAGCGTGAGTAGCTGAATATGTTGTGCTTATTCAACTAACGATTAGGGTAAGGCGACCGATGTGCAGGTCATGCCTCGGGACGCTGCGCAGCGGCGAGCGGATCAAGAAGCGGACAAGTTGACGATGTACCTCGAGCGGCCGGAGCGCGAGACGAGACCCTGGTACGGTGACGCCGAACTGCGGCGATACGAGGAGCTGGACGAGAGCGACATCGCTCGCGAGAGACGAGAACGTGATCGGTAAGTCCATTGAGCGTCAGTCTGTCTCCGGCTGTGTGCCCATGCGACAGTCGAGCAGCTACTGTCACCAGGCACTAAGCTGACCTTCAGACGACGAGACCGCAAGTCGAAGGACCGCAACGACCCACTGTCGCAGATCAGCTCCCGACTGGCAGCGAAGAAGGAGAAGTCGCGGCCAGCAGCCCGAGGGCAGTCGGAGAAGGAGCGCGCACTTGCGATGCTTGCCAAGCGGCGGGGCGAGGAGCCGTCGAGATCGGGATGGGCAGAGCAATTCGAGCGCCAGCAGGCGAGCGCGGGGGACCGCTACACGCGGCGGTAACGCGACCACATCTTGTTGTATGCATGTATCACTAAGAACAGCGTGCTGGACTTCAGAGTGTGGCTGTCGCCATGTACCAGCTAACTGCCCCTAACCTCCTAACAGCTAACTCATGATAGCACATGATCCTTTCTCGAAGTTAACCTCCTCGACTATTGACGTTTTGTTAGATTCCTCAGATCCAAATCTGGCTACCAGGTAGCTTCGCCTCTGTAGGCCTTGGCGTAGATCCGAGCAACGACCCGCTACTCGCCGAGCGCGCCGATACCAGTCCGCCGAGATGACATTGCGGGCGTCGATGACTCGATCGATGACTAACTTTAGCACAAGCCCTTCAATGCTAATCACTTGCACCGAGCTCCCTCTTAACCTGCATTGTTAGTCCGAGGCGCCCCACTCCTCATATCTTTCAACGACGCACCGCCGAGGCAGTCGAGACGCCGTTGCATCAGCGGCGGAGGATCTCACTTCCGTCGACGCTAATCGTCTTCCATCTCCGAACGTGCCGACATTCTGATGGCTGGACTTCTGAATAGATCACATTACCTACTACTCACTAAGAAATGCTATGGATTGAATTGCGTTATGCTAGTTTGCGGACCTGTCGCCGACATTGCCTCTTTCCTTTCTTCCTATGCTATTCGATGCCGAGACTATGAGACTGAAGTTATCGTTTGCGAGTGCTTGTGTGCCGAGCCTAGCTGCAGAGCCTAAACGTGGAGGATGACGTCCGCTCCGTCATCGTCCCAGCTCCACCTGCGCTCGCGCTTCTCGCGCTCCTCGGGGTTGCTGGCGCTCTGCTGCTCGTGCTGGAAGGGGTGGGGCATGCGGAAGTGGGGCATGTGCGGCCAGTGGAAGTGCGCGGCGTGGGCTGGATTCAAGTCCCGTAGGCCACCGACATCAGCGTCTGCATCCGGTGAGAGGGAGTCAGTGGTTAGTGCCAGATACGGTTTGGCACAAGTGTTCAGAGCAGATACAGTTGGGTTCGGCCGACCAAAATAAATCAGACACCGAGGCGTCCGCAGTCATGCGTTCCAGATTAGAACAGCGCAGCAGGAAGGAATGTAGGGATCAGTTCGAGGGCGTCAGTGACACGAGGAACGGTGGGATTGTTTGAGGCGTAGCAGCGATCGAAGCAAGCGGAGTGTTGTGGGCGTCACGGATGCAGCGTGGAAGTCGTCGAGACAGCGACGAGGACGGTGGAGTGGGAAGGTGGGAATGCCGATAAGGATGAGATGCGATTGCGCGATAAGAAGGAATGCCGGATGCAACGAAGAGGGAACAGGTCAGTACCTCGAGCTCGCAGTATTACGCATACGTACACAGCAGGCCCTCGCGGTCCACCTTGTTGATATCGTCTTGGTCATGCGCTCGGGCATTCACCTCGGCCTGGTCGTGGAGCTTGGTGCTGTTCATGATTGTTTCCAAGTGATGCGAGTTATTGAACTCTGCTGTTGGAGAGATTCCAAATATCGCTAGCGATTCCAGAAGTGAGTTTAGCGGTTGCGATCGTTCCGATCGAAGTGAACGTGAGTGATGGTGAGGAGTGTAACGGAGTGGCGAGTGTCGTAAGGTCACGCCGCTCCACGATCTATAAGTAGCGAGCACGTCCGAAGATTGGGCGTTGCGCGTGACCATGACTTCAGTGATGGTCAGCTGCCCACATAAGGTCGCGTGCTCATGCATATCGATGGTGGTCAGCTGCTCTGTGCCACACTCGGGCGCGTGCGGTATGCGTGCAGGCTGCGTGTCGAGTGCGTGCACTGCGCGTGCCACAAGGAGGGGACTGGATAGTGACTTTAGTCGAAATGCGCATTACCGCCACTTGCCCGGCTCCGTCAGCCAGATCTCGGCACGCAGTCAGACGTCAGCGATGTCTCGGTGTGTCTCAAACCGTGTCACCGCCAGCGTCCAGAACATTGTCGCTCGGGCCGCCGCAGCCGGTGCAGCAATGAGCACATGGTCATCGATGCAGTTCAGTAGAAGTGGCAGCTAAATGGTTTCTGGCCAAGCCTCGACCTCGCCGCCGGTTTGCATTCAGCCAACCTTGCGCCTGCCCACATTCCCACATCTTGTGCCACCGCGATCAGCAGGTGGAGATGGAGCCGAGTCGCTGAAATTGTTCGAAGCGCAAGCAATTCTGTTGCGCAAGACATTCTCGAAAGAAATAAAATTGCAGCATCAAAGTTCTGAAAATTATAGAGTTTGTGCTCTACGTAAGGCGTGTGCGCACTCCCGACCCAGACGCAGGAATGATCGGGCCACGCTCCTCGCTACAGCCTGAGCCGAGTTAGGTCTCGTGGCTCTGGAGTGCGCACTCTTGGCAGTAGGTGAGTGGGTCTTGAACCTTCTTCAGGTCTGCGGGCTTGGCTGTGTCCGGCTCCGCTGTGCTATGGACGTTGTTCGCTTCGGACAAAAGTGCTACTGCTTGCTCCTTCGTAACTCAACCCCCTGCTCTGCCCGTGCCGCTGGCGGTGACCGAGTAAAGGAGGCGTGACGCCGGGACAGACAGTGGGCCGTGCACTGCACGGGGAGTCACCGCCGGCACCCGCAGTTCCTCGGACTTTGGGTGCATTCTGTTGCCGTCTGCGTTGCTCTACGTGTTCGTTTCCGACTGCGGCAGAACAGAGCGACTGGCTTGTTTATCGGCGGCAGCTTAGTATCGTTGCGCTGCTCGCACCGTTCCTTCGCTTCGACGAAGTGATCTCCATTCCAGAAAGATGCGGTACCTGGTGACTCGCCATTGCACCTTGTTGACCCGGGAACGCGCCGGGCCTGGTTTGTGGGAAGTGGGTCGGACGCTGCCGAAGAGATCGATGCGTCTGGGCCAGTCACCAGTTACACGTTATGCGATATGTTCATTTGGCGCGTTATGCATTTGCGTGATAGTGTCTTACTCGTGCCGTCGAAAGTTCAGAGGATTTTCGGTTAAGCTCCGTGTTCGCCCAAAGGTGTTATTAACTTGTGCGAACCCGTGGAATGGTTCATGAGACAAACTGCCTGGCCTTGGAGGAGCTTCTGCATTCATGTGTGCGAAGTTCTGGCAAATGTTGATATTGCGGGAGCGTTGAGTGCCCCTCGCTCGGCACGCGCCGCGATACGGTGTCTCAAGTGACTGCTGTGACGGCTGGGTGAATTGTATCCAAGCACGAGACCGCCAAGGGGGGAACTGCCATTGCCCGTCTGCAGCGGGTGACGGTGCAGGAAATGAAGCGGTGCACCGCCCAGGCGGGCGTAGACGTGCCACCAGTATGTCTTGTTCTCCTCACATGCTGACTGCCGGCGGTACCGACACGGACACGTTACGTTTGGCAAGCAAGGGCGCCAGGAGTGCGCACTCTCCCTTGGTACTCTGTTGTCAAGAGCTGGCCGCAGTGGACGCCGATCGGGTCGGGCGTCGACCCACTCTTCCCCCGAACCCCTTCACTGGGCTGTATGTGCGTCCGAAGTTTCCCGTTCAGTCCGTCGGATGTCCAGAGGAGACTGGCGGAGGTGATCGCGCCAGCACAACGGTCCAATTGCCCGGCGATGGATGTACCCAGGATGGGGGTGCAGGTCATCGGAAGCTTTCGTCCTGACAAGCAGACAGAGTTTTGGTACAGGCGCATTGAACCAGGGCATGGTAAGCGAACAGGGGGGTTGATGATCAGGTACTTCTGGCTCCAAGAAAGGGAGCCCAGACCCTGGGTGTACGGTGTTTTGGATGAGGCGGAGGAACATTATTTGCAGCTTGGTTGTTACAGGACCGCTAGCCTGTTTCCAGCAGCGCGCCAGCGGGTACTGACCCGAGTAGAGGCCGCAAAGCCCAAGGATTGCTGGACAACGTTGGTCGAGTCCAGATTGTGTCCGGCGAGGGGCCACAAAGAAGAGCCGCAGGCGGTGCAGTGGCTTGGAATCCTTCAGAACCAGCATAATTGCTCCTCCCTCTCAGACAACGGGAGATCGGCAGAACCGAAGTCCAGTCGCGTCAGCAGCAGTGAATTTGGAACGCGAGGATGGTCTAAAATGTCTATGATGGAGGAGGCTTGTACGCCCTATTCAAGTGACAGCCGGACGGACGCGTGCTAGGAAGAGCGACGCCGGTAAACGGCATGGCTGCGGGGTGGGTCGCAGGTATGCAGCAGGAGGAGCATGTCTGGCGGGGGTTCACGACAAAGCAGAGATTGCTGGATTTCAAGTGGATTCTAGAGTTCATCTGTTGCAGGGTCGCAGACCCTGAGGACTGAATGGAGTTGTTTTGGTACTGTTCATGGACGTAATGGGGGCCGTCTGTGCGTTCATGAAAGCTTGGGTTGCTAGCGTCGGACTCAGCGCTGACCCGACCCTGCTACTAGCCTCGTCCTCGACCGAGCCGGCAGATGGTCGTCGCACTTCGGTGTAATGAAAGGTCATGAAGGAGCGCCACTACAATGGCTGCGGCCTTTATCACCATCTGCCGCAAGTTGAATGCAGTAAGCCAAGCGAAGGAAGCAAAGCATGACTGAAAGACCGCTGCGTTGGCTGGGCTTGGCAGATCGGGAGCCTGCGATGCAGCGCACCTGACAGTGTGCTCCCTCCGCCCTCGGCTTTGGAAGCTTTGAACCACCGGAGGGCCGTGCCAGGTGTGCCACTACATGGAATGCAACGGCGTCTCGCATCAGCCAGCCAGCCGTGCAGGCCAGCGTCAGCCATGGCCTCATTGATTGGGCGAGGGACATGGCAGTCTCGATGGCCTTGTTTTGGCGCCGATGATGACCCCTCTATTCGATCGACTGTCCATCGCGATGAGCCACAGGAAACAGCAACCTGAGGCTGATCACCGAGACAGGGTAGAGAGCCCGCAACCCATGAAATCGGTGGTCTGCAGCCCACCACTCATGGCGCCCGCAAATGTCAGGAATAGCATGCGAAAGAGCCAACACCGAATCGCAGCACGAGATAGGCCGTGCGTGCGCGCCGTGCGAGGCTTGCCGGTGAGCCAACTGCACAGCAATGTTGGTTCGAGCCGCCGCCCGACGGGAGAAGGTTGCGAAAGGCCGAGAAAAGAAACAATGCTTCGAGCTTCGTGCCGCGCGCCTCGTACTGCCGGTTCCGCATCGATCTGAGAGAGTTCCTGGTTTTGCAGCCGACGCCCTTGCTACCCCTTGAGCGCCCTAATGACGGCATGTCATTTGCAGTTCAATAGTGCTTGCTCCAGCCGCAGAGAGGAAGCGCTTCTGGCGAGAGCGAGGAGGGTACGGGGCACGAGCAGACAGAACAGGGGCATCTAGGAGCCGAAGACACCACACGGGCGTGCGACTCGCGCTCGACCGACCGACAGCCGCCTCATATCGCCTGGTCCTGTCGCGCACAGCGCCGATCTGATGCACACGGCCCCCTCTGTGTGTGCAGTGTGCTGAAGCTCGAGCCAAGCCCAGGTGTGCTTGCACAAGGTGCAACAGCTCAGTTCCCATGCCAATCAGGGACGTAGCCTGAATAGAGTTGGCGAGATTAATCTGAGCTCAGTGGTGCCTACCTGGGTGCCTCGCAATCACGCTGCTCCGTCACCACTGACACTAGCAGAGCTCCGAATGGGTTCTCCCCTGCGGTCACCGACAAGCGGGGCAATCTGAGCTGCGACGATTCAATCTGTGACCTGACAAGAAGCCGTCTAAGTGCGCCTCCGGGCTGGAGCGAACCTTGTCCCAGAAGCTTGGCACCTTCCCCCTCTCCGTCCTCTACCGTCAGCCTGCAGGTTTTGCAACAACTCCCGGAGGCTTGCGGTCTGCTCAGCGTGCTCAATGCGCTGACTCGCTCGGCCCTCGTGCACATCAGAAGGCGTACATCACAGTGCACGGTCGCGCTGTCTTTTGCACGGTCACTCTGCCGGCAATGACCAGATATCACGGGCCGTCACGCCTCCTCACGCCCATGACAGCATCGGGCGCCCCATCAGCCCCAGCGTGTCCGACATGACGGTGCATGACGGTAATGACGAGCCATGCACAAGCGATGCCGAAATGCACAGGCCCGTGGGCCACAGCTAGCCTGCTGAAACTTTTCCTCTCGACTTTTTTTAACGTTGCAGTCCAAGCGTTAAGCTCGGCGGGTGGCGAGGCATGGCAGAAGAGCTGAGAGAAAGAAGAGCAACCGGTGTCTGGCTGGTCGCTGTCCTCGTCCGGATCATTTTTGCCCGATCCTCGCGAATCTTGGTTTCCGACGAGCAATCCTCGCGACTCCCTTCTCGCACTAAGGCGGCGTTGCAATATGCGATCCTTGATTCCTTGGATTCGCGCGATCCACGATCCACTCTTGTCTTTGATCCTTAATGCGCGTTGACTGCCTAGCGTGCACAAGGTGATCCATGGGTGCGCAGGAAAGGCATGGAGGCTGGCTGGCGGGTGAAGGGGGAGGAAGGTATGAGGTAGGGGCGCAGTGGTCGGTTGCAGAGGAGGAGGAGCGACAGGGCGCGTAAGGCACATGACAGTCTTGCATACCGCCTTGCTCGTCCAGTGCATGGCGACTCGGCTCCTCTAGCTCGTCTGGCTGGCTCCCTCTGGCGTGGTGCCGCACGCCCCGTTCGAGGACGAACCCTGAAGGTCGATGTTCCTCAGGACTCACTCGCGTTCCTGGCGTCATGTCTCCCAAGGCAAAGCTTACGCCTGACCTGACCTGACTTGCTCGTCGGCCTGAAGCGCTGCATGTCCCGACCCCCGTACCCCCGACCCACATCCCCGTCCTACCAGAGAGAGTGAGCTAAGAGACCTGTGACCTGCAACAGCAGGATCGCGCAGGGCCCGACCAAGACGACCTAGGTCCTGCCTGGGCGTCCTGGGGGGACCTGACCTCGCCCGCTGGCCGCCGACCTCTCTGTTGCTGCCTGGCGGCTCTGCCCCTCGAAGCCTTTCGACGCCTTGCCTTCCACCCCGGTACAGAACCTCTGTATATAAAGCCCGACCTCGCCCTGCCTCTTGTTTTGCTCCGGCTTCCAACATTTCCAGCACCTAGCAACCCAGCTCACTTGCTGCTCCCTTGCTCGTCGCACTTGTCCCCCTTCACTGCTCACACCCTTGACGTTGGCACAGCCATAACTCAGGCCACAATGTCCGACGCCATGCTCCCCTCGCACAACGGCGACCTCTCCGCCAACTCCTCCGGCCACATCAACAACGAGAAGGGCCGCGCGGCTGATAACCAGACTACCGCCCCCGGTGACCTCGTCGTCAAGAACCGTGAGTAACCCCCTCCTCCGAGCTCCCCCCCCCCAACGGTGGAGCGATTTTGTCGCCTCTACCACCCACAGTCACGTCATACCCCCCTTGTCCGTCACCTCTCTTTGCGCACTCTGCGTCCCCAACTCCTTTCTTCGCTGTAAGCCTGTTGTACTATCTCCAACCGAATAGGATTGGACAGTCCAGCTGGTCGGCAGAGATGGAGTCCTACCCTCACCTGCCACCGGGCTAGCGCCTGGCGGGCCTGGCCGAACTTTTTTCTCCTCCAATCTTCCATCAGCCGCAGCGCGCAGCGCCGCGTACTGCCTAGCCGCAGCAGCGTCCGTGCGTGTGTGGGCGGGGACCGTGCGTGATTCATCTCGCCCACACTATCTCGAGCCAGGCGCGAACGGGCCCGCGCCTGCTGCCTCGGGCCTCGGTACGCCGGACCGCGCAGGTTGGGCCCAGCTTCGGTACCGAGTGGCTTATGTCTACTCCGTCAGCCAAGCTTCTCCGTGTCACTGTGGTTTCGGGCGCAAGCGCTAGCGGTGTGCAACGAGTTCTGGAACGGGTGCAACTTGCTGCGCATCACCCAACCCTGCGCCTTTGCTACCCCTACATCCTTGTGCACAACGGATGGGCCTGATGGGGAGCATTGCCGGACATGCTCCGAGGACACCGAGATGAAAAAGTCTGAGGGACGGCGAGCGACGGTGACGCCGTGACGGTGACTTCTGGGGCTTGGGTGACGACCAATGACGCTAACATCCCAGACGCTATCGCCTGTCTGGGCGAGTTTGTCGGCACGACGCTCTTCCTCTTCTTCTCGCTCGGTGGCACCAGCGTCGCTCTGCAGGCTGCCAACTCGGTCACTGGCAACGTTAAGGACGGCGCCTCGACCTTCAACACCTCCAACCTGTGAGTATGCATCGTGGCGCACTGTCAGTGCTGCGACGGAGACTGGGGACACGATGGCGGGGCCGCTAGGCTATTAATGATCGTCATCAGTGGTGGTGTCACCCTGGCACCGTCATCTGGTGCCCATTGTGGGGTTCCCAAATAGGGGACGAAAGGGCCAGTCCAGAAAAAAATCAGCGGTTACGTGATTCGATCTCGTCAGGCGGGCTTAGCCGGTCGGCGGGTCTGGCCGTGATCATCGATCATCCAGCCGCGGCCTGTGACGTCAGCCCACCCTTCGCCTTTCTCCGTCGTCCGGTCCGCAAGACCGCAGTGTCCGCCCAGTGTCAGGCAGTAGGGACAGCATGCTGACAGGCAGCTTCTTCATTGCGGTGATGTTCGGCGCCTCGCTCGGCACCAACGTCTGGTGCTTCTTCCGTATCTCTGGTCGTCTCTTCAACCCTGCTGTCACGACAGCTTTCGTCATTGTCGGTGCCATCACCCCCGTCCGCGGCGTTCTCCTCTTCATCACTCAGCTCCTCGGCGGTCTCGCCGGCGCTGCTCTTGCCGATGTTCTGACCCCCGGCCCCCTCCTCGCTGAGACTACCCTTGGCGGTGGCGCTTCGGTCTCTCGCGGCTTCTTCATCGAGTTCTTCATGACCTTTATGCTCGTCACCTCGATTCTCCTCCTCGCCGGCTTCAAGAACCGTGCCACCTTCATCGCTCCCCTCGGTATCGGACTCTCGTTCTTCATTTGCGAGATGTTCTCCGTCAACTACACCGGTGGCTCGCTCAACCCCGCCCGTTCGCTCGGCCCCGCTGCCACCAACCACAACTTCCCCAGCTACCACTGGATCTACTGGATCGCGCCCCTCTGCGGTGCCGCGCTCGCCGCCGTCTTCTTCCTCATCCTCAAGTACCTCAAGTACGAGACCAACCTTGGCCCCGACTGCGACGACGACGGATTCACCTACGGCTACCAGCTCGACATGCGCGACCGCATGGAGCGCGTCGAGAACCACCTCGCCAACCTCTCGACCCACTACGTTCCCGCCGGTCGCCAGACCGAGGGCAGCAAGGTCATCGCCTAAGCGTTCTCTGCGAGCGACGCCCGGCCCACACTTCCCAGTGTGGCACTCATCCATTGATCTCTTCCATCGGCATTCAATCTACATATCTCGGCATCGGACCTGCATCTATCTGCACGGATCTCCGCTCACCCGCCAGGGTGTGCATGGTCGTCTCCTCTGTGCTTAAGCATGGTGTATCGACTAATCTAATCAAAGAACAATAATCTGCGTTCTCCATCTCACCACCCTATATCTACCAACCCTCACAGAACTGCACCCCCAGCAGTGTCTGGCCCGTCCCCGCCCGCTAATACATACCATTCACGCATTCCATGTCCACACACACGACGCACAGGAGTGGCGGGGCGGTTTCTCTGTAAGCACGTATCTGTTCCATATGCATGTCACTAGGTTCCACCTACAACTTGGCACGAGCTGCAGCTTTCCGTCTCCGAACTTGAAACTAGTCGCAGTGGGCAGTTCTGTCTCACACTGATCGCGCCAGTGACTAACTCATACGTAACACTGATCTGATAACACCACGCCGGAGCAGCAGGCGGCCGAGGTGAGTCATACTCGCTGACGGACCTGCACCGAATCACCCTCGCACACACCCCGAAGAACATGCACACCTGCTTCTCTTCGCTTCCAAGTCGCATGTTCTGCCGTTGCCTATCGTGGCTCAAGCCGACTCGGCACACCGGCAGAACTATCCCCAGCGGCGCGCGCCGATGCCGACAATCCGGCTTCGCTTCCATCGCTCAGAGCACGGCATCGGAACACGGCTCGTCCTGTCCTTCCTGCAGTCCCTTACCCAAGCCTCCCCTCATTCGTCTCCTTATGCCGTCCCCGTTGTTGTCCCTCTCGTTCCTCACGACCACATGCGGCATTAAAGTTTTCGCGTGCGCGAGGATCTGCGCCGCGCTGCGCCACCTGTCTGACCGCCCAGAGGCCACCCAGTGGCCGCGCATTTGACTGGAAGCAGAAATTCTGAGACAGATGTCCGCTCGCCTCAGCTCGCCTAGGCTCGCCTGCAGAAGGGGCGTGGCACGCCGCCGGCGCCACCGCCGCCACCGCCGCCACACGCCGCCACTGCCGTCCCTTTCATTAGGCACTCAGGAAGCCTCCGACAAGGCTCTGTGGCTCTGTGGCTCTGGGGGACTGTCGCCCCTCGGGGCCGCTGCTGCCAAAGGTAGATCTGGCGGCATATGCGGGTCCGGATTGAGAAATCGCCAACTCCGAAACAATCATTCCCTTGCTCATTTCAGTGCGAGACTGGCTGGTCCCATGTGCTCCCACCGTGTCCCCTTCATGCTCCCACCTGCTCTCCCCTCACCCCTCTGGTCTTTTGGCCTCCAGGCCACTGAGGCAGCTGACAGAGGCGGGCATAGCGAGCTTCTATGCGCTGCTGCGCCTCGCATGCTTGAGGCGTTTCTCTCACCAGCCTCTTATTTAGCGCCTCGCACAGGCGGGCAAAGCTTAGCCAGGCGTGGGGTATTGACTGAAGTTATTTCTTCTGGCACGAGGGGACCAGGTGTCTCGAGGTCTCGGGCAAAAATGTTCGAATTGAGGGGAGAAGGAAGGAGGCGTGAGGAGGCGGCCAAAAACTTGACCTCTGGCGGGGTCGAACCGCCGACCTTATGCGTAACGCTTCGAGTGTTAAGCATACGCTCTAACCAACTGAGCTAAGTGGCCTTAGGTGTTCGAGGAGTGTCCCTTGGTCTATGACTGTCAAAAACGGACATCAGTCGCTCTCCGCTCACCCTCTAATTCCCCGTGGGGATCGTCGTCATGCGCGCAATGTCGGATGCTTCTGCAGGCAACCGCATATGAAGCGAGGAAGACCATTCGCTCGCTTCCACTTCACACCACCCAAACGTCAAGATGGTGGGCGAGGTCTCAGAGCCATCTACAAAGAGACGGAGCGGTGAGTGCTCGACGCTGAAGGCGGTTGGGCAAAGGTCGCGGGCTGACGCCTAGAACCGGAAGCGCTGGACGCTGCTGCCGCGAAACGGGCGAAGACGGACGCTGACAAGGAAGCGGAGGGCAAGATGGAGATAGATGAGGAGGTGTCTGCTCCTCAGTTCGAGAAGGGAAAGGCAAAGGATTCCACTACTGCGGAGAAGAAAGCAGACAGGCAAGCTGGTATCAAGCTTCCCATCGAGATCATAGGGCGCGTGTTCGACTTCTACTACGACCTGGTGCATGATGGTAAGCTTTTCTCCTTCCTTTGAAGCTGACAGCAGACTGGTACAAGACTAATCGGCACCGCGGTCTTCTGACGCCAATGCTGGTGTGCCGGGGGTTGCTGCCTCTCGCACGGCGGTCGTTCTGGTCTCACCCGCATCTCGACTTCGATGCGCTTTATGCCCTCCTGGACGGTGGAGATGGACGGAGGTTGAAGCGCCTGGCGCCGTATTTCGACGACGTGCGACATCTAACCGTCCGGCCAGGGCGACAGCTGGACTCCTTCGCTTGGGACGAGGAGGCAGCACTCGACTGTCGGTTGCCCGAGCTTGTTTCTCGCTGTCCGCACCTCTGGAGTTTGTCTCTGCTCGACGTACCCGTGTTCAAAGGGTTCGATGCCGTCGTCATTCTTGAGACACTCCGCCTAGCTGCTTGCGTGAAGAAGCTCCACCTCGAGTTGCAGCTCATGAACCTCGCGATCGAAGCGCCCGGACACCTCCTCAATGCAGCTGAACGCTGTAGCCGACCGGACCGGACTGTCGTCGGCAGCATGAGTGACCCGGCAGATGTGATCCAGCCCTTTGGTATTGAGGGACAGGCACGCGACTTTCGAGCGCGTCCCGACGAAATGTCGGAGTGGTGGAGCAGTGTGCTGAATGAGCAGACGTGCGACGGACAACGGGCAGACATGACGCCCCGCGCGCTGGCCCAGAGGCCGCGATACGTCGCTAACGGCGCGTATCCGAACCCCGTCCCCGACGAGCCGGCTTCAGAGGACTGGGAGCCGTACGTCCCGCCCGAGCTCGAGTTGCCCGAGTTTCTCAAGACATCAAACGGGGAGTGGGATGTGGACGCGATAACGAAGGCAGAGTACGCAGCCATGATGGCCGTCGTATACTGCCGCGACACGGGCAAGCGGCAAGCAGCCGCGCGATGGCTGAGCGACCGGCCACTGTACGCCGTGACGGGGCGTACGTTCGAGCAAGTGAACGAGGCAGAGGACTTCTCCGGCCTCCCAATCAACCTGCACGATGCGCGGAAACATTTGGCGCTGAAGTTGCGCTGGCGCCTCCTTGACCATCTCCGCGCACACACGCCCGAGAGTCTGTATCTTGTCTTCAAGGACCCGGCGGCGGCGTGCATAGCGCACGAGCCGTGGTTTTGGCAATCCCTCCCAGTCCCCCATGTGCGGATGCGCATAGCGCGCGGCATGGACCCCGACGACGCCTTCTCCCTCGAGTCCTTAGCGACATGCGTGCCCGCGCGGGAGCTGCGGCTCAGTCCCCCAAGTTCGGGCGGTACGGGCGGCGGCACAGTCACGTTCTGGAAGACGACGACGTCGCGCCGCGTCGAGGCCTACCCTTTGCACCCGCGCACGTGTCTCGAGCTGGTCTGCAACACCGCCAAGGACCTGGAGGGACTCAAGGTCCCGGAGGGCGTGACGGTCCTCCTGGGCGAAGGGGACCAGAACTGGCGAGCCGTCGAGCCCGGCGTCCCCTCTCGCGCAATGAGCGAGGAGGAAAGAGAAAGGCTGGTCCAGGCGTACAGGGAGGACTATAAGCGGCACTTCGGCGGTCCGGACGAGTACGTCTCGTACGGCATGGTGGACGAGCATGCCGGCCCGGGCGAGTGGGGGAGCGACAGCGATCCCGGGCCCTGGGCCGAGTTCGGACACGAGGACGACGAGATCATAGGCACCCCGCCGCCGGACAGCGATGACGAGGCGAACGACATTCCCGAGGCTGACGGCGCTGCTGCCGGCGTTGCTACTGGCGCTGCTGTAAACGGCGAGCCGACCCCCAACGGCGCTGGCGGCGGTGGAAGCGGCAGTAACGGGACGGCGCCTCCGCAACCCTTATTGCTCCCGATCCAAGTCCACCTGCAGCAAGAAGTCCAGACTCTGCTGCACCAGTTCATGGCACAGATGGCGCACGAGGAGGCGCAAATGGCGACGCAGCGGCAGGCGCGCCTCGCGACGCATAACCAGTTCGTGCAGCGCGTACAGGAGCTACAGGCGCAGTTGGCTGCTGTGGAGGCGATGGAACTCACGCCGGGCCAGGCCGCGGCTCAGGCTGCGGCGCAGGACCAGTTGCTGCAGGTGCAGCAGGCCGTTGCCCAGAATCAGGCTACCGGAGGGCCTGCGGCTCAAGGTGAAGTGCTCGGAGGGCTGGGTGAAGAGAATGGAGGAGGAGAGCCGGCGTCGGCGGCGGAGCAGGGCACGCAACCCCCCTCCCAGCCGCCCGCCGATGATAACGGCGAAGGAAGTAGCACACATCCATAACCCGTATCAAATCTATGTATCAGTATCCATCCAGACCCCGAGAAGACTAGAAGATGTCCTCATCGCTCATGGGGGGCGCGTAGCTTGCGCCGTGCCTGTCGTCGTTCAGCAACCTCGCGAGCTCGAGGACAAGGCGGAACTGGTACGCGACCATGTCCTCGTGTCTCCAATAGTTGAGACTCCAGTCTCGTCCCGCTTCGCCGATGGCCTGGCCCATCGCGTCGCGCTGCTTCTGCCCCTGCGCATCGGCGTCGCCTTCGGTTCCAGCGCCGCCCAGGAAGAACTGCGTCACATCGTACAGGTCCGCCATATCGGCACGGAGGGGGATGTAGTGCACCCACTCCTGGACGCGGTCCGCGTACCACTCTGGGAAGATTGTGGCCTTAAGCACAGCGCTGCGAGAGGACATGAGCCGCTTGAAGCGCGCACTCCACCCGTTGCCGTCTACGTCTAGGAGATACTTGGCATTGTTGTGCTCCGACTTGCCGACGCGGGGCTTGAAGGCGTACTCGCGCTCGATCTTGGCGCAGAGCGCGGCTTCGCACTGCACCGCCGGCGAGGTGAAGCCCACGTCGATGACCGAGTTGAGGTCGGCATAGCTCCGTTCCTGCGGCTCGCCGACGGGGGATCCCGGCAGTGTCGGGGTGAGCACTGAGCGCGTACCCGTCGTCTTCTGGGTCATGGCCACGAGTGTCATGCGCTGCGATTTGGCCCAGGCCCCGTCCTTCATGGAGCCGTAACCCTTCTTCGCGAACACGCCCGTGTTGCTCCCGCGCCAGAGCACTTTGCTCTCCTTCGTGTCCCACTCGGGGTCGGGGCCCACGTCCTCTGTCCAGCCCTCGTGCACGACTCCGAGCACGTCGGCGTGCAGCTGTGTCTTGCAAAGGCTGAGGGCGGGATAGATCTCGTCGCTTGGTCGCGGGCCAGCGCCATACCCGAGCAGGAAGCCCTGCGAAGACACGAGAGACGGGTTCTGGCAGGGATCCATTGAGAGCGAATGCGAGGAGACAAAGGTGTGCGGATTAGCGGTGGTGTTGGCAGGATTGAAAGAGCGCAGTGGTCGTGTCGGAGCGCAAGCCGAGGCCCAGCCAATGTGCTGCGTGTCGATCTCCGAGCCCGCATCGTAATCTGTCGTCAGCTTACTACAGCAACGCTCGAAGCCTATCTCACTCACACTCTCCGAGCATTGTCGCGTCCTCGAGACTCGACTTGAAGTCGTGGCCGACAAACTGCCACGGCGTGTCGTGCGCGTATACTGGCAGCTCGATGTCCGGAATCCAGCGCTGAACGGGCGTAAGGAGGTTGAGTTGCGCCTGGGTGCGCTCGCGCGCAACGCGGAGTGCCTCGCCCTTCAATCCCTCCTCATTCAGTACCGCCCGACACCTGCCGCGCCTGCACGTCAGGACAAAGAAGCCCTCCATCCGGCCGGCTTTGCGAGCGAGCTGGCGCAGGTGTGAGGGGCGGAAGGCCCAGAACGGCTCGAGGTCGCGGGTCTGCGGTTAGTTCGAATTGCCACACGTAGTCGACATGGAACTTGGGAACTCACAATCTGGTCATACTCGTCCGGCAGCTTGACGTTCTTCTGCTTGACGTAGTTCCACCAAGCCTCGAAACCAGCAGGCGGATCGCGCCCATATCTCCTCCTGTACTCGCCCACCGCCTGCGGCAGACTGCGGCTCGCTTTGGCGAGCTTCCCCTCCCACCTCTTCTTCGCATCGGCCACAAGCTGGTAGATCGGATGTCCAGCGTCGGGATTCGTGCTCATGAGTCCGTTGGCGCCGACCTCGTGCTTCACCTCTGGCTCCAGCGGGACCTGCTCCTTCGCGCTGCGGCCCCAGCCCCACCGACTTCCCTTCTTTGCTGCATTATCCCGGGTGGCGGCACCCTTCGCGCCGGCGCGAGCTGTCGGTCCACCCTTGCTGAGTTCCATCGCGTGCTGCTCCTGCGCAGCTCGGAGGCGTTCTAAGATTCGCCGAACGGCGGAAGCAGAGCCCTTGGTCGGTGCTTTGGAGGGGAAGTGCGTCTGGTGCAGGAGGCGCGCGTACCATAACGATACGTGCAAGAGGGCGGCAAGTGTGAGTATCAATAGGGCGAGGCGCGCCAGCTTCAGCGGCGAGGGGATGAGAGACCTCATCGTGCCGCGTCCTCTAGCGGTTCTCCGTATGGAGATGGGTCGGGAGGGCTGAGAGAGTCGGTAAATCGTGGAGACGTGTCGTGAGTCGAGTTGGTGGTTGGGTGAAAGAGAGTCGTTGTGCTGATGTCAGATGTCAGCCCGGATATCTATTCGGTACCTGCGCTGGGTACGGTGGATGATGATGGTGAGAACAGAAAGAACATCAGATGTTATCAGCCCAGCAACCCAGCTGGAGGTTGGCCTGGGACCATCGATAAGCGCGCAACAACGTGCTCTCGCTCTCCCGAACATCAGCCGTAGGCCGCGGTCGAGCCGGTCGAGAGCAAAGGGAAGACGCCATCCGCGACAAACTCCAAGGCTGTACACTTACGCGACGCTTGAGGGAGCTTGGGGTGAACTGAAGGGAGCTTGAGCGCCTCGTGTAGCACTAGTCGCTACCACTTGCCGGTCTTGTGCCGGCTCTGGTCCCTACTGCCCTCGTTCTACCTCTCCTCCCAGCCCTTTACCGGCTTACAAGCCGATACTGACCTGCGGGTGGGACGCTGTTACGCGTCGCGTGAAGGGTTGGGCTCGCAAGTCCCGGCGCCAGTGCCGGTGGGGGTGGGACATGGCATGGGGGACCGGGGACGTCGAGGGGGGTGAGATGAAGGGGCAAGGCACGACAACAGCCGGATCATAGTTATTTCCTGCCTCGAGGGGACTCGTTTAGCCCGGATCGGCGGCATGTCGTATGAGGGGCTGCGTACGCTACCACTGGACCTTCCGCGTACAGCCTTATGGCTGGGTACACTCGTGACCTTTGTCGTGACCTTGGGTCGTCGAACCTTCAAGCAGCATGGGAAGAGGGACCGAAAGACATGGGCAGATCGCGGTCTCGGCCTCTGCACGGCCGTTCAGATCGCTGTGCGTGGGCAGGAGACACATGGCCGCATTGGGTGTGGTGATGGCTGCAGTGACTGTTGTTCGGCTGAGGCACAGGTGAGGGAATGAAAGTGAGTGGGGTATGAGAGCTTGGGCGGGTGTAGCGCAGCACGTCGCCAGCTAGCACCCCCAGTGACTTGGGAGACCTGCAGGCCAGATCCTTGACCGAACGTCTGGGTCCCGCTAGCGCTACGCCACGAGGTTATTTTGGATCCAGTCTGGCCGAGCTGGGTGTCAGTTGAAGCATAGCTGCGCCGCGGCTGTTATTCGGGGTGGCTTCGTGGCTTCGGGGGTGGGCCCCGAACTTCCTCCCGTCAGACTCGAGGCGGTGAGCGGAAACGTGCTCTGGAGACATGGAAAGTTGGGCGGGGAGAGGTTCTCGAGGGTCTGGGAAGGTAGCGAGTAACGTGCGCAGAGTGGGGAGGCAGTCGACGATAGGAGCAGAGGGAAGAACGCCTTCCCGGTCGAAATGGAGATCTGGCTGGGACTGAGGAGCCGCGCGGGGCACCCAATCGACGTCGCTGCGACCCTTTTCTGGAACGAGCCCACCGCCCATCCAGACCGTCGTACACCCTTCCCCTCGCGTATCGTGCTTCCGCATGCCTTACGACTTCTTCATGTTCCGGTGGTTAAAAGCCAGACTCGCTCACACATGCACCCTCGGGCAAGACAAGAGCATCCCCGCTAGATCACGCACCGCACTTCGCAATCTCTGCCCAATCATGACACCATCTTGGGCCCGTCAAGGAACTGTCAATTGCTTCACTTTAGGGTTATAGCGCACTGGCTTCACGAGCCTGTCCAAGAATACTTTGCGTGTGCCTCTTCCGGAACCTGATAACACTGCCTCATCCTGCTATCCTGCTCGCTGCTCCTGCTCACAGACTTGCGATGACCCGAAATGGTGCATAATCAGAACAATACTTTTGCGCCTTCTTCGTACAAAGCTACACGTATGAGATGCCGAAATGGATATATGGGTGAGTGGCTAGTCTACTTCTGCTCCTTCTGCTCGTCCTCGAGAGCCTTGTTGAGGATCTCAACGGCGCGGCCGACCTCAGAGAACGTGTTGTAGAGAACACAGGGCGAGAGACGGATGACGTAGGGGAAACGCTCGTCGCCGACGAGGCCCTGCTTGAGCATGCGGTCGAAGACGCGAGGCATCGTGCCCTTGACCTTGGGGAGGATCTCGATCGAGAGCTGGGTGCCGCGCCACGGCGCCTCGGGGGTGAGGATGCGGAAGCCGACCTTGTTGTCGCCCTCCTTGGGAGCCTCCTTGACGTAGAACGGCGACGCCTCGAGCAGCTCCTGGAGCGTGCCCGTGAGCTTGTCCGCCTTCTTGCGCATGTTGTCGAAGCCCGCCTTCTTGATGATCTCAAGAGTGCCGAGCAGCGGGATGGTACCGAGGGCAGAAGTGCACGAGTGCTGGTATCCCTTGGCTCCCGGGGTGGCCTGGAACTCCTCCTTCATCTCGAAGCGCACAGAGGGGTCGTTGCCCCACCAGCCGGCCATGCGGCGGCCACCGTCGTCAAGGCCGTCACGAACGAAGAAGCCACCGATGGCTCCCGGGCCGGCATTGAGGTACTTGTACGTGCACCAAACGGCAAAGTCGACACCCCACTTGTCGAGCTCAATCTTGACGTTGCCGACACCGTGGGCCATGTCGAGACCGAAGGTGGCACCAACCTCGTGCGTCTTCTTGCAGAGAGGCTCGACGTTGAAGTACTGGCCGGTGTAGTACTGAACGATGGGAAGCCAGACGAGGGCGATCTCGTCGCCGTTCTCCTCGATGACCTTCAGGATGTCCTCCTCGCGGAAGGTGTCCTCGCCCTTGCGGGGCTCGAGGGCAATAATGGCGTTGTCGATCTGCTCCTTGCTGAGGATGTCGGAGTGGAGGTTGGGGTGCGAGTGGGCAGCGTACCAGTCGGTCGGGAACGAGCCGCGCTCAATGACGATCTTCCAGCGCTTCTGCGTCGGACGGTAGAACGTCGTGAAGAGGTTGTGCAGGTTGCCGGTGAGGGTTCCAGAGTGCGAGACCTCGGACTCCTTGGCGCCAACGAGCTCCGCCATGATCGGAGTGATGGGAGCATCGAGGTGCTTCCAGGGACGGTCGTACTTGTGCTTGAAGTGACCAGTGACGGCGCTGGACATTAGCTATTGCGCGGCGAAATGTAGCTGCTGCCAGGCCGGGATGAAGTGTCACCTCAAGACGCTCCCAACGGAGCTGCCCATTGCAACCAATCGGCCCGGCGAAGGCGATGATCCGTGATCGGCATCGAACGCAACGATCCCGCCAAGAACAATAACACGGCAGCTGGTACTCACGAGGTAGACCAGGTGTCAAGCTCCTGCATGACAAGCTCACGTCCGCGCTTGGAAAGAAGGCCGAGCGAGTTACCGCAGAAGTAGACAGCCTCACCGTCTGACGTCAGCTGAGCCCTCGCTACCGAAGAGGAAGTTACAGTGCCGCCGGGTTCCGGCCGGCTATCAGAAGCAGCGCTGGGCTGGACTAAGGACACCATGCCGCGGACGTGCCTCACGGGCAGTTGGAGTACCGTGGTAGTTTGGCGGTCGCCCGACATCGAGCTCCACCCATGACGAGGAGTGGGGCGGGCTGTCCAACAGCTCACCGTCATGCTCACTATCCAGAGCTCGCTCCACGGAGACCAGAAACCTTTCCGGCACTGCTATAGTACTCACCGACCTCACCACCGCACGCCTTGGCGTCGGGGATCTCGAACTCGGAGCGAGTCCAGTTGAGGGGGTCCTCCTTGTCCATCTGGGCGAGCTGGTCTTTGTTAGGCGGGGCCATCTTGATTAACTGATGTGGCTAGGTAGAGGGTAAGGGGGGGTGGTGGGGTGTCTGGGGAAGAGCGTGAAGGCAGAAAGTACAAGCGACCTTATATATCAAGGTGGGGTTGGCTGGAGATTCCGGGTTGAGTGTGGGGAAAAGGACGATTATCGAGAGACACTTTGTGACAGACTCAACTCGGCTGTGGCCGGTGCGTGTGCGGTGAGTTCGGAGGCGCCGCGGAGGGCCCGGGATCAGCACGCTTCAGTATCACGTGGTCTTCCCTGCATCGTTGGAGCGCTGTTGCCTGTGACAGGCCAGTGACTGCCAGCAAAGGAATGCAAGCCCTGGCCCTGCATGCGGTCATTCCAGGCGGCATCCTTAGCAGGACGGCAGTTCCGGCCCACCTTCGCAGATCTCCCACGATTGCAGCCGGCTAACCCGTCGACAGCCGGATATCTGATCTCCCTGCGACCAGGTCTCCCACGCCTGCTATCAAGACCGATTCCGCACCAGATCTCCCACGGCCGACGGTGCGGACTGATTACTATCACACGATGCGTGATAGGTCTCACGTGACACCCGGCTTTCACTGGCCGGCCGAATGGTTCAGTGCTCGGGGAGAGAGCCTAAAGTTGCGGGACCTTTGTCAGGGGCTGCACCGACGTTCCGGGGTTTCAACCACCGTCAAGTTGCTTCGACAGGCAAAAGTTCCAACTTTGTCGTCGGCACCCGCAAGAGACAGCGCGACACACGCTAGCAACAGCCCGCCTCATATCCATCGACGCGGCGTCCAATCGCCTCGACTCCGTGACACATCTACGTTTCTTTAGCTCCTCTCCACGACTCTCATCCTACTCTTTTCTTCTCAACCCACCTCCGGCCGTCTCCGCGACTCCGACCTTGATCAAACGACCATGGCCGCCCCCAAGACCGCCGACACCTTTGTCGTCGGAACGCGCAAGTCGAACCTGGCTCTGACGCAGACGCAGTTCGTCGCCGATGCCCTTGCGCTCCGCAACAGCGCGCAGTTCCCCGTTCGCCACATGACGACCGTCGGTGATCGCAACCAGACTACGCCCCTGCATCTCCTGCAGCCGTACCAGAGCGGACAGCCCGCGAAGAGCCTGTGGACGGACGAGCTCGAGGCCGCCCTTCTCGACGGACGCTTCGACGTCCTCGTCCACTCGTGCAAGGACGTCCCGACGCTGCTCCGTGACGGCTGCGAGATCGCCTGTCTTCTCGAGCGCCACGACCCCCGTGACGCCCTCGTCGTCAAGAAGGGCCTCGAGTACAAGAGCCTCAAGGACCTGCCCAAGGGTGCCGTCATTGGTACTGGCTCTGTTCGCCGTATCGCCCAGCTGTCGCGCGCTTACCCCGACCTCAAGTTTGCCGACATGGTGAGTACTGATCGCAGCTACGGATGGGTTGAGTGAGGGGATGAAGCTAGGTGGGCCGCACTGCGCAGGGTCTGTCGGAACGGGCGGCTACCATGCCGTGCGAGTTGCAGCAGAGCCCTGCTAGTGCAACCAGGTCGGGCGAGCTTCGTAATTCGGCCCAGGTCTCCAACACCTGGCCTTTGAGAGGAGGGTCTTAACCCGGACATGAGTCTCAGTGTGTGCTCGTGTGATTCCGGGCAGTGTATCGTCAGCACATGTGTGTACATGTGTGTACGCTTGCACGCAGCTCCGCCCTACCTTATGCCTTGCTCGCAGCTCCGCCCTACCTTATGCCTTGCATGCAGCTCCGCCCTACCTTATGCTGTCCGCATCCTGAGCGCCCGAAGTGGTGGTACTACGTTCAGCCCCTTTACTCCATCTCTCTAGCTGTGTTCGCGGCGCGTGTAGCTAACCTCCAGCGCGGTAACCTGAACACCCGTCTCGCGAAGCTCGACGCCCCCGACTCTCCCTTCGCCGCTCTCATTCTGGCCATCTCCGGCCTCGACCGCCTCGGTGCCGGCGAGAGGATAACCTGCCCCATCGAGTTCCCGGACATGATGCACTCTGTGGGCCAGGGTGCTCTCGCCGTCGAGTCGCGTTCGGGCGACGCCGCGACGCGCGACGTGCTCCGTACGGTGGGCCACTGGCCGACCGAGTGGCGCGTGGGCGCCGAGCGCGGCCTCCTGCGTGTCCTCGAGGGCGGCTGTTCCGTCCCCGTCGGCGTCGAGACGCACCTCACCGAGCTGGAGGGTGCGGACGCCGAGTCCGCCCAGCTCCAGTACACCCCCGGCACTTTCCCTGCTCCCACTGCCAGCTCGCCTCTGCTGCACTTCTCGGGCATTCTGCCCGCCGACGCCCCCTTCCCGCAGCCCGGGGAGGAGCCGAAGCTCCTCCAGCGCCGCGCCAAGCTCAACCTCAAGGCGAGCGTTACGTCCACGGACGGCTCGAGGCAGGTCGTGTACGAGCCTGGAGACGTCGTGGTCACCAACTACCAGGAGGCGGTGGCTTGGGGCGAGGAGTGCGCGAGGCAGATGCGGGTCGTTGGAGCGGGCGAGATTCTGGACGAGATCGAGGCCGAGCGCCGCGCGCGTGAGGAGGAGATGCTCGAGAAGTCCCGCGCCGAGCTCGCCGCCCGCGCCGCCATTGACGACACCGAGGGGCAGGAGTGCACCCGCCCCGGAAAGGAGAATGAGACCGTCCCGCCGCCCGAGTGCCCTCACGACGCAGGCCAGGGCCAGCGCCTCGCCGCCTAAAGTACAAAAGCTAGACCGTGGCCGTTCCTCAATGGCCAGTAGCACACCAAACAAAGCACCATTCATCTCACACAGTATACCCCGCCTTGTAGATATCGCTGTACCTGGTATATCTTTATGCTATGACTACTGATCCGCACCATCTTGACGGTCACTAATAGCATACCCTCGCGTTCTGAACCCAGCAACTACTTTTCAAACTCGAGCGCCTCAATCTCACGGTTGCCCGAAGCGCTCATGGCTCCAGCACTGCCGTCACCCATCTGGATGTCCCCGTACCCGTGGTCGACAAGGTACTGACGCCACACTTCGTCCTCCTTCTCAAGGCGGTCTTTGCCCTTGTCCTCGACGAAGAAGAAGGCGAGAAGTACACCAGCGAGACCACAGCAAGCGGCGATGATGAATGTCCACCGACTGCCAAGGTGCTGGCGAATGGGCGTGAATGCCTGCGTACCGATGGCCGCGCCCGCCTTACCGACGGCAGCGCTGAAGCCGTAGCAAGTACCACGAATAGAGGTCGGGTAGGACTCGGCACTGATCGTGCCCTCCATGTTGCCGGGACCAAAGTTGCCGCTGCTCTGCATCATCGCGTACATGACGATGAAGGCGGGCACGACCTTGGTCAGCTTCGGGTACGAGATGCCGACGATCAGGCCGAACACAATGTAGCCCATGAAGCCCATGATGAGGAGATTGCGGCGGCCGGTGCTGCATGGTCAGCTTCAGGTGTATCTGCAAACTGGGGCGACTCACTACTTGACAACCCAAGCGCCCAGGAACACTCCCGGCAGCGACAGAACGGAGAGTAGCAGGTTCCACTCGAGCGTGCGCACGATGCCCTTGTCCGGGGTGACGCTGGCAATGATCGTGCTCGAGAACACACCGTTCGGGAACGTCACAAAGTCGTACAGGAACCAGGTTCCCGCCGTGCCGATGAGCGTCTTCCAATACTTCTTCAGGATCAGGAGGTAGGGGGGGTTGTGGCGGATCGCGTTGCGGCGGTACAGCTTCGGGTTCATCATCTTGAGACGGAAGTAGAAGACCGAGAGAGGAATGATGATACCAATGCCGAAGAGAACGCGCCAAGTGTACTGCAGCTTGTAGCGGTCGCTGCCGGTTGTACCACCGTGGTAGTGCGAGCCGTTGATGATGAGCAGGAAGAGCGAAATGACGATAGGACCACCAATACTGAGCATCAGGTTCGTGACGAGAATGAAGATCTTGCCACGGTCGCGGCCGAACTTTTCGTTGGCAGAATCGGAGGCGCTGGTGCTGCACGCGGGGTACTCGCCACCAACTCCGACACCGATAGTGCCACGCGCCACAGTCAGCATCCAGAACATGCCGGCGGGCGTCGGGGCCGTCGAAGCCGTGCACAGGATGCCACCGATAACAATAAGGAGCGTTGTTCCGACCATGGCCGTCTTACGTCCGACACGGTCACAGATCAAACCCACAACGACCTGACCAATGACTTCGCCAACGAGCAGCGCGTTCGAAACACGGGTCGACACAGAAGAGGTGTAGTCATGAGGGTAGAGAAGAGCGAAAATGGGGTTGAACACTGTCGAGAGGTTGTTCTGGTAACCATCGGAGACGAGCGCGAATCCGGAAGCCAGGAGAGTGAAGTAGTCGGAGACTGTCGCCTTCTTGGTACCAGAAGGCGTCTCGCCCTCCTCGAGAGCTCGCTCGCGCTCGAGCTCCGACGGAGTGATGTCCTTCGGAAGGTACTGGAGGGTTTTGTCGTCGATGCCCTCAAACCCTTGGTTGGGGAGAGCGGCAATGTTCTTCTCATCGTCGACTTCGAACGACGACTTATCAGCCTTCGCTTCTTGCGACATGTTGGGCGGCGGTGAGGGGCATCAGAGAAAAGCCGCCATTTCTTCTTATATCTCTGAAAGTTACCGCCCGTAACGAGCTTGGCGCTGATCAGCATCTTGTCAGTGGAGCGATCGCTCGCGGCCCGCCTTGTCACGCCCGGATGTCGCGCGGAGCTGCTGCAGCGAACGTGTGGTCGGATGACCGCGTTAGCCGTTTTGTCGGCCACTTTAGGTATTTTCAGGTGCTAAAATTAGCTGTTGCCCGCCGCCCACATGACTGACTGCCAACAATACCTGTCGGATATGAACGTGGGCAGCATGAGCTGAATTGGTCAAACGAGCGGGCAGCGGCGATCACTGTAGGAGTGGGTTTTTGACCAAGGTTTATGGCATCGTTGGATCGTTGGAGCGTGGAGCAAAGCGCAGGAGCAGGAAGCGCTGAGGAAGAAGAGGTCCCATGATAAGAGTGTTGGTCGGCTAATTCCGACAGGCGGGAGGGGCATTGGCAATCGCCCTGCAAACCAGTTAAAAGCTCTGTGGACTCCAAAATAGCAAGTGTCCTTCAGCGGTACTCACATGTGTTGCGCTCTGTTCATGGAGGGTGGTAGTGTAGACGCGGCTGGTGGACTCCTGATGCAAAAAGCCCTCGTCTTCGGATGAAAGCCGCTGTCGGTGACTTTCCATATCTGCCGTTCGTCCGTTGTCGTTTCGTGCGTTCTTTTTGTTCCTGAAGGCGATGTGCGCGACTCCCGCACGCAGGGAAGGGTAAAAGGAGGGAGTTACTGTGCTCTGCGAGATTCGAACTCGCGAGGGATGAATCCCATCGGATGTTGGTAAACAACTTAAGGCCGACTGCATAGACCACTAGCAGAAGAGCACTTTGTTTTGGGCAGGTTGTCCCCTCCGCCCGCTCGGTCGCCGCCCACCTCAAATGCACGTCCAGGCACGCACACACGTATGCAACGTGGGAGTTGTCGAGGGCGTATGTGATGGCGATGAGCGTCGTCATGGTGGGAGGAGGGTCGAGGAAGGGAAGACGAGGAAGGCGAGGTGTGAGGTTTGGGCGGCGTTGCGAAGAAGGATCGGCATCCAATTCAGTTGCTCAAACTTTGGGGGACGGCGTTCGACGTGCAGCGCGGATGCTGTGTAATGCAATGCGGGAGAAGATTGAATGGGTTTGCAGACAGCATTGGCGCGAGCCTGTTGCTGAAGTGCAGAGCACTGGGGAAGAAGAAGGGAACGGAGGCGAGGAAGGATAGTAATTTTCGGCGGGGCGACTATGACGAGGTCTTCCAATGAAGAACTGATAAGGCAGATTACTGAGGACTCACATTTAGAGTGCCCGTCTGCTTCGATGTTTGCTGGGGCGCGCTGGACATGAGATGATGTGCAGAACAGAAATCAGAAATCTGAAGGCTGTGGTCTACACTTCAGAGGGCGAGGAAGACAGTTGCTGCAGCTCACACACCGGAAGCCTCGCCCCCCGAGGTGGAATGCTCACGGTGAATCACCTGCGTCACCTGGCTAACTAGTGAATGCCGATCGGGTTATGAAACAACCCAAGGGTTAGTCCCAGCCTCCCACGCTGTATGCCGTTTCCCTCCAACAGCTTCAGCATTAACAAGGACACTTGCTATGCCCCATGTCCGAGCTGCTCCAGTCAGCTTGCCAGGTGTTGCACTACGGGATACATGAGGAGCACCGCGAGTAGGGAACAGTGGTTGCTGGTCGAACTGGCTACCAGCGCACTGCACCTGCTACACGTAGATTGCTGAACACTACCGCTAACGGAAAGCCTCTGGCCGCCAGCGGCTCAACAAGGACACCAAGCTTTTTGGATCTTGCACCGCAGAAGCCCGGAAATGCAGCAGAGCTCGAGTGCTCGAGCCTCTACCCGCCAGCACATCAACAACTTGGGGTTGCGGCTAGAGGAGCGGGCCAATCCCCCTGGCATGCCTTACACCTGCCAGTTTCAGCAGGTTACCAAGTGATCGCGACACACGTCCGACGCCATGCGCGTCATGAATCGTTAGCTCGGTCCCGCGCGCAGCGGCTCTCGCACTGTTGCTTGCTCATCGAAGCGCGAGGCGACCTGGCATTGACTTGACGCGGTGCACAAAGCCACAAAGCGAACTGTCATGAGCGACGATAACGCCGTTGTGTGCACTGGCGAGCCGCCCACCCACGTGGCAGACCCTGAATCTCTGACGTTGCACTTTCTCTTGCTCCCACCTACAGGTATACCCATTGGCCCTCCCCCCCAAAACACTTCTTCCTTCTTCATCCTTCATCAACAAGGAAAAAAGCATCAGTCACAGTGAGTGTCTCCCCCAGAGCGTACCGCAGCTTGGTATCCCTTGAGGCTTATAGCTCACCAGCATCGCATTTCTGTATATATCACCGACCAACTCATCCGCAACTCGCATAAAACCCCCCCATTGCATCATCGCACGTTTACGCCATGTCTTTCGCCCGTCGCTTCGTTTCGAACTCCGCCCATAAGATGTCGTGAGTATCTCTTCCCCTCTTCCCGTCGGCCTCGGAGTGTCTGTGAGCGTTGGACAGCCTGGGTGTGCTCCCACCGTGGCGAACGTGGCGGCCGCGGTCGGATGCCACCCGCCTCGGATGTGTTTACACCTTTCGGCCAGGCACCACCAGTCCACCTTTCTCAGTCACTACGAGGCCGACTTCTTTTCTTCTTCTTCTTCTTATGCATATGCTTACGCCACAGCAACGTCTATTTTGACATCGCAATCAAGTAAGCCGTCTTTGACGTTGAAAACGGCGTCCGGAGCGTCGTTGGAAGCGAGAAGAGCGTTGAAAGCAGCTCCGAAGGTGGTCTGGAAGGCTCGGAACCTGATGCCGAGGGCTTGGGCCCAATTTCACTCCCACCTTCGAGGGTGCAACTCAATCTCTCTCGCGAGCCATCAGAAGGAGCTCAGGGGGAGCGAGCTGAGCATACGGAGACAGGCGCTCGGTGTCGCCCTCTCGAGCGAACTCTCGAGCTTGAGCACTTGGCCCGCTGTAGTTTAGTCACCCTGAGAAGCTCCTTCTGCTGGTCCACGACTCCCCTCGTCCTGACCTTGTTACTAACAGAGCAGCAACCAGCCTTCGGGCCGCATCACCTTCAAGCTCTTCGACGACGTCGTCCCCAAGACCGCCGCCAACTTCCGTGCTCTCTGCACTGGCGAGAAGGGCTTCGGCTACGCCGGCTCGGGCTTCCACCGTGTCATCCCTGTGAGTAGGTTGGCGTGCCGTCTGCTCGCATGCACGGTCCACCTGACGCTTCTGAGACCTCCAGCTGACTTTTCCAGGACTTCATGCTCCAGGGTGGTGACTTCACCCGCCACAACGGTACCGGCGGCAAGTCCATCTACGGTGAGAAGTTCGCCGACGAGAACTTCAAGCTCCGCCACGACCGCCCCTTCCTCCTCTCCATGGCCAACGCCGGCCCCAACACCAACGGCTCGCAGTTCTTCATCACCACCGTCCCCACCTCGTGGCTCGACGGCAAGCACGTCGTCTTCGGTGAGGTCACCAGCGGCCAGGACCTCGTCAAGAAGATCGAGTCCCTCGGCTCGCAGTCCGGCAAGCCCAAGGCCGACATCAAGATCGCCGCCTCCGGCACCTGCTAAACGTGCCCTTCTTAGGTGCTAGATAGTTTGAGTCGTTTGAAGTCCCAAGCTGTCTGCGTGATCCTTGAAGAGACGACATGTAAAGTCGAAGCAAATGAATAAAGTAAACGAGGTGCTCCTGTGTTGCATTCCGGCCTGTTGCAGTGGTTGTTGATGAAATGTTGCATAGAGGCTGCGCCAGATAAGGCTACGGTGACGTCGGTGCCTTGTGCTGCTACACGAATCCGAGCTTTACGACCTCCACCTCAGTGTTGTCGTGTCGGCATCATCCACACCACCACTTGATACCCTCAACCCCACGTACTGCGACCCCCTTCGCCATGGATGTTCTCAAGGCCGTGCAGACCTACGTGATCAAAATGATCACGGAGGTGCCCGGAATGAAGGTCTTGCTGCTCGATGCTCACACGGTACGGGTGAGATCGCTTGCCCAGCTGACCAACAGACACCAATCGTCTCGCTCGTCACTACGCAGACGGAACTGTTAGCCCACGAGGTGTATCTCACAGATAGAATAGACAAGTGAGCTTCGCGTCAGGCATCGGTAGCTGACATTCAGTGTGTCTCGAGAGTCTCTGAGCCACCTGAACTGTGTCGCATTCTTGTCGCCGACAGAGCAGTCAGTGCAGTGGGTGAAGCAGGAGCTGCAGAAACCGAAATACGGGGGATACTGGCTGTGTAAGCTTTAAACGTTTGCTCCTAGCTGACGGAGACAGTCTTCTCGAACGTACTTACGAAGGGCCAGATTGAGGAGATGGCGAGTGTCGATGAGTTCGAGGTGGTTAAGGAGGTCCAGGTGAGCTACGATAGGTTGTCCGTAGCTGACAGCAGGAATACTTCGCGGACTACCTGGCGCAATACCCGTCTCTGTTTACATTGACACCGGCTGCACTCGACGACGGCGGCGCCGGGCCCTCAAATGTGAGCTGCATTCTGCAGTAGACAGCTGACGCCAGCCCCCAATCTATCTCCCTTCACCTGACAACATCCCGGACCCGGTACTGGAAACGCACCAGCGAGCGATTCTGGCGTGCCTGCTGTCATTGAAGAAGCGTCCGGTAATCCGATGGGAGCGCATGAGCGCTGCTGGGCGGAAGCTCGCTCAGTCGCTGCACAATGCGATCCAGACGCCGCCATACCGAGACTTGTTCGAGTTCCGGACGAACGCGGGGCCCGCGCCGCTTCTTTTGATCCTCGACCGAAGAAACGACCCGGTAACGCCGCTGCTCAGCCAGTGGACATACGAAGCGATGGTACACGAGCTGCTGGGCATTGTGAACGGACGCGTGCACGTGCCGGGCGAGGAGAAGCTGGAGCTCCGCGACCTCGTGCTGTCAGCCAGCAGCGACCCGTTCTTCTCGGCGCACCTGTTCGAGAACTTCGGCGACCTCGGTGCTTCGCTCTCGCAGTACGTCACAGACTACTCTGCCAAGACCTCGTCCATGGGAGCAGCAGGCCAGGCGGCGAACCGCATCGACACGATCGCAGACATGAAGCGCTTTGTCGAGGAGTACCCCGAGTTCAAGCGGCTGGGCGGCAACGTGAGCAAGCACGTCGCGCTCGTTGGCGAGCTCTCGCGTGTTATTGAGCGTGACGACCTGCTCAACATCAGTGAGGTCGAGCAGTCGCTTGCCTCGCAAGAGTCCCACGCCGCAGACCTGCGAAGCGTGCAGCAGCTCATCGCGAGTCCCAAAACGCCAGCGGCGAACAAGCTCCGCCTCGCAATCCTGTATGCTCTGCGATACCAGAAGTTTGCCGGAAACGCGATCGCCTCTGTCGTCGATGCGCTTCTCGCAGCCGGTGTGCCCGCCGAGCGTGCGCGCCTCGTGTACGTCATGCTTAACATCGCCGGTGCCGACGAGCGGCAAGACGACCTGTTCATGAACGAGAACCTGTTCAGCCGCGGCAAGTCAGCCTTGAAGGGCCTCAAGGGCGTCGAGAACGTGTACACGCAGCACACGCCTCATCTCGCCGAAACGCTCGATCTGCTCCTGAAGGGCCGGCTGCGCGAGTCCTCCTACCCCTTCGTAGAGGGCGGGGAGGCGGCGCGCACCCAGCGTCCGCAGGATATCATCCTCTTCATCCTCGGCGGCGCGACGTACGAGGAGAGCCGGACTGTGGCGCTGCTGAACCAGCGTCTGGCGGGCGACGCGGGCGGGCCTGGCGGTACGCGCATCCTCCTCGGCGGATCCTGCGTGCACAACTCTGAGAGCTTCCTCGACATGATTGCGAATGCGGCCACGACGTGGCCCGAGACAGTGTACCAGCCCCCGCCCAACCTCGGCGTACCTAGCAGCCACAACAGTCTTGCGTCCACGCCTACCCCGGCGGCGGGCGGTGTGGCTGCCCCAGCTCCTGGAGGGCCGAGCATCAACCTCCGCGCGGGAGGGTATGAGCTCTCCGTCGGCGGTGCGGGCGGCACGGGCCTCTTCAGGTCACGAGACAACGACGTCAACCTCCAGCTCCAGGGCATTGCGCAAGTGGGAGAGGGCATTCGCGACGGCGCGGGACGGCTGTGGGGCAACGTCAGGCAGAGGATGGAGGAGCGCGTCAACCGTGTCGGGACGCCGCCAGTGTGAGCGCGCAATCCAGCATGTTAGATAAAACGGTAGCCCATCCCTATGATACATCTCAATGTGCCAAAATACAACAGAGCGGCGACTGGAAACTGAACTCTAACTCAGAGGAAATGATACACTTCGACGCCATCCTTCTCCTCAACCCTATACTTCTCCTTCTTCTCCTTTCTCGGCTTCGCTTTCGGCTTCGAGGCTGATGCGGCTGCGCCGCCTACCTTGGCGGTCGGCTTGAAGAAGCCCTGCAGGAGCGTCTGCTGCTCTGCGGGCGCAGCGGAGGCTGCGAGAGGTGTCGTCTTCTTCGTCTTCGGGGGCGACCTGGGCTTGGGTGGTGACTTCGATGCGGTAGCTCGGCTTCTCGGCTTGGAAGCAGCGCTGGACGACGTGGGAGCGGCAGTCGTGCGGATTGGCCGTGCGCCTTTAATTGGAGCAGCGCGGAGCATCGGGAACTCGTCCTCGTCGTCCGAGTCTGAGAGCGAGATCGGGTCGTCCTTCGTACCCTCACCGGTAGAACCCGCACGGGTGAAGCTGGCGGCACTACGCTTCGGCACGGGCGTCGTTGAGCGCGACGAGCTGTTCTTAGAGCCCGCCCGGCGGCCGCGCTTGCTTGGAGACAATTGCGGAATAGACGCTTGAAGCGCAGGAGATTCGATGACAACGACCGAGTCGTCATGATCAGACTCGGGCTCCGGTTCCGGCTCATGTTCGGGTACACGTTCAGTCCCTCGTTCCTGCACTGAGTCCCGAGCCGTGCACCGTTCTGACTCAGCCTCTAAATCCGAGCCCTCGCTGTCTGTGAAGAACAGGCGCGGCTGGTCGCGTCGTCGAGAGGAGGGTGGCGGTGACGGCGAAAATGACGTTTCTACCGGCGGCGGAGATGGTGAAGTCGGCACCGGAGAAGGCTCTGACCCTCTCCGACGCGGAGATGGCGACTCAGAAAAGATGGAAGGTACAGGAGACCTCGCGGCTCCGGTAGGTCTTGAGACAGACTCGATCGGCGGGGAGACCGAGCTCGGCTCCGGCACGACCGCGGGGTGCGGCCTCGCTTGCGAAGATGACATCTGCGTCATGAAATGACGGATGTTCATGTTGCCGGAGTCCTTAATCGTCTGCTTCTTTGGCTTTGTGGACTTCGCCTTGCCCTTCTCCCCCTTCGACGCGGCGCGCTCAGCTTGCTCCTTCTCGTAGACGTCCAGTACCGATGGCCAGGCTTTCCTGACGAGATACTCGGGCAATGTTACGCGCGAAGCTGCTGCAGATGACTGCGCCGCGGCAGGCCGCGCCACTTCCACGAGCCCTAGCTCACGCCTCATCTCTGGCGGGAGGGTGCTCGGATCAGGCCTCGAGCCGACCATGGCCGAGCGGCATTGGTCCTCGTAAGCCGCCCAGTTGCAGTCCACTCGTACGTCCCGATACCCCGTGTCGAGCTTGGAGGGTTTGATGTCATGCACGCGCACAACGGCGGACTCGGAAAGCGTCTCAGACTTGAGGGCAGACGATACAATCGCAGCGGAGAACACGGAATTCTTCGCAGCAAACCTCCTCACGACGAGGTCTGGCTGTCCCCATTCAAAATAGCGTTCGCAGACCTCGGCAGCTCCCGCCAGTGTTCCCCGCCCGAAATTCACTGCCTCTGAGATGGTCAGGGGCCGCCAATGTTGCTCTCGTTCCATCGGAGGGGTAACAACCGGTCGCAGGTACGCCTCTAGAGGTAGCTGGCCCAGAAGCGTTTCCTCGTCGATCGCGGACAGCCTCTCAGCTAGCACCTTGTGCTTCCTCCCCACGTGACCGGAAAGGTCGTACTGCAACTCTTCCACTAGTTGTTCGCGCCATGTCCTCAGCCGTTGCGCGAACCGGTCAGTGTCGGCTAGGTAGTGCACGAGCGCCCTGGTGTGTCCGGCTCTCGCAAGTCCCATTGCAATCTTCGGACCTGACGTTAGTCAGGAAGACAGCTTGTCTCACCGATCGCGGCGATTCCCTGCGGCTCGTAATCCCCTCCGGCGAGGAGCGCCACGAGTACCATCGCCAGATGGCAGTCCTCGTGGGTTTGCAGCGCTGAATCCTCGGAGATCATACGTTTTGCTATGTCGTCAAAGCGGAACAACACGTATTCTCTTGCGTGCGCATCCTTAGATGACGCCTGAGGACCTCCCGCCGCCTTGCTGCCGGAGAGATCGGGGGAATTACTACGATTAGAAACAGACCTTGATATTGCACGTACTTGCGAATGACAACCCGTGCGCCAAATATGAAAGCGTCCGCATCATCAGAGAGAACCGCATCTATCTTTCCGACTCTGTTGAGCACAGCGAGTTCAGCCTCCGCCTCGCCCGGGGCCTATCAGATCAGTCTCGCTTTCTTCACGTGTACGCACCTGGATCCACGCTATCCCCCATGCGCTCAGCATGTTCTTGAGCTTCTTCGACTCTTCATCATGCAAGCCAAAGTGCCCGCCTACGCTCTTGCCTCGTTTGAGACTTGGGCGCCTTGGTCCGTCTGAGGTAAGCTACAGGACGATGAGAGGAATGCCGCACCGAAAACGAAGACTGGGTCACTGGGTGCTGGAGCATCGCAACGATACGGAAGAACATAGTTCGGAGGGAGGGATTCTCTCCTCCCCGAACGTCTCGAGCATGAAAAGCCCAGAGACTGGAGTAAGCCAGTGATCAAGCGGGGACAGCGGCTACTGACCTAGCATCGATGCCGATGCGGTATGTTTCTCGGCCAGCCACGATCGCCTCGCGTGAGAGCGCCTGCAGCGTCGTCCGTGTACCAGCTGGGCGGATAATCTGTCGTCAGCATGCCTACATATAGATACGTACATCCCACAGCCCTTTGACACCCATGACTCTGTCGGCGTCGAGTTGTCGAAGTTGGCGGGTTGTTGACACCCTCCTTGGACGACCTCCACCGGAAAGGGTTGACTAACCCACCTCCACCGGCTGATAGAACACAGGTCTCGACCTAAGCCCTCGTCTTCTCTTAATTCTCCTCCTTCCCCATCCTCAATACCTTGCATGTGTTGCACGAAGTGTTAACTCGTTCTCTGTTGCATAGTCTATGCAATCCCCTGATATGTATCGCATGCTTATCCCCCGAGAAGTGGTACAGTTATGCCAAGTGGAGTGTCAACGGTCTAGGTATGGTCACGTGATCAGCCCTGGTCATTTCGAGATTTTGAAAGTTGGGCGACCAGGGGTCCACAGACGCAACAACACAACCCTCACTCACGCGCGACTGATCCGGTCCGACTGCCCCAAGATGGCTTCGCAGGACAGCAAGAAGAGCAAGAAGAGGAAGTCTGTTGGCGGCTCCTCGTCGGACGTCACTATCTCGATGGAGGACAGCATGGGTGTTGGACCTGCTTTCGGTGAGTATCGCTCATGCAGGGTGTGGCTAACAGCAGTCAACTTCCCCGCGGTGCGGCCGAGCAAGAACACGCCTTTCGACATCTATTCAAGAGAAGACGACCCTTCATCTTCTGCTATCACGAAGCAGCACACCCTGATCGCCGGCGAGACTGAGGATGTTGAGTACTTCTCGACGAACCGGGATCGTTACCAGGCCGGTGAGGGTCACGACTGCCAGTATGTCCAGACCCCAGTGCATTGTCGAGTGCGCTAACGCATGACAGGTATGTTCCTGCTGTCTACGACCCCTCGACGAAGACGCTGCACGTTCACCCCACCACGCCGCTTTACCTCCTTGCTCACCGCGTGAAGCGCATGCGTGAGGCTCCTCTGTCGGAGACTCAGAGGTCAGAGCTGTGGAAGCAGAGGCGAAACGACCTTGGAGAGACGTTCGGAACGCGCAAGGCCAAGTCTCAGATCAAGGCGGAGGAGAGGAACAAGGTTGACGCCAACGCTATGCAGGGCGTCAAGGCGCGCCTCATGGAGAGCATCGGCGTTCTTGAATCGAAGGACGATGGTGAGTCGATCAAACCGAGTATCAACTAATCTTAGATGCCACTGCTCCCTCGGAGCTCATTCCCGTTCCCGACCTGGAGACCAAGGATGTCACGAAGGCGTACCCGCGCGAGTCCATCATTCCGGACAACCAGTGGGCTTCGATCGACGTCCGACCGCTCATTACGGCCGAGGACAAGGAGCGTGTCAGGTTGTTGCCGTACGCGCGCAGCCGCTGGGTCGAGGACAAGCTGCGGTATGCTGTCCACATGCAGAGCTCGTCGGCGAAGAAGCACAACCTCAAGATGCTGTACTACCTCGCGTGCCTGCTTTCGTTCTACAAGTTCGCCGGCGGCCTGCACAAGCTGAACGCGACGGAGCTGCCTGCCAAGTTCCCGGGTGTGCCTGCGCAGATTCTGAACGGCATGCTCACCACATTCGCCGAGCAGGATGGCAAGAAGTTCAAGGTAACGGAGAAGTCGGGTACGAAGCTGTTCGCCTGGATTTGCGTGTGCTTCCTGGCGCTGAACGGTTGGACCATCGAAGTCGAGCGCGTCGCGCGCGAGCTTGCCAAGGAGACGCCCAAGTGAGTACATTCGCGGGGTGCTTTTGGAACCGATATTGCTCCTGCTACGGACATGTGAATCCGCATGATTTCGTCGGTCTGTCGCGCAAGAGCTCCGGTGGCTCAGGAACCGATCGAGGCTGTATCAACGAGAGTTTTTGGAGCTCTGATACGACGCTTTTTTGCCCACAGTGTGCATTGTGCTAACAATATCCAGGGTCGTCGACATGTTCAAGTCTCTCGGATGCAACGTCGACCTGCCGACCCCAGCCGAGCGCGAGAAGATGGGTATCAAGCTCGCCGATGCCAACAAATTCCGCAAGGCTACTCTCAAGGCGCCGCTCAAGTTCCCTAAGACCAAGCGCAGGGGCCCTGCCAAGCGATAAACATCCCCGCCCCTCCCCACCACCCATCACCCTGTCAGCTGTCTCTACATATCGAGAGATCAGCGACTTGTCTACTCATTTCACGACTAGGCCTCGGCATTCCCGGGCCGCGTCCATTCTGTACACATTCCATGCAATCGGTTCACTAGAGCAGCGCACTAACTTCAGCCACTCTGACGGAATCAACAGTCGTAAGCTGACTATAAACTACAAGCGGGTTTCAACGATATCGATTTTCTGCGGGACAGGCACAAGAACGAAAGGACAATGTTTGATGGACGAGGCGGAGATCCGGATATTCGGAAGCCGGGTGACGAGTGACGAGGGGTCTTGCGCTCAGCGCGAAGACGATCGAGGCGGCCCGCGGGGCGTGATGGAGCGGGGCGGGCGAGTTGCATAGACAATGGGATGGCGGCCGGCGCGCGGATGGTCAATTTTGGAATCCCAGTGGCCGACCTGGGCGTGGGCGACTGGGCGCATCTCCCGCTCAGCATAGCGCGGGTAATATGGGTGCGCAGCGAAATGGCGCTGGCGCTCCTCGTAGACGCGCTCGTACTCACGCTCGTACTGGAGGATGTGCGCCCGCTCCGCCATCTCTCGTTCGCGTACGGCCAGCATCCGTTCCCGCTCCCTGAGGTACTCGCGCTCAGCGGCCAAGGTTGCGGCAACGACCGGATCAACTTGCGGCGGGCTAAGCAGCAACGGCGAGCGCCGCTCCCTCAGCTCCCGCACCTCTCGCACATCTCGCCCCCTCCGAGTGCTCGCGACACTCGCTGGGCTGGTATCCTCCTCGACGTCCATCGCCTCGTCGGCAGCCTGGTACTTGAACGTCTTGCCTGACGCTCCCTCCGCGAGCTGGCTCAGGAGAGCAGTCTGTTCGGCCACCCCAGGTACTTCTGATTGCCGTGCATGATACTCCTTGCCATCTTGGGATTGGAACTGAATAACGCCCCCGCGCCGCATCTTCTCCGCCATGTCGGAGGAGACGAGCACGAGGTGCTTCCCCTTCACGCTCGTCGTGGGCGACGTTAGGATAAATCCAGTACGCACCGGCGTCGGTGGCGCGGTCGGCGGCGGCGCATAAGGCGAGTATCGACTGCTCGGTCAGCATCACTCCGAGACTGTCATCACGACGAAGTTGGTCACGATGGGAAACTCCATGAGCTCAGCAAGACGCGGACCGGAATGTGGCGCCATCCATGGCTTTGCTTCTGGAAAGTGATTGTGGTGACTGCTGATCTTTTCACACGGCCCTGCAACAACAATAGGCCGGAACGACCCGATGGGGCGATGAAGTCACGGAGACGTCACTCACTGAGAGGTTCGAACGATGGGGCTCTGTTTGTTAGCACGAGTACGCCACTGCTGAAGCGTTGAGATGCGGAGTAATTCCAAGGGTACTCACTAGCACACTTGCGGACATCGGCCCATGCATTGACGGGCCATGCGCCCTGGCGTACTCAAACGATGATGCGGGTCGAGGGCCATATACCGGCGACTTGGACTGAGGGGAGAGGTGCGAATGGCCACCATGACAAGGGTGCGCCGAGTGCGCCTGCGTCGAAGTGGCGTAAACCTTATCGCTGAAGGGTTGCGAGACATGGCGCCGCGGCGAGGGGAGTGATGTTATGAGCTGGGGCATCCTTTTGGGTTTGCGTGATTGTGAGTTCAAGACATTTGCGTGATTCTGATGCTGGGGTTGCTGACGGAGGACGTGCGCCGGAGATCGGAGGGGCGGAGAAGCACTCTGTGAGATGGGGCGAGCAGCCTTGCCAAGATCGGGGCTGGGTGCATTTGCAGGCGGGGAAGGCGGTTCTTCGGTGAACGCCTTCCTCTCCAGAGACAGCTTCTCCATCTCGACGTCAGGTGTCTGCGAAGACTGTCGCTCACGGGACATGCGAGAACTAGCAGTTGAGGGTGTCGCAGCCCCGGGAGTCGGTGCCCGCAGTGGCTTAGGTGACGTAGGGGAGGCAGAATTTGCGGACATCGGGCTAGCTTGCGGCTGACGGTCAGCCCTCCAGAACTTAGGCTTGCTTTCCTGCTGCATCAGCTCCGACACTGTTCACAAGCCCATCAACTGGTCATGTCCACGCCGCTGTTACTACTCTTTGCTGACCATGTGCCCAAACTTGGAGAATTCCAGATAAGTTAGCCACTGGCTCGGGGCCGCAGGAACAGACTTTTTCCGGGGTTCGGACTCTCCGCCACCATTCTCATCACTCACCCGGGAGCTGTTTTCGCTGATGCGCCTACTGAGTGGGGCGGGCTCGAGCTTGATGGTCGAGTACTCCTCCTTGCGGGGAGATGCATATTGGACTTCAGTGCTTGGGGACAGCATGTTGAAAGTTCGGTCGGCGCTGCTGGCGACGAAAGTGGATTCAGGTGGGGGTTCGTCAACGGATCATCGAGGCAGTGTTCGGCAGTGTCTGGTCTTAAAAGGCTGTGAGGATTGTGATAAACCGGTGCAGGGGTGGCAGCACAATGAGGATAGGGTAAGGTTTCGTGTATGGTCGCAGCTGACAGTGGCAATCGGCGGTTGAGAGATGTTTTGTGTGGGCTTTGTGTCCTTCACACACAAAGAGCTCTTGCTTTTATGTGCGATATCGATTGAAGAACAAGTCACAGCCGCACTGGATATCCCTGCACGTTGCTCCCTGCAGAAACAGCAAGGACGGCCCATATCCTCAAGAACTATGCGACGATGTGCGTGCGTCTCTCTCGAGCTCAAGCCTTTGCGTTAGTGCACGGCACGCCAACAGTGCACCCCCAGCATGCCCGGGCCACGCCTTCGTTCCTTGGTCACTCGGCCCGAGAGCTCCACATTCCACGAAGGCTGTCAGCCAGCAGGGCGATTGCAGGGTACCGAGAGCCACGCGCGTATCAAGCAACGAATAGAGGGGTCAAGTCGGACCGAGACTCTAAGAGTCGAGCACCTGAGACTTAGGTGCCAGCATTGTCCCCCGATCTCAACGGAGACGCAGACCTATTGTCGTACCCTCGTGATTCAGTGCACACAAGGGCACCGTCAAGTTGAGTAGACGTGTGCAATATACACGACGCGTGCACGGCAGGGTGGACGCATCTGACGAGCCTTTGAAGACCGGGTTTCGTTTCCGTGGTACTGTTTATGGGGTCGGACCCTGGGATGGAAGGTATAGGAAAAGAGTATGCAGGCGCGTGAACGCGACGTCGTGCATGGCCGCCAGTGGCCACCCGCAACGCCGATGTAGGCAGGCGATAAAAGTCGGTTCTGTTGTGTGCGTGCTATTGTTTCGCCACAGGATCGCCCTTCTGTGAGATCGCCCTCCGCAAAGGTCTCTGATTGCAGCTTGTTCGCCGTGTGGGATACCAAACAATGGAGGCTTTGCAGGACTCAATTGCTATAAGGGTAAGGGCAAGCTTATGCGACTGCACAAGTCACACAAAGGGACCGTGACAGGGTTCGAACAATGGATTTGACGAGGTGTAGGAAGGAATCTGTTGTTTACACTCACACACTCGGAAGGCATTTCCGGCATCTTCATGTGCTTTCGGCGGTTCCATGATAGCATCTAAGACCGTGATCGAGTCGAAAGCGATGTCGCCAGATACAGCATTCGGACTTTGCGCAGGTGGCATTATAACAAGCCGGTCCAAGTTTCAGGTCGCGCCAGATCGTGGTTCTGATCCACAGCGGCATTTGCATTCTCTGTGCTCGAGAAACAACACGTCAGCGTCATCCGTTATGCGAGGGAGAGCCGTCAGCAAGCTGGCGTTGGTGCGCCTGCGAACGAAGTGCTGACGAGTCCATGACACAGCACCACGGACCGCCCGGACCGTGAATTTCATTGTTCCCTCAGACGAGTACGTGCAGTTTGCAGATCAGAAGGATGGTCGGATGCCCCGCCGTCTCCTCACTCTACACACTGCACTGCTTCTCAGATCGAGTGCCGCCGTCGGCCAAATGACAGTAGAGGTCCTGCACAACGGATGAGGCGGGATACTGCGCTCTCAGGAACGAGCTCGCTCCCCTCGGCAGGTCCGGCACCCCTCATGCCTCCGTTTCAGCTCGAATGTAGCCTTAGACGACCTGAAGCTCTGCCTCGAGACAGCCGGAGTGGACAATGTCAGTGGCGATCAGCACACAACATCTGACTTGAACTTTAGCATCCCTGCACCCCAAACTTCTGAGTGCGTGTACACGCTTGACTGTCGGGTTTCGGAGCTTGAACGAGGGTGAGCGCTGAGCCTGGCTAACCTTGGCGTTTGGTCGCAACTCCACTAGTACGTGGCACACAACACACAACAACAGAGGGAGGTGTTGGTCAACACTTGCCACATGTCTCTTCACCCTGTCTCGAGTTGCGAGTCATTCTAAACGACACCAGCCGTGCACTGAGAATGGAACTGAGGCGAGGTATGCCGTCCATCGGAGCTGAGTCATCGGCACCAAGCACTCGCTGACTGTCTCCTGTAGCCAGCCAATTGTGGTAGCTGTGCGGCTGTCGAGATACTCTTGGGCTACGGTTAGGAGCTACCCGGTCATCAGGCGGCTTGTTCCGCGACTTCTTAGAGACTCCCACGTCAACACCTCAACTTTCGAGAGTCACGAATGGCAACGAGACAATAGACCATAGCATGGCTCGCTCGGAACCTCTTTCAAAGAACCCGGGGAAGCAGAGACGTGGTTTGTCACCATCTGTAAGCCCAGCCGAGCGCCTCGTCAAGCCAGCCTGGCCCGAGCATGAGCCTTACCGCCTCCCCTTAGCCTCAACGCCACAAGCTCGGGCCCGCCAGCATTGTGCTTTCTAGTGCATTTCTAATCCACCCCCGAATACAAACTCTGCTTAACAAACCGATTACCAAGCTGTGTCAGTCTTGCACGTGACACGAGGCCACACGGCGACTTTTACGTAACTGCAAAATGTTAGATTTCCTCGACCCTCCACTTTCATGGCGCTCTGCGAGCCTGGCAGGCGCAGATCTGCACACCCAGCTCCCTTCCTCCACATCAACAACAACAACAAGCACCATGTCCTCAGAAGAGCAGCGCCAGAAGGAGGAGGCCGCCTCGCGCCGGCACGCCAAGCTTGACAATGCCGGTGTGCTCCACATGAGCACGCAGGCCGAGATCCCTGACAAGATCACGATCGTGAGTACCTTGCTCCCATAGCAACGCCAGGTGTCGCTACAGTATTTAGTACTGAGTACCGGGCAAAGCAATCATGGTATATGATAAGGGAACAACTGATCGAAGTTGGGATAGGCTCCATAGCTAACGATCAGCTTCCCGGACACGAACCGGACTACTCGGCGTGCACGTTCTGTCTCTGGGAGGAGGACCACACGCTCGGCAACGCGCTGCGGTGGATGATCATGAAGGAGTGAGTCTACTCCTCAGGCGGGCCGTCGATGGACTGTCTTGCATTACTGCAGCAGCATCTCCTTCTACTCTGTCGCCACGCCCGCTGTCGCTCCTTATCTCAGCTGACCTCCAGCCCCGACGTCGAGTACTGTGGTTACAGTGCGCCGCACCCGTCCGAGCCCAAGATCCACCTCCGCGTGCAGATGTACGAGGGACTGTCGGCCGTCGACTGCCTGCGACGTGCGCTCTCGAACCTGCGTGACCTGTACGAGACGATCGGTGCGCAGTACGACCGCTCGCTCAAGACCGACAAGTACGTCAAGGAGAAGGACGTCGACGTGCACCGTGTCGTGGCCGAGACGCTGCGCGAGCGCCTCGGCGAGGACATGGATGAGAGTGCGTAGATCATGGGAGATTTCATAGACACTGTATGATGTATAACAGTATTCGGCTTGCCTACTAGCTCGGCTACCAGTCGTCGTCAGGCGGAGGGAGACCCTTTACTTCCGGCTCTGACTCGGAGTCGCTCACATCCGCCTGCGCGCGTGCGAACAGCGCGTCCATCTCCTTCTGCCTCTTCTCCTCCTCACTCATGACCTGGGCGGCAGGGACAAACTTCTTCTTGACGACAGTTGGTGCAGGCGCCTCGCTGAGGATCTCCATGCCTTCGGGGCGGAGGCTGAGCTTCTTCGGCGGGGTGTCGTCGCCGTTGATCCATTGCTCCGCGAGCGTCACGGGCGTCGGGTCAAGGGTATCAACGTAGATGTCGTCCTGGAAGAACTGGGGCTTATTGCGAGGAATGGTGAACGTGACATCCTCGAGCGTCTTCGCCGTGAGGCGGAGCGCGCGGCTGACCTCAACCTTGCGCACGTCACAAGCCGTCTTCGGGAAGAATGCGACGGCGAGTTGAGGCGCAGAGCCGGTAAACGCAGGGAGCTTGGCAATCGGCTCGTTCGCCCCGGGCTGGATCTCGAACGCCTGAATCGCACGCTCGCCCTTGCCCCATACGTAGAGGATGTTGGTGTCGGGGTCGTAGGATGGGAAGAGCACAGAGGGGGATACATCGATCGTGGACGAGGCGAGAGTCTTGACCTCATTGTCGGTGACCTCGTACAGGTTGATCTTGCGCATGGAGCCGCGGTTGAAGCCGACAGACACGAGATGCGTGTCGTCAATCCACGCGAGCTGGAACGAGCGCGGCGAGTCGTGCGCTTTGCCCTTCACCATCTTCTCCGGCTGGCGCGGGTCGAGCACAACAATCTGCGAGTTCTTGCACGAAAGCGCCACCTTTGAGCCATTGTGCGAAATGGCAAACGTGAAGATCTGACCGACGTCGAGCGGGACGTGCAGCTGGTGCTGACCCTCAGAGATGTCGAAGAAGTGCAGCGCAGGCGACTTCAGATCATTGCTGGCCACGACAACGAGATTCCAAGCCGTCGGGTGGAATGCGACGTGTGCGATCTTGTCCATGCCCGCCTTGATAGTCTGCTCAGGCTCGGGGCCGGGACCTTCAATACCCTCCTTACCCACGCGCCAGACACGGAGCGCACCATCGTCCCCAGCAAGCACGACAGTGTCCTGCTCTTCACCAGCAAAGGCAGCAAAGTCAGTCAAACCGGCGCCGCCGGACAGGAAGCCCTTGCCACCGTCCGGCATGCGACCCTTCTGAGCGAGAGGGTGCACGCAGACCCGCCCGCCGGGACCCTGGATCGGGAACAAGGCAAGACGGTTCGTGATGTGCAGAACGCACGAGTCCTGGTGCAGCGTCGCCACTGGAGGGATCTCGTAGTACGTCGGGTTCAGTGGCGAGCGCGCACCCATGAACTTGCGAGACCAGGTGGGGTTGTAGCGTGGCCTGTCCTGTGTCTTCGGCTTCTCCTCCGGAACTACTCCAGCGAGAGTCGACTCACGAGTTCCGGGAATGACCTTCGACGGCGTCTCGCCCGGCATGGTCCGGGACTCAGGCGCCTCCTCGAGACCAGGCAGCTTCTGTGGGTGGAACGTGTGGGCCGCTGGATTCCTCTGCGTTGTCTTGGTTTCAGACGCGGCATTCGTAGGCTTAGTCTCATTCTTCGCCTTCGATGCCGGAGCTCCGGCGGGCTCGGACATGCCAAACATGTTTGGTTTGTCACTCTTGGGCGTCTCGAACTTGAGGACCTCGCGGTCCTTGCCATACTTCATGCGAATGACGTGACCAGCCCACGGTGCGTCCTTGGCCAGCACCGTCTCGCCCCACACCTCGTACTCAGGCATGTATCGCTCGACAAACTTGTGCACCTGCTCATCGGTCATGCCCTTGCCTCCGTTGGCCGCCTTCATGTTGTGCTCTTGCTGCAGGCGCCAGTCGAAGACGTAGTCGTAGCTCGTCGGCTCCACCTGCACCAGCGCGGTGAATGGCGGGTACATCTTCTGCGACACCTGAACCAGGCTCTCGTTTAGGTCCGTCAGGGACTCGAGGGAGTGTTGCGGGAAGTACTTGCCATCCTTCTTCTCGTAACGCTCCTTCAGCGCCGACGGTGTCAAAGGCCCGAAGCCCATCGACCACCCCTCGAGCACGAAGACGTCCAGCGGCCCATCAACGGGAACTGTCTTTACGCTTCGGTCGCCCTCGCCGCCACACAGGCTCTTGTCAAAGACGGGCAAGTCGACGTGTCCATTGTTGTCGTTGATGTGGACGATTTTGTTCAAGACGTCAGCCGCCAGCTCCATGTCGTGCGTGCCGGGTGGTCCACGACCAGCAAGGAGAGGGTTGTTAGGGTGATCCTCGGCGACCTTCTTCAGCCCGTCGTGTGTGCGGTACAGATCATCCAGCGACAAAACGGCGACCTTGAGTCCCTTGTCCCGGAGGTGCTGGAGGAGTGCATCGCAGAGCGTCGTCTTGCCGCAGCCCTGAGGACCCTGCAAACCAACCATCAGAGGACTCTTGTGATCCTTGACGTGTTCCTTGCGGAACTGCTCCAGTCGCTCGCACACGTTGCGAACCTTGTACGATGTCGATGCGTAGTCTTCGCCGTCCTGGGGCTTCGGGAGGTCATTCGACGCAGCCGAGGCACTCGAGGAAGCCTGTGCAGCTGGCTTAGTCGAAGCAGGAGTGGCGGTAGCAGAGGCAGGAGCGGGAGCAGCCGCAGCCTTCTTCTCGGGCTCTGGTGACGGTTCCGGCGAAACGGCCCTGGCCTCAGACTTCGGGTCCGGCTTAGCCATGTTCGGCAACGGCTCTTGCGGCGCCTGAACATTCGACTTTGTAGTCGATGTCCGCGGAGCAGGCGCGTACGATGCCACGCTCTTCTCCCATTCTCCCCGCCTCGTGGGGTCAAGGGACACGGGCAGGGGCTTGTTATCGCCTCCGTCGAACCACGCCTTTGCCTCCTGTTCCGGTACACCGCCAACAACGTCAGGGTACAGATCGGCATGGTAGTCGATGAGCTGGCGGCGGGGCACATTGATGTGGACTGGCATGAGTGTCTCTCCATCCTTGTCCACGACGGGAAGAAGAATGCTGGCGACACGGGCTTCCATCACCGGCAGCGTAGACCAGTGCGCGGCAGCGAGCGAGCCCGAGCACACGGCGTATTGCAGAGGGTGCGTAACCTCCTGATATCCTTGGGGTCCGGAAAGTTCGATCTGGCGAAGTGTCATGTCGCCTCTTCCAACGAGATAAACGATGCGCCTTTCCTCGTCCACCAGGGGCGAGAGTGGACCCTGACTGTTGTCCACGCTGGCGGTGAAGATCGTGCTGAGGTCGGGCTTGAAGAGCGAGTACTGCCTAGCCCGTGTGCGGGAGAACGATGTCACAAACACATCGTCGCCCGCCCAAGCAACGCGCACCGGCTTCAGCGCCTGGAGCACCGTGGCGAGGTCGCGCTTCGTGATCGGGTCGGCACTGGCGCGAGGGTCCCAGACGTACATCTGCCCCTTCTTGGTGACATCTGCGATGAGTCGTCCGTCGCTCTTCCACGCCGCTGACCAAAGGGGCTGGTTGTCCGGGACGTTCAGCTTAATCACCGCCTCCCCGGCGTGAAGATCGTAGACTTCGACAACGGTCGAGCACGCGAGCGCAATACCACGGGTCGTCGGGTGCAGCGCGATCGAGGTCACACGAGCTGGCGCTTTGAAGCTCGCCTGCTGTTCCGGAGCCTGAAGTCCTCGAACAGTCAGATAAGTAACCTGGAGTCAGATCCGACTTGACGTTCTTCCGAACTCACGGTCCCATCCGCGCCAGCAACGACCATATCTCCTCCTTCGAGGCGAGATAGGTCCCAGTCGGCGACAGATCCAAGCTTGCCCTGCCATGCCTCCCCTTCCTTGTCGCCGACGGCATCGTACCTCCTGATGCTAACATCACCCGACGGAGTTACAGTCACGACATGCTCGCGGTTGGTCTTGACCACAGAGCTGTAGGCGACTGTGTTCTGGGGTGCGTCACTGGCGCTAGGCAAGTGGGTGCGGTACCAGTGGTCTCGCGCCGGAACTGCAGGAACAGCGTTGCGGAATTTAGTCGCTCCGAACTGCTGCCGCATATCTGTTGCTGAGTTGAAGAAAGTTGGCGTTATGCGTTTGTTGGGCAGATCGCCAGATGACGTTTCATGTGGACGACGAGGCCTCCAACCAGGTGGAGGTCCCCAGCCAAGGTGAAGCCAGCGATCAGCGGAGCCAATCCCAATCCGAGAACAGGAAATAGCCGGCCTAAGCCGAGGGTTGCCCAGATATCAGTGCATCAGTGCCGACCGACGTCGAGACCAAGGGACTGGGAACGAGAGCTGATCGAGCTGCCCGCTTGTTCTTACTCTATCTCCATCTTTAGGACGCCGTCACCAACATGCTGACTCTCCGCTCTGCCACACGCCTGGTGCAAATCCCCTCCGCTGGGCGCATCTGGTCCTGCGCCCCTTCTGCTTCCGCCGCCCTCCTCCAGCAACGCTATAACAGCGGCTCTGCTGGGGTCTTCAACACTTCCCGTCTCGAGGGCAAGACTGGTAAGCTCCTGGAATGACTGCGGTTTGAGCTGACTCCAGTCCTGATCTCCGGTGCGTCAAGCGGTATCGGCGCTGCCACGGCGCAGCTCTTCTCGCGCTGCGGCTCAAACGTCGTCCTCCTGGCGCGGAGGAAGGAGAAGCTCGCCGAGGTCGCCGACAAGTGCTCTGCTCTCCAGAAGCAGAATGGATTCAGCAATGGCAAGGTTGTCACGATTGAGGCAGACATGATGGACCGCCGATCGCTGGACAAGGTCCTCGACCGAACTGACGGTCTCGGTGTGGACATGTGAGCTTTCTACGCGCCGTGACTGAGCTGACGGCAGTCTTGTCAACAACGCCGGCCTGGTTAAGGGCCGCGACCACGTTGGTGAAGTCTGTGAGCCTTCGATATGACCTATCCACTAGCTGACAGCAGCCGAGGAGGACATGGACGTCATGTTCCAAACTAACGGTGGGCTATTGATGCATAGCGAAGCTGACCCAAGTCCTTGGCTTGTTCCATCTGACGCAGTCACTTGTGAAGCACATGAAGCAGCGCAACACTGGTGTAAGCTTTTGCTCATGATTTGCTCAACTTACATCCAGATGATCATCAACGTCGGCAGTGTTGCGGGCATCGAACCTTACGTCGGCGGTGGGTGTCACCGGCTTGTTTACCGTATTCCAGCTGACATCAGGCTCCATCTACTGCGCGACAAAGTCCGCCGTGAACTCGATTAGCGGTGTGCTCCTCCGCGAACTCGTGAACACGCCGATCCGCGTCGCCGAGATCCAGCCCGGCATGGTCGAGACCGAGTTCAGCGTTGTTCGGTACCGGGGTGACAAGAACCGAGCCGATAACGAGTACAAGGGCCTCACACCGCGTAAGTTGCAACTCAGTTCTGAGCTGACAATAGTGACAGGAGAGGACATCGCCGAGGAGATTGTCTGGGTCGCATCTCGTCCGGAACACGTTCAGATCGCGCAGATGCGTGAGTTTTTTGGAATGCGTGAGGAACTGACGAACAGTTATCTTCCCTACGCAGCAGGCCAGCGCGACCATCAATTGGAGGAAGCCGGAGTAAGCGATGTGCCTTGAGGTGTGAACGCGAGTGTGAGTAAGGGCCCACTAAGTGGGAGCGCATGTTCGCCGGTTTCCCGTGGGACTGACCTGTAGCCCGGCGACTGCTGCGGTCCGATTTGCCAAGCTATCCTGCAAACGGGAATTGTGACTCTGCCAGCGCCACGCGATGCACCATAATACATGTCGATGACTACTTCTCCGCTGCCAATATCTGGCCGACAGCTCTGCGGCGCCCTCTGTGCCGGGGGCCATACTCGCAGATATCACCTCTTCGTGAGCTTGTGTCGCCAGTTACGAAGCTGACTCCAGCCCCTTCCTCCCATAGCAAGTTCAGAAGTCGAATGCATCACATCTCCTGGTTCTTGATGATGACCTTGATCTCCTCGCCGCTCTCGACAGCGTCGAACGCATCCTTGCTCCGGCTCAGAGGCAAGACCTTGGTGATGAGTTGCTTCAGGTCCACAGCGTTGCGCGCGAGCAGGTCAATCGCGTTCGGGAAGCAGGGAGAAGTGTACCGAGTGATTCCTGTTTGTCAGCATCTATCCGTACGGCAAGGCAGAAAAGGGTGAAAGTCAACTCACCCTTGACGTCCAGCTCCTTGTTCGTAACGGCCAGCGTCGGGAAACGGTTCGTCTGGTGATGTCCGAGCCCGACGGCGAGGTACGTCGCTCCCATCTGAGTGAGAGCGACACCGAGCATGCCCCCGTCCTCGGCACCAGAGGCCTCAACGACACGCTCAAAGCCCTCGCTGTCGACCCCAGCTTCCCTGAGGTACTCTGCCGCATTCCGCTTGGCAGCTTCATACTTGATATCTCCCACGGGGACTTCCTCCTCATCATCATGCGACGCTCCGTTTGCATTGCCGTTCTTAGCGGGAAGAGCAGTAGGCAGCTCGGGCACGACGAACACATGGTCAAACACCGCCCGCCCACTCGGGTCCTTGTACTTGCGCGCAAACTCGACTCTTTTCGGGTTCACGTCAAAGCCGACAATCTTGCTCAGCCCGTAGGCGCGCGCCACAGCGCCCGTGATCAGCCCGATAGGGCCAGTGCCGATGACAGCGAGCGTCTGGTGCGCCCTCAGATCCGCGCGGCGGGCAATGTTCACCCCGATGGCCAAAGGCTGGATCGAGCCTGCTTCTTCCCAGCTGAGTGTGTCGGGGATATGGGGCGCCATGTCGGCCGGCAGGGCGAAGTAACGAGACAGGGAACCGACGGAGCCAGGACTGCCACAGTAGTGCGCGTCGAGACAGATGTTCATGCGTCCCTCTTTGCAGTTCTTGCACCGGCGGCAGGGGAGGCCGGGCTCCACTGTACGTTGTCAGCATCGAGTTTAGGACAAGGGACTGGGGGTGGGTACCGCTCTCGCCGTTCTGAAATGTGAACCCACCTGCAACACGGTCTCCGACCTTATGCGTCTTGACCATATCGCCCACGGCGATAACTTCTCCGGCACTCTCGTGACCCATGACCAGCGGCTCAGTGACGGGGCGGCCGCCGACGCCGCCGGCCGTGTAGTTATGCAAGTCCGAGCCACAGATTCCGCTAGCGATGACCTTGACGAGCACGCCGTCCGGCTGCAGGATCGGCATGGGAGTTTCCCGAACGACGATGCTGCGTTTCTTCAGCAGCACGCAGGCCGTGTTCTCCCCCAGATCAAGCGCTTGAACCTGGGGCGGCTGTTCAGTCACGAGGTGGTGGAAGGCGGACATCGTGCCTAGGTTGTGTGTTCGGGTGCGTCGTTTGTGATAAGAAAGGGTGGGGATTGGATGGCGACGGGAGAGGGAGATGTGTGTGCTTGTATCAGAAAACAGAGAGATGCTAAGAGCTGGAAGGAGAGCTGGGATGAATGTTAGACGCCCAGAAGAGCCGCCCACATCCACACCCGCACCGGGCCGATGTTCCGGCCCACACCGGGACATCGGCATCTAACGGCAACCAGCGCATTCCTCGGCCACGGCCGAGTTGGTCACCACTTGGCTGACGGCCAAGCCAATCAATATCAGCCTCACTCCGCATGCAATGACCTGCAGCTGACGTGCATTCTCGACAACATGCATTCTAAGCCTGGTCGTGGCCGGGTGGTTTAAACGTTTTACACTAGAAAATCTACTCAGTCGAACTGGACCTTGGGCAGCTCGAACAGGACAAAGTCGTAGTACTCTTGCTCCATGACGTTTGCCCACTCGCCAATCAGGTCCTCGGCGCCAGGCGCCTGCTTCTGCTTCGCTGCCGCCTTCTCCTTGGACTTGCCTGACGCCAGGTCGTTGTACTGCGCCGAAAGCTGCTTCAGCGTCTTCACGGCCGTCTTGGGCTCCGGCTGAAATGTTAGCTAGCAGTGCGACGCCAGAAAGCTAAACCCACCTTCACAATGACACCCGCGTAGTCGGCCGGCAGGCCGTATCGGAGCACGCTCTCCACAAACATGCGCACCGTCTTCAGGTGCGCCAGCAGCTGGTACGCTTCTGAGAAGTTTATCCGGGACAAGCGCAGGAGCTCGGTCTGATGTCAGCTCCGTCCTCGAAGGGGCAGCTTACCCAGAGCTCCTTCTCCTCCTTCTCAAGACGCTCAAGCTCCTCCTTCTGGTTCGCGCTCGCGTCGTCATCCCACTTGAACTCGCGGACCTGGTACTTGTTCTCGCGCGCCTTGTGCACAAACTCGTCGTGGAACTTCTTGAACAGCGTGACTGTGACCAGCTTGTACTCGCCATCTTCGGCGACCTCCCTGTGACCGGGTCAGCAACGCAATCGGGCCACAACGGGTTGATCACTCACTTCGAGCTGCGCGGGACCACCATGCTCGACAGACGCTCGTAGTTGTCGTACCACTGCTTGATGTTGTTCCTGGTGGTCAGCTCAGCTTCATGGCAGCATCAGCTACGCACTTCGGCACCGCGACGAGCAGCGTCTCGAGGTATTCTGATCCCTCGACGAGGTCACCCTTCTTCACGACGTCGATCAGCGACTTCTGCGCGAGATTTCCCCTGTTTCGTGTTAGCGCCCTTGGCCCTTCCCTGCCTCTCTCCGCAGCAACTCACTGCTGCTTGCGCTGGAGCGTGTTCAGCGCTCCCTTGGCGAGCTGGTACTGCTGCGTCTTCTGCTTCTGGGACGACTCGATCGTGTTTATTTCCTGAATTGTTAGCTCTGCAAACCTCAGCGTAGCTACATCCCGAGGAAAACCGCCCAGGGAAGACAACTCACACTCTGCAGCGCGGCAATGACATCGACAACCTTGCCGCCCTCTCCCCAACGTCCCTTGTCCCAGCGCCACGAGCCCGACCCCTGCGGGTCCGGGATGAGGTACTCCTCAACAGGCCGGTCGTTGACGCGAACATGCTGCTGCATGCGGTCCTTGTCATCGTTGACGAGCGAGCGCAGCGTGTCGAGCAACTTCGAGACGGTCTGCGTGAACGCCGCGTCAGTCTTGGGCAGCGCGTCCGAGAGCGAGATCAGCGACGAGAGGGTTCCGGCCTGGGGGTGTTAGCTTAGAGCCACGGGGGAAAGCTGGGAAGACTTGGAGGAAGGCGCGATGGCCGGCCTGCAGCACCCATCGCAGCACGTTGGTGCGTACCTTGAGATCGGGGATCTCCCAGCCGCCGCAAGTGACCTGGCCGCCGGTAGCATGGCGTACGTCCTGGAGGACGGAGGACGGGTCGCCGTCGTGAAGCGGGACGGAGATGAGCCAGTAGGACAGGTCGGACGGCATGGTGACCTATCTGTGGGTGTTGGTGGTGTGGATGGTGACCCGTTGCACCGCTCGACACTTGTCAGGTGTGGACGGCACCGCGGGGTCGTGACGCATGATACCGGGAGGCGTGCCTACTTGCAAGCCGGAAGGCGCGAGTCGTTGTATTTCCAGTTAGGGGCGATCGAGCATCCGCGCCTACTGGTCGCTGAGACGCCTCGGTCAGTGGCACGTGGCGGGACCTGGTTCCTGAATGCGAGTTGTGCAGGCGAGGAGCCGAGAGTTGTCGTCATGCACCATGCACCAGCGTACAGGAGCCGGAGTAAAGGCGGCACCGCAGCGACAGGCGACGGGCGAGATTCATTGTCGATCCCCAGATTGTTCTTTTCATTTCCCCTACGACCTCAACCCTGTCTGTCGTTGTCGCCTCGGACGACCTCCCTCTCCGACCACCACCCTCTTGGTCGTGACTAGCTAATGCGCGGCATCCTTGCCCAACCAGTCCGGCTCGCGCGGGTTGTGCGCCCTGCGCCCCGCGCCGTGCTGCAGCCTTCCGTCCGCTGCGCGCCGCGGACACCAAGCGTCCTCTCGCACCTGCCCAAGCGGCCGTTCTCGACTTCCGGCCCGAAACGCTCCCGCTACGACAGATGGGACCCGTACGGTGGACAGGGGCAGCCGGGCGGCGGGCGCCAGAACGTCCAGAACTACGTCAAGCGACGCCTCGGCGGCGACCGTGGCGTCAAGATCTACGCGATCGGAATCGGCGTCGCCCTTATTTACTATGTGTGCCAGTGAGTCACCATCTACCCTTGTCTCGGATGGCTGTCGATGATGCTGACAACGAACAGCCTCGAACGTGTTCCGGAGACGGGAAGACTGCGGTTCATGGACTGCTCCGTCGACCAGGAGACTGAGGTGCGTCATGCATGCGCTATGCATAACGGTGTGCGCTGACGAAGTGTAGATTGGACTGGCGACCTACCAGGAGACGATGCAGCAGTTTGGTGGCCAGATCCTCTCGCCGAATCACCCCATCTCGAAGCGCGTGCGGCACATTGCGACCCGCATCGTCGAGGGCAACAACCTAGGCAAGATGAAGCAGGGCCACTCGCTCGGCGCCGTCGAGGGACCGGGATGGGGACAAGACCTCGAGTACATCTTCGGCGAGGGCGTGCGCAAGAACCGCAACCCGAACCTCCCCGCAGACCTGAATGAGTGGGAGGTGTACGTCGTCGACGACCCGAAGACGCAGAACGCTTTCGTCATTCCCGGAGGCAAGATCTTCGTCTTCACTGGCATCCTGCCCGTTTCTGGCAATGATGACGGACTCGCTACTGTCATGGGACACGAGATCGCGCACGTCGTCGCCCGCCACGGTGCCGAGCGCATGTCCCAGATGAAGGTTCTGTTCGGTGTCTCGTTCCTGCTCGAGTCCCTCGGACTCGACGTTGGTTTCACGCGTCTCCTCGTCACCTTCCTCCTCCAGTGAGTTGCGCCGTAGTGGCTTAAGCTGACACACAGACTCCCCAACTCGCGCACGAACGAGACCGAGGCCGACAACATCGGTCTGAAGCTGATGGCACGCGCGTGCTACAACCCGGCCGAGGGACCTCACGTCTGGGAGCGCATGACCGAGGTCGAGGGCATGCGCGGCGGCAACAACCTCGACTTCATGTCGACGCACCCTGCGTCTAAGAAACGCATTAAGGCCCTGCGCAAGGAGCAGCCCGAGGCCATGGCCGAGCGCGAGAAGCACTGCGGTGCCGCTGAGGCCGCCATGGATGGTGGATTCCGCGACCAGCTCGGAGGATGGACCAAGAACAACAACACGCCGGTGTGGGCTTAGGGAGCGAACACGCAGGGTAATAGGCGGCAGTGAATCTGTAAGCCGCTGGGATCCAGTGGGGAACTGTGTACAGCGATATGTCATTAGAACACAAGCACCACTTTAATGTGCGGCGACCAGGCAACACTGAGAACTCGAGCGCAGTGAAAATGGATCAAAGCAGGCTCCAGCATTATAACGTACATGTCAACTTCTACGATGAACATACCTTCCTGAATGAGATTCGGCGCTGTGCGCTGTAGGTCTATGTCTCTCAGCTTGGAACACGATGAGGCGTCTCGGACGAGACTGGGATACTCGTGGATGGAGGAAGGTAGATGGAGGGGTGGAAAGCTTGCCTGGTGCGAATCGTGATGTGCGAAGTCGGCGGTTCGAGAGAGGCGCAGTGACCAGGAGAGCGCGACCAGAAGGACGGGTCGAGAAAGAAACGAGTCTGGCGTGATAAGCGCGAGCCTAGTTGTCCGTGTCCGTGTCAAACTTGTGCTTGCCCATGCGCTCGTACCCCGTCACTCCCCTTCCGGAGCCAGTGACGCCGACGCGGCCTGCAAAAGTCAGCTAAACGTTCTGACGAAGTCTTTGACGAAGTCAGCTCCACTCACCATAAGGGTTATCCGGCGTCTGGAAGACGCTCTTGCCCTCGAGACCGGCAATGTGAATGCCCTTCTTGGCCGCCTTCTTGCCAAACTTCTGCCAGGAGTTCTGGCGTCCCTTGGCCTCATCGGCCCGCGCACGCTGCTTCTCCATCCACTTCTCGCCCTTAAGCTTCTTCTTCTCCTTCTCGCGCTCCGAGAGATCGTTCTGCCGCTTCTGCGGTTTCGGGATCGGCGCCGTCGGGTCGTGTGGCCGGAGAGAGGAGAGGGGCACGTTCGTAGACGACGTGTAACCCTTGAAGGTTATCGTGTACAATGGGGAGTCCTGGGATCCGACAACAGCGTTGATGCGCGCAGGGTACCTGGTAGTCAGATCAACCGATTTCAATTTTCAGCGGAGAGTACTCACCACTTGCCATCCTTGTACTTGGCCATACAGTCCATGCCGGCCCTGTACTCTCCCTGATCTTGCCAGTTGGTGTTAGCTTTGATCTCCTCTTTCGGGGCGGTATCACGCTGCTGTTCCCGGTCACCACGGTGCTTCTTCTCCTTGCCCTTCGCTGCCGCCTTCGCCGCCTCAGCAGCGGCGGCCGCCTCGGTCAGCTCAATGAGCTCCTTGAACTCGTCCTTGAGCTGGAGGAGATCCGCGTTCTCGGGGTCGGACTCGAGCTGCAGATTAACGAGCGCGAGCTGGTCCTTGAACGTCTGCAGTTCGTCGGAGGACATGATGGACAAAGTTGGGCGAAATCGATTGAGGCAATAAGAGTGAAAGGGAACCGGGGCGGGAGAGGATGGGTAATGTTATCGAGGCGAGCGATTAGTTCATCGACACGAACGCACAGATCCGTATCTTCTCCACAGTAAAAACACCTTATGCGACCCACCCTCTAAAATGCCGTCGCCACCAACCGCACGCCAAGGTGCGGAATCGGCACACGACCTCTCTTAGCGCGGTTCCAATGCATCGGGTTCTGCTGCTTGCTTCGTTCAACACTGATACATGCGAATATTTCTACACATGCATTACGACTGCTGACAGATTAGATACACTTCTTCAGCTCAGGCTGAAGACTCATTCGCCTGAAGCTCCAGAAGGCGGTACGCGTCTGCAACGAGATACAGACTTCCGCACAGGACGATGAATCCCGTCTCCTTCTGCTGCTCGTCGGCCCAGCGCAGGGCATCGGCCACGCTCTCAGCGCCCATGCCCTTAGCCTCGTAGAACACGCCCTCCTCGCCGATGAACGGCATAACCGTATCGCGCGCCTTATCCGTATCCGTCTGCGTGATCCATGGCATTCCAGCAACTGGTGCCGTGAAGCGCGGCACAGCGACACGGTCGCCCTTCTGCAGCAGCGGGCGGACGACGCCGTCGGGGCTTTTCCCTATCGAGGCAGACATCGCCAGCACAAACGTCCGTGGCGCACCCGCGGGAAGGTTCAGAGTATCGATGTACCGCTGCAGGGTCGTCGAGGAATCAAAGTTGTGCGCACCGTCGACGAGAACGGGAATCGGACGCTTGGGCCCTCGGAATGTAAGCCACGAGCAGCGGCCGCGCCACTGGGTGCTGGCGACTCCCTTCTGAATCGCCTCGTCCGTCAGACCTCGGAGCTTCGGCTGGATGTTGAGCGCACGAGGGTCGGTACGGATGTAGTCGAGAATCGTGAGGGCGAGCGAGAGGTTGTCGAGTTGGTGGGCACCAGGGAGTGGAAGTCGGGTCTCGATGGCACCCTTAGGACTGCCCTTGAGCGGGGTGCGGATCAGTGGCGGCCGAGGTGGTGTAAACGGAGCAAGACCGATAGGCCCGGGTGCCTCGACTTCCGTGCTCTGCTCTGCCTGCACGAACAGCGCGCCCTTCTCCGCACAAACCTCCTTTGCCTTTGCAGTCGCCTCAGGGTTCTGATGCGGCGTGCTCACAAGCACTCCACCCTCAACGGCGATCTGGGCCTTATCAGACGTGATCTCGGTGATGGTGTCACCCAGGATGGCGGTGTGGTCGAGGGAGACGGACGAGAGACCCGAGGCGAGCACGATTTCTTTGGGGAGGATATTTGTCGCGTCTCGGCCACCTCCGATGCCGCATTCCACGATCATTACGTCGACCTTGCGCAGGATGCACATGCGGTAGAATGCCCAGGTCGACACCTCGAACGTCGTCGACTGGAGCTGCTCCTTGTCGGCGATCGCCTGCACAAATGCGACGTTCTCCGCGTACTCCTCGGAAGACACCACCTGACCGTTGAACAGGCAGGTGTCCCGAGGCTCAACGAGGTGAGGTGAATTGTACCTGCCCGTTTTCAACCCGGCGGCCATGAGACACGACTCAAGCAGAGCCGACGTTGAACCCTTGCCGTTCGTTCCAGACAGGTGGATCGCGGGCACGGTGATGGGCGGGAGCGACTTGCCAAGGATACGTTGACGGTCGGTGCCAAGCATGATCTTTCCGACACCTGTCGGAACAGCGACACCAGCCTGCTGGGCGGCTTTTGCCTGGGCCAGCGCAGCTGCTCTGGACGCGACAGTGTCGGGGATCCATTCCCCGCCGTGGGTGGGACTGGCGGCGGTGCCGGGGACGGGTGCGGGTCCGGTGGTCATTTCGCGTGGGACTATGTTGATTCCTTGCGTACGGTGTTGAACGTACGTCGTCGGTCTCGGAGGTGGAGGCAAAGATACACGCGTGGTGGGGTAACCAATCGGAGGGTGGGCGTGGGCGGCGGGGAGATGCGGGGGAGGGAGACGAGGAGGAGGCACTGCGGATTCTGACCTAGACCATCCACCGCCCGGTTGGTGAGGGTGGGCAAAGGGATGGTGGTGTTGGTGGTGAGGATAAGGAGGAGGAGGGGGAGGGTGGTGGTGAGCGGGAGGAGGGTGGTAGAAGTTATGTGCTGGGTGCGGGTGGTGGTTGGGATGGTAGCCTGGGTGCGGCGGCGGGAGGGCTCTGAAGAGGAGGGGGGCCAGACACCAGGTGAGCAGGCGGGCCTGGAGGAGGCCCAGGTGGAGGTCCAGGGTAGCCGTGCCCAGGATGCCCAGGGTATCCTGAATCGAGTCTGCTGTCGACGATATTCACTCGATTAGCGCACGGAAAACTAGGTCCCGTCGGATAGTAATGACCCGGATATCGAGGCGCAAATGAGGGCAATTGAGGCGCACGCCCAGCTGCTGATGGGGCAGGTGGGGCCGCTGGCCCTCCCAGACGCCCGGGGGCGAGCGGGGGTGCTGGGGCTACGACGGCCCCTGGTGCTGGAAACGGCCGGGGGTCATGCGAACCAGCAGGGCCACCTGGGGGACACTCGCTATCTAAAGGCCGCGCCCGAGGGTCATGCGGGTCTACAGAGCGTGCATGAGGTGACGGCGGGTTTGTAACCTCTTTGTCCTCGGCCGCCATAAGTTCCTTGAGCTCTTGCGGATCTTGCGGCTGCGCAGACGGCACGGGCGTAACTAGCCCCGAATGCCTGGAGGATGTATCGGTCACCTCCCCTGGCGCGGGCGGTGCGGACGGTGCGGCCGAAGGAGCGGCAGAGGACCTCGGCAGAGATACGGGGGACGCAGGCAGTGTCGTCGTTGTCGTCGTTGCCGCTGTCGCTTGGGCGTCCTTGCGACTGCGTTTGGGTGGTCCAGCATACTCGTTCTCTTGCATTTTGATCTCGTGTGATCGAAAATCAAGCGCATTCCAGGCAACCTCGGTCACCGTAAGATTGGGTAGTCGCACAACCGCGCGACGCGTCTCGTCCTTGATTTCCAGCAGCTCGGCTGCATACGACACACCAGACTTCTTGAACTTGATGAAGCCTCCGGGTTGCACTGCATGCACCTTGCGGTACAGCTGCTCCTCCGCCCTCTGCTTACGCACTTCGATCATTGCAGGGTTGTGCGTAGGGCACAAGAGTTCGACCGCAAACTCCCCACCTCCTGCTTGTTCCGAGCCTTCCGCGGCTGTGCCTCCTTCGGCCGCCGGTGCAGGCTTCACCCCCGCAAAGTAGTGAACCTCTGGATTTTCGCGCGCACAAGGGACGTGATATGCACGGAGGCATTTGCCCTTTGTGCACTGGATCTTGGTACCCCGTCGAGCGGTTCGTTTGTCGATGCAGGCCGAGCACTTGAGCTTCCATCGGTCTTTTCCGATATCATTCAGCCCCTTGACATAGGTGATCATGATGCCATCCACCTCCACATCCTCTGTGTACGCCTCAGGGATAGCCACCGCACACGAAGAATGCGCCAGGACTTCAGGCGTTATGGTCATCGATTTCAGGTGTTCAGATGGCTCGAACACGCGGGCGAGATCATCCGCAACAAGGGAGGGACAAAGGATGCACGGATAATTGGGGATCTCGCGGGTGACAGACGGCTTTTGTGGTGGCTCAGGCGTCAAGGGCACGATCTGTTGCGGGCGTTTGATGCGGATGATTGGTAGCTTGACAGGTGCGGGCTCCTCGACAGGCGGCGGTGGCGGCGGCGCCTCTTTCTTCCGACGCTTGGCGACTCGCTCTTGTTCCTCTTCATCGTCGCTGCTTTCGGGTGTGAATGGCCGGTCTCCGGTGAGATAATCGACGTCGATAGTGACACTGAAGTTGACGCAGGTGCACGCCTTGGCCTTGCGCCCGAGCTCCAGCCAGTTAGGCAATGCAAAGTTGACACTTTCAGCGCAATTGAAACCCATATTGAAACCAGCATGGTAGCCGCGAGGGAAGGTGATGACAAACTCGTGCTGGTTGTGCACGAGCTTGTTCACGGGAATGCCGTGGTCTCGAAGCATCGTTGGTGACAGGGTGCACGACTTGTGACGCATGAATTGGTCGCAGTGGTTGGCATCGGTAGGGAAGAAGGTCTTGGCGATGGATTCGAAACGCTCCGCCTTAGCCTGAGGGACAGCGTACCAGAACTTCGGGGCTCCAAAGTGGATGTAGTTGATGGAGTAGAGGTCCATGTCTTCAACATGCCATGAGAATGCCGCTCGCCACATTCCAAAGTAGAGATACGGCGAGTTGACACCAGGTAGCTTCCTAGGCAGTTTGTTCAGCATGTTCGGCAGGTTCGCCACGTTCCACGGGTATGACGGATCGGCGAACAGGGATCCGGGCAGATCGGCGCCGTACCAGCTGGGCGTCGACATGCCGATCTGCTTCCAGAACTTGCGCTCGATCCCAGCACATCCCGTCACGGTGTAGTCGGCGGGTTCGACGCCCTCGGGGAGCCAAGCTCGGCTGAGATCGGTCTCCTCATAGAATGGGTCGAGAGGCTCCTCTTCAGGCGTTTCGGGAGGTGTCTTAGCCATCGGCTCCTGCTCAGACTTGGACGTATTCGAGTCGTGCTCCAGCGCCGGGATATCATCGACGTCCATCTTCTCAGAGGGCTCCGGTGCTGCACTCGCGACCTCTGTCGGAACATCGAAATTGGACGAATCCTTGGCGGCGGCGGCAGCGGCAGCTTCGGCCTCCCGTTGCCTTTTGCGTTCGGCAGCAGCCTCCAGTTTCTGTTTCCGAATCTTGGCCTTTTCTTGACGCTCGGCCTTCTTCTTCGCAAGCCATTCCTTGACCTCTTTAGAGTCACGGTTCGTAGTCCTGTCAATCTCCTTTGGGCTAGCGGTGAAGAAGTCCTTCTGCGAGCACTTGTCGAACCATTCGTGTATTGACAGCGGTCGACTGCGGTTTCGTTCGATGTTGCGTTGGACAAAGACGCCATTACGGCCCATCATGCGTTGCTCGATCGGGCTGCGGATCTCCAGCTCTTGCATCGCGCGCTTGTCGATGAGTTGTACTGCATCAACCCATTCTTGCGGTGGAACAATCTTGACAATGCTAGACCGCTCGCCCCACGGTCTCACTTTCTCCATGTACTGAGCGAAATCCTGCCGTGTCAGATGCCTTCCTCCGGGATCACATACCTTGAACTCATCCATCGATGGCTTGAAGATTGGAATGCCGCGAGTCGCCTCCGGGTCTTCCTCCGGCCACACGTAAACGTCTTCGGGTATCGGCTCGGGCTCGGACTCATCGGTCTTGTGGGGATTGTTGCTTAATGGATAGCTGTGAAGGTCAGTGGGCAGGTCTTGGTCAAGCTGGTACATACAAGCAGTATGGCTGAGCGACTTCGGGTGCCACCGGGGTGGAGGTCGCACCGACAGGAGGAGCCGGGGCGGGCGCAGGTTGAGACTGACTAGCGTGCGCCGCCTTCCTAGGGGACGTTCGCGTTGGCGTCGCTGGTGCCGCACTGCCTCTCGGCTTCCTCTTTGTCTTCGGAGTCGTGTGGGATGACTGAGCACTGCCGGGTTGGGGTGGCTCCGCGCGGGATGAAATGTTGGAGGCGTTGTTGTTTTCTGGAGTGGTCGGGCGAGGCTCGGCGACGGCCGCTCCAGACGGATCTGGGTGAGCGTCAACCGACATCGTTCGACCTCTGAGTGGCTCTAGTTGAGTAGGAGCACGAGGAATACCGAAATCAAGAGGGTATGTCGGTCTTGGAGGGTGAGTGATGAGATGCTGGCTAGACGCAACTTGCCAGTTACCTGTTGCTGAGTGGCGACTTAGCCGGACTGGGACCCCGAAACGACCACGTGGTAGTCCGGTTTCAGCGAGACCTTTCTTGCTTCACACTTGATCGCCGAGCGGCGTTAATTGACTTGCAAGCCCGCTCGGAACAGCTGAGACTCCACCTCAGCCCAAGAACAAGGTTCAACTTCGGTGCGGGGGTGGAGCAGGAACCAGGAGATCACCACTCTCTTGGCCATCGAGTCAAAAGACCAAAGCAAGGCTCTCGCCTCCTATGAATGCCGATCGTAATGAGCGCGGGGGAAGGTAGCCAGTGCACTAGTGCAACGAAGAGTGCTAGTTTAACGCCCGCATGAATAAAACATGGCACATCAGCCGTATATTGACCTCAGGCGAGGGGATCGGGGAGGATGTGCGGGCAGGAGGACTACGTAAGGGGTGATTGCAGGATGCAACCATCACCCTGGAGGAAGGCATCTCGAAGTGCCACTTCATGCATATACCATATCGCCGTATCCGCCTGCACTAACCAGCCAGTACCAAACTGGATGCTTCGGACATCCTCTCTGGCCTCTTTTGGCTAAGATCATGTGTAGTATCTGTTCTTAACATAGTGAGATATGTTATAGCCCCACGGGGCTTCAATCTCCCTTTATCTTTCCTCGCCCGAGGTGCCTCTGCGGCTTGCTGCACGCATCCTCACGATGTCGCTGGCCTTGCACTGCCGCCTTCTGATGTCAGGGTACACCAAAAGCACTCTTTTTGTTGTTGCTCATTGACGTCTCCCTACTCTTCTCTACTGCTGATGCTGGCAAACCTTCTCGCAGCTAACGAGCTAGCGTGCAAAGACAAGCAATATGGCGACCGATGTTCCAGATCCACGCTCGCGAGGCACGCAACCTAAGGAATGGAGCGGGTCGCATGACCTCACCTCGGCCAGGCAGAGCGATTATGACACGACAATGGAGGAGAAATGCAACCGCTGACTTCTCATCTGCATTTCTACTTACTCACAGTTGTCCGATATGACCGGTTTCACTTATGCCGAGCCTGCGCTCTGCCCGATTCCATTGGAACTATTAGTAGAAATCGCCTCGCATCTATCCCGCGCAGACCGAGCCCGACTTCTGCGCGTGAACACGTTCTTCCACTCAGCCCTCCTCCGGCACCTGTACGCTGAGGTCATTGACGTGGCTGCGTTCCACTCGCGTGCTGGAATTCGACACCATCGCCCGCCCCTGGAGAAGTACGCACGCCATGTGCGATGTCTGGAAGTGATGGCGAAGCCCTTCGCGTGCTGTGAGGGACCATCACACCCCTTGCCTGGACTGCAGGTGATGAGGCTTGAGTACGCCGGCCTGGACCTCGACACAGCCAGCGAGGACCTGCGCTTCTGCTCACTAGGGACCCATAGGCCCAGCGCCGTTGTGATCTGCTCGCCCAGCACAACGAGGAAGGACGCGGCGCCGGCTCGCAAAATCGCGGCCGAACTCGAGGCGGCGGAACTCGTGATTCTGCTCCGCGAAAGGTCAGAACGACTCGTCGGCGCACTCCTCGGGGCGTACACGCCCAAAAACAGGAGTGAAGTGACAATCGTTCTGAATCTGATCGCTAAGCCCAACGCAACCGTTGACGCACTGCTGGAGATGTGTCGGTGTCTTGCCAACTTGGACCAGAAGCCGCTGGACAATCACCAACTCCGGAAGGTACGCTTCGTGGTCGGAGGCGTCGAGTTCTTGGATGCCGCTCGCGAGGAGCTGCTGAGGAGCTTGGAGAAGCACATGTCGAAGCACCGCTCAGTCGCCGCGTTGCCCGACGCTATCAGCATCCCGGACACGAATACGGAATCCGCGGCGACGCAGGCACCCTATTCACACCCCGTTGTTGTCGAGGAGGTCCTCCCCCCGCCCGCCATCGAGCTACTTCATCTGGACGAATATGTCCGTGAGAGATCACGGGTCCTGTCACGGGACGATTTCAACAAGCACTACACCACTCTCAAGTACAATAAGACGGTGCAGCTTAGCGACGTCTTGTGGCTTGTCGCCGCGCACAAGGACATGCCTCCGGCCACTACACTCCTGAAGCCCACCGAGTACGACTTGCGCCGGACCTGGTGGGGCAACGGCGACGACATACCCTATCAATACGGTTCGCCAGGTGGCGGATACTCGCTGTACTCCCCAGGCTCCGAGGCGTACGGCCTGGATTGGGATGAGCCCGCCTCACCGGGCCCTGACAACGCGTACCCCGAGTTCACCGACGAAAGCTACCAAGGCCCGTACGAGGAAGCGGATGACGGCCCCGGCCTCGACCCGAATGTCGACTGGCAGGCGATGTTTGACCGCGATGACTTCGAAGACGCTATGGATGAGCTGGATCGGTGCGAGGATGAGGACGCGAGGTACAACCAAGAGGAGTACATCCGCGAACGGTTTGGCGGGAGTCCCGCGACCGTTGGAGCAAGGCTGTGCGGCTGGAGGAGAGAGGGTGAGGATGGCACCGAGGGAGGCGAGGGAGACGGGGACCAAGAAGAATGGGAGGATGAGATCGAGGGCGAACAGGTGCTCTACCAAGGCCGGGGGACAAACGACTCCTCGAGGAAGCCTGTGCACACAATCGGGATATACATCCACAGTCCAAGGGATGCCTGCGGGGATGGAGAGAACGACCGCCATGGCTGTAATCCTGACGCGGGTGACCGCCGTGAGGGGGACCACAGCGGCTATGCCGATGACAACGTGGACGGCGAAGACAGCTGCCTGGACCAGGAGGAACTCGAATTGCCGGAGGGCAACTGCCTGGAGCAAGAATCTGACTGCGAGGACGATCCTCCTGACGAGGACGAGGATGACCTCGACGATGACGTTGGTATCGACGGGGACGAAGACGACATAGGCGACGAAGACGACATTGATGACGAAGCCGACAACGGTGACGCAGACGACATCGACGACGATGACTACGACGACTATGATGAGGAGGAAGGGGAAGAACTTGACGAGGATCCCGCCGAGCATGAATTCCACGACGAGCCAGGAGAGCAAAAGGCCTTTAGTGAAACCGACTGGAAAGGCGACTACGCCGACGAAGAAGGAGCCTACTCCGAGGAGGCGGAGCATCTAGACTATCTCGCAAATCCAGAGGAGGAAGGCTTGGAGCGGGACGATTCAAACAGGGAGGATGGCTACAACGATAGTGAAGACGGTCTCGAGCGCGATTACGACGGTGGAGGTCCTGAGGACGAAGGCAGTGTCGGAGACTATGGGAGCGCCGGCAACGACGGCGGATACGACAGTGGTGCCTACGACGACTCTGCCTTTGACGGCGGCGAGGACGACAATGGTGCCTACGACGACGGAGGCTATGATGATGGTGGCTACGACGATTACGACGACGGTTACTACCATGACTCCTAGGCCACTGTAGTCACTTCTTCACACTCATCACCTGATCGCCTGACCTTCCTTCGTCCGATCACTCTCAAGTCCGCAGCCAACCCTGCGGTCGCCGGACGCAGTTCTGATCCACGCCGCCCACAGGTCATGTTACCTTTCCGTCTTTCATCTCGCTGTCTCCTTCATTGCTCTTAACGAACTCCAGCAACTTCTCTACCTTCCGCCAGTCGTCATGTCCAACGATCAGAATCCTGGGTGCGGTTTTGCCTCGTTGCCCGCAGAACTCATCGCGGACATCATAGCCTTCCTCAGTCTCTCCGACATTGCCCAACTGCTGCGCGTGAACTCACCCCTTCATGAAGCTTGCATCAAGGCCATCTACACACAGACGCAAGACGTCTTCGAATCTGACAACCTCTTCGAGCGCAACCATACTCACGCCCGCCCCCCTCTCGACAACGCCAAGTATGCGCAGCACGTCCGCTGCCTCGATGTTCGCGCCCGGCCCCAGGCTTGCTGCAACCTTCCTCCCTTCTCGCTGCCCAATCTCGACGTGCTGCGCCTCCGCTTCGACACCGAGTTTCTCGAGTGCAACCGCGGCTGCCTCATCCCCGAGTTCGTGTCGACGGACGTCTACAAGCCAAAAATGCTCATGATCCATACCCCGACGTCGTTTTACGGTGATGCTTTCCCCATCGACTACGTCGCCGAGAAGATCAAGACGGCGGAACTCGTCCTCGTTGTGAAGTGCTCTGCTGGCTGCGACATGGCTGTGAGCAAGTGCACACCCGTCACTGCACGCTCCGTCACGATCATCATTCACGTCGGCTCGCTTCAAGAGACGTTCCCCGCCATCCAGAACCTCTGCACACGCTTGGCCAACTTGAGTTGCTACCCATTCTACGGGCATCGTCTGCAGCATGTCCGCTTCGTGCTTGCGGGCATTGATCTCACGTCACGTTGTTATGACCAGCTCCTCATCAGTCTGCAGGAGCACATCAGGAAGTGCACGCATTACAAGGGAGACGATGCACCCGGTGCAGACGCCACCCAGGCCGCCTTATTTGCTGGGCCCTTGGCTGGCGACCTGCAGGAGGACGCCGAGCCCGTTTCCAATCTTCCTCCACCCGCCATTGAGGTTTGCTCCCTTTACGACTACTGTCTCTTGAAGTCGGGTCAGCTTGTTCTGAGTTGGGAAGACATCGCCGACCACTGTGACCTCGCTCCCGATAACGAGTTGGACGATCCGAAGTCAATCAAAGACTTCATCGAGAGCTACAGCTACGCCGGGCCAGCCAGGAACACCGAGCTACCTCGAGCGGAGGACATCCAGGGGCTGCTTGCTCTTCACATGGGTCAGCTGGTCTTTGGGCTCTAGTCAATACCGAGACACCGTATCTTTGATCCATGACCATTGTGTCAAGCATAGTCGCGACACGCCTCAGCAGCTTAGTTGTATGTACATGGGTTTGGAACCCTTGTTCCTATGCCCTGCAGCAGATGCCCTACTGTAAGCCGAAGAGCATGACCTGGAATTAAGCTGGAACGAGGGAAGATCACCCGCACTTAGGAATGTCGTTGTCGTCCCTGCTGGATCGTTATCTTTCGTGATCGCGTCCCGAGTGAACAGCCTCTCGTTGGTGCAGCGAGCAGTCCAGCATTGCTGATTTGACACTAATACGCTGTGGGACAAGGAAGACATGCCTCCTCTTAACTCTCTTGGCTCTCTTTTCGTCCCCAGCACAGTCACCGTTACGACCACGCCCCTGACAAGCCACCTCTCCTCCTCTCCTGTCATCTGCGCCTCCTGGACTTCATCAACACCGCATCAATCGTCGTTGGAACAAGAGCAACGACCAATACGCGCGACCTAGCAACATTGCACCATGACGAGCAGTCAAGGTGTCCACGACGCCGGCTTCACCGCCCTTCCCCCGGAGCTCATCATAGCCATTGCATCACACCTTCCCCGGCCCGATCTCGCTCGACTTTCGCGCGTGAGCTCATTCTACCGCAGCGTCTGCGTGAAGCGTCTTTACATGGAAGTGGAAGATCATGTCATTGTTTGGCCTGAGCATGGCATAGTCCATCTCCGGCCACCTCTGAACAACCCAGATTACGCCAAGCACGTCCGATGCCTCCAGGTGTCCGCCCGCCCGGAGGGCTGTTGCCGCCTTCCCCCATTCACTCTGCCCCACCTCGACGTGCTTCGCGTTCAGTTCGGCAGCCAGTACCACATTTACGGAGATGGTGCACCCGAATTCGCCTCTGAAGACGCCTACACCCCGCGGACCCTTGTTATGGAGCTGCCGAACGACCCCTATTACAGTGACTTCCCCATGTCGTACCTTACATCCAGGATGAAGAGCACGCAGCTCGTCCTCCTTCTCCGGAACTTTGGCTTCGCCGACGCCGCCGTCAGCAACTTCACGCCCCGGTGTACGCGCACTGTCACAATCGTCGTCCTCCTCAGGGGCCGGCAGTGCACGCTGGAGCGCCTCGTCACGGCGCTCATGAGCATCTGCCTGCGCCTCGCAAATCAAGACTGCACGCCGTTCCAGTATCACCAGCTACAGCACGTGCGCTTCGTGATCGGAGGCATGACATTGTCGCGTGCATGCTACGATCAGCTTCTCCGCAGTCTGCTGAAGCACATCAAGAGATACTCGTACTACACCGGACCTGATGTCCCGGCGCAGTACACAGCGCCGGAGTCGGCGTCCACGACAGCCAGCGACGCCCCGAAACTGCAGCACGGTCCTTCAGGAGACGATACACCCTATGACTACGCGGACCGCTCACAACGTCCGCCGCCCACAATCGAGATTCTCTCCATGGACGAATATCTTTCGCTTGGGAGCTCACGCTATGTGCTCAGTGAAGATGACCTAAAGGATCACCGAGAGCAGGTCACGGAGCACGTCTTCGACGATGCTGGGGCCGTTGCTAAGATCAAGAAGCAGGTGGAGGAGTATCAGCACGTGGGCATGATCATGCGACCAATGGAGTCTGACTTGTCGGGCCCCGACGGAAACGATGACTGATCGACCGTCAACGAGGAAGACGACGAGGAGGCGACCTGCTCGGTCACATTGACCACCTGCACTGCACAGCAGTCTCCTTCAGAGCACAAGCACACAGATCATTTGTTTAGAATTACAAAGAGTTAGAATACAACAAGGTGGCCCTGGGCCATGCCATGATTAAAGTAGCCGTCGTCCACGTCGTCCATTGCGTCGTCGCTCTCATTGTCGTAGTCGTACACGGCAAAATCGTCAATGAGGGTGTTCCACACCGCACCCGCAAGCTCCATCAGGCGTCTGGCGTGCTGCGCCAGCTCTCTGACCTCTTCCTCGCTGTGAGCATGGGTGCGGACACTCGGCCTGCACCGGCGCCAATACTCCCCAGCCTCCCTTCTCGTCAAGACCAGCTCATTCTCCCTCCGCTGGAGAAACTCAGACGCGAGGTGCACTGAAATCTGCGTCTGCGTCTTGAGCATGGTACGCCTGTGAAGTTGCAGTCTGTACTGCTCGATCTCGGTACACACCATCCCGCGGCAAGTAGGCGTTAAAACGTAGTCCGGTACCACGACCGTGATTCCGGAGAGGCGCGGGTAGTTGATGCGGAAACCGGGATCGTCGACGACCTCGCAGAGTTGGAAGAGGGCGTGCATCACGTCAACCGCCAGATCGGGCTGGCGGGGACACTCAAGCACAATCGTGAGACTCGGGGTCGAGCACGGCATTTCCTTCGCAAACGTGAGCGGCAGAGGCTCCATGTCAAACACACTGGCCGGCATCTTCAGAAACATGACCACCCTCTCCGCGCTCTTGATGACCTCCTCCTCAACCCGCAGTCCCAGCCCATGTCCGAGAGTCCTGAGCACAACGGTGTGAGCACGCACGCCAGAAGGAAGCCGGGAAGCAAGAGCCTGCGTGTCAGGACACTTGGACGGCGTTCCGGCGATAAGAGCTCGGCGTTGGGCGGGCGTCAGGCGACGCGGGGGTGGCTTCGGGTGCGGGGCGTGCGGAGCCACATCGAGCCGCAGAACCTCGAGGGAGGGGAGCACGAGCCGGCCCCAGGGTCGGCAGCACCTGCGAGCGACGAGACCGGCATCGAGACATCGAACGTGGGAGGCGTAATACGCGTTCTTGAGCGGGGGGTCGAGTGTGCACGCCCTTCCCTCTGTCTACTGCTCCGATCCCAGCCCCCAGGTCTGCTGGAGCCGAGCCGGCACGACGCTTCCGGCCCCTCCTCAGTACCACGGCTGGGACGCGGACGTACACCAGCTTCACGACGGCTGCGTGGAAGAATGAGTTGACGCGGAGGAGCTGGACGAGATCCTCTTGCGGGAGCTGAGTCACGATTACTTGCAGAAGCTCGACGGGAAGGGGGGAGAGACGAGAGGTCTCATCGGGCTCAAAGGCGATGTCCACGTCGATATCGTCAAGTGAGGCGGAGACCTCGGACAGATCGCTAAGTTCGGACAAGTCGGGGGAGGGAGGAAGGGGAATTCCCTCTACGTCGAAGGGGTATCTCTCGGACAGGTCGTGGATGCTGGTAGGCACGTCGAGGGGCGTGTCGTCAGTCGAGAAGGAGAGTTCAGTTGGTTCGCAGGCGTCGAGGTCCATGGAGAGGTCGTGCAGGTCGTGAGGCATTGGTGCTTGGTGGAGAGTAAGTGTGTGTTGTCAACAGGCCAAGGCTGCGGCCCATGACGACGTGACGAGAAGAGGAGGTCGATGCTGAGAAGCCGGACCCAATGCCTGACCCAAAGCCTGACCCGAGCCTGGCAAGAGCCGGTCCTGTCGGCCCCACGGCGCCAGCATATCTGTGCGGTGGGTACGATGCACGCGTAGGCGCTCATTGTGCCCTCATTGTGCTTTGAGCGCTGTGCGAAAGATATGAAGTTGCGGGTGTAGCGGGGGAAGAGAGAGAGCAGAGGGAAGAGCAAGCGGCGATCTGTGCCACCCCCGCATCGTCCCCCAGACCCCGCACGAGGGCGCGTGCGGTGTGCCTGACAAGACAGTGCGGGCATCTCCGCAACGCGGGGAACATCGCTGCTTGCCACTCATTCAACAAGCGGAGTCAAGCTTGGCACTGCAGCCAAGTTGCCTCACTTTGTGCATGCACAGATACGACGCCTGCTGCTTCTTGCTCTCTGCAACTTGCCATTTCTCTCTCTTCGACTATTGGGGGGCACGGCCTTCGACAAGTTGTCAATACCACGCCAGGTTGTCGTCCGAGTCGTAATCGTCAGACGTCCAAAGTGCGTCATCGTGGGCAGCAGCAAGCCAGAGGTCTTCCTCTTCCAGGAACTCAGGATCTTCGTCATTGTAGCCTTCGTAGTCATCGTCTCCCTCGCTTCCGGACTCATCCCCTTCCATCTGCCCGTGCATCTGGAGGATATGTTCCGCTGATGCCTCTCTCGCACGACCAATGACGTCCTGGACATCTCCGCCGGTGTCGACATGCTTGAGAGACGATGGGGCGAGCAGGTACTGGGCGGTTTCCTCTTTGGACAGGACATGACTGTATTTCTTGGAAGCTAGGAACTCGTGCAGCAGCATAATGTTGATCTCGAAAGGTCGGGCACGGGGCTCGAAGTCGGGATCGGCAGCTGCCTTGTGAACATTCTCGCGCAATTCGGAGCGCACATTCTCCAATATGGCGTCACGGGAAGAACTTGCGAACGATCCGTCTCCCAACACAAACGTGAGTGAGAGTAGGTTCTCGAACGGGAATATCGAGCCTTCGGTGTAGTGGTCGCAGAGTCGGATAAGAGTGGCAACGTTGAAGAACTTCCAGTCGCTGCGCGTCGATGGATCCAACACAATTGTCATGTTGTACACGCTCTCAGGGATCTCGAAGTCAACGATGTCCAGCAGTGTACCAAATGAAAGAGCACCGGGCTGGTCGTCGATACCTCCGGAAAGGTTGAGGAAAGCGACCAGCTCTGTCGATTCGGTCAGCAAGCCGGCAGGGAACTGAGCGCCACCATCGTAGATGAACGGATAGCGCATGACCACAGTCTTAGGCTTCAGTGTCGGCGGCAGAGGGCAAAGCGTCTCCTCCTCAGTCGGGAGTCGCACAATCCCATGCCCATGGGGAAGGGCAGCCTCGAGAATGATGACTCCCAGCGAGGGAAGATGGGGGAGCTTGGAGGGGAGCCGGCAGCACGAGGCAGGCCACACTGGCACGCTGAGGCAGCGCGCATGTCGCGCATAAGCGGGCAGCCTGAGGGGTGGGCGACGATGGGCGGAGCCGGGGTCCAGGTTCTGGATTACAACGCTTGGTACGCGGGTGTAAAGTGACGTGACGAAGGCTTGGTGGAAGAACGAGTTGATGCGGAGAAGACGAGCAAGGTCTGGTCGGTCAAGTTCTACAGCGATGTGCTGCAGAACTTCAATCGGGAAGACAGTCAGGACAGAGTCTGCCGGGGACATAGGCGGTGAGTGTTGTAGAGGACGTGTTGAGAGAGGAAGGCCTTTGCTTGCGTTTCAGGTAACATGTCAGCTACTCGACACACAACTTTGCGCCCCTGCTGGGCAGCGAATCGACAGCGCGACGGCGTTCCTCTTCAGTTCGCCAAGTTAACGTCGATAGACGCATGCCGAAGACTGACATTGGGCTGTACTTGACTATTTGAGTTGTTCAATCCGATATGCGCCCTATAGCGACGAGTCGAGCTCAGTCCAGCATGGTGTCGAGATGCAGAGACATCGTGACTGGTCTTTCGATAGTCCTTTGGTAGCCAAGGCCGTGCCTGGCTGTTGGGCCTCCACCTCCACCTCACACGTAACCTCGACCAAACGCGCCTGGCGGCAAACGAACGCGCCTCAAGGCTCACCTTCCCTCCACTCACTTCCTTTCGACCTCACAGCTGCGCAACTCGCAATGGCCGGACGAGGAGGTTACTGCGTTGTGGCCTACTGTGTTGATGTGTCGCCATCGATGGGCGAGGCTATGGCCGACCCCGATGGCACTGGTATAAAGCGACCTAAACTCGCATGGGTAAAGGAGTATGTTGCCCGCGAGTTTGAGCCCAAGGTGAGTTGCTCAACTGCAAGCAATTGAATCCTGACTTTCCCAGATCCAGAGTGGACGAAAGACAGACTGCATCGGACTCGTCACATTCGGCGGCAGTAAGTGTTCTCGTGGTGTATAAGACTGACGCCTAGAAACTAACAACTCTGCCAATGCCGATTACTGCAGGAAGAACCCTAATGATGCAGACGCTCCGTATCAGAACGTCAGCGTTGATGTCGCTATCCAAACCGCGAAGCCGGCTGCACTTGAGACGCTTATGAACACTGAGCAAGGCGATGCGGAAGGAAATCGTGAGGATCTGTGGATGTGCTATGCTGACAACCAGCCGTTTCAGCGATCCTGTGCGCCCTGGATGCTATCCAGATGCATAAGCACACCAAGATGTGGACGTTGGAAATCGTGCTCATCACCGATGGAGAATCTGGCTTCGACCAGGGCGAATATGAGGAAGCAATGGAGACCCTCGACAGACTCGGCGTCAAGCTCACTGTCTTAGGAGTGGGCTTCGATGACCCGGAAGACAACGTGGACAAGTCCAAGCCAAAGCCGAAACGTCTTAGTGAGAAGTTTTGGCGAGTGTTCATCCGGAACCTAGAGGAGCAGATCTCCAAGTCCAGCACGGAGGAGCAGTTCCGCCCAGAGCTCAAAGTGTTCGAACCACAGCTCTCGCAGATCCGCATGCCCCGGCCAGATGTTGTCAATGGAACGCAGGTTGGCACGTGCCTGTACATAGGTGCTGAGCCGATTGATGCTGAACAAGCTATTTGCATCCCCCTCAAGTACACGAAGGCGACAGCCAAAGCCCGCCCGCCCACCTTGAGCAAGGCTTGGAAGACGGCTGTGGATCTGCAGCAGCCTGCGGGGACGATTCCTACACACAGCGAGGCCAGCCAACTGCTCAACACACTGCAATCCCAGAGCCAATCCCAAGGAGGACAGGCGAACAACCTCGCAGCCCTGGTTTCCGCAGAGGTCAAGCAGCATAGCACGTACTTCCTCAAGAAGCCCGAACCGATCAAGGAGAGCGGAGCAGGAGAGGCCGAAGGTGATGATCTACCAACGATCGAGGAGGATGAGGGGGAGCGTGAATACATTCCGAAGGAGGAGCTCGTCAAGGCCTGGAGATACGGATCGTCGTGGATTCCCGTGGAGGACGATACTTTCGAACCGTTGAAGACGCAGAAGGGAGTTGAGGTCCTAGGCTTCATCCCGCAGAAGAACGTAAGTCTCAAGCTCGTGCAGGCGATAAACGCTGACTTCAGATCCGCAAGTACATGTTGATCGGCGAGGTCCGTTACCTGTGGCCCGACCTTAAGTCGTCCAAGGCGCAAATTCAGTTCTCATCCTTCGTGTCCGCCCTCGTCACTACCGGGATGGTCGCCATCACACGATGGGTCACCAAAGACGGTTCACCGCCAGAAATCGGCGTGTGCATCCCCAAGCAGGAGTTTGGAGACGAAAAACGTCTCGATCTCATGTATTGGATCCGCCTTCCTTTCGCCGACGACGACCACCGGTTCTTCTTCCCAAGCTTGACAAACTATAAGAGTGTGTCGGGCAATGAGATCACCGAGCACCCGTACATCCCAACCCAGGAGCAAAGCGACTTGATGGACGAGCTCGTCAAAGGTCTGGATCTGGATAGCGTTACGCCCGAGGGTGCGACGCAGCAGGACGATGAGGACGAAGATGAGGATGGGGAACCAATACTGCATTCGCCGTGGTATGACCCAGCGTTTTCCTACAACCCCGCCATCCACCGCACCAAGCAGGCTATCTTGCATGCCTCGCTTACCGCCGACACGAAGGCTGACCCCCTTGGTCCGCCGCATCCAGAGCTCACCAAGTACTTCTACACACCGGAGAAGCTGGTGGAGCAGACTGAGAAGATAACCGAGCGTCTCAAGGACGCCCTGGACATCAAGAAGGTCACCCGCGTTCAGCGCAAGAAGCGCCAGTCTGACGCCGGCGGCTTGGCCGAGGGTGAGGGAATGTGAGTTTCTTGAGCCAGCCTTCGGACTGACCTTCAGGATTGACATTGACGAGCTATTCGACAACCCTGGCCCCGGAAAGACGGAGACTGTGTCGCCTGCCAAGCCCAAGGTTGCCGCCGACGTCGACAAGAAGCCAGACTTCGCAGATGATCCAGACTTCATCCTGCCCCCATCAGCAGACGCTAAGCCGAAACCTGGCCGTCTCATCAGCAACCTTCGGCCGCTGGAGGACTTCAAGCGTGTTACGGCATCGGGCGACGTGTTCAAGAAGGCGATTCAGGACATGGGTGTGGTCGTGGAGGAGAACGTGGCGACGTCGTTCTCAAAGCAGGCCTTCCCCGACGCAATCGCATGTCTCGAAGAAGCCCGCTCCACCGCGCTCATGTACGAAGAAACTGAGACGTACAATGAGTGAGTAGATGTTCCTTGATCTGTGGTTAACGCTCAGGATTGTGAAGAACCTGGAGAAGGCGGTCACGGACCCGAGCTTTAAGCACAAGGACTTCTGGAAGACGTTCAAGGCTGCAGGGAAGAAGGTCGCGCCGATCAGCGAAGAGGAGGCTGCAGCGGCGCTGGAGGAGGAGTACGACTAGGTCGGGCGAATCACATTGTTGTACATCTTAGACTGGTGTTGTGTATGGCTATGCAACGATCAATCTCTCTTGATATTCACCGCTCGGGCCTGACGACACTCTCTCGCACCAGGCCTAGACCTCCGCCCACGGAGCAGGGCGCCTCTGGTGGCTGATGTTACGTAATTCATGTAGGACATGTGTTGTTGTCGCGCTTGAGCAGCCTGCCAGCCAGAACGCCGACCACAGCGGTGGTCGTAAACCGTACGAATAGTTTGCCCTAGCAGCACACAAGACAGAAGTTAGATTGCTTTCCATGACCCCTGCTGCATAACAGAATACTCAAGATCCTCTGATCCTTGGACACAGCTTCGAGCAACGATCGCGCCGCGCTTCCCGAAGTCGCGCGACAATGCGCTCATGTGCTCCGTTAGCTCGGCAGAAACCCTTTCAGCATCATGACATCCTGTCGGCTTCGGCCGATGCTCCAATCGTTTGTCGAAAGGACTCTCAAGAGCTCCGCGCGATCATGCGATATTTCACTCCTTCACTTCCCGCGCTGCCCCACAGCACCCCGTCGCCCAACATTCACGGCGCAAACCCACCAAAACTACGCTCCAGATGACAGCGGGAGCGACGGAGAAGGTTGAGCTGAAGGCTCTCGACACCGGTGACAAGCCAGCCGAACCTCACACGACCAATACAAAGCCCTCCGGTGTGCAAGATGAGAAGGGACCGGGCGATGACAAGAGCGACTCGGACTCCGACACAGCCCAAGAGGACGAAGTCGCATTCCGTCTCCGCGAGCTCGCGAATGAGGAGGAGGACCGCTTCAAGGGCCTAAAGCGAGAGCACTGGTGGTAAGTCTCCCCCTTCGTCTGCCACACCTGAGATGTACTTGAGCTGATCCCAGGCAAATATGGAGGTCGAAGCATGGCCCCCCGCCGCCGCGCAAGTCGCTCGACGAGGCGCCTGACCTACCTCTTGCGACAGCAAACATCTTTTCGGTGCTGAGCTTTCACGTGAGTTGGCGATGAGGCGTTGCTAATAAGCCAGTGGGTTAGCCCGATCATGCGCCTCGGCTATAAACGACCGTTACAGGCTACGGATCTGTGGAAGATGGACCCATCGAGGGAATGTGAGTGCCCGAATCAACATTGCTCCGAGCATGCGTCGTTCGGCGGCAAAACTGACCAACAGCCGACCACTTATCTAATCGTTTCCTTGGATACTTGCACCAGTCGCAGACCAAGGCTGACGAGTGGAACCGCGCTCACCCCGATCCGCGCCCGAAGCGCCGGTCACGGTTAGGATGGAAAATCAAGGCGGCTACGAAGCGCAGGTTGCCGCCACAGTACGCCAAGTTCGGCCCTGACAAGAGTTATCGCGAGCGTGTCAGGACGCAAGCAGCGCACTGGAAGGCTCACTCGCGCAAGCACGGTAACCTAGCGTTGGCTTTGTTCAAGACGTTCCCGACGTATTGGTATGCGGGGCTTTTCAAGGTGCTTGCGGACATGACACAGCTTATGAGCCCGCTGGTCATCAAGGCGCTGATCCGATTCAGTCAGCAGGGTGAGTATCCTCCACTGCATAACTCATCTCTCTTCTCAATCATCTAGTACTTAGCTGACCTTAGTCTACGCCGCAAACCATGGCGACGGCATCAAGCCCAATATCGGCCGCGGCGTTGGCATGGCGATCGGCCTCTTCTGCCTGACCCTCATGCAGTCCGTGTGCCAGCACCAGTTCTTCTTCCGATCTATGGAGACCGGAGCGTTAGCTCGTGCGGCCCTGATCAGCGCGACGTACAAGCAAGGTCTGAAGCTGAGCGTGGGAGCGCGCAGCCAGCATCCGAACGGCAAGCTCATGGCCTACCTCTCCAGCGACGTGAGAGCTCGCTTCTTCGCATTTCTTCAGCTAACGGGCAGATTTCGAGAGTAGACTACTGTGGTCAATGGTTGCACTGTCTATGGACGACACCGATCCAGCTTATTGTGTGTTTGATCTTACTCATCATTCAGATTGGGCCGAGCGCGCTCGTCGGCTTTGCCGTCTTCGTTTTACTCGCTCCGGTCCAGACAAACTTCATGAAAACGTCGTTCCGCGTACGCAAGCGCTCCATGAAGTGGACTGATGGCCGCTCATCTTTGCTGCAAGAACTCCTGAGTTCGATGCAAATCATTAAGGTGTTCACATATGAGCTGCCTTTCTTGAAGCGTAAGAAGCTCTGTGCCGCATCGTGAGCTGACTCCAGGGCTCCGCTTCATCCGCAAACAGGAGATGAAGGGCATCCGCATCATCCATCTCGTGCGCACAGCCAACCAGGCCGTCGCGACGAGTGTGCCCGCCATTGCCGCCGTGCTTGCCTTCGTGACGTACACATCATACCACGACAGCCTCGACCCTGCACTTATCTTCACCTCGCTCGCGTACTTCAACTACCTCCGCCAGCCGCTCATGATGTTCCCCCGTGCACTGTCTTCCCTGACGGACGCGCAGACGGCGATCGAGCGCCTGACCGACTTCTTCGAAGCCGAAACGATGGACGTCAGCAACCCCATCGACCACAACCTCGATGTTGCGGTTAGGGCAAACGATGCGACGTTCCAGTGGGCTACCGTTCGTGCTCCAGATGAGTTGAGCGAGAAGGCGGCTGGAAAGCCGGGTAAGGGCAAGAAGGGTCGCAAAGGCGTAAAGGAAGAGAAGGAAGACGCATCTCCCTCCTCCACCGAGAAGAAGCCGGAAGAGGAACCGTTCAAGATCGCAAACCTGAACATGGAGATTCCGCGTGGCAGGCTCGTTGCGATCGTCGGACCGGTAGGCAGCGGGAAGAGTAGTATCTTGCAGGGAGTAAGTTAGTCTGCTCGTGCACCAACTGACCTCAGCTCCTCGGAGAGATGCGCAAGCTCGGCGGCAGTGTCACTTTCGGCGGCGTTCTGGGCTACTGCCAGCAATCGGCGTGGATTCAGAACGCAACGCTGCGAGACAACATAGTCTTTGGCCAGAAGTGGAACGAGGCGCGGTACTGGCAGTGTATCCGCTCCGCGTCTCTCATCACTGACCTCGAGATCCTGCCCGACGGAGACCTGACGGAGATCGGAGAGAAGGGCGTGAACCTCTCAGGCGGTCAAAAACAGCGTGTGAACATCGCTCGTGCACTGTACTTTGACGCAGATATCGTTCTGTTCGACGACCCCCTCAGTGCCGTCGATGCTCATGTCGGCAAAGCGCTGTTCAACGATGCGATCCTCGGTCTGAAGCGCGCCGGCAAGACTGTCGTGCTCGTTACCCACGCCCTCCACTTCCTCCCGCAGGTCGACTACGTGTACACCGTCGAGCACGGCAAGATCGTCGAGGAGGGCACGTACGACGCACTCGTTGCCCGCGGTGGCGCATTCAGTGCTCTCATGGCCGATTTCGGAGGCTCAGCCGCCGTGAAGGAGGAGAAGGAGGACGCCGCCGAGGAGAAGGCCATCGAGGAGGCGGCCGACATGGAGACGGATGAGCAGAAACTCGCCCGCCTGGCAGCTGAGGACGTTAAAAAGGCGGCTGGCACAGGCAAGCTTGAGGGCCGCCTCATGGTGAGCGAGGTGCGGAAGACGGGCTCGGTGGAGCGCAAGGTGTACGCCGCGTACCTAAAGGCAGGCAAAGGGTGGATTACGCTCCCTCTCCTACTCATCGCCGCAACGCTAATGCAGGCGTCGCAAGTCCTCTCCACAGTCTGGATCACGTACTGGGAGGTGGACAAGTTCCACCGCTCAATGGGCTTCTATCAGGGCATCTACGCCATGTTCGGCTGCTCGCAAGCGATCTTCACCTTCGCCATGGGATCCGCATTGGGGATGCTCTGCTACTATGCGTCGAACACGCTGTTCCGCTCCGCCCTGCGGCGTGTGTTCTTCGCACCCATGTCATTCTTCGACACGCAGCCGCTCGGCCGCATCATGGGTGTCTTCGGCAAGGACATCGACACGGTCGACACAACGCTCGCCGAAGCACTGCGCATGCAGACCATGACTCTGGCTATGCTCCTTGGCTCAGTCATCATCATCACGGTCTACTTTCACTACTTCATCGCCATCATCTTCGGTGTGGGATGTGGATATTGGTACTTTGCGCAGTTCTACCGCACCTCGGCGCGCGAGGTCAAGCGTCTCGACTCGATGCTGCGTTCTCTGCTCTACGCGCACTTCTCTGAGAGTTTGTCAGGCTTGGCAACGATCAGAGCCTACGGCGAAACGAAGAGGTTCATCCACGACAACGCGTACTACATGGACCTCGAAGACCGTGCCTACGTCCTGACATACTCAAACCAGCGCTGGCTCGCAATCCGCCTGGACCTGCTGGGTGCTCTGCTCGTCTTCGCCGTCGCGATCATGTGCGCCGCAGGTGGAGGCGGTCTGCAGCCTTCCGAGATTGCGCTCTGTCTCACGTACATGACGCAGATTACGCAAATGTTCGGCATGGTTACGCGCCAGAGCGCCGAGGTCGAGAACGCTAGTGAGTGGGGATGAGCTTCAAGAAGCATAGATCGCAAGCTGACACGCAGTGAACGCCGTTGAGCGACTTGCGTACTACTCGGACGGTAGTCTGCCGCAGGAAGCAGAGTACGAGGTCAAGGAGACGGAACCGCCTGCGGAGTGGCCCCAGGCCGGGTCCATCGAGCTCGACAAGGTCGTCATGTCCTATCGTCCCGGTCTGCCACCAGTGTTGAAGGGCCTGTCGGCGCAGTTCAAGCACGGCGAGAAGGTCGGCATAATCGGCCGTACGGGTGCGGGCAAGACCTCCATCACTGTCGCGCTCTTCCGTCTCGCGGAGCTCACCTCGGGACGGATCCTAGTCGACGGCGTGGACATCAGTACGCTGGGTCTAAAGACGCTCCGCTCCCACGTTGCCATCATCCCCCAGGACCCCGTCCTGTTCAGTGGGACGTTACGCTCCAACCTGGACCCATTCGACGAGCACGACGATGCGGCGCTGTACGATGCGCTGCAACGCGCGAGTCTCATTGACAGCGCCGAGGGCCATGGACGATGGACGCTCGACATGGCCATCGACGAGGAAGGTGCAAACCTTTCTGTTGGCGAGCGCTCGCTCGTCTCCCTCGCCCGCGCTCTAGTCAAGGACGCACGCATCGTGGTGCTCGACGAAGCAACCGCAGCCGTCGACCTGGGGACCGACGCAAAAATCCAGCGCACGATCCGACGCGAGTTTGGCGGCAAGACGCTCCTCTGCATCGCCCACAGGCTGCGGACGATCATTTCTTGGGACAGGATTCTGGTCATGAACGCGGGCGAGATTGAGGACTTTGACACGCCCCTCAACCTGTTCGATCGCGAGGGCTTGTTCCGGTCCATGTGCGATCGGAGCAATATCACGAGAGAGGAGATCGTTCACGCCAGACAGGAGGAAAGGTTTGACGGGGAGGAGACTTAGATGTTGTATTCTTAACCATACTCGTTAGCATCATGCACTTTGCCCCATGGACTTCTGGTCGCAAGTGATACATCATACGTGGTACAGAGATCTAATGTGTTGCGTTGTGGAGTTTAGTCAAGACGCTCGTGGTTGGACCCGCGCTTGTACCCCTTCTCATTCATGTATCCACCGAATCCGGAGCGGTCGCGCTGGAAGCACCGGCCGACGAGGGACATGCTTCCCATAAGGACAAAGAGGGCGAGGAAGAAACCCTTGATGGGGTTCTCGGCCATCCACACGACAATGTCGAGGAAGCCAGCGCGGATCCCGGCGGTGCCCCAGGCGAAGCGGCTCTCGGGCTTCTTCGGCTTCAGGAACTTCTGGTACACGCCCTCAAGGACGGAGAAGATGGCCGCGCCATCAAGACGCACGCGCTCGCCCTCCAGCGTCGTGTCGTAGTACTCGTCCTTCTTCGAGTCGAGGATGACCACGCTCGGCATGTCCGCCGGCGTCATGCCGTAGTTACGCTTGAGCCACTTGGCCCACTTGTCACCGTTGACGGACGCGAACCACACCGGCTGGTCGAAGGTCCGCGGCATCTTGCGCCAAGCGCGGGCAATCTTGCGCAGCTCAGCCTCCGACTCGCCCTTGGTCGCATCCTGCTTGAACGCAGCCATGACGACGATCGGGCGGAACTCCTTGTTCTTCAAAACGTCGAGGTACATCGACTCAGTCACGTCGTACGTCAGCGGGAACTGGTTCTCGAACACGAAGCGGTCCAGCTTGTCTTGGTTCGTCGGGAGGGGCATCGAGGCAACGGGTCGCCGATCGTGGCCCGCGAACGCCAGAAGCGCAGATTCAGGGTACGGCTGCGCGACGGACAGGTCGCGATACAGCGCCGGGTCGTTCGAGGTAAACACGCTCACGTTGGCGGGAAGCGATGCGACGGCGTCCTTGACCGAGCGCACCTGGTCCTTCGTCGTCACGAACGACTGCAGGAAAAGGAAGAAGACGTCGTTCTCCGCGAGAGTCGAGTTGAACATGTCTGCGTTGATCTTGGTCATCGTGCTCGAATTGACGTTCTCGTTCAGGAACTTCTTGAGCTTGGGAACTGAACGAGAGCCGCTGTACTCGAGAGACGTCCCACGCTTGCCGCCCTGGAGAAGCTTAACAGTGGGATATCCCTGAATATCGTGCCGTCGGCAGGCATCGCGGTGGTCGTCACAGTTAACTGAGGCGATAATGATCTCGCCCTTCATCTCGGCAGCAAGCGACTTATACGTCGGCGCAAAAGACTTGCAGCTGGCTGTCAGCTACGGTCTTAATCGCTTAACTTACTGGGGGCACCATGGGGCGAAGAACTTCACAAGGACGGGGCCCTCCTCGCGCAGCTTCTCAAGACCATCGTCATCGACCTCCTTGACCTGTCCATCGGCGTTGGGCGTGCTGGCACCGCCGTCGTCGCCCGTGTCCAGCTTCAGGCTCTTCGCATACTTGTCCGCCTCTTCACTAATGTACGTCGTAAGGAGGTCGTAGTATCGCTTCTCCGGAGGGAACTCGCCCTGGTCTTCTCCATCAACGTAGCTGAGTTGCGTAAGCAGCCTGCTCACTTCATTCCATGATAACTTACAGATGAATCTGGGGGTCTAGCGCACGAGTTAGTCACTTGTACACCGTCCGCATTGGAATCCACTCACATCCCTTGACGTTGTTCTTCGTGCACAGGTCTGATGGTCAACCTGGGTTCTGCGGAGCTGGGATAGCTTACCTCCTTGGGCGAGGCAGTTGACTTGAGCCATGTGGAAACCGAAGTTCTCAAGATGCGAGTTTTCCTCTACCAGTCGTTCCCATGTCGGTGCGAATGCTCGGCAATGTCCGCCTGATCTATCAGTCACCTGCGCAAGCCGTGGTCATACATTTCGGCGAGAAGTGCTCCACCAACCTGATGTCAGCTTAAGTCTCAGCATCCCAATCTCACCATGCGCCCTTCGCTACGCTCGAGTCGAAGTTGTCATCATTCAATTGTCGGAGATGGACTTCTTTGACGTCGTTGACCTTCTCAGAGGCAAGGGAGAGCGGCGCCAGCGCCGCAGCGGCTAGAGCGAGGAATGGTCGCAGAATCATATCCAGCTGCCTGCCGTTTTGATTCGAATGCAAAAGAGAGAGGAGGCGAGGCGGAACGAAAGTATAGACGAGAATCTGAGTTGGATGCGTGCGTGTCGCGTCGACTGTCCGTCCTGGCTTGGTGGCGATGAACTCTGTCATGCGGGGGCAAACCGGCGCCGAGGAACACTGCCACTGAGATCTCACCCGACCAAGCTCTGGGCACGTGCCTGGCCACCAACTGAGCGTGCGGGGTAACCGCGCCCACACCAACGTCACTGCTCATCTTCTCTATTGCTTCCATCCACCTCGATAACGGCCCAGTCTGGCCCCCTGCCCACCATGAGCATCATTATGGTGAGACTTTCTGCTGCCCGAACGCGCTACATGCGATGTGAATGCTGACATCCTCTTCCCCATGTTCACGACCCTTCACCCCGCTCCGATCGCCATCTGGCCCAATGATCAGGACACCCTGTTCGGGCGGCGTATGACCCCGGCCGAGCGCCTCCGGCAACACCAGCGGTCACTTCAGAAGGCTCAGCGTGAGCTGGAGCGTGAGCGTGCTAAGCTCGAGCAGCAGGAGAAGAAGACGATGGCCGATATCAAGAAGAACGCCAAGGCCGGTAACATGGTGCGATTCCAGCTCCGAGAACCCTCTACATAACTAACGTCAGAACGCTTGCAAAATCCTCGCAAAGGATCTTGTCCGGACTCGGCGGTACATGCAAAAGTTCACGCAGATGCGTGTGCAGCTGCAAGCGGTGTCGCTGCGGATGCAAACGCTACGGTCGAACGAGAGCATGGCGCAGGCCATGCGAGGCGCAACCCGCGCCATGGGCCAGATGAATCGCAGTCTGAACCTGCCGCAGATTCAGCGCATCATGAACGAGTTCGAGAAGGAGTCTGCGACCATGGATATGAAGGAGGAAATGATGAGCGACGCCGTCGACGATGCGATGGAGGACGAGGATGAGGGTGAAGGCGAGGACGTCGAGAGCGATAAGATCCTCCGCGAGGTCTTCGACGAGATTGGCATGGGCATGAACGAGGCGGTGAGTCAAACGTGCACACTCACAACTGACAGGCCATAGCTGGCGTCCGCGCCCACCGCGAACCCAATGGCGAACGAGCCCCTCCAGTCATCCCGGGTTGCTGTTGCAGAGGGGGGACCTGGACCGTCGTCTGGACCGCCCTCTGCCGGGGGCGGTGGCAGCAAGGAGGAGGACGACCTTCAGCGGAGACTCGACATGCTGCGCCGGGACTAGTCACTTATGCAGGATATAATGCGCCGCGACGCAGGACCAACTCATGGACACTGACGGCTCTGATCATAGGGCGGCCTCTTAGCTTCTCGCTATCCTGGACTTCGACTACAGCGTCGACTGTAGCGCGCCCCAAGCTCCCCGACGCCCCCAAGGGCGCAGCCTCGCCCGTCGCTATCACATTACCCTTGCAGAACGATCAACAAGGTCTCTTCGCTAGTATATCGGTTAGTATAATCGCCTCTCAAGTCCGAGAGATTGCTTCGGCAGTGCGCGATAGAGCAGGGTTCGACTCCCTGGCGGAGAACGAAGGCGCTGCGCGAGCAGTGCCGAAGCTTTTGCTTTTGTTTGTGAGCAGTATGAACGACTCGGAAGCGCTCGAGGAGGAGTGGAGGTAGAGTGGCGTTATCGACCAGGGTTGCGACTTTTTAACTAGACGCCACGGGTTGCTTCACTGCATGCACGACGGGAACACTCCGCACGCGAGTGAGGATGGCGGGCTGCCCATGTTGTGCAAGTTTGAATACAGGCGGCGAGTTGGGGAAAGCTGGACGGCTGTGATGGAGGCAAAAGGTTGGCTGGTGTCGAGCACCGAAGCTTCCCTGGCGAAGGAGGCTTATTGGATCGCGAGCAAGCCCTTAGTAGGTCCGACTGGGAATCGAACCCAGATTACAAGAATCAGAATCTTGTGTACTAACCGTTATACGATCAGACCGATGTCCAGAGCACCTCCGGGAGGATCTTGAGTTGTCGCCGGAACATGACGATGGGTCGGGAAGGAAGTGGACAGGGAGCCTCAGGGAAGGAATGTGCATGTGGCTTAGCACATGCAAGGTACATGTGAGACGCATGGCCTTCTGCATGCCCTTTAGGGGGGTGATCTGACTTGTCGGACGGGAACGCGATACGTACAAGTGCAGCGCGATATGTCGAGAAACCACATTTGCAGATGATGAGTCAAGTCGCCGTTCCGCTAAGTCGCCGGACCTAATCGAAACCTTATCTTGATCAAGAGCGGCTACGTTCCCGCAATCAGAATTTCTGACATCGTCAACCGATAAGGCAGGGGTTACATGCTGTAGAGGACACGGCTCAAGCTTGCTCTGTGCACTCCTCGCTGATTCTGCCCCAAGATTCAGATATGCCTACGAATTAGGACGGGAGGAAACCGCGATTGCGGATGAAATGACTCCCTTGCCTGCTTGAGCAGGACGTTGGACAGAGCGTGGTGGGGACTCCGTCGGGAGAGGATGTCTGAAGTGAACTTCTGTATAACGAGCCTCACCCGGGGCACCGTTGACATGGTGTCAGATTCCTGTCCCGTACCAGGCGTGGTCACATTCGTCGATTGCCGTGTTACCGGTCAGTCGAGATCAACGTAGCTAGATAACCCCTGGTGGTGTGCTGATCGCCGGTGAAGAGCGCGCTATCGATTATGCCCCATTTCCTTGCGCTACTACGTTGGTACGCCCCCTAGAGCTGAGAAAATCCCTATGCATTCTACAAGTATGCCTATGTGAAACCCTGATGCTATGCAAAAATTATGAACAACGCTGAACCCTGTCTACTCAAGCCTTCTCGACGTAGTCCGTGTCAATCTTCTCCTCGACAACGACAGGCGTGGCGGTGCCGCTCTCGAAAGCCTTGCTCTCCTTGTGGCTGCGGAGACGCTTAGCCTCGCGGACGGCCGAGGTGACGCCGCCGGGGACGGCCCAGATGTCCTCGAGCTCCTCCATCGAGAGACCGGTAGTCTCGGGGTACCAGAAGTAGACAGCGGGAACGATAGTGGCCGAGACACAGCCCCAGATGAGGTAGTACCTCCAAGAGAGAACCTGGAGACCGAGAGGGGTGGTGAGAGCGAGAACGAACTGGGTGAGCCAAAGGACGGCAGTGGAGATGCCGCCTGCCGGGGCACGGTAGCGGGTGCTGATGACCTCCTGGCAGTAGAGGAAGTTGACGCCGAGGTACGCGAGGGGCAGGAAGATGAGGAAGAGGAAGACGAAGACGATCGCGACATAAGCGGGCGCGAGGTGGGTCGGAGTCGTCTGCGAGCCACAGATGGCAAGGACGAACATGCAGATGGCCATGCCGGCGCCAGAGACCATGAAGAGCATGCGGCGGCCGAAACGCTCAATGACGAAGTAGGGAATGCAGCACATGATGAGCTTGAAAGTGAGCGAGACACCGGCGATGATGTGCGCGAGGTCGGGGCCAAGACCAATGGTGCTGAAGAGCTGCGACGAGTACGCCGTAATGATACCCGCTCCGTTCATCTGAGTGTAGAACTGGACAGTGACGGTGAGGAAGAGGCGCCAGAGCATCTTGTTCTCGCGGTAGGAGAAGAGACCGGTCCACTTGGTGTGCTTCGAGGCCTCGTTGGCACGGATGACGGCGGAGAGGTCACGCTGAACAACCTCGGAGTCGACGCTGGTCTTGTGGATGTCGGCGAAGATGAGAGCGGCCTCCTCGGTGCGGCCCTTCATGACGAGCCAACGGGGCGACTCGGGGAAGAGGTAGACACCGGAGAGGACCATGAGGGCGAAGATGCCGATGAAAATTCCGGGGATGCGCCACGACCAGCTCTCCTCAGAGTGCGTCGTCCAGAAGCCGTAGGTGATCCATCCAGCGAGCATGAAGCCGCCCGACACCATGATGCCGTCGACGATAACGTGCGAGGAGCGGTTCTTAGTGTTGCTGCACTCGCTCTGCCACACAGGGACAGTCTGGGTGGAGTCAGCGCCGAAGGCACTCCCGACCTCCCGACGGAGGCACCGGACACGAAGTAAGATTCGAAAAAAATCAAACCCCGCGCCACACACAACAAACTTACGGAAATCATCATACCGATGCCCCATCCCTGAACCACACGAGAGACAATCATCTGGGCCATGCTGAACGACGTGCAGAAGATGACGGTGCCGATGAGCGTGATGAAAGCACCAACGAAGGTGGTCAAACGCCTTCCGAACTTGTTGCCAGCCCACATGCAGAACAAAGAGCCACAGATGCCACCCAAGTTCGAAGCGCCATTGACGGTACCCTGGATCAGACTGTTGTGGTCTTTCAGAGCGCCCTTGGTGGTCGTCGTGTCGAGCTGAGGGAAGTGCAGGTAGATCGAGGGCAGAGAAAGAATTCCACCTACACATCGTTAGTCATACATTCAGAGCTGATGTGGCAGAGATCGTCGACTCACCGAAGAAAGTCAGGCAGTAACCGAACGCAAGGAACGTCGGGAAACCGACCAGGATGTTCATCAACCAGGTCTTCATGGTCGCTGTGTTTCCTCCTGTGTTGACCGCTGTTGAGATTGAAGAGTCGGAGTGCGGAGAAGGGGAAGGGGAAGGAGTGTCGAGGTTGGGAGATTTAGCGTGGAATGTCTCTCCAGCTGGAACCTTTTGTATGTCTCACGACCGGCCACTGGATTTGCTGGATCCGTCGTAGCCGCACTCGTCTAACGCGTCAAAAAAAACTCGGTGACTCGCTTTCCCCAGCCTCTCCGAACTTTGCCCCGCCAAGAGAGACCGGCTTATTTTCAGATCGCCGCCGCCCCCACACGGTCCCCGAGGGAGTGTTAATTTGGCCCACCTGGGCCCTATCGGGCCCTGTCATGGCCCCGGACGGTCCCAGGTGGGCCCAGCTGAACCAGCTGATGCCTGCTTAGCAAACGCGATTAGGAACAGGTGAGAGCCTCCGGGCGGCTGTTGCAGATTTCGTAGACGGGTAAACCACTGATAAGCCTTGATTCGCTAAGAGACGGATAAACCATACATCTCCCTGCCCGCAGACCCTCTGGGCGTCAGCCACGCCTCCGCGGAACGCCCGGCTCATGACCCGGTGCTCGTACCGGTTGTGCTCTCAGGCGTGAAGATGAGCAGCAGGCCAAGCCCCGAGGCAAATCCCTGATTTAGAACACTCCTATCCTGGCCTGCCCGCGTATCAGCGTGCTCGATGGACTCGTTCCTGTGCGGGTTGGTCCCCGCAGCATCTGGCGGGGCCCTCCACACCACATCTCGGAGTCGGGGTGCCCGCTCTCAAACCGCGATCCTGCCTCCGATGTCCGCGGCGATTGGCTAGCGAGGCATGCGAGTGGACAGCCCCGCCTCTCGTTAAGGCCTTGAAAGATCTTGGAGATCTTGGCTCCCCTCGGACGGTCGGGCGACATCGTGCGCCCTGCTGGCCTCCAGTGCTCGTATCTGTATTCCGATGTCGCATGACCAGTTGCGTAATATGCTGGTTCCCATGAGGGTTGAGGCTGATTGTGGCAGTCTGCGGGGCTGCGACAGTGACTGCCCGACTTTGCGGGGTGGTGACTTGCTCGGCAAATGCAAGTGTGGAGTGCGAGACGAGTTGGCGTGCGTGGTCAGCTCATGCCAGTTCGAGAAGTCGAAGCAAATTTGCAGGCACCCCCAAGCTCCTCAAACACAACATGCATGGTACGTGGAAATGGGGAAGAGGATGAGCAGCAGAATGTGGAAGGGAGGATCATCATGGGAATGCGGTTGAAGCTGGAGACAGGCACCGGATCGAGACCTGATCGGCCGTCGCGAGTCTGAAGACGTGCAGACCGCTCCGCGAGACTGATAAGTCCTGTCTCCGATACGACTACGCCCTCGGGGAGATGGGGAGCAGTCCCTCTCAGAACCCCGACACACGGCTGTGGGATGTGGAGGGTTCACTGTCGACTGCACAAACTCATCGCTATCGTCGCCGTCAGCGCTCTCAGCGTTGTTCGACCACCAGATCTCCGTGAGGCCACACTGGATGATGTGCGCGCCCAATGCCTCCGTCCAGGAAAACGGCAATCTTTTCCTGCGGTGCTGCTATACACACTGATGGAGTGGAGTGTGACGCTGCGCACCGGGTTCGCAACGTTCGAATGCAATCCCTGTGGAAACAAACTAGCATACCCGCCCCCTCGACTCCTTGAAACGTGAAGTATCTCTGCTCCAGGATGTCGAAGGCAGCCTCTAGCCCGTAGTAAGCAACAAGGACAAAGACGACCACGTTTGTCACCCCACCGTTCATTCTCGCCCTTCACCTTATATCGCCCACCGCTCATCGGCGATGACTCGCTGCACGCACTGACATGGCAGTCACCGCGCAGAATTTGGCCGATAGACGCCAACGTTCAGCAGAACTGCCTCACTACCTCGACATGTGGTGGGCCCCGGTCGACGAGGCAGTCGACGGGTCAACGTTACTTGGAGTCGGCCCCCATTGAGCGCCAAACGATCTGCACAGGAGAGCGTGCGGACTCTCGACACTGAGTCGATGTTGGGCTCGGGCCTTCCGTCGTGTCAATCAACTAATCAAGGTTCCATTCAGCGCACAGTTTTGATGTGGTCGCTCGCATCCTCATTGCTTTTTTCGCTTCATCTGCAGTTCGACTCCCTCGCAATCCGACGCTCATCACTGATGGCCAGAAGCCACCCAACAACTTCTACAGCGATCGGCAACGTCTTCGAAATGTCGCGATGCTCGGTCCGAACAGCTCGCTGGCTCAGTCAGTGTAGCGCGTGTGCGGCCCAGAACAGATAAAGGCATCACAGACCTGTTATGCCCACTATCTCGGAAATCTCGATGTCTTCCCAACGCTTGGCTTCCTTTCGCGTTCTTATCCGATCCTTGCCCTGTGCAATATGGTGCGAATCTCGCTAGCCCTCAAAATCTAACACATCTGGTTAGGCCAAAGGCTGACGTAGCAATCATACCGCCTTCGGCGGCTGCTGCGGGGCAAAGAAATACGGATGAGTCATGAGCTATAACCTCAACTGCGGAACGTCTCCAGTTATCGTCAGCAAGGGCCCGTAACGGCGGACAACGCGCATGCAGCAAGCGGTTCAAAAGGTTGCAGTCTTATCCCGAGTTGACTCGCTTGCACTCGCTCCGGTGAGTTGCCTGGGGACTGTTATCCCGAGAACGCCACGAAACGCGACGATCCGATCGCGATCCAACCAGCTGGCTTGCGACGATTCTGGTACCGATATCCGCAGCACCACTGTACGCCAATCTACTCCTCCCTGCGGCTTGCGGCGTCCGGCGATGATCGCCGGACAGGGGTGACTTGCGGTGTCCATGAGGTGATGGTATATCGGACCTCGCCCGACGGTCCGCTTTTCTGGGTCGTCCACGGCGCCGTGCGGCGAATGGGCCGCTTATCTCTGCCCACCAAGCGGAATTCGGTTATCGCCACCGAGCCTCTCTTCCACCAGTGCAGTTCCATCAGAATTCAAGACATTCGATCTCGTAAAGCTGTTAGGTTCTAGTGATGTGTGTTGCTGTCGGCACGTGATAAACCAGCATGCACTGCCCCCCGAGTCTGGGTAAGGCGACCCGCCCGCCATTCCTTGCTCAAACGAGCCCCCATGTCCGCCGACTTCCCCGACACGGCAACGGGATATAGCGAACTCGTCCGGTTTCCATCTAGGATATAGCGCTTACTGCTCCGGCTGTAGAGGCACCTGATGATCGGCACTCCGGTCCGCGCGCGGGGGGAGGGGTAGTGCAGATGACTGTCTTCGATCCGCGGCAATGGGGTGAGCAGCCGGTGGCGTAGGACCGTGGGGCACACTAAGTTGCGCTAGTGAACTTGCCTACGTTTACCTCGATTTCCATACTGCAAGTGGGCTCGATCTCGATCATCAACAACCATACCGCATATTCGATATATGCTCAGACTTCCGCACGAAGGTCATCGACGTTTGTCGCCGATCTTCCCGGACAATAACGCGCGGCAGAACGCGGTCCGCAACGGTGCTGCTGGGAAGTAGCCGTAGCATGGCCCCACATGATCCGCGATGCCGGCCTCACTAGTGCGCATATATAGCTCGCTGCAAGAGTAGGCCCCACACGGCCCCACACACTCTCTCACCCGACGGGCACACGACCAAAGATGCCGAGGGATGTTGGCCTGACGGCGGAGCAAATCGCAATCGCAGAGGGAGCGGACCCGGACAAGCTCGCGCGCGGCCTGCGATTGATGGAGAGGGAGCGCGAGGTGCCGATGCGCACTGCGTTCCGTTCGCACTGGCGCGCAGTGACGTGGAGCGTCATCCTCTCAATCGCCCTCATTATGGACGGATACGACGGGTACCTCCTCCCCTCGTTCTATGCCCACCCGGACTTCCTGGCGCGTTTCGGAAAGGACTTCACGGACGCATCGGGACACACGAAGAAGATCATTCCTGCCCAGTGGCAGACGTCTCTATCCCTCATCACACTGCCAGGGCAGATTCTGTCTCTGCTCTTTGTTGGATGGGCGGCGGAACGCTTCGGAAATCGAGCGACATACTGTTTCGGCATGGTCGTTATCATTGGTGTTAGTGAGTATACATGACGGACTGAGGCTTGTCGTACCGAAGAATCACCGCTCACGCCCAGTCTTCATGTTCGTGTTCCTGAAGAGCTACCAAATGCTGCTCGCAGCCGAAGCACTCGTTGCCTTCTGCTGGGGCATCTTCCAGACGCTCACGGCTTCGTACGCGGCGGACCTGTGTCCCATCGGTCTGCGCGGTTTTGCGACCTCGTTCATCTCCATGGCATGGGGTACAGGCTCCTTCCTCGGCGCGGGAGTTACGCGCGGCTCCCTACAGATGCACGGCGTCTGGGGTTGGCGGCTCCCCTTCGCGCTGCAGTGGGTGTTCCCCGTCCCGCTTCTTATCACGGCTATCCTGGCCCCGGAGTCGCCCTACTGGCTGATTCGTAAGGGGAGGAACGAGGACGCGAAGAAGGCCATCCGCCGTACAGCCCGCAAGGGGTATTACGATGAAGAGGACCTGGATGCCTACCTCGCGTACATCCGGCACACCGACGCGCTGGAGGAAATCGAGGCCCGCAGTGCCAGCTTCATGGACATGTTCAAGGGGACGAACCGGCGTCGCACTGAGATCATGCTCTGTGTCTGGGGAAACCAGCAATGGAGCGGGTACAACCTATCCGGGCTGGCGACCGTGTTCCTTAAGAATGCGGGCATGAACGCTACTTGGGCGTTCAACTTTGGCCTCATCATCGCGTCGATGAACATTGTCGGTTGTGGCCTTGAACTGGCTGTTATCAACCGCATCTCGCGCCGCGCTCTTCTCATTGGCGGCCAGGCGAGCCTCATCACGATCCTCTTGCTCATCGGTATCCTGGGCTGCCTCCCCTCCTCCACCGGCGTGAACAAGGGCCTGGGAGCGCTACTGGCAATGATCAACCTCGTTTACCACATCACACTGGGCCCGATTGTGTACTCCATCTCCGCCGAACTGCCCGCCACACGTCTGCGTGCGCGGTCCATCGCGCTCGGGCGCATGTTCTACCTCCTCCTGGGAGCGGTGCAGAACCAGCTCGTGCCGCGCATGATTGCACCAGACAGCTGGAACTGGGGCCCTAAGTGCGCCTTCTTCTTCGCTGGCATCAACTCTCTTTGGACGCTGTGGGCTTTCTTCCGCGTGCCCGAGACGAGTAACCGGAGCTATGCCGAACTCGAGATCCTCTTCGCGAACAAAGTACCCGCGCGCAAGTTTGCAAGGACTAAGGTGTGGGACGCGAGCGCCGAAGCGGCGGGAAAGAGTGACCCCAGCGATGACGAGTGCGCCAAGGACGGCAAGGGAGCGGTTGTCACTGTCGTGGACGTCGAGACTGAGGCACCTGTCGTTAAGAAGTAAAGGAAGAAACCGCCGTGTTTTGTTCGTTGTACGATTGCAGCCGTCGACTTGCACTTTTAAGGGGAATATGAGATGCAATGCCTCAGTATCACTCACTCCCCATGCATAGAGGCGCGCATGCTACGCTTACAGCAACTTGCCGTCGAATTTCTGGCATCCTGAACATAGTCCTTGGGGTCACGCGATCAAACATCAAAGCGACGTAGCTCAGATGGAACAGCGTTGGGCTCATACGCAAGTATGGCGCCACCCAAAGGGCAGAAGATCGAAACTTCTCGTCGCTAAGACTTTTTTGTGTTCTGCATGTCCAATTCGTCTGACCCGACCCCTTTGGTTTTTGGTTATTTTTACTGCCCGCAAGCTTGCGAGGTAGAATGCGGCGACTTACACAAACAGCCGACGGCCGCTGCCGCTCGCTGCCGCCGGCGACTTTCTTTTGGGGATGATCGCCCCAGGGTCGCAAAGCAGGGTGTTGGACCACTTCCGCCGGCACTGGCAGTGATTACCAATGAGCACACTGGAATAGCGACGGGAGGCGAGGTCCGCTCTCTAATCTCGCCCCCAGATGCAGGACGATCGTATCGATACCGTCGGGGCTTCCGACAACAGTGCGACGTGCGACGGGCGACACGGAGCCTGATCGGTTGAACTTTATGCATGTCACAACAAGAACCTATACAGAATCGGTCTTCGTTACAGAGTGGTGCCAACCTGCTAACTCCAGTCCTCTAGTCTACAACGTTTCATCCCTCCTTCTCGTCGAGCGTACAGTGTCGTGCTCGATCTCATCTCAACGGTATGGCCCCTAGCCGCCGTCCTCGTCTATTGCTCTCCTTGTTCGCGCGGGCATGCCCCCGCTCTGGCCGTACGTCCCCAGACTGACACGGCGTCCTTTCGCGCCCTTGCCTCGCCCTCGGCCAACCTGAACGACAGCGGGGGCGTATGCGTCCGATCCTCTTCTTACCGGTCCGCTCGTAGCGCCAGCAGACGGGCGTCGGAGCTCAGCACGGCCGCGCTCGTACGCTGGTATGCCAGCTCCGTCCTGGTCGAGCAACTCGATTCCGCGGGAAGAGAGCCAGGCCGCCCAGCGCCGCATCATGGCGCAGTCGCCGCTGTCGGCCGCCCACCGGCCGAGAGATGGGGGCACCCAAGTGAACCCGTCCACAACGACTTTCTCGACCTTCTTGTGGCCCGACTCGGCGAGCGAGAACAGGAAGTTGTTGCCCTGGGGACGCCCATCTTGCGGCTCTGCGTGGTGAGGGGATGTACTCGCGTCTGTTTGCGTTACACGCGGCCAGCGCGGGACGGAGAGTACGGACAGACGGCGGCTGAACAGCGCCGGAGCCAGAGAGGCGCTGTCGTGCAGCAGCCGATGCGGCATCGCGAGGTGTAGGTGCTCGAGGTTTGGGTGGAGGGAGAGTGTGTCGGGAAGAGGGAGCAGATCACGGCGCGGGAAGTCCGGAACCGCGACGTACGTCAGACTCCGGATCTTGTCCCCGTGCCAAGCTTGGAAGGCGCGTACGCCGCCCCGCTTCGCGTCGTCGCTATGAACTAGCAGAGAAGGAGAGTAGGGCGATGTCACGAGGCGCGTCAAACGGGGCAAGTTCGCCAATGTCAGTGCGCACAGCAGTGGTCCTGGCGTGCCGTTCTTGAATGTGAGAGTGTGCAGATTGGCCATCGAGAGCTGTGGTCCTGCCTCATCCTCCTCCTCGTCGAGGTCGAGCTGCTCGTCCTCCTCTGCCCGGTTCCCAACCCAGACGAGACCAAGCACCTCGAGTGCCTTCGTCGCACGGAGTAGGCGAATCGCAGCCTCCTCGTCAGCCGAGTTGCGGAGATGCACGCCCTCCAGTGCGCGCACTGTGCGCATGCACGGACTGTGCCGGAGGTCGGTGAGCGAGACGCCGCTGGGTGGGAGGCGGAGATGGACAACGCTCGGCGTCAGCTCTAGCAGCGCCTCGAGAGCCTGTGTCACAACCGCAGCATCTGCGCCAAGGTAAAGAGCGCCAGGATCTAGCCTGCTCAGGTCCAGCGTTGTGATCCAGCGACCGGGCACGGAGTGCGGGTGTAGGTTGATGTCGCTCCACTTGCGGTCGCCCGTAACGACTGAGTGCGCCAGAAGTGCGACGTTCTCGCCGGTGAGCTGTGGCTCGGCGTACAAATATCGTGTAACCAGGAGCTGCACATGTGTGATGAGGTGGGATCAGGTCGTTCCAGCATTCCAAGGTTCGTGGATACGGGTCAGTGCATGGAACCATAAGAGAAGTAAGCCGGGAAGCAAGTATCAGCACACGTTCGCGACCACATGGAGCGACTCACCTTCCACGTTCTACAGACGCGCATCATTGCGCGTGCAGTCTTGGCGACACGGACCCGCGCGTCGTCCCGGTCCTTTGCGAGCTTGCGTGCTGTACGTCCCCCGAACTCGTCCCATGAAGGGTCCCAGTGTCCCTCTGCGAACGTCGGTCGGTCATCGAGATCGGAAGAGCGTCGTGTAGGGAGGAAGGGGTCGGTCGGGAACGAGCCGTGAATGCTCGGGGAAGGTGCCGGCGTCGGCAGTTCGTCGACTCGGGGGATGCGGTCTGGATAGCCTTTCGGTAGCACGAGCGCTGCCTGGATGATCTTGCGAATGATCTCGACGGGCAGGACGGCCTGCGGAGGGCTGTTCATGCGCTCCAGACGCGCAGTGAGGGCATAGCTCCGGTCGATACCTGATGGTAGTGGGGGTGGCGAGGAAGGCCGTGTGTTGCTGCGAGTGAGCGGGTGGCCGATCGTTGCCGCGCGCGGGGGGTAGGACGACGCCAGGTCCGATGTCGGCCAGGCGTCCCAGGCCGTTCTCATCGTGATTGAAGGGAGTGGCGAGGGTGAGTGATGGAGTGTGCGTTGATAAGTATTGATATAGCTATTGGTGAGAACAACAATGGTGTGCGTCTGACTGACGTCGTTCGTTCGCTGAGTCGGGTTCTCGGGATTGTCAGGGTTTCAGACTCGGATCACAGTGCTGATGGATGCCGAACGCTCAGCATACCGACACAGCCGATACCGCCGTTCTGGCCCCTCACTGACGCGCATGCATTGTTACGTTACAGACTGTCTCCATCAGCCCACATGCATGCACGTCTGTCATCCGAGAAGCTTAGCATCATGTCAGGTGGTCGACTAACGGTTCTACTGATCTGCTTGGGCCGCTATCATTATCGCGCCGGATTACGGCAGCACGTTTGCACTGTAGTGGATGAGTATGGCCACCGATATCCTGCAGTGTCCGAGCGTCACAGAGTGGACAGCTGACCATGGCCCTAGTCCCCCAACGTAGCTTAACAGCGAGCTCTTGTACGACAGCCTGACTTCGGGCTCTGTTGCATGCGACCCAAAGTCTCACGTTGCAAGTTGCCGCCACCCCCGCATCCCAAAGTGAGACGTCGGCTGTCGGCCGATTCGGAGTTTGGGCCTGGTGGGCCAGAGATAGAGCCCCGCACGCGCCGCACGCACGGTCCGTGTACGGCGCTACACGGCGGAGGGCCCAACGGAAAGTCACGAGCCCCGCGAATCAGTCATGTGTGTCATGTGGCGCACGCTAGTCACTCTACTGCAGAAACATCGGCTCGGCTCGACACTACCTCCTCCATCACTTCGAGCTCGAGTGTTCCTATTTCTCGTGTCAGAAGTCAGTCGTCAACTGCTCAAATATTCTCAAGATGCTGCACAGAGCTGGCACAAACTATAGGAATGCTCAATTCATCATGATAGTACAGGTGGGCTACTGACACACTGGAACGGCTTGGGGCTTGCTCACGCGGCAAGAGCGTCGTTGGCGATGGCCTCGACCTCACGCTTGTGCGCAACCTTCGATCCGGTAGCGACAGAGGCAGAGGGGCCACGGCCAGAGTAACCAACGCGCTTGCCCTTGTGGTTCTGAGTGTGGTCAAGAGCAAGCTCCAGACGGGGACCAATGTAGGACCAGGCACCGTTGTTCAGCGGCTCCTCCTGGCACCACATAATGTCCGCGTTCTTGTAGCGGTCGAGGTCTTCGACGATGGCGGAATAAGGAACAGGGCTGATCTGCTCCAGACGAACGATGGCGACGTCCTTGATACCGCGCTTCTCACGCTCAGTGACGAGCTGGGTCCAGACCTGACCGGAACAAAGGACGACACGGCGAACCTTCTCGGGCTCAACGAGCGATTCCGGCGCGTGCTCAGGGAGGTAGCGCTGGAAGACGGAGTCGCCAGTGAACTCGGAGAGGTCAGACTTAGCGAGCGGGTGACGGAGGAGGTTCTTTGAGAAGAAGACAACCAGGGGCTTGCGGAAGTCACGGTGCTGCTGGCGACGGAGGACGTGGAAGTAGTTGGCAGGGGTCGTGGGGTAGACGATCTGCATGTTGCAGTCCTGGTGCTGGCGCTCCATCTGCTCGGGGGTGGGGAAGACACGAGGGTCGTCGTCACAGAGCTGGAGGAAGCGCTCGAGACGACCAGACGAGTGCTCGGGACCCTGACCGTCGTAACCGTGGGGAAGCGAAACGACGAGACCGGTGCGCTGGAACCACTTGCGCTCACCAGAGGCGAGGAACTGGTCAATGATACACTGGGCGTTGTTGGCGAAGTCACCGAACTGAGCCTCCCACATGGTGAGAGAGTTGGGGGAGACGAGCGAGTAGCCGAACTCGAAGCCCATGGTGCCGTACTCGGAAAGGTGCGAGTTGGAGACGGTGAAGGAGCCCTGGTCGGGGGAGACGTGCTTCAGGAAGGTGTAGGTCGACTCGTTCTCCTGGTCGTGGACGACGGCGTGACGCTGCGAGAAGGTACCACGCTCGACGTCCTGGCCGGAGACACGGACGTGAGTGCCCTCAGTGCAGAGGGTGGCGAAGGCGAGAGCCTCGGCAGTCGACCAGTCGATGCCCTTGCCCTCGGCGATAGTCTTGCCACGGTTCTGAATGATACGGGCAAGGTTCTTGTGGGGGGTGAAGCCCTCGGGGAAAGTCGAGATGACCTTGCCGGCCTCCTTAAGCTTCTCCTCGGAGACACCGGTGGGGTGGTGAGGGAGAACCTCCTTGGCGAGCTCCTCGGGCGAGGGGAAGCCCTCCCACGAGGACGAGAGCCACTCACGGGGCGAGGGGGTGTACTCCTTGGAAGCGTCGAAGGCCTTCTCGAGCATGCCCCAGACCCACTGGCGGTGCTCCTCAATCTCCTTGGCGGTGAAGGTGCCCTCCTTGATGAGCTGGTCAGAGTACTTGCTCAGGACGGTAGGCTGCTTCTGGATGGCCTTGTACATGCGAGGCTGGGTGAACGAAGGCTGGTCAGTCTCGTTGTGTCCGTGGCGACGGTAACAGACAATGTCGACGACAACGTCCTTCTTGAAGGTGGCGCGCCACTCGGCAGCGAGCATGCACACGAAGTTGACGGCCTCGACGTTGTCACCGTTCACGTGGAAGATGGGAGCGTCAATGGCCTTGGCAATGTCCGAGGGGTAGGGGGTCGAACGCGAGAAGCGGGGGTCAGTGGTGAAACCGATCTGGTTGTTGACGACAATGTGGATGGTACCACCGGTGCCGTAGTTGGCGAGGTGGGAGAGACCCATGGACTCGTAGACGACACCCTGACCGGCGAACGCGGCGTCACCGTGGAGGAGAACGCCCATGGCCGAGTCGTGGGTGCCCTCGTCACCCTCGAAGTGCTGGATGGCACGGGTCTTGCCGAGAACGACGGGGTCCTCAGCCTCGAGGTGGGAGGGGTTGGCAACGAGCGAAAGCGAGACCTTCTTGCCCGAGGGGGTGGGGCGAACGTAGTTGGCACCAAGGTGGTACTTGACGTCACCACCGCCGTTGTCGGCACCGTCCATGTTGCCGGCGAACTCGTTGAGGATGGCCTCAATGGGCTTGCGGATAACGTTGCCGAGAACGTTGAGACGACCACGGTGGGGCATACCGATGACAACCGACTTGACGCCCTTTTCGACGGAAGAGTCAATAAGAGCCTTCATACCGGGGATGAGCGACTCGCATCCCTCGAGACCGAAACGCTTCTCGTTGGGGTACTTGGAGGCGATGAACTTCTCGAAGAGCTCCGACCAGATGGTACGGTCGAGAATCATACGCTTCTCCTCGGTCGAGTACTTCCACTGGGTGGGGACCTCGACGCGCTCACGGATCCAGTCGCACTGTCCGCGGTCCGAGATGTGGACGTACTGGACGCCGATGTCGGTGCAGTACATCTGCTTGAGCTCCTTGATGATGTCACCAAGAGTGAGCTCGTCACCCTGAACGGAGCCAACGAAACGGGGGAGGATGCCGGGGCCAAGCTTGAACTTCTTGTCGAGGTCGGCCTCAGTCCAGCCGTAGTACTCGAGCTTAAGCTCGGGAGGGGTGGTGCCGTCGAGGTCGGCGTCGTTGATGCCGAGGGGGTCGAGCTTGGCGATGTGGTGACCACGGACCTGGTAAGCACGGACGAGGAGCTGAACCTTGAGGTAGTCGTTCAATTCACCACCCTGGCCGTCAAGGGAGATGGTGGGGTTGCCTCCGGGGGTCGACGAGATGCCGGGAGGGGGCTGGAAAGCCTGCGACGAGGGGAGGCCCTTGTCAAGGCCCGAGAAGTAAGCGTTCCACGACGAGTGAACCGACTTGGGGTCGTTCTTCCAGTTGCGGTACATCCTGTAGTATGGTCAGCGAAAAGTCCGCACCACCATGGCGTCATGTTTGTGTGGCACTCACTCCTCAATGTAGTACTGGTTGGCACCGTTGGCGAAGGCGTCGTTGGGCGAGGGAGCGACAGCCTTGGCCTCGGTGGCGTAGGCGCGGATAGCCTTGGGCTGGGCGACATAGGCGGCGAGCGCGGCGGGGCGGACCTGGTTGAGGCGGGCCACGCGGGGGAGAGCTCGAGGTATTGAGCGGAGCATGGTGGAGGTTTTGCGGAGAGTAGTTATCGGGAAAAGGGGGAGAGGGGGGAGGTTGGGAGGGAGGGGAGGAGGTAAAGTGACGAGTAAGTCTTGCTCTCGCGAGGGACTTGCTCCAGTCTCTTGTTGGAAAGAAGGGGAGAGGTGGTGGTGGTGGGGTTTGTGATGGCGAGGAGTGACAGCACCTTGTGACTTTACGTGTTGTAAAGTGGTGTGGTGCAACGTCGTTCTGTGGGAAAAAGCTTCCGCACGTCAAGGGCCCGCAGGGCCCACGGGTGCCGAGCGTACTTCCGTCAGTTGAGTGCAGACCGAAAACGCCGACGACGGGAAAACTGCCCGGTTCCGCCTGCCCCACCTCCCCTCTCTGCCAACCGCTGGCCAGGAAGAGGTTACTGCGTGCATGCATCGTATTCGACGGCGAGTGGCGAGCACTGACGCATCCGTGTGCTGTCCAGCTGACCTCGAGAAGCAACAAAAAGACAACAGTGTTACGAGTGACATTGTAATGAAAAAGAGCGCCGTGCATGACAATCCATACCATAACCCTGCTTCACTACGTCAGTGTAATGCCTCACGATGGTGCACGGGGGTGCGCCAAGGCGGATGTGCGCGCGGGTGCGGCAAAATCACACAAGCTAATGCTCAGCGGACTGACTATAGTGAGAGTGACTGACTGCATCTGGATTTTCGCTAAGCTGGCCGTTCGCCCCTAGGCCAAGCCAACGCCTCTGCCAGGTTTCTTCGTTCGCCCCACAAAGGCAGCGTGCACATGATCTTTGTATTCACCGTTGGCCGCCGAGTATTCGCCGTCGTTTGCCGCGCATTAAACTCTGGAGCCAATGCCAGGTTTGACGATCTGCACGGGGTCTCTGCTACTGCTGTGGCACGGGGACATGCCGCCCACCGACAGGCGAGTCTGGACCAACCACAGCTCCCCACACGGGAGACGTCACCTACTCTCCCACGCTCGATTCTGCCGCTCTCTACAGTGCCGCCGGCTCCAGCGGCCCCAGAGCCTCCGCTGATGTGGCAACGGACATCACCGACACTCCTCATGTCCGAAACGCGTGCGCACCTCCGACCATGATCGGCCTATACTCAAGCTGGGGCCTCAATGTCTGGGTGTGGCACAGGCCTGCGGCATCGCTCAGGTCGCGGGTCGGCTGCTCCTGCGTCAGCCGATGTCGGTGACACAGGTACCGCAGCGACAACGGGGCCGCCGAGGGCGTCGATAGCGAGTGCGCTAACTACGTTTGCGCCTGGGCCTGATCGGCTGGTCGCTGTACACGGCAGCGACTCAACTGTCGCGGGCGCAGTCTCACGTGCCTCGAGCTAGCGCAGCCACTCGGCGAAGGACGGCTCGGCCTCGTCCGACACGCGTTGCCCCGCACTCCCTGCACGGTGCGCTCGACTGAGCGGATTGTGAGCGGAGTGACGTCCTTGCGATCAGCGTCCATGCGTGCCGACAGCGAACAATGCAAGCTCACGTGAAGGGTGTAATTGTCCGAAACGCTCGGACTCTTTCCCCACATATCTGTTCCCCGCAATGACGCCTTACCAGCGCCATCGTCTCATTCGGCATATCGGCATGTCTGAACCCGCAAAAACGGAGCCGCATAGGGTGCAGTCAGAGGCAAAAGGATGAGTTGTCGGGGATTCGAACCCCGGTAAGCTGCTATATCTTCCAAGTAATGGAAGGCAGCCATCTTAACCACTGGATCAACAACCCAACTCCTGTTGTTAGCGCGAGATATGGCCGCCGTGAGCGGCACCCGCCGCGGTGCCTGGGCGCCGTTGGTATGTGTGTGTGCGCCGATCTCATGTCAAGGCGCAACGAGTGCCATGCCGGGACTGTCGGCAATTGCGTAAGGTCTATGGCCATTCCACAGCAGTGGTCTTAGGACTTTAGTGATTGGAACAACCAGAAGATCGACTGGAGTTCAATGACACTGCCTCTGGCATCGAGCTGACAGTGGTTTGCCGCTAGAAGGCGGAGACAGCTGCAAGTGGCAGCGTACACCGGTGCAAGACCGAAGGAGCGGAAAAGGATGATACTTGAACTGCCGAAGCCTAGAAGTTAGACTGTGATGCGTGAGTTGAGGACATCCCTCGCTCGTTGAGGAGTCGAGTGGGTACCCGCAGGTCTTACACGTGCCACAACTCTGTTCACCACACGCAATTACACTGGGCCCCTCATATTCTGCCTCTCCGTGCATCACACGTAAGGCTACCGGAGCTGACGAAGGACGTGCGGCGTACAGCAGGAACGCCGAGAACCCCCGAACGACAGACTTGTTGCATTCAGCGTTATGTGACAGTGGCTCTCCCGCCTGCCTGCTGCCGCAGACGCACCTCAGCACGCGGCCATGATACCCCGCCAGCCTGCAAGATCTGCGCGCATTATCAGCATTCTCCGACTGGATCAGTCACCGCGAAACACGGCGGGAAGTACAATATCAGCAAGACCCGATGACGTGTGGAAGCGGAGTGGTGCAAGTGGGGATGGTGTGATTGCGATATGTGCTGTCTGCTCTGAAACGAAAGGGAAGCCCAGCGTGAAGCCGACGTCGCGAGGGGTAGCATTCTCTGACGCCTTCCCCTGGCATGCCCGGCACGTCTGGCAGAGGAGATAACGCGATCAGCGAGGACACGTTGCATCCTCCACTACGCGTCCTGCCCACGCTGCCCACGCGTCCGCGCGTTAGTGCCCCAACGCCGTCGGTGTATACGCAATCATCGTCCGATGCAGTGAACGCCGCATACCCTGCCTCGGCGCCGTGTGCCGCGTGGCGCCTCGCTGCCACCAGTGCACCAGTGCTGGTCTGTGGACTAGCTGAGGGGCACAATGGCCTGCCTTCCTGAGTCTGCCGAGTCTGGCAATGTGCGAACTCCGATCAAGCCCCGCCCTTCAATCACTCAGCACCGCCTGGTCGGATCGGCTACCTTCGACAGCATCGCTGCCAACGTGTCACCTTTCATGCAGAGAGCCGACTTGTCCAGGCGTCTTCACGTAGCCCCGGGGTTCCAATTACCCCGGAGCACACCCCATTTAGCCACGCAAGCTACTGTAATGGCTGAGTTGGCAGAATGGTGGGCGACCTTCGGCGGACTGAAATCAAAGTGCAATCTGATTACAGAGCAATTGACCGGGCGGATGACGTGCCAGGTGGTGCGACGTCATAGTGCCCGATCATTTCACACCTGCTCTCCCCAAACAGCTGCCTGAACTCTCACAGCTCGTATCGCACCAGACAGAGGACGTCTCACCGTACACAGAGCGGAGATGCAGAGCCGACAGCCCGCGTCCACGTTGTGCCCAAACCGAGGCTTGTTGGGCTGACTGACTGATTCCTGGTAGGATAGCAGGTAGACGCCGACTGACCGACCCCGGACCCCGGAGCCCGACCTTTTAACTCTCACGCACACATCGTCCTTTCGTCACCTCGGGCAGGCATGCATAGCATTTCTGCTCTACAGTGTGGTTTTACTTCTCCTTCGTTCTTTTCTTCTGCGTACTGCGCCTTCTCGTCGTCACAGAGCGGGAAAAACGTCCGCTTAGTTGATCTTGAGGAGCTCGACCTCGAACTTGAGGGTCGAGTTGGGGGGCTGTGGTTGTCAGCATGCAGTTCCATTCTCCGGCTCACAATGACCGGAGGGAAGCCCCTGGCTCCGTAGGCGTAGTCAGCTGCTTTGTTAGCGATGTTCTGATGCAGAAAAGGTGTAGAAGAAGGTGGACGACGGAAGAGGAGTGGTAGTTGGGTGGACAAGTGCCACAATCAAACTTACGGGTAGCGGTCAGGACGGCCTTCTCGCCGAGCGAGAGCTGGGGAACACCCTCGTCCCAGCCCTTGATGACCTGGCCGACACCGATGGTGCACTGGAAGGGCGAGCCGCGGTCGCGCGACGAGTCGAACTTGGAGCCGTCGGTGAGGGTACCAACGTCTTGCCATTAGCTAGGTTCAACCATCAGGCAGCTTACAGTGGATGGTGACCTTGTCGCCCTTCTTGGGGAAGGTCTTGCCATCTCCAGGCTTGATAACCTGACTGTCAGCTACGCTTGGGACGTAAGGCAGCTCGCCACCCCTCGTTTTCTGCTCGAGACGAGGCGGAGAGCAACGCCAGCGCCTTCGGCGCCGGGCGGCTACTCACGTCAACGGTGACACCCATTCTGGAAAGAGTCGTGTGGAAGCTGCGGGTAGCGGTGAGGTTGGAGGTGCGGAGGGCGCGGGTAGCGGTGGGGAGGACGGACTTGAACATCTGGAAGAAAGGAAAGAGGGAAAGGTAGATAACTTGAAACGACAGAGAGCGAGCAGTGCGAGCGAGCGAGGTGCACCGGATGCTCACGCCCGCTGGAAATGGTTTAGGGCGTGCGGGCGTCCAGCGTTTGGACGGCCTACCAGGCGCGAGAGCCGAGGAAACCCGCCGGGACCCAAGGAACACCCCAGAGCCTCCCACTCATCCCAGACGGTCGCCAGTCGCGCTGCGCGTGTCCTCCTTGGCTGCAGCGCTGCCAGAGCTTGCGGAGGCAGATAACTCCTCCCTCCCTCTTCGCCTCTTCCGGTGTTAGGCCCTGGGCGTTTGTGGCGTGAGACGCACACACGCCCGAGCTGTATGGCGGTGCGCATGCGCATGCATGCCGGGCTAACACGCAGGCAGCCACCACGGCCACGCCGACGACGCACTGCCGCATGCATGCATTGTCGTCTGCACGACTACGGATCAGACAATAACATCAGCCTACAGGTGCCGTGGGCCGCAGGCCCCGCGTGCCGGGTTCCGGTTCACCTGCAAGACCCCATAACCAAAGTGAGCACCCTAATTCTTGCTGACCTGCTGGAATGTTCCTGACCGATGGGCAAGTGATGTCACACCTCGTGCTCAACCTGGTACACCACTGCACCGTTGTTTAGTCTTCCAAGCTGCCTTACTACTGCAGCTCGCCTATGCATATGCTTGGTAGCCTGCACTCCACGCTGGTGCGCTCTACAACTACGATTCTACTACTCTATGGTGATGGACAGCATGCGCACCTCGTCGTGCGGCCGGTCGTTCTTATCGACGGGCACGTTCTCGATCGAGTGCACAACCTCGAGGCCGCCGACAGCGCGCCCAAACACCCTGGACGTCAGCGATACATTCATGCTTCCATGTCACGAGTCATCCTGAAACGGAGGCGCCGGGGTCCGCAGCATCGTTACCGCATGCGGTGCAGCCGTCCCTTCTAGAGCAGCTGCTTTCTGGGACCATACTCTTCGCTCCGTAGTAGCCGAGGATGTGCCTGCTGCCCGGATGGGTGACGGGAGCCTCGGACCTGCGACCGGCGACCTCGGCCACCAGAGCGTACTCACGTGTGCTTGTTATCCAGCCACGGCGTTGCGACCGTCGTAATGAAGAACTGGGAGCCGTTCGTATTCGGCCCCGCGTTCGCCGACGACAGCGTGTACGGTCGGTCGTGCGTACCGAGAGGCGAGAACTCGTCCTCGAACTCGCCACCCCAGATGCTTTCGCCCCCGCTGCCGGTGCCCGTGGGGTCTCCACCTTGAATCATCTGACCATCAGCTCACAATCCCGCCTAGGTAGCTGCTACGATGGTACTCACAAACTTCTTGATGATGCGGTGGAAGATGACATTGTTGTAGTACCCGTTCTTGGCGTGGGTGACAAAGTTCTCAACCGTCTTTGGCGCAATGTTCGGGTACAGCTCGAGGCGGATGTCGCCCATGTTGGTGTGGATCGTCGCTGCTGTCGGGAGAGCCTTCTTCTCCTGCTTCTTCTCAATGACGACGGTGCGCTCTTCGTGCGTCGGGCGCTCGTTGAAGACGTCACGCTCGCCGCGTGCGTCGTCCTCGTGCCCGCGGCCGAACATGTAGAATCGCTGCTTGCGGTACGCCGTCGCGAACAACGTGTCGTCGCGCGCGGCCTTCTCCTCCAGCAGCGGGTTGGACGACGCCGCCATGGCCAACGTCTGCACCTGCTTCAGCGGCGCGCCCTGGAACAGTGCCAGATTGAGGAACCGCAGCGTTTCATCCTTTCCGATCACGCGTGCGACCGTGTTCGTAACGGTGTTCACGACCTTGATACCCAGCATCGTGGCGTAGAGCAGCATGGAGCCAGACTCGTCCCACACGGCGTTGGCTGTACGGAGCGCTCCGCCTGGTCCACTCTCGCTCGCGTCAAGTTCGCGTTCGACCGCCAATCGACGTCCAAAGTCCATATCATCAAGCTTGAACACCGCTGTGCCAGCCTGCTGCATCTCCTCGACAGCGGAGAGCGACTCATCATACGTCCGCGTCAGCTTGCCGGTCAGCGTGTTGAAGACGTGCACAGTACGCGACGGCAGCGCAAGGCACGCCCAGTGGTTGCCGTCCGGGGAGAAGGTGACAGAAGTCGGGATGCTCTTCGTCTTCTTGAAGTGGAACAGATCCGTCGCACTCTTGTACTGCCACATTCCCGGCACAGAGGGGAGACCCCACGGTTCGCTCGGTTGCCAGTACTCGACGAAGCCCGCCTCGTCGGCCGACACGACGCAGTCGTACTTTGCACAGTACTCCATCAGGTGAACCGGTGCGCGGTGAATCTTCTCTAGCACATGCAGCGGCTTGCCGTCTCCGCGTCCGTCGTATATCCGGATCTTGGGCGAGTCAACATCGCTAACGGCGAGAAGAGTCGAGCCCGATCCCGGCTCATGCACCCAACAGACAGCTTTCGGCGTGAAATCAAACTTGAGAATGTTGATCATGTCAAAGTTGACAACGTCGAACACCCTTCCCTCTCCACCGGGGCCCCCCTTCGCCGATTCCGAGACTGAGGCGAACATGGCTCCGTCCGCGCTCGCACTGACGGACACAATTGCCCGAAGCGATGTCCGGTAGTGCTTTACAAATTCGATGCCCGACTCTTGCTTCTTCCACAGCTTCAGATGTCCATCGACTGACGTCGTGATCAGGAAGTTCGTTCTGGAGTCAGCTGGACGGCGCGACAGATTGAGATCAGATGAGCTCACTTCGTCATCGTTACAAAGTTGATCGAGTCGCGGTGCATGAAACTCTTCCAATACCGGTCAGCCTCAGGCAGGTTGTCGAGGTAGAGCTTCTCGTGCGCGAGCTTCTTCTTCTTATGCACCTTCTTCTCGCCGGCGCCTGGAATAGATGGTCCAATGTCATCGTCTGAGTCATCTCCACCTGTCGGCATCGGTCCTGGTCGTTAGCTCTGCGTGCAAAAAGAGCTGCGATGCGCCGGAGAAGGTCACCCGCGCGTCTTCCTTCCTCAAAGCCTACGCCCTCCGTAACTCGCAACCTTCCCTGGCGTCAACTCTGGGAGAACTTACCAATCTCCTCGTCCGACTCCTCCTCCTCTCTCGGTCGCTTCAGTCCATCTTCGGCCATTTCCGCTGCAATGGGGTGTAAAGGGGGTTCTGAGCTCCTTGCTCGACGTCAATTGTTGTCATCTTTCCGGCGCGGTCACGTGATTCACACACTGATCGTGCCTAGATGTGGAGGGTCAAGGAAGGCAGGACACCCCGACTCTCACGAGATGGTTTATCACTCGTCCACTACAGCAAGCAAAGGGTGCATGGGTTGGCTAGTTAGGGGAGGGGCCAAACACAACTCCCATGCAACGGTCCACACGAGCGCTGCGTTCTAGAAGCAGAGGCACGTCGCTTAGATTCGTATCGTAATGACCCACTCCACTTCGGCACCACTCCACATCACATTGCACGCTGCTGCCCTCCACCTGAGTCAAACGCGACGTACGACGACAAGGTTTCGGTAATTTGCCCTGTTTGGTGTTAGGCTTTCCTCGACGTCAATGTCACAGCCCACTTGGACCAACCTTGTCAATACTGCGCAAGCTCAGTGGAAAGCACGACGTCACAATCGACCAACTTCAGTATGGAAAGATCGCCAGTCCACCGACATCGATCTGCCGTGCAATCTCCTGCTGCTGCGTATTCCGTATTCCATGCATGTGCAGAAAAAACCTAGGGGGTTCAGCATATGAGCCGATACAGCGTCCTTGTGCAAGCGAGGCCTTCCTGCGATGCTCGTCGTCCTTCCCTCGTCGCAGGCCCATGCCACTGCTTTGCGTGGGTTCTAATTGGTACATTTCCTAATTTGTTGATACTCTTTCGCTTATCTGAATGTGAGAGAGGAAAAGAAACGTCTTCTAAGCGATCAAACCGTGCTGGAATGTGTGTTGCCGAATGAGTTGTATGAAGAGAGGGACGAAGCGTGCAGGCAGCGGAGCAGGTGACCTGAGAGGCGCAGACGAATGTAGAGAGGTGTGTCGAAGTACTGAATCGCCTGGATAGCTTCGAGGATGAGATTGATGAGTTGTGGGGGTAGTTGTATTACTGGATATGAGAAACAACAAGAACTCGATAGCGACAGAGCTGCTTAATAGCTCTGCGCTGTGGGGTTGTTCGGGGGCGACTGGTGGTTCTGCAGGCTGTTTGTCAGCTTCGTTTCAGGGAATCAAGACTTACCTCTTTCGCTTCGCCTTGGTCATTTCCTTCTTGAGCGCAGCCCCGTCCAGGGGCTTGAGAAGCTCAAAGGAGCAGAGCAGGTCTTCCGAGACCGACATGACCGCACCAAAGTTGTCGAACTCTCCACAGTAGTTGGGCGCAGAGAACACCGTAACGAGTGTCCGGTCGTTGTAGAACTCGTATCCGTCCTCCACAACCATGTGTGCACGGCAAATGAGGTCCATGTCGTGTGTAGCCAGGAAGGCGTTGATGACGCTCTTGCCGTAACAGAAGGACACTCCACGCTCATTGTCCTCCCAGTCAAGCGCCGTGTCCGACGGGTCGGACCACACCAGGTCGTTGAGCAGACCGTAGTCGGGCACGTCGGTCGGACGCTGGATCCGTCGGATGTCGTCCATTGACTGCAGGCTCGGCGAGAGACCACCGTGAACACAGAAGATCTTGCTCGCGACGATCGAGGCAATGGGCAGCGCGTTGAAGACATCGATGAACGTCTTCCATGTCTTAATGTTCGTGCGGCGCTTGCACTCGTCGTAAAAGCCGTACACGCGGGTAACGTTGGCGCATTCGTGGTTACCGCGAAGAAGGAAGAAGTTCTCGGGGTACTTGATCTTGTAGCACAGCAGCAGCAGGATCGTTTCGAGCGACTGCTTTCCACGGTCAACGTAGTCGCCCAGGAAAAGATAGTTGGCCTGGGGAGGGAAGCCGCACATCTCGAACATGCGAATCAAGTCGGCGTACTGGCCGTGGACGTCTCCCACAATCTTGACCGGCGGGCTGAGCTCGATGAGGGTGGGCTGCGCCAAGAAGATCTCGCGCGCAGCGGCGCAGACGGCTGCGATTTCCGCATTCTTGAGAGGAGGCGACTTGGTGACCTTCCCGCTGTAGCCGGCCTCGAGTAGTCTGCTGATCATGCTGTCGACATCAAGCCCCGAAGCGTTCGACGGCCCGACGCTGGTTCGGCTAATGGTAGTAGTGAGGGCATCGCCCGGAGTCAAGGACGATCCAGAGTTGGTGTGCTGGTGTCCGGGGAGCGGAGATCCGGAGCGGGCTGGTGACGTGCCAGTGGGAGGTGGCGGGGAGGTGTTGAGGAAGTTGCGGTTGCTGGGAGTGGTGGGAGAGACAGGTGCCGAGCCGTCAGGTGGAGTCGCGCCAGTCGCTCGGATAGCGGGCGAGTCAACTGCCGGGCTACGGGGCGGCCCATTCGTGGAACTAGTCGTCAGCTAAACAGGCAATATGGAACAGGCCGCAACTCACATTCTGCTGCTGCGGGTCGAATCGTTCGCAGAACCGTCGTAGCGAGGTGCGTTGGACAGCTTGGTGGATGCGAGAGAATCGGCTAGATCATTGGCAGAAAGTTCCTTGGACCGGGTGCGGCCCATCTTCTTCGAGGGAGACTGGCCCATGGTGGAGACACTGGATGATCAAGAAACAGGAGAGGATAAGAGGACGGGGAGGGAAGACAGCCCAACTTTGAACTGGGGCGATGACGAGTTGGGACTGGCACCGATGGTGTGTTGGTGTGTCTCGACGACTCGAGGTTCGTAATACAAGGTGAGAGGCGCGGAATAAGTTCCAGTCGGAAAGCTTAGGTCTGAACGTCGGTGCACGCCTGGTAGCTAGTAACTGCTGGACGGTGGGACGAAAGCGAGATACGAAAGAAGGCCCAGGTGTCAGAATTGAGCGAGTCTAGGTGGGGCGACGCGATCCAAGCTTGTGGTTACCGCTTGCAAGCTACCAAGCACACTGATGGGCGGAGTGCGGTGCGAGAGTGGTGACGGGGAGAAAGGAGGGATGAGTGATGGAAGGAGGGTTGCCGGGTCTCGTGGTCGACGGATGGATGGGTGGATGGAGGATGGAGAGTGACAGCGAGTCGATGGAGCGTGGTGTTGGATGGTTAGAGTTGGGCGAGTTGGGCAGCCGAACTGGTGGATGGATGGACGGACAGCGGTGGATGCACGATTGCCTGAGTGGACTGAGTGGCCGGTGGCCTGGACGGTCCGCCTGACTGCCTGACTGGGCCGACTGGGCTGGGTGAACGGTTGGCTGGCTGTTCTGGCTGAGTGCAAGTGCAGGGCGTCGGCTGGGCGCGCCGCGGGCGGGCGGGCTGACGCTGGGTGGTGAGTGGGTGTGTCCTGGGTGTGGGTGCTGGCTGGCGAACGAGCTTGCGAGCTGACGGCCAGCTGGGCTACCTGGGCTGACCTGGGCTGAGCTGATGTCTAGCGAAGACACAGTTGAGGTACGGGAAGGGAAGCGGCCACGCAGGGAGCCGACGGCGGCAGCGCAGAGACACCACGCCAGAGCCAGTGATCCAGCCAGCCAGAGCGCAGGAGCGCAGGCAACCGCGCGGAGGCGAGGGAAGGTATCCCTCGCTCGCTAGCCAAATGCCCCTTGCTGACCATGGTGGCTTGCAACACACGCAGGGAGCTTGACCCAATCTGGCCATATCCATCCATCCCTTAGCACCCCACCCGGCAACCCTCCTCGTTGGCACCCGCCCCTGTAAGGCCTATGAGCGCGCGTAAATCCTCCTGGGATCGACGCTGTTGTTCCCTTCTGAGTGCGTATCTCGAGTAATGCGCAGTCGCACTAGTCATCCAAGTTTCTGTCACCACACCGTACACCCAGTCCGACCCATCCCGTTGAGCCTGCAAGCATCGCCTTCCCCCGCCGCAGCCTCACACCCGCAGGTCCGCAGGAGCGCAGACTACCGCGCCGGCTTCGCATTCTCTGTCGGCTCGTCGCGCATCGGCACCCTCGGCACACGACGTCCACTGATGTACAACCGTTCACTAGCTGGAGACTTGATGCATCGCTTTGCCCGTCATCATCCATTGCACTCACCCGTAACCCACAGGCACCCGACCTTTATCCCCGGATGTGAAGCCATGTGTGGGATGGGGTTGGTACTAACAAAGCTCGGCAGGATTTCTTAGTCCTTGACAGGGAAGGTGAGCAGCTGACCATGAAGTCACTCGACCATTGGCAAGATCTCATGTCGGGCAGGTCTTGGCGCTTTTGCGTTGTGGTCTAAACGCGGTCAATTTTGATGCAATGCATAGATTCCACGCTGCGCGCTGCGAGTGATGCGGTGGCGCTGATGGCAACGAGACTCGTCCTGCAGGTGCATCGTTGAGGTCACGGATAGTCATGGACGATGCTTCGCAGCCGCTGCGAGATGATGAACGAGTCCAGACACTGACGGCGACACCGCTTCGTCGGCGCGCGGCGCGCGGCGCGGCTACGGAGGAGTGGAACAAAAGATGGGATGGCGCAGGGCCTGGAATCTAAAGGTCCTTACACCCTGAATCAAGCGCACAGTCCTATTGCCCTAATGAGCTGATGACGCTGAGTGCTGAGGATAGCAACGATGATACAGAAATATGGTTAATTGATATTGCATAGCGGTCATAGGGTGAAGAACACCTACACAGATAACTAGCATGCGTATGTACAAGGTTCAGAAGTTCTCAGCGATTGGATCTGTGACTTAATGCCGCATCACAATCGACCCGAGGCTGCTGCGAGCTGTGCTCCAAGTCGCTGAGGCAATCCGGATTTTCAACACTACAGACAGCGTCAGCGAGGAAGACACGAGCCCGTTGCGTGGTTTCGGGCGGGTGTCGCGCTGGCAGGTTGAGCATTCAGTCACGAACGTGAGACAACAGTCCACGGTCATCTGACGTAGGGCCCGTAGGGAAAGCGCAAGCGTGATGGGAATGCAACGCGCCTTTTTTTGCCTCTTTCTGCTTACATGAACAGGTACGCACAGGTACAGGAGGTACACGAGAGTGCGGATCAGAAGAGACGCGCGCCTCAGTCGCAATTCATGGATCGTCACGTGCGTGAACCGCGGCCAAACCTGAGAGCAAGAGGCGCCTCTCTAACCTAGGCAGCCTTCATGAGACAACCGGTGAATAGCACTGCGCGCGCCTGGACTCGTCTCGAGCTGATAAGTCTCGTGCCTGACGCCCTCACATCGATCACCATCGTGAGCACAGACCCGGAACCAAACGAGAGTTTATCTGGAGGGAGCGCATAAGAACCCGGTCATTAACAACCACAATCTCTACCGATCCCAATCCAGGAACTCCGACTTTCCTGTCCACTTCATCGCATCGTATTCTCCCGACTCCTCAGAACGACTCTTCGGTGTGCGCCGGTCATCTACGGGCGAATACGCATAACTCTTTCCCTGGAACACGCACTTCGGTGCATTCGCTCACCACCACGCGGCACGACCCTGTCTTCCCTTCTTCCTACAACCCCTGACGTAACCGGCTCACGATGGCGGACGCAGCGCACGAGCTCTCGTCCTTCCTCGGCGAGCACTTCGGCGCCGAGGCGGCCGAAATTCTGATGGATCCTCCCGGTATGGAGCCTCCGCTAGCCCAGGAGACCGCTGAGGCTGTCGCCGCCGCGCAGGCTGTGCAGCAACAGGAACAGGAGCATCTACTCGACAGCGAGGAGATGAAGGGCACCCCGCCGCCTAGGGAGCGGAAGGACCTTTCCGGCCTGGAGATCACAGCGACATCACTGCGAGCCGAGAACGAGCGGTTACGGAAAGCGCTCGCGGCGCTCGAGGGCGAGGAAGCCCATGCGACTGTCGAGTCGCTGGAGACCGGGGAGGACGGCAACTTGATCGCCCAGCATACCCTTCGAGAGCTCGCCTCCGCAGCTGTCAGCGAGGCTGCCTTCGCCACTTTCGAGAGCCTGCAGCAACATCTTGAGCAACAGGCTCAGGCGCAAGCTCAGGCTCAGGCGCAGGCTCAAGCCCAGGAGGAGCAGCAGCAGTCGCTTGACGTATCTGCTGCTGCCGCTGCTGCTGCTGCTCTGGCCCCACCGCCAATGGGTGAGGCTTCGGCGTCCGACTTTCTGCACGGACTTGTGGCGCAGATCACTGAGTCTTCGCCGAGATCTACTACGGCGGACCCCTTCCTCTTAACGCAGCAGGCGCTCGAGGCAGAGCTGGCGTCAACCCGCCAGGCCATCGTGGAAAAGGACGTGCAGCTCCTCAGCGCCAAGGAAGGGAGCACGCCGGCCGCTTCGGTCCCGCCGACGGACCGGACGGTACTTGAAGCGCAGAGCTCTAAGAACACGATCGCACTCGAAAACAGCACCAAGCTGGCGGACGTGCTCCGCGACTTGGCTCAGCGGCTCGAGGCCGATGTCGCTGCGCTCAAGGAGGACATTGCTGCTCGGAAGGCTGAGCTGCAGTCCATGGCCAGCGAGGAACAGGCACTTGACGTGCAGCGCGGTGCGCTCATCGACGTGCGGGCGTACGTGGAGGACGTGCTGAAGATGTGGAAGGAGGTGAGTAACTTTCGAAGGCGTTTCCGTGGCCCAAAGCTAACGTGGCAGAAAGGAACACTGCCGGCTGCGCCCTTACCGCAGTTCCCGTTGCTCCTCCGAACAACGCAGGACCCTGCAGCAGGCGCGGGTTTCACCCCGCCGCCATCCTCGCTGCCCAAAAAGCGCGGACGCCCAGCTCGGTCCGCGCAGAAGGCGTCCGTCGTGCCCGCCGCCCTCGCGCACCTGGTCCCGGATCAGGAGACGGTGCGCCAGCGCGAGGCTGACACGCCGATGCGAAGGAAAGGTATTAAGCGCTCCAAGCATGAACTCGAGCGTGAGAGGCAACGTGAGGCAGAGGAGGGAGAGATGATGCGCAACCTCGTCGGCATGGGCGTATGGGCTAGGGACGCATACGATGTGTCGATTGAGGACGACTGAGCAGACCTTCGAAGGACTCCGTCAATTACTTGCGCAGCCAGCAGGGTGATAGGTGGGCCCCTCGGCAGCGCGCAGTTGGGCAACCAATGTTGTATCCTTAGCCATATATGTAAGACACTACACTTCACGGGCTTGCGGTAGGTATCGCCGTATATCCTAGCAGACAAGCGTTAGAAGACTTGGTGCAACCATGTCGAGGTGCTGTTGCCGATCCATCTATCACTCATCCCGCCGACCCATCCAGTCAGCGCGTTCAGTCAGCTCAACCTCAACTGCACTGGTCGCGACCCAGTTCTGCAACTAGAGAAGTGTACATGCCAAAGAAAGAATGCTAAACAATGCGTTTTTGCGCGCCAACGTGCGCCTACTGTGTCCCCTCCTCCTCCACGACTCGGACCTTGTGCGTCGCCGAACCGTTGGTGGGGGAGGTCTACTCGTCTGACCGCCTGGGCAATTTATCGCTGCTCAGTGGCCTCAGCGGCCTCAGCGGAGACAGCGCCCTCAATGAGCTTCGGGGCAACCTTCTCTTCCGGGTTGGCCTCGATCTGGGCCTTGATGCTGTGCAGCTCACGGAAAAGCTCGGTACGGAGGAGCTGGCCGTAGGGCGTGAGCTTGGACGCGGGCAGAGAGAGCTGGGATGTTAGCTATTCATCTCTGCACTCGTAAAAACAGCTGAACCCGGCTGTATCTGCTTGCGCGGCATCGGCTCCATGGGAGCGATAGAGGCCAGATCAGACGACCATCGCCATTCGCCAAGGAAACAGACCGTTCCAAGGCAGCGCAGCTCCGGAGTAATTCCTTAGACGCTTAACCCTCGGCTCGGCTTTCCTTTCTGCCGCGATACTGTGAATACTTACAAGCAGGCCCTCGACACCACCAGCCTTGTCGACCGTCTTCTTATCCCGCGCCGCGAGCTTGACGCGCTTGAGGTGCGGTCCGCGCACGAACTTGGACTCGTTGAGGTTGGCGAGGTTCTGTGCAATGGTCGGCGCACCGCCAAGAATGTTAACGGGCATGTTCATGATGTGCACGTTCGGCTTCCAGTTGCGCCGCGTCTTCTTGAGCGAGAAGGGCTTGTTGTTACCCGACTGCTGCGCGGGAAGGGGCAGAATGGCGGGGTGCGCCTGCTTCGAGAGCAGCTTTCGCGCGCCGAAGTTGCGCAGAGGGGCGGACATCGTGGGCTCTGGAGGAGTGGTGGTGTGCAAGGTGTGGTAGCGAGCAGCGTCGAAATCTCGGCGTCGAGCACTGGCGAGAGCGCTCGCAAAGAGCAGAAACGGGCGTTTTTTTCTGAAGTCTCCGACCTCCACATTTCCCACGTGGGAAACCCAAACCGGCTGTGCCTGGTCCACTCTTGGGTGGGAGGGTAAGTGGCATCTTGTCGTGGTGGCTGCAACCATGCACAGGTGAGTCTGCTGAAAATACTGATGCATGTCGCTATCAAGTGATCGATTAACATCACCTGAGACCTACACCCCACCCTCCCACTCGGTGGCGTCACCACAAGCGGCAGTCGATAGCAGAGAACGTCTCTGACCGGGACCTGTGGCGCCGTCACAAACGCACACCGCGGACTGCCAACTTGAACTCGGTCTTCCACGAGTGTGGGGAGGCTAGAGATTCGAGAGATTTGAGATTTGAGAGTTGGGGAGTTGAGAAAAAGGTGAGATATTTGAGAGTTAAACGTTGAAGCCATGAATTAGAGCCTTGGGCCGGAAGGAGCCGAGAGCTGGATCTCGGGAGATCGTGCACCGTCACACAAGGAGAGGCAGCCCCACATGAGACTTCTTGTTGCCACGGTACAGGGTAATTGCAGTGCCCCCAATAGCCACAATAGAGACCTGCAATCAGCTCTGTTCCAGGGCACTTGCTGCGACGCTTGACTCGACTGTAGTAGAGCGAATCTGCAGCACTGGGGATCGTCGTAAATGTAACTCACTCCAGTTCCTCCGTCATACTTCTTGCTGCTACCATGCACTCGCAGCGTGGTCGTCGAACGCCATACGCGACGTCTTCGCGGCTTTCGACGTCGCTTACTCCCTTGAAGGCCTGAGATAGAAGGACTGCACATGTGGCGTCACCGCCGGTCACACGGGCCACTCAGTGACCTAGCAGGTAAACCTTGCCTATCCGCGGGTGAGTGATCGTGCCACGTCACTCTTGCCATCATGTAGTGGCTAGCCATACTGTTAGCTCGGGCACTGCCTACAGAACAGCAATGTACTCACTGTACACTGCCCTGCTACAACACCAAACGTGTTAGGGTGATAGTACAACTTCACCTGCTCCACCTTGCGGTGGGGCTAACTGCCGATCTGATGTCAGCTGGTCCGGGTTCGTGGGAGCGTTGCGCCCCAGCTCTCTGGCTGGGCCACTCACTCGATCTCTCTCGCTGTATCCCCGTACTTGCTGTGGTCGTGCAACTTAACGGTTGTTCCGTTGCTGGCACTTGCAAACTGCTGTCAGATCCTTCTCTAGCCTCGTGATATGGCTGCGCCTGCGCACTCAAGCCAGCATAGGAGCACTCACCGATGAGCAGCCTGTGAGCAGCCTGTGATCGTACAACGTCACAGAATCCGCATTTGATCTGGTGCGGGACCTGTGGTTGGCTTGAAGTCCTAGGTCCGATGTGACTACAGTAGCCAGGCAGGTGCACAAAGTCTGTGAAAGCTCACCTCGTCCTGACGACGTCTCCCTGTCTAGCCGCCGAGCCATCCAGCCTGGCACCGGGCGGCGAAGAGTGAATGGGCCTGTGATCAGCTCGACGTTGACCGCGTGGAAGCTCACGCCTCGCCTCTGCGCTGGATCGCCCTCCCACTCCGCTGGCTGGTGGTCGTTGCGGACGAAACTGATGGGATGCGAGGATTCCGAGCGACGCGGAGGACGCTCTTTGGCTTCCAAGGAGGACGTGGCGTGTCGCAGCAGTGAGGGAAGGCATACCAGGAGGGCGCACACCTGTCGCGTCGAGGCGCAGACCTGTCGCGGTGGGTTTCAAGGAGAAGGGATGCGAATCCTGCCCCAGAGAGCCTCGCGTGCTTCATACTCGTATCGTAGAAGATCCCGCCGTAGCATACAGCACAAAGCAGCCGCTATCGCGCTATCACCCCACCGACGCACAGTGGCAACGACGCATCGGCGTGGGCACTCGGGCTGCCGTCGAGATTGGGTTCCTCCTCCACTTGTCGCATACCGCCTCCGCACGGCGGCCGCTCTCGAGGCAAACTCTGAAGCATTCACGGGTGAAATAAAAGCACATACATGTAACGTCTACGAAGCTACGGCGGCCTAACAGAGGGCCAGGCTACAGTGAGAGAGAAGGAGAGAATCTAGTCGGTCTATGGTTTGGAATGTGTGTGGGCGGTGCGTGTCGGAGGTGCCGTAAGGGCGCCGGTATGGCGGCCGGGGGCTGGCCACGAGGCGGCGTGGTAGTGGCACGGACGTTTGATGCTTACAAAGACACGCCGAGGGCTACCGAGCTCGCGAGCAGTGTCAACGCCACACCGGCAGCGAGTCGGACAGCGTTCGAGCTCTGGGAGGACGTCGGGCTCTTGCTCGCCGTCGTGCTCGGCTTGGCGGGCCTCTCGCACCCAGACTGGGCGCCGTTGTTCTTGAAGCAGGACGTGAGAGCCGGCTCAGAGCTGTTGGAGACCTTGCACACGATGAGGCCGCACTCCGTGCCCATCTGGGCCTCGCCCTTGACCTCGTCGCAGCATGCGCGCGTCACGTTGTTGAGGTTCGAATTGCACGAAACTTCGTCCTGCGCCAGCATCCCCGGCCACTTGCCCGAGGCGAACCAGGAAGCGCCCTTCAGGCCAGGCGGTCCATGGCAGGTGCCGTCGTTGGGCTCTTCCTCGGCGGACTCAGAGGGAGAGGTAGAGGAGGCGGAGGCGGAGGGAGAAGCGGAAACGGCAGAGTCGGCATCGGCGGAGGGCGAGGCGCCGAACTGGAGAAGGGAGGAGCCAGGCATTTCAGACGATACGGAGGGAAGCTCAGCCGGAGCGGTGATCATGGGCACGTCGCCGGAATCGGCGAGGGAGGTGACGAGGGACACGGACATGGCTGTCGTTGAATGAGAGAGTGATGGAGAACAACAATGAGCTGCATAAGCATACCTCAGAGTACGAGCTATATGGTTGGCGCCATGGTCGGTGGCCAGTAAGGGTGCAATGGTGCGACGATGCCGGTGCTGTGTAATTTTGGCCCGCACGGCTACACGGACGTTCGGCGCGGCTCGTGCGTGCCCGACAATTGGTGCGGCCGGTGCGGCGGCGTAACGAGGGGTACGATGGAGGCCGCCGGGAAGGACTCGCGGGCATGGCGCACGGGCTGGCTGAAAGGGCGACGTGGCTTCGAGCGGGGCCCAATGCACGCGTTAGCGTACCGCCATAGGGGCAAGCCCATCTGCTGCGCCCGGATCCGTTTCACTGGAACGCGAGCGACGATGGAACGCACTTTGCAGCACCAGAAACGCACTGATGCTGCGCACTCCATGCTTTAGCTTTGCCGGAACGGCACGACCCAGCACGCGTCGCGATCGAGCGGGTGACATGCTTCATGCCACTTGCCACTGTCGAAATATTGATCCCGGGCTGACCGAGATCGTCAGGTGTAGCGTCATCGAGAAGCATGGTGGAGGCCGTTCACCTTGCCACCCAAGATTGACCAACTTCCTCATCTCCCCAGCATGCCCCCGATCCCCTCGATGGAGGAGTGCAGGTACATTGCCCTCCAACTCGAGAAGGGTGGCTATGAGTCCATTCCACCGCCAAAGGAGCTCGACCTTCTCACGGCCGCCGAATTCCGTTTGCTTGTTCAGCAGGCACTGGGCTCATACCGACCGGCTCCGACGAGACGATGGCGGCTCGGAATAGCTGGGGCGCTGCAGAGCAACGCGCGGCATTTCTCGGGCCTCGAGGGCATGGCTGTGAGTGCACCTTCCTCCCCCCTTGTGCTATTCCTGTACCTCAACGCTAAACCGACTGTTCTCGTCGTAGCTGACAGCAGGATGCGGCGACGGTTGCTGAACTGAAGCAACTGACCTCGCACATCTCTGCAAAGGCCGATGAGCTGGAGAAGAACCCCCCTTTTCAGCCGTTCGGCCGCGAGGAAGCCATCGCGCAGGCAGCCGCGAGCTGGTTCAAGCACGAGTTCTTCCGCTGGGTCGATCCCATCAAGTGTCCCGCGTGCGGGGGTGAGACGCAGTGCACTGGTTCTGACAGTCCGAACATCACTGAGCGACAAGGAGGTGCAACTCGGTGTGAGATCTGGACTTGCAACAGCTGCCAAACACCACGCCGCTTCCCTCGGTTAAACGCTATCGATGCACTGATCAAGAGTCGGGAGGGAAGGTGCGGCGAGTTTGCTCAGCTGTTTTACGCCGTCTGCCTGGCGCTTGGACTCGAGGCACGCTACGTCTGGAACTCGTGAGTTTCACCTGACCTTACAGCAAACTGACAGCAGCGAGGACCATGTCTGGACCGAGTTCTGGAGCCCGACGGCGGGACACTGGGTGCATGTCGACAGCTGCGAGGCTGAGGTCGGCAAGCCGCAACTCTACGACCGCGGATGGGGGAAGAAGCAGGCTTACTGCCTTGCCTTTGGCCCGTATGGTGCCGAGGACGTCACACGGGCGTATGTCGATGACTGGGGAGAGTGTCTTCAGCGCCGCGCCGAGAAGCGTTTCGGACCGGACGGACAGCCCACCGGCGAGCGGGATCTGGCTAGAGTAAGTCGAACGTCGTCTACCTGTCATCCAAGGGTGATAGTATGTGCTCACCCATCTTCAGGCTCTCGCGACATACACTGTCCGACAGCGCCGGAACATGAGCGAAGAGGAGAAGGCACGTCTTTCGAGTATGGACGAGGCGCAGGCGAGGTGGATCGCCGATGAGAAGCGGCGCGATCGCGAGGCGGAGGAGAGGGACCTGAGGGGCAAGGGAAGGGAGAGCGGAACACAGGAGTGGAAAGAGGCGCGCGGCGAGGACGGTAAGAAGGATTAGCGCTGTGTTAGTAGAGTTGTAGACATTAGATATAGAGACTACCCATACTCGCAGACTAGCACCAGCCGACCACTCAACATCTGGCCCTATCTTGAATGGTGCATGCAATGATGATGTCTAGTTACGGCTAAAGGGTATCCGGAACCCGGAGAGGAGGGCGCGGGCAAACTCCTGCGAGTCGGCACCGCGGAGGTTGGTTTTGAACACAATGTCGAAACCGTGGAGGCGGGGGTACGAGTCGATGCTGTTCTCGATCTGGGGGAAGAGGCCCATGGCGGCGGGAGGGAGACCCATGGCAACGACGCCAGAGATGGCGGAGGGGGTGTTCTTGTTGGACGAGACACCGGGAAGCTTGAAGCCGGGGTAGTCACGGAGACGGGGAAGGACGAACTCGACAAAGCTCTGGAGGAAGTCGTACATGGGCTCACCCTTGATCTCGACCTTGGTCGAGATGGGCATGCCCTGGCGGAGCTTCCATGCGGCGGCAGACTTGCGCGCACGCAGGACCTGGACACCCTCGTTCATACGTCCGGCGCCCTTCTGCGACTCTCCCGAAACGGTGCGCAGCGCCATGATCGCATCCAGCAGCGCCTGCTTCGTTCCGATCGCCTCCTTAACCATTGAGTGGATCGTGATGCTCTCAAGCGCAGGGATCAGTTCCGGCGTGATGGGGCGGTTCAGCGGGCGTTCCGGACGGTTACCGCGCGGCATGGCCTTCGGCCGGTTCGCCTCGTATCCCGTCAGCATCGGCGCCGGCTGCGCGGCCTTGTCGGCAGCCTTCCTGGCCTCGGCAGCGTACACCTGGTTCGCACGGTGGTTGTACGCCATGTACATCATGTCGGTCTCGAGCGTCTGGGCGTAGTGCTCGCCGTAGCGGGAGGGGTGCGTCGGGCCCAGGTGGATCGCGGGGACGACCCAGTCATCGGCGGCAGTGTCCTGCGTCTTGGTCGAGGACGAGGCGTGGCGGGCGGGGATGAGGACGGAGGGAGCCGACGGGCGCAGCACGCGGCTGGCGGACGCCGCGGCGACATGGTCGAGGTGTGGGGTGACGACGAGGTGGTCGATCGAGATAAGCAAAAGATCGAGCTGGCCGCAGCGTCTCGCTCCGGGTGCAGCGAAATCTCGACTTTTTGGCCGAAAGGATTGGGACAGGGCGGACGGAAGAAAAAAGGCACGCGACCACCTCCACCCACCCGGTCTCACGCCTATCGTGCTCTCCAGCCAGCTGCGTCATGGAGGTCGGCCCCTCACGCCGGTGCAGCGATGCCGGTGCGGGCAGACCATGTCATCGGCGCTCACTATCAACGACCAGACCTTCCCGGACAGTCCTCTGATCACCGACTCGACAGCAGGCGGCACCACTCGGCACAATGCCCTCGCCGCCCCTCTCGATCATCCAGTCACTGTCGCCCCGCGTAGCTGTCCTCGCCAGTGACGACGTCAACGACTCGTGCAACGCCAACGGCTGCAAAGGCCTCGAAGAGCTTCTTCGGCCATGGGAGGGCGGCACGGAGCGGGGTGAGTCGAGCTGATATCAGCGGTGCTTCAAGTCCAGTCAACTGACTCCCAGTGTCTATCTTGTCATCGACACTCCAACCGACCGTGCACCCGAGCTTCCCTCTCCGCTTTGTTTCCTACCCGAGCGTGTACCAGCAGCTGAGCTCACCGAATCCGGACATCATTGTCGACCTCATCGGATCATGCGTCGGAAAACACTCACCTGGTATGTTGTCTCGGATCACGCGACCTAACTTTCAGATGAGGACCAGCAATACCCCACGACGCGCGCTCTGCTCCTGTCGTCCCGCCCACTTGCGCCGCATGAGACGTTCAACCACCCCGTCGGCGTCATGATCGCGATCTCGACCACGACGCCGGACCCGATGGGCACGCTGACGAGTCTGTATGGCCAGGCAGTCGGAACCGGTGCGCAGGCGGCCCCTTGGATGGACGGCGTGCAGGTGCTCAAATTCTTCGTCGTCGTGCACGACGTCGCGAAGGCGGGCTCATCGCTCGTCAAGGCCGAGGAGCTGCTTGCCAACGTGAAGAAGGCGTACGGGCCGCACTCGACTCTGCTTGTTATCAACTCACGGCAACAGGCGGGCGACGTCTCGACGGACGTGACTACTGCCGAGGGTCCGGATAGCCAGGGCGACGCCGGCGCGCTGTCCCAAATCTACGCCAACGCACTCTCCTCGTTAACGTTATCGCCCATGGGCGCTGCGGCTCAGATGGAGGAAGACGGCCCGCCGAAGACGTACGCCAGCCTCCTGACGTCTGAGGACATCCAGCGCCTCATGGCGCTCGTACGTGAGCTCGTCGTCCAGAGCCTAGTCCCATGGATGGAAGCTAGAATTCGCGAGTGGAACGAGGCATACCAGTCGTCTCGCCGTGGACTGACGGGACGGCTCTTCGGTGCAGGACGGAAGCTCTTCTCCTCACGCCCCTCTAGTCCTAGCACTACTACGGGGCCAGCGGGCTACAACGCCATCAAGGGTTACTACCCGGTCAACTCGCCCGATGGACTCTCACGCCGCCTCGCCGACTTTGCTTTCATGCTCCGTGACTACCGATATGCTGCCGGGGTGTACGACTCGCTCCGGAGAGACTACGTTCAAGACAAGGCGTGGCGGTACGCAGCGGCTGCGAACGAGATGGTCGGCTTGTCACAGCTGCTGTCCAACGCATTCTTCCTCCCGAACACCCCGCCCGGCTCCATAGTCCCCTTCACGACACTACAGCACACCGAGATTTCGACGTGCCTCGAGAACGCAGTCATCTCGTACTACCAGCATGGCCCACCTGGACACATCCAGCTGGACGCTCTGCGCGCCACCGTGCTGTACTACGAGGCCTGGAAGGCTATTCAGGAGTGGCGCGGTGTGGGCTCAGCACTCGTCAAGGGTGCAGGCGAGGCGGACGAGGTACCGTGTGCTGTCCTTGTCGAGGAGGCTGCCGCCGCCGACGTTAAGGGCGGAAAGAGCAAACGCGGCAGCCGACGACAATCGCTTCACCTCGTCATGGCGGCGAAGAAGTACGAGAAGGCTGGGTACAAGGCTTTCTCGCGGCGGTGTCTCGAGCAAGCGGCGTCGCTCATGCGCGGCGCGCCGTGGAAGGCTGCGCTTGACAACCTCGAGTACGCCCTTGGACGACAGGCGTACACGCTTGGCGAGAGCGCGGTTGCCGTCGAGCACTTCCTCCGTTTACTAAAACGCGAGGACACCAGCTCGCCTGGTCAATCAATGGTGCTTGAGGACATGGCGCTCGCGTACGAGCACCTCCAGAACCACCCCGATCAGCTGGAGGCGGCCAAGGGCAAGCTCAAGCTTCCGACCCCCATCTTTGACATCTCCAAGACGAAGATCCTCCTGCCGGAGGCCTCGTCCGAGCACAGCACTGAAGGTTGGGAGATACTTGAGAAGAAGGCGCTGGCGAACTGGGACCGCAAGGGCAAGAAGCCGCTGAGCATTCTTCCGGATCCCAGGAAGATCGCCGCTTGCGTGGGAGAAACGTTATGCGTCGAGCTCATTGCCAGCAACCCACTCAATGCCCCCATTGTCCTCGAAAACCTGACTGTCGGCGTCGAGCCGGCGGCGGCCGTCGAGGTGCAGACGATCGACGAGGTCGCTCTTGCGCCGTATGAGACGGGGGCGATCCGGCTTGCCATTACACCCAAGGCTGAGGGACCATTCACGGTTGCAAACGCGACATTCACCTTCCACCGCTTCCTCCCCTGCGTAGAGAGTCTCGAGCGCAAGGGCAAGCGCCTGTTCGCTACGAAACAGCAACGTCTCAAGCCCATGTACGCCAAGGACACGTCACTGACAGTGCATGCCGAGGCGACTCGGCCGCGGCTGGAGATTGAGCTCACCGGTGTACCAGGGAGTATGTTCGAGGGGGAGCTCGTCGATGCCGAGATCACACTGCGAAATAAGGGCACACTCGGTGTCGAGAACGTCGGGCTCATCACGAACCACTACGGCGCCATCGTCTCGCGTGAGTTATCTCAGACCAGTCATCAACTGACAGCAGATACCTCGCATTCAAATACCCCCGCATCGATACCCAACCGCCTCCAGCCCATCGCTCCTGTGCCGCTGTACGATGGCGTGATCGAAGCGGGCAAGAGTGTCACGGTTCCCGTTGTTTTCACAGCGGTGGCCCCGGGCGCGCTGGACGTCAAGGCGCTTGCCATCTTCTCGGCGGCCGGCACCGACGTGCTCGGATGCTCCCGGGTGTCGCACGCGGCTGAGGTGCGCAGGGCTCTTGCGATCAGCACCGAAGTCGCACCGGCAAGGAAGGGATACTTCCTGGCTGTCACCGTCACGAACCACGCCGACGTACCGCTCGAGGTTACGGGCCTGAGCGCTGTGTCGGAGTACTGGCAACTTACGTCGCCGGCGGATGTGTCGCCAGAGCCGCTACTGCCGCAGCAGACGCAAAGACTTGTGCTGAGCGTGCAATCAGGAGGCGCAAACGTGGATCTGACGCAGACTCGCCTGGTATCAAACCTCAGTCACGTCCTCGCCGGCCGACCAGAGGCGATCGAACCCATCGAGCCTGGAAGCGTCAAGCTGCAGGTTCCGACGGCAGAGTACCTTCGCGCCAGGCGAGCATGGCGGTTGCGCTTTGCGACGGAGCACTTCCCGACGCTGCCACGGGAGCTTGTGCCTCGTATCCTGCCGCTTCTGGACCCCCTCGAGCTCGACCTCGTCGCCTCCTGGGCGGCTGAGAACCGGTATGGCTTTGCGTGCGCGCATGGCATCCGCCCAGCGCCGGCCTTCAGTCTTGTCGAGTCTCTGCGCGGCGGCGAGTCAACGGCCAAGCGGACAATGTACGAGGAGACGGGACGACAGATGCGCGCGCTCAACGAAGCGGTGCTCGAGGGCGTGTTCGCGGACGAGGCGGATCCGCTACTCGTGCGGACAAGGGTGCCTTCTGCTAAGCAGGGACGAGTAACCCACGACTTTGCCAAGGGGTAAGCTACTTTGATGCGTCCCGTTAGCTGACAGCAGATCTTTATCGCTCCCCGTCGAGCTCGAGCTCGAGAACCGAAGCCCGACGCTCCCTGTCCGCTGGATCCTAAACCTGCCCCAGGGTTCGGTGTACACCGGTACACTGTCACATCGGGGCACGATCCCGGCCGGCGGCCGCGCAAGCGTCAAGACGCACGCGTGGGTGTGCGAGCCTGGGCGTGTGCCGCTCGGCGGCTGGGAAGTAATCCGAGAGACTGGCGACGCCGAGACCGACGGCGAGTGGGTGCCGCGCATGAGCTGGATCGGTGCTGGCGGCGGCAGCGTGGAGGTCGCCGCGGCGTAGCGAAGGAGGAATAGACGGTTCATAGATGTCGGTCATACACATACAACTGCAGATAATCAGCGGCAGACCCGTTGTACATGTATTAATGAGCATGCCACAAACTTGGCACGAGGATGCACGGGAGCACGGCACATGCACGATGCACGCGACATGAGGTCACGAGACCAGGCCCGGAAGCATGCCATGCACTGCCAGCCATGCATGTCCGCAATCGTGTTTATGGATCACGGACTCTTGATCAGAAGTCACGACGCGCAGGATCAAGATCAGGATCACGCGTGATTTGTGATCTTCGTGCCTGAATATATGGACGTTCTACTATGGGACGTATCACGTGACCAGTAGTCTATACTTGGAGATCACATAGTGCCGGCTTAGCGTGATCTGTGACGCACGGTACCAAAACATAACTGCACTCGTCACTGCCCCCCGCTGACGCCGCCACCGAACACCTCAGGGTCCCGCATCCTCCCACCCGCTCGGAGTCGCTTCGAGGTTATAAGCCCTTCGTTACATCTCTCGTCCCAACAAACTCACAACTTCTCTCTCTCTCTTCACCACCAACCCCCACTACTACTCAATCAACAATGTCTGGACGCGGAAAGGGCGGCAAGGGTCTCGGCAAGGGCGGCGCCAAGCGTCACCGCAAGGGTTAGTCTACACTCCACCATCATTCCACCGCTCGTCACCACCATACGACACCGCCTTTCCTCTCCTCTTCTCTTCTCACAAAAACACCTCATGCTTTCTTCACGAGAACACTCGCTAACTCTGCGCAGTCCTGCGTGACAACATCCAGGGTATTACCAAGCCCGCTATCCGCCGTCTCGCTCGCCGTGGTGGTGTCAAGCGTATCTCCGGCCTCATCTATGAGGAGACCCGTGGTGTCCTCAAGATCTTCCTCGAGAACGTCATCCGTGACTCGGTCACCTACACTGAGCACGCCAAGCGCAAGACCGTCACCTCGCTCGACGTCGTCTACGCCCTCAAGCGCCAGGGCCGCACCCTCTACGGTTTCGGCGCCTAAGCGCGTCGCTGACCGGGCGCGAGTCGCAAGTGCCTTACTCGCTCTCGACGACTCGCCGCTCATCAACGCATACTTCGTTCTTTGTTCTGCGGCCTCGCCGCGAAGAGCAACCCGATTACCAACTTCGCTTTTTGATTAGTTCTTTTTGTAGCCTGGTCACAATGGATCGGCACGAGCCAGATAACAAATAACTTCTAGTTGCACTGGTAACACTTTTGCATAGGAACGAGCGACTGACTGGTTGATGGGGAGTGGGCGGGGGTGCTAGATCTCTTGGGTCACGAGTGCGCGGGAACCGGAGTCATGGAAACGCTGCCCTTGGCTGGGCAGGATTTCATTCCGCACCGGCTGACAAGGGCCAAGGGCTTACTAGGCACTGCGGAGGTGGAGGTGGCCGGTGGCAAATCGAGTGGCAACCAGAATTCGAGAATCCAGGCCCATCGGTCTGCGGTTCTTTCGACTCGGATCCGTGATTAACGAGTTCTGCATGCAATGCGGGGGATTATGATACAACTATGGACCTCAGTGGAGATTTCCATGCAAGCGGGAAAGATGCGTGGGGAGATTCGGGTCCGAGATAATGGGCCAGACGCGGGCGTGTCGACTGAGCGGCCAGAAGCAAGAGTGGGGGCGGCGCTCGCCATCGCCGAAGATCGGCACATTGGCACATCGGCAGTTCGCGGAAAGTTCCAGACCACCGTCGGCCCTCTCGTTCATCCAGACTTCAAGACCTTCGGCTGGGTGGCAAACGATACCGACGGCTACGCCAGTGCTGATGGTGGCGAATGGCGGAGAGGCGGTTACTCATCCTCGTCCTCCTCGCCCTCGGGCTTGGGGAAGAACTCGCCCTCGGGCAGCACGGCGCGGAAGGCCTTCTCGCCCTGCTCAGCCTCCCAGTCCAGACCCTCTGTCAGCATGTGCCGGCCACTGTATGGCTGCACGAGCACCACGCCCTCGGGCGCCTCCTGCGTATCCTTCGCGCGGTGAGCGAGGTAGTACGCCTCGAACGCAACCTCGCCCCCGATCTTCTCGAGGTACGGCCGGAGCAGCTCCTTCGGGTCTTTCTCGCCTTCAAGTTCCGAGAAGAGGTAGACGACCCACTGGCCCGCAGGGCAGGAGCCAGTGCCCTCGCCCATGATGAGCGCTCGGACGAGCGGCGAGTTGTCCGTGGGCGGGAAGATGACCACACCCGTGTCGTCGTCCTCTGCCTCTTCGTCCTCCTTGGCCGGCCGCTTCAGACATCCCGGCTGCGAGGTCACGACAGCAACAGCATGGGCTGTGACGTTCTTCTCGGATCCGGAAGCCTTGGTCACCTTGGCGAGGAAAAACGGCGATGTGACGAGGTGCGTTGCACGCAGCGGCGTGGGATGAGCGGGGACCTTGACTTGGACGCCGCCCTGGTCCTTGGCGTCGTCACCAGCTGCGCTGTCGGCGCCGGCCGCTTCGATCTCGGGCATAGCCTCGGGTCCGAGCACGTACGTTCCGCCGAACACTGCGCAAGCACTGGGCGTCAGCTTGAGCTCTGGGTAGGGGGCTTCGGACTCACCGGCAGTACCCTTGTGCGACCTCGCCGGCACCACCGTACTGGCCAACGAGGAAGGCACTCGGTCCGTACCGGCCGATGCTTCGGAGGTACCTCCTCGCGCGCACGAGGGCGGGTACACTCTGCTCCTCGGGCGTGGCGAAGGAGACGGCGTACGCGACCGCCTGCGCCAGGTGGTCCGGGAGTGCAAAGGTCTCCTTCAGAAAGGCCAGCATGTCCTTCCCCCCGGCGCCTGGAATGAGCTCATGTGACCATGACGACAGCTCACCTTTGAAAACCTCGTCCTCCTCGAACTCGCCTCCTGCGAAGAGCAGCGCGTTCATCAGCTTGCGCTTCTCCGGGAGCGAGATCCACTTGTCTCGGAACACATCCTCCTTGCTCCCTGGGACTCGGCGGGGAGAGTCAGACGAAGCGTCCCACATGCTCACACCGTCGAGCAGCCGGAAGCCGACGTACTTGGCTACATCGGACGAGATGAGCGTGGATACAAGCGTTCCCCGCGACACCATGAGCGCCGGGAACAGCGAGAGCGCATATCGCCGCCTGTCCTGGGCGAGGGAGCCGAGACCAGTCGTGGAGCAGTGAGTGTAGATAGCCCGCTGAGATGAGCCGTAAGGCGTTGCAGTCCACGAGGAAGACGACTCAGAGGAAGACGGCTCCGACGACTCAGCGCCCCGAGCTTCAGCCCAGGCCACGAGCTCGTCGAGCGTCAAGCTGGCCTGTTCGCCTCCATAGTACTCGTTCGGGTCAAGGTGGAGGACGCTCTTGCCAGCCTTGGCGAGGGCACTGTAGCATCAGCAACTGTTGTTGAGTAGAGGGTGTGGTGAGGGAGCACGCCAGCGATAACATGATCGGAAGCGGGGTCCCGAGTCTCCGGGTGGAGGACTGTTGTTCTTTTCGACTGGACTCGTAATCAGATAGCCGTACTCGATCTGCGATGAACCATGTATGTGCAAGCGCACAAACAGAGCCAGCGGCTAGCCGACTCGGCCGACCGATAAGAGAAAAGTCGGACTCACGCAGCGGCTATACTTTCTGCGAGCCCTGTGCCGAGAACGATCACGTCGTATCTGTCCGAGTCGAGCATGGTGGTTTGGATTGCGGGTGAGTCGGCGGATCGGCGGGAGAACCTTGGCTGGGACAGAGTGGACTGCGAGGGTGGAGGCGGCCGTTGGGCGGTGGGAGGGGTCTTTATTCATGCCACCCACTCAAGACTTGTCGAGATTCGAGTCAACTCGATGCTCGGCCTTGGAGGTCTGCGGTGAGTTGAGTGAGAGGCATGCCACGTGTCAGGGTCCCGGTGCTGATCGACTCGTTGCCTCTGACTCTGGCTGGCGCCCGACGGTGGGTAGCCCACGTCCACACCTCACAACCATCGACATCTCCCCATCGACTACTTAACCCCCGTCCACCCTCCTTACCCCCTTACCTAACCCCCCGACAAACATCAGCAACCATGGCGACGTCTCTTGCAGTTCCAATCGCGTACATCACCGTGCTCGTCACGGCGATGGCCATCTTCTCGCGCATTTACCGTCGTAGGCGAGCTGGTGAGTAACGATCACATCGGCTCCGGGTTTCCCAATCCAGCCGAGGTCTCTAAAGATATTTGTCAACAAACTATCTGGACAACCTCAGGCATCCGTGGCCACCCGAGCTACTGCTTCGATGCATAAGCTAACCCTACCAGCCGAGAAGACGTCGTTCGAGCCATGGTTCCCTGCCCACCCCGCGCGCGACATCTACATCACTCTTCTGTCGGCGAACCCGCCCGTCCCCGAGTCGATGCTCAAGAGCGCTCTTCTCGTTCGCGCCACTGCGGACGTCAAGCGCATCTGGCGCATCAAGGAGGACAAGCAGGCTCTCGCGTCGCTCCATCAGCGCGGTCTCGTCGGAGACGATACCATGGCCCGATTTGCTGCAGCCGAGAAGGAGCTCGAGGCTGAGATTGTCGATGTCGTCTCCGAGGCCAACACGTTCCGCAACGGCTGGGGATCCATGATCTTCGCGACCGCCAGCGAGATGGCGCACTCGGAGAAGACGCGCGACACGGTCATCTCAGTCGGCCGCGCCCGCCAGCTCGAAGGTGAGCTTCATCGCACACTCCGATCCGGAGTGGCGCACCATCGCCTCAGCAACAGTCACTGACATCGTTACAGAGAAACGCATGGAGAAACGCGCCAAACTCCTCGGCATCCCCATGCACCAGGTGCCCGCGACGTCGATGGCCGAAGTTCAGGCCGTCGCCGGCTCTGCTCCCTCGTCGGGCGCCGCCACCCCCAACAAGTCCCAGTCCAACACACCCAAGAAGGTCTCCCCTCCCAATTCTCGCAAGGTCTCCGCCGCCAAGTAGCATAACAACCACTGTAGCCCTAACTAGTATATCTCAACAACACCGCAAGCCAGCAGCCGCGACGAAATACCCTCTCCTTCTCTCTCTCGCCGGAGGAATCCCACAAGTCAACTGTTGCAACAAAGCGAAACCGAAACCACCGAACAATGCCCCGCTCGGCTCCGGTCTCTATCGCGCCTCTTTCACAATCAACCAACATCAACGAATACTGTAAAATTGTCTCGAGTTCTCGCTTCTCTATGATCTCTGATCTCCCCACATGCATAAAAATCTAACGACTCCGGTGTCCCCGTGCACCGCGAAGAAACTTCTCATGGAGGACTGACGAGGCGCGGAAATCTTGATCCGGCGTGGGTGCGAGTGAGGTGGTAACGCATGGTGCATGAGTGCCAGCGATGCACTGGCCCTGGCGTGTCAGGTGGCGAGTCCTACTGGCCGAGGGGGGCCAATGCACTCTGCGGTGGGAGGGGAAGGGACGTTTACGGTGATTTAGGGGGCTTGTTTAGTCACCGGACCGTGCTTGCGTAACTTGCAGTACTGACGCCAGGGCTCCGAAAATCGAGTCATCGAGTCGATATCTCGCGTCACCACAGCCTTTAAACCGGCCGCCAGGCCGAAGCCAGAAATGCGGGGTAGCATACGCACGTGGCGCCGGACACCCGGGACACGGCAAGTCTTTCCGGCCAGAAAGACCCTGAAACCTGACCTAGCTGACCTGAAGCTGAAATATCACCGCACCGAAAGAATTAAGAATTATTTCAATGAAGGCAACCTCGAGCTCTCTTGACGTGCGCGGCGCTCAACTCTCCGGAACTGAGGGTCAGGCGCGCACTTTCACGACCTGAGTTGACCTGAGTTGCCTGAAAGGCCAAGGGAGGGTTGGTCGGTCTCGAAGCTGAAGCTGAAGCTGGACAGGCAGACATGCACACACCTCAGGCTCTCGACGCAAAACTTACATCACGCTTCTCGCTCGGATCTTGGCAGAACCCATCTCGTTCTCCGCACTCCGCACCGCTGCCGCACCCGTCGCCGCATGGGTCACTGTGCTTCTCAGTCCCCGGCGTCCTGCCTGTGGACGATGCCAAGCATTCCGAAGTCACCGGCGTCTGCGTCTGACGGGCACACGAGTCCAAAGGGCAAAGAACATTGTGACCCACATGGACACGCTGGCGTTGCCGAATTTTAACTGGGACATGACAACTGGTGGCGAGTGCCGCCGGTGCGAGGACCATTTGTGACGAAACGGCGTCGATCCCGATCACCAGACCTTCGTCACCATGCTGCTCTGCTTGTATATTCTGCCGCTCGCCGCGAGCTGGATTTGTGCTGGTCAGGAAGGTGCATACTTTCGCTTTCTCACTAGCTTTCGCCTAGAGCTTCTTTCTATACTATATAAAACTACGTGACACCACGCTCCGCTGGCCGTGCCGCAGCTTTACATGATGCCCTTCGCCGCCTTCCAGACTCACGACTCACGTACGTCACGATACAAACATGCGGCCGCCACTTTTACCGGCGCCAGCCTGGCCACCGGGGGTATGAAGGGACAAACCGCGGGGGTCTTGGGGCGAGGGAGGAGCAGCTGCGCACCATCCGCCGCCGTTTGGTTATGGTAAATGGTGTGGGTGGTGTGGGGTGCTTGGGGCAAGGGGAGTTTGGATGAGAATGGGATCACAATGGGAATGAGAGATTTTATGCGCAGGGTATGTGATGGCTTGATATATGGGATGCGAGTAATTACCTCATGACGATGCCGTCGGCGTGGTGCTTATTCGGCCTCTTGTCGTAGTGGTCGAGACCGAGCGCGTCGTCCTGCTGCCACTTGTGGTCGTACAGAACATCGTTGTCCTCGACAACCGACGGCTGCTTGTATACCGTCGACTGGACAAGCGAGAACTTGAACTTGGAGAAGTCCTTATCCGAGACGCCAATCCTCTCCTGTATCCGCTTCTTCGTGTCCTCGAACCGCTCGCCCTCAATGATGACAAACTTGCACGGAACGCCGTGGTGCTTCGAGGGGTCACGCGAGTAGTGGAACAAGTTGACGATGCGCGTGTTGTCCGTAGCGTTGAGCTCGTCGACAGGAATCTCTTCGGCGTACAGCTGAGCAGGGTCCGGTAAGTTGCCGATAAGCTCGGCGCCGGTGTACTCGCGCTGCGACCTTCCGTTGTTCGAGATGCCAAAGATGCGAATCTTGCCAGAGCCTCCAGGCTGCAACTTCACCGTCTTGAGCAGCTGGTCCGCAACGTCGCTGAACGTGCTCGTCTTCGGAAGCAGGAACGGGTGCGTGGCCTCCTCCTTGTTGTTGCGACCGGTCCAGACAATCTTGAGCGACTTCTTCGTCTCGAGCTCGATGATACTGATGTCGAGCAGCTCGTAGTACAGGATGACGTTCGGGTGCTGGCTGTAGTAGTTGGTCTGCGTGATGTCCGCCACGCTTTGATTGAGAGCACGCTTGATGATCGCCTTGGGAGCACCGGTCTGCGGGTTCGACGAAGTGAAGCGAAGCTTGAGGGGGTCGTGCTTCAGGTAGTCTCCGACACGGTGGGCCATGACGTCGTACACCATCTTCTTGCTGAGCATGAGGTCGAACTCGGGTGCCCTGCCCGTCGGGTCTTCCTCGCGAGGCTTGAACTGGACGAGAACGCGGTTCTGGAGGAAGTCGTAGAACTGGGGTACGCTCGAGTACAGAGACTGGGCCTCAAGATCGGACACCTCCTTCTCCGTCATGTCGACCTGGTACGTGATGATATCACCGTCCTGGATCTCGTTCTGCTGGTAGGTGTACTTGACCTTCATCTGCTCGATCATGCCAGCCTTGATCTCCTCGTACAGCTTGATCGGTGTTGAAGAGGGCCAGCCCATCTTCTCCTGAATGACACCGTAGAGGTCGCTGACCTTGCTGTTCTTGTTGACAAAGACCTTGCCCTGACCGAGGAGAGTCTGGCGGCTGCAGTCGAACCACTTCAGGAAGACCATGATCGGCTGGTTGTTCGGGTCAGCGTGCATCTGGTTGAACTTGGCGTGATCCGCGTTGAAGTCGAGGTACAGTCGAAGGTCCGAGGTACGCGCAGCCATGTTGTTGCGGATGAACTCCATGGTCTGGTTGTCGTTGCGCTCGCTGATAGGAACATCGGGGCGGATCGTCTTGTTCTGACGGTTCACCAGAACCCAGAGGCGGAAGTCGTTCTCGGAGATCTTGAAGTAGGAAGCGATACGCTGACGGAAGGTGGCAAACGTCTCGGTTTTGAGGACACGGAATGTCGGCAACTCGGTAGCCGGCAGGTTCTTGTCGTCGAACGACGCGAGATCGAAGCCCTGGTGACGGGCAAAAATGTCATCGGTGATGACCTTCGCGGTGAGGTACAGGTGCTGCTCATTCTTCTCCCTGCGCCTGGCCTCAAGCTGCTCGCGCTCGTCATCGAGACGCTTCTTGAGGTGGACCGGAGTGTCAGCCTCGGTGAACGGCGCAAGGACGTTGTCAAGCTCGCTCTCGCGGATGTAGACAAGCATGTAGGCGTTGGTAGCCTTCTTGATCTTCGGGTCGCGAGCGGCGAGGCGGTGCGGTGGTCCGTTCGGGAGCTCGCCACCGCCAAAGTTGTCCTCGAGAACCTCGCGGTCAAACACGGGTGTGACGCGGTCATCATCAAACTTGAGCCATCGTCCATCCTTCTCGGGCTTAATCAGGGCGAAGTAATGGCCAGTGTTGAGGTCACCATGGTGGACGAGAACGCCGTGCAGCTTGTAGATGTGGGGCACCGAGCGATCAGCGCCCTCCTCGAGGAACTCTTCGAGGTCGATCTCCATCGGGAACTCGTGACGATCGTTGATCTTCGCAAGATCGTCCTTCTCAAAGTCGTACTCGAAACGGCGAAGCTGAAGATGAAGGACAGGGGGGAAGGACTTGAAAATAGCACCCTTCTTGGCCGTCTGGAGTCCGTAGCCCTCGGCCTGGTACTTGTTGTCGCCGTCGAGGGTCTCAACCGAGCAGTAGTCCTTGAAGGAAGCCCGGAGGTCCTTGAGACCCTTGATGGTCAACTGGAGGTCATAAAAGTCCTCGACGACCGAGGACTCGTAGTCAACATCCACACACTTGATGTAAGTCTTCATCTGGCCCTTGAAGAGCTTGGGAATCGATCCCTCGGCGGGCGTTCCCTTCATCTTGGCCTCAAGACGGTCTTGCAGGATACGTGCGAGCTCCTGCACATCGTGCTGCTTAAAGGTATCCGACTCGGGCTTCCATCCAAACGACGTCGTCAGCTCGCGAGTGCCGACAGGTTGGTTGGAGGTCTGGAGCAGGTAGAAGACACGTTGAAGAGCGAGGGCGAGGGATTCTGATGGGTCGTCATTGTCGGTCGGGATCTGGTAGACCGCCTAGATGTTAGCTGGGTCGAGTCGAAGATCTGAAAGCTCACCTTGCGGAACGCGTTCGTGCAGAAGAATGACTGAAGAAGCGAGTTCATGTAACATGTCGCACCCTGATTGCGCAGTCCAACGTAACCAGTCTCCTTCTTCGAGTCGTAGTTGATGAAGTTGTGCCAAAGCACGCCAGTCGGGTCCTTAAGGACACGAACAAAGGCGGTGATCTCTACTTCGTCGTTTTCGATCGTGGGTCGCGTCTTGCCGTTGGCGTAGTCGGGGGTGGTCAGCTTGCGTAAATCGGCGAAGCGAGTGAAACCCCAGTCACACTCCTCGGCAATGAAACGGTGGTGGGCGTCTGAAAGGGGTGTTAGCGATGACAATGACGCATGCCAGCACTACTCACGAGAACACGAGTGGATAGTAGGGTCGGATGGGTTAGAGATGGCGAGACAGAACTGTGCGCATGCATGCCAGCCCTCGGGGGCTGTCTTGGGGTTGGCATAGTCGAGGTAAACCGAGACCATATCATTCGGCTGACCGTTCGCGTTGCCTTGGGGGAAGAGCAGAATGCGCCTGTAAGGAGAAGATCAGCACAGCTCTGTGGACCGTGCAAGTCCAGACTCACCACTTGTGTCCACCACAGCTGAACTCGGGTCCCTGTAACCGTCGCGGCTGCTTGCTCCAGTTCTCGATGCGCCAGGTCTGGGCCTGGAAGTCCTCGATCTCGAGTCCGAGGTCGGGCATCGCGTTGGCCGCGAAAGCCTCATCTATTGAGGGGTTAGATTACTAATGAAGGATCACGGTGCGCGAAACTTACAGTCGTGGACATTTGGAGCCTCCTCGACCTCCATCGGCGCCGGGCTGTCGTCGATGATGATGTCGGTCACGTCGTTGTTCTGCGGCTGCTGCTGCGAAGTCAGCGTGTACAAAGACGGCACGGTATGACAAAGGCCGCAGGGCTGTGCTTGTGCTTCGCCGTAGGGATGCGAATGTCATTCGGCGAGCCCCAAGCGCCAGCTTAGCGTCCATGCAGTGCACTCACCATGGCTGCTCACTCCCCGTTGGGATGGTGCGACAGTGGAGAGGCAGAAGATGAGCTGCAAGGGAGTTGCAACTTGGAGCCCTGTCTCGGTCGGCGGAGGGCAAATGACAGTGGACCAGATGCAAGGGTTGAATGTGAGGGGTTCGAGAGAGGATGTGGCTAAATCGGAGCGTCGCCACGTCGGAACCCTCGTTCGTTTTGCGGGGAAGATGCAGAAGAGCTGATAGATTGGGCTGGAGAAGGGGGATTCAGTCGGAATGGAAGGGTGACAAGTCGTTGATAGCCAGCGACTCGTCTGGACTGGTTGGTGCGAGTGGACAAGTAATGAGCGGCGAGCTCCTCTGATTGCTGACTGACAACGCAAGGCCAGCGCAGGGGACAACGGGCGGCTGGTCATAGCCTCAATCCTCACTGAGCGGGACCAAAATCCGTGGAACGGCTCGTCATCGCTGCCAGGCACGCGTCCTCGCAACGGCCTTACGGCGTTAATCCCCTATGTGGCGCGTCGCGCCCAAGTATTTTAAAGAGCAACTCGTTTTCTCGAAATGTTTCTACATTACCATCCTTCGACTACATCTTCCCGACGATGTACGGCATGCGCTTTCAAGATCATTGACCGAGCTCCGTCTTCCACTGGTTTCCCCTTCCTCCATTTTCCCTCCCTTTTCCTCTCCTCTCCTCCGTTCCCCGCTCCTCTCCCTGCCTCTATCCCAACCCGCGGTTCTTAGATCCGCGACTAGGAGGATCACGCCAATGGTCACTGCCGGGCTCACGCTCGGCACATCAGAACGCGCCCTCCGGGAGCCTTTCGCTCGCCGATTGGTCGCGTATGAGTCAACCCGTGGAAGAGCGTTGCTGTCGCCAGGTCGCCCGTTCTGAGTCGGCCTGGTGATTTTCTGGAAATCACCCCGTTTTGGGGCTTCCGGCCGGCATGCTTGGATCCCGACCGCTGGCTGAGGGCAGCTCCTCGCGAGCTCTCCATCCTTCAGGCGGTGGTAGGGTCTGAGCGAACATCGCTCTGTACCGATCGCATAATTTCTGCTAAAAATTGTGAGTATCCTGCGCTTCGCACCCATCCCTCGCACCTCGTCTTTTCATGATGACAAAAACTCTTCTAATCGTATTCACACTGTGTTACCTTCGGGAATGCACGCAAAAGCTTTACAACGGTATCTGATACCTCCTCTTCCCCCGCACTTCTTTCGCATTCGAAACAGGCGCTGACAGTAAAGACCTCACAGATGAATACACTTGTTGTTGTACACGATCACCGGACATCGCGCACGTTTTACTGACCTTGTACTATACCTCGCCTCAACCTTGCTTCAACTCCCGTACCTCTGAAGACCACCAGCCGGGCCTCTACGGCAGTTGAGTTTCAAGCTGTACGGGGACAACAGTTCCATCCCATGGATTTCGGCGCTTGTCGTGGGCTTTCACAGCCGTGGCCTGTGTCGATTGAAGGGGCGGGTACATTTCCCCTCCATGACTATGAATTTGTTAGCCTACGAAGAATCGGTGTTGCAGTTGCAAACAGGAGTCTGGATTTTGGGATTCAACATGCGAGTGCGGGAGCGGAGAAAGAACGAGGTTGGGGCCAGGCTGGCAGGCTTCAAGCCCGCGACATGGAGAAGCGAAGGAGACCCCGATCCTACAAACGTGGCCGGTCGGAGGCCAGTCAGCCGCGAGGGGGTTACCGGCTTGAGCACAGTGTGAGAGCCTCTGGAGGGTATCAGCCCGAGTCCAGCCCGATCTGCCTTTCTGAGCTCGTAATCTGGTGCACGTTGAAAAGAACAGGTAGGACCATAGAGGGAAACCCTTCTTCCAGCCAAGGCAGACAGCTTGTCCTCCTCGCTCACAGAGTATTAGTAAGTGACAGTGGCAAGCAGGGGTCAGCATGATATCCAAAGTGCATACTCGCACCGTGTGCTACATTATACTCCGCTTTGCGCGACTCTTGCGCTACCAAGCGGCGGTTACAACTCGTGCTGATTCACCGTACTTGCGGTGCAGGTGGCCCGTAGGCACTGTCGAGTAAGGAGAGTTCGTGTGGGTCGGGGGGTGCTGGCCGGTCCGCGCGCCGATCAGAGATGGCGATCAGCGGCTTCCGCGGGCAGTCGCGTGGAAGAGGAGGCGATTAGAAGAAGGCAAGCCAAATGAGACGGATGAGCTCGACGAGGGCTGGAGTTAGCTTGCAGTCCGCTAGCAAAGCTGAAGATAAATAGACACTGGACGTGGCGATCCCAAGATCCCCTGCCGTTCCCGCTCCCGCTGCCGTTTGTGACACACCCGCCACACATTGATGTCGAACAAGGAGTTCCCAACCACGACAGCGGCAGTAACCAGCTGAGCCCTTTCAATCGCCATTTACCACAGCATTGGACGAAGCTACACCGCATATCCTGGCAGGCAGCACCCTGTCGTCACAGGCACATAGCAGCATCGGCCGGTCCAGTCCTGCCCCGCTCTCTCCAGCCGGAGAACTACTCACATCCACCAATAACAAGAAACAGCATGAGGCCAACAATCCACTTGGCCGTGTTGCGCGATCGGAGCGTGCGGCTCGGCTTCGTCGTGCGCTTGCCCGCCATGGAGCGCTGCGCGAACGCCGCGTTCTTCCTCCGGATGTCTGCTTGTGTCGGCTGGACGTCAGCTCACAGAAGACGGTAGGAAAGCTGTCTCTGCGACCATTGCACTGCTCCATCCCAGTCTGTCTGTCCGTGTCGGTGAGGAGCCCAAAGCCTCGAACACGGCTCGTGGCTCTCCTGCCGTAGAGGCGACATGCAGTCTTGGGTGGTACCGCGGGTCGTTGCCGCCGTACCAGTAGGGTGCGCAGCCCCAACCAGCGGCAGATACGACTTTAAGTACGCCGTAGCATCGCAGTGAATCCGTCTGCAGTTCAGCTCAGCTCACTCACCATTGTAAGTCTAGTGTGTGTGGTGTCGAAGTCATGTCACGTCGACATTGTCGTCGCATGGAGGTTGGCGTGGAGGTCGTCCCGTGCTTTTACGTAAGAACGTCTCAGACATGACACGTTAGTCGCTCCCCCGTCATCGTGAGTTTCAGCCTAATCCGCAGTCGCTTTGGCCTGGGTTCGAATCCGTGCACTCGCCTCGCGAAGATAGTTTCAATTCCAGGTCTTATCTTCTGTTTGGTTGTGGGGAAGCAAGTGGAGAGCGAGTGGAGGTCATCCGCATCGGGAAGCTCGAACCCCGGCTACTGGACGCACAGATCGGAATGTCAAGTCTTGAACAAGATACCAAGACACTGGGCCGGCTGGGCGGGCAAGTTATTGGAGATAACAGACTGGCCAAGTCACGGGGACGGCTCAATGGGCAACCGAGAATCGCGGATAAGTGCAAGTGGGAGTAACGGTAGTTTGGGGATGGGGGATCGACATTCGCGCGAGCCGTGAGCGTACGTGAGCGTCTCCTGTCGCCACCCACTGTACCGAGCAGTGAGCCAAGAGCCAAGCCGGCTGCTGCTGATACGCTAGTGAGATCGCCCATTTGGACATCCGCTGAATGAATGGCGGTTGAAATGCGGTTTCCCGAGAACAAACTGGCCGGAAACCGACTGTGTTCTTGCATCATCAATTGTCGCTCAAGTCCGGTAGGGAGGCGCTCTTGTCCGACATCCAGGAACGGGTTGGGGGTTGGAGTATTGGAGCACCGCTACTGGAGCAACGCAGACGCAGGAGCCACTCCACTGGAGTATGAACAGTGGGCCAGAGCGTCAGCCCGTCAGATCGCGTCAGAACGACAGGGCAAGGGACAAGGAGACAGAGATTGGGGGACGAGGAGACACGTCCCTCCGCCACTGTGGCCCAGAGGATTGTGGGCCAGAACCAACGGACCGGAGGTATGCGAATCTGTACCTCGCTATCAGAGCCAAGCCCAAGATACCAGCATACCAGAGTTGATTCAGCATTGTGCTTAGGCCCCGTTCTCTTTCGTGCGCTGAGTAAGCCTTCTGCGCGTCAGATGACTCCACAGACACAGAAGAATGACACTGGAGTCGAGTCAACCCGCTGATGAAACAGGGCGTCATGGTGCAGATCCCTGTGAAAGAGGAACAGTCACTCCGCTGCGGTGCGCTTGCCTCCGCTCCACCACGGTCACCACCGACTCTTTTGACACGCCTCCCTTTGATACAACCCCTAAGATGCAGAAGCAGAAGCGTACCTTCCGCGTAGCGCCAAGCCTCGGACAACTCCTATGCAGGAATTACCAGCCTGGGCAAGCTGCATGAACGCTGAGTTGTCGTCCCCTTATCGATGTCTATTCCTGGCGCAGGTTGACGTCTCGTGGCTCGGATCCGAGGCACGACTCCCACACTCAGCTTGGCTGTTTAACCTGTTTGGCGAGGGTGTCGATCCCGATCACACGGGGCAAAGGTATGGCGGCGTCGCGCAACTCCGCCAACCCATGCACACCCATACGGGCCACGGCGCGCCGCGCCGGGCGCCGTGACTATTACGAACCCGATCAGTTCGCTCATCGCCGAGAACGCGTCAGTGTTTAGTTGCTCCAACGATCCTACTCGCTCCAACATTCATTGTGTTGATTGTTGGCAGAAGGCAGAGGACGAGTGACAGCCGCTGCCGCGCCGCCAAGCATACCGAGCCTGTCCCACTGCGCCCTACGCCTCAACTCGGTGCCCAGATCCCGTCACCTCCTGTCACCCGTCACCTGACCTTGGTCGTCTCCGTCGCATGCGTCGGCTGTTATCATGCTATTGTCTGCGTTTTCCTGACGTTGATTGTCGCAGCAACCAGGGTATGCACAAGGGGGGACAAAAGGTCCACGAATCTGCATTGAATTACGAGTTACAAATGTAGAGTATTCACTTCGGTTATTCGATTCCGATCTTCTCGGGTACCTTCTGACTGGACTCGACTCATCATCATTCTTCCTTCTTCTTTCGTCGGATTCATTATTACGTCCGTTATCTTTTCGTTGCAGGGCAGGGGTACGTTGTTCCCGCCGCCAGGGAAGCCCACTAACGAGGCGGGGCTAGGGTGGCAGGAGCAGAGCAACGGGTGAGGGAGCGTGATGTATCCGCCAGCCCTCTTTCTTCTCGGGTGTCTTGGCGTGTGATGCTTCTTCGGGTTCGAGAGGGTCGACTGTATCGACTCCCCTGCGTTCCTGCCACAGGGTGTCTTCTGCAATCTCCTCCAGATCCTCGCACGAAAGCAATGGGGGCGTGCGGCAGCAGTCGTCGTCGTCGTCTTCGTCGTCCTCTGCAGAGCATCGCTGTAACGCGGGAAGCTCCTCGAGTTCCTCGACGTCTGCCTCGATGAAGTCGGCCCTCGGTTCGGTGCCTGTGGAGGCGAGTTGGGATAGTGCCTGATGCAGACGGTGAGAGTCGGCGGACTTGGAGGCGACGTCGTCACTGTACACGACGGCAGGCGAGTGCTTGCGAGGAAGCTCGAGCCAGGCGGTCGCGACAACAGCGTCGTCCTCGTCCTCCTCCTCGTCATCGTCGTCACAGACAGCAGCGACGTGGACGACAACGGAAGCGAGGTCGTCATAAACGAGCTCGTCGTAGTTCTCGTCAAGCTCGACGGACTCGATGTGGGAGATCTCAAACTCGCAGCACATCATGTCGTCCTCGTCGGCGTCGGGCATGCCAACAGTGGTCTCAGCCCAGTCGGAAGACGAGTCGGAAGAGTCGTCCTCCATGTCGCTGAGAACGTCGTCGAGCCAGCGCTCCTCGGCCTCCTCCTCATCCTCCTCGGAGAGAACAGAGAGACCGAGAGCGTCGGGGGCGCGCCAGTCAGTCAGCTCCGAAGCAGGAGCAGGGGTGTCGAGCGTAGCCCAAGCGGAGCGGAGAGCCTCACGGACGAGGACGCCACGGCGCAGGAGGTCGTTGCTGTCACGACCGCCAACGGCAGGCTCGAGCGACGACAGCTTGTGGCGCGACACGTTGATGAGCCGGACGCCGAGCGGCGTCAGGGTGGGCTGGGTGTTGCTGGCAAAGTGCATGTTGCTGGTGCCGCGGTGCGGACGCGGGCGGGTCGGGGTAGTGTTGTAAGTGCAGCTCACGAGGGAGCGGTCAGACATAGAGTCGGTTGAAGAGGTGCGTGTGGCGGAGGGCCTCAGTCCCCGTATGGTAGTTGTAGCGGGGGCGATGTGGTTGTCTTGGTCGGGGTAAGAGCAAGAGCGGGCGCAAGGGGCATTTTGCGGATGATCATAGTTGACGGGGGTAGGGGTGTTGTCGTGGGTGAGCAGCGACAGTGTGGTGTTTGGGTAGGTTGAGCTGGGGGCGTAGGGGGCGAGACGAGGTATGTTGGTTGTCTCGAAGTAGTATCTGGGTTATGGGTAGGTGCTCAGCAGGGCATAGCGATACGATAAGCGATGTCCGAGGTGAGAAGAGAAGGGAGTGGTGTGGTGAGCAGAGAAGGAGAGGGGAGGAGAGCCAAGCCGCTGGTTGTTATATACGAGGGGCCGGTTCGTGGACAAAAGTTGGCCGCTGCGGTTGTGCAGTGGGAGAGGTCGAGGGGGTAACGAGGGGGACGAGGACTAGACGGCCAGTGCCGGTCAGGAACGGAATCCTCGCTCGGTGTCACCCTGAATGAGCTTGGCAATTCCGACCCAGACTCAAGACTCGACTCGAAGCCCTGTCCCCTTTCGTCTGTAGCCCGCGCTCCCTGACTGGCCCACCGGATCCGCGACATACCGGTCGATGTGTCAGAGTCGAGGCCTTCTGCGCTACGCCTCCTCGCCTCCACCGCGTTTGTCGCTTTGTCGCCAGGCCCCGCCTGGGAGACGGCGGAGTAGACGATCTTGGTCCAGTCATGCTCAGTCAGCCAGATCACCTCAACGTCATGGCGCAGCAGCCTGCAGAACACTCTCCCATGACACCAACATGGACGCTGACCAAGCACCATTCCGTCTTGTTATCTATACTCCGCTCCGTCTCGGAAGCCAGGACCGCATGCATCAGCGCGACACGTTGCTCCGGCTCATTATCCTCCATACTTCCACATGTTGGACAGCGTGCAATCGGTGCTAACCGTGTTGATCTGTGATCTGGGAGCCGTCTTTTCCAACTTTTTCCCAGCAACGGCCCGCACACGGTTACCAGCCGCAACGACCGACGCGAGGGCCGACTCGCCGTCGAATGGCAACGAAACTAGCCCCTTCCGCTGCGTAGGGCTCGTATCCGTTTCGGTCGCACGTCCCACCAATGCCGCATGCAGTCAGGCTCTTCCCTGCGGCATCCTTGCACGCCGTTGGCTGGCGGCGCGCCAACATTGACCCCTCCGAGCGCTCCGAGCTGCACCTCTGCAAGACCCGCCCGGACGAGTCAGAGCCTGATCTGGCATGCACACCATGCGTTTGCAGCTCGTGATCCAGCATGCAAGCCACACATGCAGCCATGCAGCCCACTGCGCCATCCCAGCAAACAGCCACACCCCGCTCCCGGACTGTGGAGGCTGTGAAGGGACGTGCGTGCCCGGTTTGCAGTGCTGCTGCAGTGCTTGGCCAGACACAGCGGCTTCATGCAGCGGCTCAGCTGCGCGGCGCTGCGGCGCTACGGGCTATCACGGGCCGTTCGGCTACCGAAATGTACGTTGCACTGGCTTCCAAAAACGGACCGCAGACGCGGCGAACGGGCACACTCGGCTGGCCGAAAGCCTAACCGCCGTTTGTCTGCCGCACTGCCGTACGCTTGGCAAGTGCGCATGTTACTGGCGTAGTGATCTCAGTGCAGACAGTCCGAAAAGACGGCCTGCCCCCAATTCCTTGGTGAGAAAACGGCCCTTTCTGCCTGCAGGATACAGCGTCCCGCTATACCAAACCCGCGACCCGCAGCCCACATCCCGAGACGCTCCCATGCATGCATCACCGGCACCCGGCTGGTTTCAACCTCGCGTTTGCCGCAAAAAAAGTCCCACTATCAACCCGTGCATAGCTAGCAAAGCCCGCAGAAGATCTCCATCGGCGGAGGCCGATAGTCCAGACCCACAGCAACTAGAGCGCAGAACTCACGCTTGAATCTGGCCCTACCGGCCCGCTCCGATTGCCCAAGATGGCAACGGCCGACGCGGAGCAGAGTTGCCCGCACGTTGCCCGATCGTTGCCCGTGCCTCTCCTCTCGTGCCTCCGTCCGCCCTCGGTGACTGCGTCGCGGATCGCGGATGTGCTTAAGCGAGCACCGCCAAATGTGCGCTGCGGCGTAACGAGGGCAGTGTGCATCCGAGTACGCACCGACACGGTCGCAGCAAGAGTCGACGCAACACCAGTTGACATCAATCGAGAGCGTGAAAGTGTGGAAGACGAGGTGCAGTCCTGCAGATCGGGTGAACTCTGAGGTTAATTTTGGTGTGCGGCCGAAACATATTCACACAGAGTAGACTTTTTCGGCAAGCCGCTAGCGTCGATTAGAGTCGAGTCAACTCGACGTCACCAAGTTCCGAGCGCTACCTCATTCCTGCTGCCTAACATTCGGAGTGGAGCTTCCGTGCTGCGCAAAAGCACCACATGCTCCATGTGCACACATACACATGCCTCAACACCGGATGGCCCCGAAGTCGTCGTGACGCACGTCGACGTAAACATGACCGTGTTTGTCCTCGTTGTCTCAAGACCGACGAGTCCTGTGTATCGTGGGAATGCACTGGACTTGCACAGCGGCGGCGGTCGTGCAGTGCAGCCCGCAGCGGGCTCTCGTCTCAAGCTCCCATGCTCCAAGCGAGAGCGTAACGGAACGTCAGGGTCACTGGCCAGGTCCGCGAAAAGGGTCATGTCGAGCACCGAGATAGCAGAAATCGGAGGGTCGGAGGGTCGGAGGGCCGAAACTAGGGAACCCGGATGCAAAATTCCATATTTCATCTTGGCCTTTGTTTACGCTTGAACGTGCCTCTGACCCACTGAACGTGTCGAGCTAGGCGCTGCTCGCGCAGACTACGACGGCCGATCTGACCTCCTTTCGGGAACATGTGTGCATGTGGGTCAAGCACATGTGTACATGGAAGCTACGCATGTGCTGGATGCGCCTGTGTGTTGACTGGCAGGCTCGTGGGAAGGCTGGGAGACGGTCGACAGTTGTGGCAGAACTCAGGCACGCTCAGCCTGAACTGGGGCAATCCCGCCAGAGCCGCCTGCACGGATCTCACACTCGCCGGAGGCACTCCATGCCTCCTCTCTCCGTGACAGTGGCGGCGGTAGTGGCGTAACCGACAGTGGCGTATACGTTGAAGCCCGCGCCAGAAGCCGCAAGTTGCTCCGCGGCAAAGACCAGGCCCCGCGGGCCAAGACCACGCCTGTACAGGAACAAAGCGTGGTCCCACGATGCCCACATGACGCTGGCGGGACCGAGACGGCACCTCCACTGTCTGCCTAGACGAGGGCTTGGCATCGTATCGACTAGAGGCGGCGGGGCCACTCGGCGGAGATCTGTCGGCCAGATGCGATGGCGAGTGGGCCCGGGAATTCTGTGCTGTTGACGAGACTGCCAACTCGAGTCGTATACCCGGATAACCCATGTTGGCCGCACGCGGGGGTCCCGCGGCTTGGCTTGCCGGCCCGGAGATGGCGTCAGGTCAGCGCAGAAGAGTCAGCAGGAGGTGCCAGGCGGGGGCATGTGGCGAGGTGGAGGGCGGGGTAGATTTAGTGGAGGTCGCCGCCACTTCATCTCGCAATCTTGCGGCAGCTCCGGCGTCGGAGACGATTCGTCAGATGGGTCAGTCACTCTGCAGTCGTCTGGGTTCACGGGCTGTTGGCTTCTCGGCGGGTCTGTGGCGGGTATGAACGTGGCAGTGGCGGTGGCGGCGTTGCAATGGGTGCGGAGAATGACGTTGCGAAGCTCGTCCTGGCCATCGTGCACTTTCCCTTTCCCGGTGTAGCTGGTGTCGTCTCTTCAATGGTGCCGGTAGCATGTGTTGGACAGTCAATACATGCGGGAAGGCGGAAGTGCTGGCAGAAGTCTCTTCTGTGTGTTAGGATCGGCCAGGAGGCTCCAAAATGTCTCCTGCCACTTGCCACTCGTTCGCGCGCGTTTTGCCTGCATAGTCACGTCGCATCGCATGCGCTCATTACCGCGAAACGTGTGCTGTACCGGCCCTGCCAACAGATAGTGTCCAAGGGATACTCATGTTCCAGGGGAAGAAGTCTTATACAGACTCAAGCAGATGTGGCTCCGACTGGCATATCTTCACTACCCAGACCTGCCACTGCCTTCATTCCGTCATCCCGTTCCAGATTCACTCGTAAACCAATATTACCGCTCTCCGAACACAGCTCATTCAGCTGCAATGTCCAGAAGCGCAATGCAAGCCGAGACTCGCTCGCTCCGAAGGTCATATGCTGAAGAACGCGCCTGTGCCTTCGCAGACAGAACAACATTCTAGGCCACTTAGCTCAGTTGGTTAAAGCGTATGCTTAACATCTGCCTTGTCACGCATAAGGTCGGCGGTTCGACCCCGCCAGAGGTCATTCCTTTTTTCATCCCTACACCCACGGCCACTGGCAGCGATTAGCAACCGAGGTTTCTTCTCTTCTTCAGTAGTGTCTGGACGAGCAGGCGCAGTGACGTGGCCACGATAAAATACATGGCAGGGTGGGATTGTCAAACAAACCCGAAACAGGGCGTAAAGTCTTGCGTCTGCCACGCCCGCTTCTAAACCAAACCTCCACCGCGCGTGCCACAACGTGCCCAGGGGGAGCGTCGATACGCCTCCTGTACTCCTGTGGCCTTCCATCTTCCCATGGCTCCAGCCGCGATCCACAGACGTTCCCCACAAGCCCAGGGGAGCAAAAACTGACCTCTGGCGGGGTCGAACCGCCGACCTTATGCGTAAATCTCCCCGTGTTCGAGTGTTAAGCATACGCTCTAACCAACTGAGCTAAGTGGCCTGTGCGCTTTGCACAAGATTGTGGCGCGGCGCCCGCCAGCGCCCCTCTCGGCGCTGCTGCAAGACGCCGACGGCGCAGCGTTCCTGAGACATGGCGCCGAACGAGCGTCCGTGCGAGGTTAGTCGCCACATCGATGGCAGTGGCGCATGGCACCTGCAATGGGTCGTTATCCACACCTGCTGACATTCTTCTCTACTGCAGCATCCTACGAAAACTCTAGACGACGCTCCGGACGCATACTCAGGGGAGCTTAATCAACAGGTAAGGGACTTCAACGTCCTCGCCCTCGGCGTCGTTCGCCATGACCTCTACGAGAAGGCTCTTCTGCCACTTGGGGAGGGGCTTCTTGGAAACCTCCTCGACGAGGTCGGTGATGTGCTTGGGGAGGCGCTCGGCCGCCTTCTTGGGAGGCGTGAAGGACGACCAGAGCATGGACACGCCCTGCGAGACCATCTGGAGCTCGAGCTTGTGCTCCTTCTCGAACCAGTCGATGATCTCCTGCAGCGTCGGGTTGCCGTCGATCTCGAAGCGGTCCCAGAGCGTCCAGTCCTTGCCGTTGTAGGACTGCTTGGCAGCCGCGATCGGCTCCGAGAAGCCGAAGAACGGCAGCGCGAGGTTCACGAAGCCGTTCTTGTACGCCTCGAGGTCCGTCTTGCCGTCGATGATCTTGTAGAGCTCGAGACAGACGAGGCCAACAGCGAGCGCAGTCGTCGTCGCGATTGCGGGGATGATCTTGCCCGCAATCAGCTTCGTCTTGTGTCGGTTCGCCTCGGTGATGCCGTAGTTGCGCGCGCGGAGGTTGGACGCAGCAGTGATAAAGTCGATGTGGTGGTTGCTGTCGTCGTCCTTCTCAAAGTCGACGGGCTGGAGGCGGAAGCCGGCAAGCGAGCTCGGCGAAGGCAGGGCCGCGACAATCTTCTCGATGTCCTCGCTGTCCTCGGGCTCGTTGGTCGGGGCCGGCTCGTTCTCGTTGACCTGGATCTTGACGCCAGACTTGGGGGTGAAGGCGGGGACCTCAAAGTTCTCGAGCGCCTGCTTGAAGACCTCGGGGTCGGTGGAGCCCTTGAGGCCGTAGTTGTAAGCGTGCAGGTTGGCAGCGGCAACGAGGTACTCAAAGTCGAGCGGGTCCTCAATGTTGAACTTGAGCGGGTCGGGGGCACGCTTCGGGCCGGACCAGAAGGGAGTGCCGTTCGAGTTGACCTGGTCCTTGGGCAGGTTGTACAGCAGCTGCGAGATCTCGTTGACGTAGTCGTTCTGGAACTGCAGGCGAGCCCACTGAACGCACTCGGCAAAGGTGGTCGGGCGCTTGACGAGGTAGCGCTCGATCTGCTTGAGCTGCTCAAAGTGCTGGCCAGACGACTTGAGGGTCGTCTCGACAAAGTTGGGCTGCGACAGGTAGAGGTTGACCGTGGTCGGGGGGTTGACGAAGAGCGAGTCAAACGCCTCACGCGCCCACTGGATGGTGTGCTCGATCGCGTTCGGGAAGTTCTTGACCGTGCACGACGGGATCGACTTCTCGGGCGGGTCCTGGGACGACGAGTACGATTCGGTCAGGAAGGGGATGACAACCTGCGTGTTGGCCTTGGTGCCGAGGGTACCCGACTCGAGCAGCGGCTTCTGGAAGAAGACACAGCGGCGGTCCATGTACTGACGCGCCGAGACGTTGTCGAGCGCGTTGGTGACGCAGTCGAGCTTGCCGAAGAACTCGTCGCCGAACTGCTGCTCGGTCTCGGGGCCAACACGCTCCTGGAGGGCGGTGATCTTGCCCTTGAGGTCCGGGTTCATGTCCGCAACGGCGCCGGCGGCAGACTCAGCCTTGAACTTGCCGACGTCCTTGGCGCGGAAGAGGAACTGACGGTTCAGGTTCGACTTCTCGATAGTGTCGAGGTCGGTGACGATGATCGAGCCCTTGGAGCCAGCGCCGAGACCCATCATCGACCAGTTCTTGAGCATCTCACAACCAATGGCACCCGAGCCGACGAGGAACTGGCGGTTGTCGGCGATCTTCTGCTGGAACGTCTTGCCGAGAACAGCGATCTGGCGGTCGTAGCGGGAGCCGGTCGGCTGGACGTCCTCCTCGGTGGGAACCTGCGAGGGGAGCGACTCGAGCGAGTCAAAGTACATGACCTGCTGCATGGGGTGGAACTTGGCCGAGACGGCCTTGAGGACCTCCTGGGCGACGAAACCACCAATGACAGCGACCATGGGCGAGAGGTCACCAGTAGCCTGGAACGCGAGAGCCTCGAGAACCTTCTCGTCGAGGTCACCGTCAGTAGCGGCGGACGAGTGGATCTCCTTGGCGATCGAGATGAAGGCGGCAGCGTCCTCGGTGTTGCGGGGGCGGGGGAGGCGGCCCTCCTTCTCAAAGTACTTGGAGAGCGCCTGGAAGCCGACGTGCAGGGTGGCGGGGCGGTCCCACTTGGCAAAGTCGGTGATGAAGAACTCGGGCTGGGTAAGCGAGTCCTTGAGCGACTTGAAGTGCAGGATCCTCGGCATCTTGACCTGGGTGAAGATACCGCCCGACTTGTACTCGCCAAGGCCGCGGGTGTCGCCGATCGTGAACGTGTAAGGGCCCTTGACAGTGACCTTGCGGGGCTCGCATCCGTTGATCTTGTCCATGCCCTTGACCTCGGCAAAGGTGACAAAGTCGCCGTCTTCGAGACCGTGGCGCGTCTCGTCGAAGCAGGTCACGAGCGCGTCCTCCGACTCCTCGATGTGGACGACCATGCCGCTGAGCGGGTTCTCTCCGGTGGGGTCAACGCAAGTGAAGTCATCGCCAAAGTCGTTGAAGACGGATCCAAACAGACCGCGGACGTCGGCAGAGATGAAGTAGATGCCCTTGGTGCGGCAGAAGTCGTCGATCTCGATCTGCTTCGAGAGGGGGGTGTCTGTGAGGACGACGACCTGACATCAGCGCCGACAGCGGCGTATGCTTACCTGATACGGCGCAACCATCTCCGGGGTGACCTCACCCTCTCCCTCGAGCACACGGACGGGGACATACGAGTTGAGCTCGGCGAGTCGGGGGGCGGTAACCTCAGCACGGGGCTTGCCGACGTCCTCCTCACGCAGGAAGAACTGTTGTCAGCATATGCACGAGCACAGACGCGTCGGAATTAGTCGCCGGCGCTTCGAAACTCACCTGCGTTCCCAGATCCGCAACCTCCACAGGAGCGGGGTCGTAAACAGTGACGCTCTTGACACCAGCGAGGGCAACGTTCTTGGCTGATGGTCAGCTAGAGGGGCGTAAAAGCAGCTCACCAATCTCAACACCCAGTCCCTTCATGCCGACGATGAGAACGTTCGACGACGCCATCTTCTTCATGGCCTCGTGTCCGAGGACATAGCTGCAATGTCAACAAATCTCCGCAAGCGATAAACTCACAGCTGACGAGAGTAGAGACCCTCTGATCGAGAGTTAGCAAATGACCACAGCGCTTCGTCGATTGATCTCACCATCAACTGCTTAGTTAGCTCGATAGTCCAGAATTAGCTTGATGAACATACTCTGGTCCCCAGGCTGGTCGACCTGCATCGCGGACGCCATTTCGCTAGAATCAACGCCGATTATTGAACAAAGTGGTAGGAGATAAGAAAACGTCTAAAATCCAATGTCTACTCCGCTGGTTGCAGCTCGATAAACAGTTAGATTTCTCAACGAGTGATTGATCAGAAGCGAGAGCACCGCTACGGCTGTTGAGGTCGGCATCGATGACGATGAGTAAGGAGTCTCAGGCTTAAGCCACGTGGATTTGCTTCCGGGTTGTGGGTGGCAAACGGGTGGCAATTGACGAACTGAGCATGGGGCATCGCGATTCATTACGTTGTACAACAGTCTATGATATGTGTCTACTCGTTCGAGGGCACTCGGCGCGGAGTGGCCTGTCCGTTGCTGACCTGGCCGCTGGGTCGGCGGGCTGACTTGGCAGGTATGGCGGGCTTGGGGGCATCAGATTGGGGAGCAGAGTTGGTGCTGCTCCCCAGCGACGTAGGCGGAGGCCGTGTCTTGCCGCCTACGCCGACAAAATTGGCGACCACAACGCTTCCATCGGAGCATCCGTACTAATGTCAGTGACCGCTGTCGCTGCAACACTCACAACAAGCTTGTCGTGGTCCAAGGCCAAGGACATGGGGTTCTTGGCGGACGCGTGGAGACCGGCAGTCTGGCCGACAGTGTTCCACGCGCCACCGAGGGGCACCAGCTTCATGGTTGGGTGGTCGCCGTTCTCATACTCGGTGCCGACAATCACCTGGAGTCAGCTTCAGTACTCCCAATAAGCTCACCCTTCGTTCGGCGCCGGCCTTGGCGCTCGTGCGTCTGCTCGTGACAATCCTTACGCGACCAGCCTCAAAGGCACCACGCTCAGTCCCGGTGATATCGAGGATCTCAACGATAGTGGGACGCCTCGCGAGGGCAAACTTTGTGGTCGTGGTGCCAGCCAGCGGGGGAGGAGTGCCTTTACCGTCAGCCTGGGCGCCGCCAGGCGCGCCAGGGATAGCAGACACTGGGGAGCCACCAGGTGACTGCGCCGTCTTGACAGCACGACGGGCAGGCGTACCGGTAGCCGGGGCAACGTCGGAGAAGAAGGTGGCAGTGACAGTTGAATTGTCGGCAGCGGCAGGGTCGTAGAGGTTCTCGGCCTCCTCCTCCTCGTCTGCCCAGTCCCACGCAAGGCGGATGACAATGTCCTTTGTTGCGCACTGCGGTTAGTTCTATTGCTCAATGTGCAACTTACGGCCATGAAGCGTCCCTCTGCCTTGAACCAGGTGAGCATGCCGAGCGCACCGACACCGACATCCTTGAGCTTGTCGGCAAATTCAGGCTGGTACTTGGCGAGCTCCGAGAGCTTGAACGCGCCCAGCATCTCGCGCTTGGCGATCGAGAATGTGCGAATGACGCCGTCGACGGTGGCCGAGATGATGAAGTTGTCCAGGAGATTCATGCCGATGCAGACGTTGGTCTGCTGGCCGAAGCGCACGAGCTTGTTGCCAGTACGCCAGTCCCAGACGACTATGGCCTTGTCCGATCCGACCGAGACCATCCACTGAGCGTTGATACTGGGCGTTAGTTCTGGCAACTGAAGTTGAACTCACGCAACTGCTCGGGTTCCGTGCAAGTGGCCGGAGAGGATCTTATCCACCTTCCACTCGCCATCTATCGGCCGCCAAATCATTGCACGGCCGACGTCATGCGATCCAGTCACGAGAACCTGCTCTGGGGCGTAGTAATCGAGATCTGAGACCGATTTTGCGGGCACCACGATGGGCGGCGGGACCGCCTTTGGACTCGCGACAGCGTACGGCAGGTGCCAGATGCGGATCCTGACGTTAGCTAAGGAGGCTGACAACAGCTTACGTGTCATCGTAGGAGGCAGAGATGAGTGTCTCTCCGCAGAGAGCGAGCGAAGTGACATAGCCCTTGTGCCCGTCAAGAACGACGAGTGACTGCACTTGACCATTAGTCCAGTGCTGCTCCCGCTGCCACAGGCGCTTGTAAAGGCCGAGCCAGTCGCCGTCGTCGGGGAGGTTGTAATTGCTGAGGTCGATCGTCCCGTCCCAAGACGCCTCAAGGTCCTGGCACAGTTTCTTCCAAATGATCGGGCTGGTCCCGAGAATGCTGAATCGGCGGGAGACCTAGACGTCAGTATCTGAAACAAATGCACAAGTTTCAGACCCACCAGTCGAAGGTTCAGAATGTCCTTCCTATCGAGATGTCGCATCACGTTGAGGACGTGCGCATCGTCGAGCCGTCCCAGCACACCGGTGCGGAGGTTCTTGTATTCCTCTAGCAGCTTGATCTGCGCTTCGATATCGGACGGCCGGCATGCTGACGTCAGCTATGTCTTGGACCCGTAGCACTCACACTCTACGATAACACTGAGCAGTGCCAGACGCTGGGCTTTCGGGATCGACCGGACGGCCAGCCCGAACATGTCCAGGTCGTACAGCAGCGAGGCAATGTTGGGGTCGCATTGGGCGGGCAGCCGGCGCTCGGGCTGCCGCTCAGCTACGCAGCGTGCGTGCTCAGTCTGCAGCTTGCGGTAGGACAGGTCAATGTCGTCAAGCCGGCGCGTGAGATTCTTGATCTGCTCCTCGTGTTGTTGCTCGAGCTGCTCGATGCGGGGGTCGGGCTGGGATGCTACGGGCTCTAGCTTCTGATCGTCAGCCATGTCCGAAGCGGCTCACGTACGTCTGTCAAGTCGATGCTGGCCGTTCGACTTTGCGGAGTCGATCCCGTCTCGACAGCAGATAAAGCAGACAGAGACGACCGCTGCCTCACATGCTTCCCAGGCCTGGTCTTCGGCGTGGATGTGCCTGCAGCAAGCTTGGTTAAGGAAGGCGACTTGGCAAGTCCGAGACCGCCGCGCATCGAAGATGGCTTGCGTAACGTCGGCGTTGCTGGCGTGCCCGGTGTCGGCGGGGCACGACCCGTCCCCGGCGTCGCCGGCGTCCTGAGACCCGCGGTGCTGCTCGTTCTTGGGCGGGGCAGGGAGGAGCGAACTTTCGGTTTCGGTTTGGGAAGTCCGGTAGTCACCTGCCCGGGCGAGTTGGGGGAATGCCCAGGCGAGAGGGATGAGGGGCTCATGGTGGTCGCTCGTCGCTCGTCGCTGAGCGATCCTTTGATGCGAGTGATGTGCGAGTTTTGCGTTGTCAAGTGGGTGATCGAGAGACGAGTGCACGACGCCAGAAACTCAAACACCTGTGCCGCTCGCAGCACGTCCGATGCACCCACCGCGGGCCAGACGCAGGAGACGACATCACTGGGGCCCCCGCATCCCGTCACCTACGCTTCGCACATCACTTCTATTCGACCCTCCCAGTAAGCCACGCGTCTGGCACATGAAACGCCAGGTCGATCACTCACGGCTATGGGCGGTACCTGTACCTGGTTTGGCCGGACCGAGGATCGAGGCTGACTTCCGACAACATTCCATAGCTCAAGCATGTGCGTGAAGCGTTCCAACAGCGAGCTACAACGGGATGACCACCTTAAGTTTGCACTGAACACTCATCTCTTCTAGCCATGGTCGTCGAGCGCGAGCTGTCCGGCTGGGAGCTCGCTGGACCTTTGACTCAGGCGCCGATCACCTCGCTCACACTCCAGACGTCAGACAGCAGTCCGCGCCCCGGATTCACGTACAGCCTGTCGTTTCCCCTCCCGAATGCGATCCGCGTGCTTCTCGTCGGTCCCGAGCGTCCTGCGCCCCCTCACTCCAATGTGATTCTCGACGCTGAGCCGCTGCCCTTCACAGCGAAGCAGGTAGACACGTGCAAAGTCGTCATTGCCTTTCCCACGAAGTCCGACTGTGATGATCTCCACGGCGCCGGACGGAAGCGCGAGGCCCGCCTCGACTGGTCCGACTCGCTCCTGCTCTCTGTTTGGGAGGAGCTGGCCGGCGAGTGGGTGCGGCTATCTGCTGATCTGCCATGCCGCTTGTATGCTCTGACAGAGCACGGCGTGATGCGGCACTGGCTCCTGCCTCGCTCCAACGTCCATTTTGGACTGGGCGAGAAGGGTGCGCCGCTCGACCTGTCGGGGCGCTCCTTCAGCATCAGTGCGACGGACGCAGCATGCTACGATGCATACAACGGCGACCCGCTCTACAAGCATACCCCCTTCCTGATCTCTGCCCCGCGCCCCAAGCCCGACCAAGAGATGCCTTCGACGTACGCCATCTACCACGCCAGCAACTCAAACGCAGCCTGGGACCTGGGCCGTCTCCACGACGACCCGTGGGGGTACTTCAAGACGTTCACGCAGGACCATGGCGGGCTCGAGGAGTGGTTGCTCTTCGGCAAGGGCCCGAAGGAGGTCACACGCACGTGGGCGGAAATCGTGGGCAGACCCCTGTTGGTTGGCCGCGACTGGCTCGGATACCTCGCCAGCGGCATGGGTCTTGGCGAGAGCGTGAGTACCTTGGGCTCCGAAGGATGCCGTACTGACAACAGGACGACCCGCCGGCGCAAGAGCTGCTTGCCCGCTGGCCTGAGCTGTGCCGCGAGCATGGGATACCGTGCTCGGCGATCCACGTATGTTGTCCGCCTGGACGGAGCTGACCCAGTTCTCCTCGGGGTACACTGTCGGTCCCGATGGGAATCGCTACGTCTTCACGATGAACAAGGAGCGGTACCCCGACTTTGCTGGTCTCGTCGCTGGCCTGCACCGCGCGGGCATCAAGGTCGTGCCGAATGTGAAGCCTTGTGAGTGTTTCGACAGATGAGAGCTAACTGCAGACGTACTCGAGACGCACCCCCAGTTCCAGGAGCTGCACGAAGCAAACGCCCTGTTCTACGACCCGCACACGAAGAGACCAGTCGTCACTCGGATCTGGAGTTCGGGCGTCGGCGTCAACGGACGTGGCTCCTGGGTCGACATGACGTCTGAGGCTGGCCGGAAGTGGTGGGCAGATGGTGTACGCGGCCTAATTGAGCTCGGCGTCGATGGCATGTGGAAGTGAGCCTGATTCAGTGTGGGAAGATCTGACGCTCCAGCGACAACAACGAGTACTTTCTTCACGACGACGCATTCCTGGCGGCGAACCAGCTCGATCGCCTCGATCACTCCTCAGCCTCGGCGCGTTCGGAGCGCTCGGGACCCGAGCCGATCGGGCTTCTGGGGCGGCTGCTGAACACGGAGCTGGTCGGGCGGACCTCGTTCGAGACGCTCCTCACGTGCCACCCCCAGCGGCGGCCATATGTTCTCACGCGCTCAGCCTCGGTGGGCACGCTGCGCTACGCGTGCAGCACGTGGACGGGGGACAACGAGACGTCCTGGCGCAACCTGCGCGGCTCGCAGGCGCTGCAGCTGAACAGCGGCATGTCGCTGCTGCAGTCGACGGGGTCGGACGTCGGCGGATTCGGGGGCCCGGTGCCGGGCCCGGAGCTCCTCGTCCGCTGGGTCCAGCTGGGGGTCACGCACGCGCGTTTCTGCATTCACGCCTTCAAGCCGACTGCGGCCGACCCGAGCGGGGCGCGCCAGACAAACACGCCGTGGATGTACCACGCCGTCTTGCCCTTGGTGCGAAGCGCGATTCAGTGGCGGTACCGCGTGCTGCCGTTCTTGAATGCGCTCAACTGGCGCAGCCACGAGCGTGCCGAGCCCACCAACGCGTGGCTTGGCTGGGGCGCTTTCGCATCAGACGCGAACGTGTATGAGGACCTCGAAGGTTTCGATGCCTGGATTGGAGAGGGCCAGCTGCTCTCTGTCCCCCAGCTGTGGGAAGGTGGTCTCACTCGAGACGTCTACTTCCCACAGGCCGGCGCCACCGACGACAGCCTCTACTTTGACCTGCACCCGCCTCATCGCACGTTCCGCGCCGGCACGCATGCAACGATCGCGACACCCCTCGAGCACATGGGTCTGTTTGCAAGGGAGGGGGCTGTCATTCCCGTCGGCAAGAGCTACCACACGGTCACCCAGCGCGAGGGGCCGGGGCGCACGACGCCCGATGGCATTGATGTCGTGCTCGAGGACGAGGGCGGCGTCGTCGGTCTCGACGACTGGCGCGGCGTCGAGCTCTTCCCCGGCTACACAGAGGGCAAGACGTACACGGGCGAGTGGGTAGAGGACGACGGCATCTCGGCCCCGCCGGTGCGTGCCAGGGTCGAGCTGACCTACACATCCGGCGCCTCGGGAGCCTCGGTCAAAGTCAAAGCCCGCTGGCTCGAGCACGCCTTCCGCCCAGCGTGGGGGAGCACCCTCGCGGTCCTGCTGCCTGTTGGCGACACGCGCAGGGTTGTCGGAGCCGAGCAGTCCATTCACGAGGGGCGCACCGCGTTTGCCGTCCGTGTCAGCTAGAAGGTGTTAAACAATGAATCTCTTCCTCGCGTATTCTCGTGTGATCGGTATCTCTGTTGGAGCACTAGTTCCGCACCAAAACAGCGTCAGATAAGAGACGGGCGGCGTTAATACGGCCGACGGACCGCCGAAAGGAGGCCGCAGCTGTTCTTAGGCGAGGTTCGCCCACCACCCACGTCATGTCAGATTGCGACGTCGATAGGAATAGCGCTAGGTGCGCAGCGCGTCGAGCTAAGGGTTCCTTAGCGTTGAAGATCAGGTAGAAGAACGTGCTGCCGTGCCGTAGTGCCGAAGCGGCAGAGGGAAGAAAGAGGCCGCACGCGCAGTCGCCATTTTTGTTCTGTGAATGGAAGGCAGACACGAGGTGGGCGTTTGATTTTTATGTGCCTTGGGGGGGGGCCCTTTTTGCCTGCCGGGGTGAATTGCATTCGATTCAGCATTCAGCAAAGAACGAGTGACAACCTCGAGCCATGAGTAAGATCTGATCCGATCGCACCGGCAGTCCCCCGTGCCTCCGATTCAACTTTGATCCGATCAGCGTAACATCGTCTGCGCGAGCATGCGTATCAGTGAATGCGGCCGGTCGCGATAAAGCACGCAGAGCACATAGGACGGGACGTGGTGGCAGACCGAGCGTCCGTTGCGCCAGTGAGCGTGCTAACCCATTCACGCAGTGCGTATCTCTTGGTTCATGCGGGAATGCAGATAGGGTCCGGAATCCTAGCGCTAGTGACTCGGTAAAGAGATAAAGAGATCTTGGAGGATCCTGGTGGAGAGTGTGGCTCGAGGTTACCTTTCAAGCTTTCAAGCTTTCATCCTAATCCTTTCTAGTCACGATGCATCACTCAATCTGGGGACCTCCCTGATCGTAGCATGCGTAGCAGGTGTGCGGCAGAAGAGGGCAGCGAGCACGGGCACTGTCTCAGAGACTCACACCGCAGGCCACCCCTGCGCCCCTCGCCTCCTCCGTCACCAATCCCTCGTCAACAAACACCTCACGTCGTCTGTTTTGTTCCTGGAACCGGTATGGCGTCAGGCTAGTGGCTATTTGCAGCTTCTCGAGCCGCTCCTCGGAAGACTCTCCGCAGCCCAAGGCCTCCTCGCTGCTCGGGAGACGCTCTCCAGCTTCGCCTTCCCTCCTGCTCCTTCTACGGACTCCTGACCCCCTTTCCTGGCTTCTGGAAGCGTAGGCGGAAGACAACCCGACATCTGCAGCGAATGGAAACGCAATGGACGTTCCGTTCGTCTGCACGAGAATCGCTCTCACCCAGGCATAAAAGCCGCTCTTCCCTCGTCTTCTCTCACCATCAACAACCACTCTTCTCCTCTCTTAGCTACTACCGCCTTCGCAAACTCTCCTTAATCTCCAAACACTACAGTGAGTCAACCGCCGCCTTCTCCGCTAACAGCAGTTTCACAATGAAGGTTTCCGCTCTCTTCCTCGTTCTCGCCGCCGTCGCCACTGCCGCCCCGGCCGTCCAGCCCGAGCCCGCTGCTCGTGGCCTCCTCGACCCCGTCACCGGCGCTGTCGGCTCTGCCACTGGTGCCGTCAACGGCGCTGCTGGTGGCCTCGGTGCCCTCGGCGGCCTCCTCGACCCCGTCACTGGTGCCCTCGCCGGCATCACCGGCCCCATCTCCGACCTCCTCCACAACCTCATCGCCGGTGTCGACCAGAAGGTTCTCCCCATCCTCGCCGGTCAGGATGATAGCGTTGTCCACCAGACCATTGAGACCATCAACCGTGTCCTCGCCGGCCTTCCCCTCGGCCCCACTGGTCTCCCCGACACCAACGGCCTCACCGCTTCCCTTGAGCAAGCTCTCAATGGCGTTCTCGCCAACCAGGGTGTTGTCTCTCAGGTGCTGCAGGCGGTTGAGGGCGCCCTCGCCGGCGGCCTGCCCGTCAAGCGCGCCCTGCCTCTGCCCATCGACATCAACTCGCTCAACCTTGCTGGTCTTGGGCCTCTCTCGGGTCTTCTGAACGAATTGCTGCAGCTCCTGAATGGTCTCATCAGCGGGCTCACCGGCGGCAAGGCTCTCGGCGCGGCGGACCTGAAGCAGCTCACCGACAAGATCAACGCCGTCACCGGAGCCGTCGGTCAGGGTAAGGCTGCCGGTATCGACACTTCTGCGCTTTCAGGCCTTCTCGGCCCCCTCCTGACCACCGTGGACACGCTCTTGAGCGCCGTGACCGGTGCCGCCGGTGGCGCTGACAAGGCTGTTGCTGATGCCCAGCAGGCCGTCGTTGGTGCGACTGGGGGGCTGCTCACTGGCCTCAGCGCTGTCAAGGGCCTCGAGGGCACCATTCGAGGCCTCCTTGCCTCTCTCCACCTGGATGGTCCTTTGGGAGGTCTTGTCTCTACTCTCCTTGCCGTCATTGACAACCTGCTCGGTGGCCTTGGCCTCGGGGGCCTCCTGTCCGGCGTTGGTCTCTAAGTCGGCCTCCATTTCATTAGCGTAGTAGCCTCTTTTCCGTACAAACTAATAATGTTAAGTTGTCCATGTTTAACCATCGGAGTCTGCAGCTGCACTTGACTGACTGAAGTAGATATCTTCGCACTAGAGGGGTTCAACACCTAGTGTGTGACACGCTCAACACTCTGCTTTGATGATGGAGGCGGCCATGGAGGCACGGTGATAATAACCAGCTGTATGAGGTGCCTCATGGTGTGTCGAGAGTAAGGGTGCTGGAGTTGTCTCTGGTGGACGGGGTGGGTGAGGTCAACAAGTGAGTGGCGGCTCAGGTGGTACTGGGGCGACAATGGCTCCATTGCGGCTCTGTTGGCTGACTGCCGGTGAGTGTCCTTGAGCGCAGTGGGTGTCCTTGAGCGCCACAGCGGTCAGACTTGGGAGAGGACGGTGGGGTGCAGATCTGGCCTGGTGGGCTGGGCGCATAGTGCACTGTCGTTTGGGCTTTGCTGCAGTATGAACTGTCCACTTGCTGGCGTGCGGTGCGAGCATGGTAGATTGCCCTTGGTGATTTAGCTGTGGTGGGGGCAGGTCACAGTCCCTAGCTCAGTCTGGTCAGTGGACTCCAGTGCACGTCAGTGGCGCAACGTTCCAAGCAGCCATAGTCAGCCGCCCAGACGCGACGTTGAAGATTGCTCCCAGCTCATTGACTAACGCAGCACCTTAGCGGGTTGCTGTGCAGCCCAGGCGCCCAGGAAGTGGTCATCGGAGGATAAGGTCCAGGTGAGGTTTGACGCCGATTCCTCATCATAACACCTTGGCTCACCCTCCCAGCCTAAAGAGTCGATGTGCTAAGGGCCACGGTGGCGCCCGCCTTCAAGCAGCGGCTTGGGAAACTCACCATAGACTCTCAAGCATGCATCCTCACCTCTGCTCCTGCTTCTTTGTTCTCCAGACCAGCCTGGCTTCTGCAGTGCCGCTGCAGCATCAACTGCTCAGAGGCGTGTTTCAATGTGTGACCTACAGTACGACCACGAATACTGGACCATTCGTTCAGCTTACCACCAGCCTTTTCATCAGACCCTCCGCCTCACCAGACCCTCCGCCTACCCTTTCGCCCACCTCTCCGCAAGGCCTTTCTTCCACCCTCCCACCATCGCACCAGCCGTCACGTCAGCCCTTCTCCAGCAGGCCTTCCGCAATCCACCATGCCGCCCATCTCCGTCCCCTCTCCCTCCAGGCTCAGACATCCGTGTCTGTGCTCAACATCTAGAGCACGCGTCCCAGTTAGCTGCCACCAATACCCACCACCCTACCGGTGCAATTCCGACCTATCCTGGCAAACGCAGCGACAAGCTCCGCATCCGTCTCACCTTCAGCTCAGACAGTCGAGTTCTCTCCCGCAGTCTAGGCTGACTATATAGGCTCTTGTCCCCCTAATAATGCAGAGTCTGCGGGGGTAACGCCGCGCCTGGTGTGAATGTCACTGACCTCGTTGGCGTTGGCGAGGGCAGGACCACGCGTAAAGTCGGAAGAGACAGTGGCACTGACTCGGACTGACTTCCGGAGTTCGAGCAGGAAGGTATATCGGGTACATCGCTCTCGCGACTGCGCTCGTGCAGACCTGCCTTCTCGGGGCGGTACGCGCGTACACTTGACAACGGCCAAGATACTCTCCAGCACACCAAGAATACTTGCCGCGTGTTGCTCTGGCCTGATGTGGGCTTGTTTCACACGGTGAGAGAATGACTTTGGCGTGAGTGTTCAGATGCTAGGACGATTCTTAGAGCTCAATCAGCCCTTCGCCGATATGGCGACTTTCGAGATGTGAGAGTAGGTGTTAGAAGAGAGGTGATGAGTTGGGGCCATCAGTGAGCCGAAAGCTGTCAGACCTTCTCGAGCATTTTCGGTCCTTCGCCGAGACGGCGACGCGCGGGAGGCGGCTCCAGAAGACGGGTATTACTCCTGAGGTCCTACGGCGTCAAGAACAAACATGTGGTCTTCAGAGCTCCTCTGTTGTGAGCACGAAGTGCACGTCTTGCTCGTCAGTTTGCTCGTCAGTTTGCTCGCCAGTTTGCTCGTCAGTTTGCACGTCAGTTTGCACGTCGTCACTGATCTTTTGTCAACTTCAACTTCTCGCCCGCCGTCGAGACATAGTTGCTTACCTCGGAATTGCTGAGTGCTGGGGCTCCACCTCCACCTCCACCTCTGAGGTCCACTTCGAGAGGTCCGTTGTACCGCTACGCTTCATGCATGTATGTCACAGCTATGGCTTGGCTTGGCTTGACCTCGTCTATTCGAGGCGTGTAGTGATGTTGTCATGAGCGAGGAGTAAATGAGCGGAGCGGTCGCGAGGGGCGATGATCGATACAAACAGGAACCCGTCTGGGGCGAGGGTATCGAAGGGGAGTCGAGGGAAAGGTTTACCTAGACGAGATGCGAGAGACGTGGAGTACACATGAGGGGAAATGATATTGGGATGAAACGGGAAGCTTTGGAGCTTAAATCTCAATATCGATTGGCGAGCGTAAGCACAGATGTTGGCAGACTGATGAGGCGGAGATCAGGCCGGCACCAGGCGGTAACAGCTCACCTCTGATGGTTCCGCGCAGGACCGCGCTGCAAGCCCTCTGACTTCTCAGCGTCAATGATCGGCACCTCGGCTGGCTTGGGTTGAGTTACTTGGCTTGCTTCATAGGAACCTCCGTCTCTAGCTCCGGACTGAGACGGCTGGGATCTCTGACCCTACTTCGATCTGGGCCGAGGCTTAACGGGCCGCTGAATGGATTGCGAGATCTTCGTGCGAGGGCCGCTCAAACTGCCGGGAGGAAGGGCGGGCTCAGCCTCCAGCTCTTTCGAACGGTCTTGGATCGGTGTGCTAGAGTCAAGGAAAGAATCAGAGGGCGAGTGAGGTGATAAAGTTGCAGCTTGCTGACCAGCGAGGGGATCCGGGGAACTTGAAGGCGACGGTGCCACGCGCACTCCGTCAGGGACAGAGCGTGACGGACTCTCGATGTACTCGTTCCAGCGCTCGTCGACGGGCTCATAGGAGTATGGGGAGTCTTGAAATACCCGAACACGCCGAGCCACGATGGGCTGGAATCCCCCCGGGGGTCGGCGCATGATGAGGGGACGAAGGGGAGCTGTACCACGAGCCGGAGTCGAACCTCGTGATTCGTTTCTCGGAGGACGTGGCCTGACAGAGACAAAAGTCCTAGGACCTTGAGGCGTGTTAATTGTCATCTTGGGAACATCAGGGTTCAGAAGATCCTCCATGGCTTCGGTATCGGTTACATCATCCGATGTGTCGCTCGGAGGACCCGGCGTGTAAGAAACGAAAGTTCTAGGTCCTTGAGGCGTGTTAATTGTCATCTTAGGAACTTCGGCGTCTGGTTGAGCAGAAACGGACCCGATGCCGGAAGTGGGCGCAGACGATGTGAAGGGGCCGTCGGGCTTTCTGATTGTTGACGACGACTTGGGGGAGGGGCGGGGAGCAACTTGCTGGACGGCGTCACCCATGGTTGCAGGCTGGGGAGCGTGCACATCGCTGAGGCCCTCAGGAAGGTCACGGTTCATACGCTTCCACTGGCTCAATTCCCCAGCTGCGATGATCTGGTTCGACTCGTCACTGTGGTGCAGGTCTCGAACTGTCAATGAGAACTGATCTGTATTGGGGCCGGGAGAGTCCGGCGAGATCTCGTTGCGCAGTGCTTGAACCTCGGGTGAAGGCATGGAGTAGCGGTCTTGAGAGATGCGGGGGCTGCCTTGATGCTTAGGCAGGTTGCTCATGTTGCTGACTGCCTGTGAGGTAGAAGGAAGGGTCGTGTGCTGAGCGGGGAAGGCCCGGTGGTTATGAGGCCCGCCACCAGACGAATCGGTGAGAGGAGACTCAGCCGACTTCGGTGGGCGTGTCATGCCGCTGGGTGCTCAACTGCAAGTCAGCGTGATCTTTCATCCGGATTACCTTGAACAGACCAGTAGTTGCTGAGAGAGAAGCAAAGATGAAAAGGAAGGGGAAGGTGAGCTGGGTGCATCGGCTTGTGGTAGCTGCACGAAGAGGTGACTAACCTGGTGTCTGGGTGACCACGCCAATGGCAGGTTCCCAGGTGCGATCATTCGGTAAGTGGGCGGAGTTCATAGACTACTCGAGGGCTTCGGCCAGAGTCTCCTGTGTTCAAGGCGCTTTCTGATGCCGGATTCACGTTGGTATGGAGGGCACGGAGGGCGCACACCCTTGCGACTTGATTGACTTCAGAACTGGCTGGACAGTCAGAGAACTGGGGCTCCGCGTTCACCTCCACCTCACTTCCACCCGTTTGAGTCCACCGTGGCTGCTCTGACAGGCGGGCGAGGAAGGTGAGGTGAACGCCGTAGGCGGACGCAGTTTTGATCTCACTGCCGGAGCGCCTTCGCCTGGGCGCACTCAGAGTGCGCGTCATGCACTCAAGACGTGTCACACTGCCCGATGAGAGACGAGCCGTGGATGTACGACCACGAATACTGGACCATTCGTTCAGCTTACCACCAGCCTTTTCATCAGACCCTCCGCCTCACCAGACCCTCCGCCTACCCTTTCGCCCACCTCTCCGCAAGGCCTTTCTTCCACCCTCCCACCATCGCACCAGCCGTCACGTCAGCCCTTCTCCAGCAGGCCTTCCGCAATCCACCATGCCGCCCATCTCCGTCCCCTCTCCCTCCAGGCTCAGACATCCGTGTCTGTGCTCAACATCTAGAGCACGCGTCCCAGTTAGCTGCCACCAATACCCACCACCCTACCGGTGAGGTGAACGCCGTAGGCGGACGCAGTTTTGATCTCACTGCCGGAGCGCCTTCGCCTGGGCGCACTCAGAGTGCGCGTCATGCACTCAAGACGTGTCACACTGCCCGATGAGAGACGAGCCGTGGATGTTACTACGCTAATGAATGGAGGCCGACTTAGAGACCAACGCCGGACAGGAGGCCCCCGAGGCCAAGGCCACCGAGCAGGTTGTCAATGACGGCAAGGAGAGTAGAGACAAGACCTCCCAAAGGACCATCCAGGTGGAGAGAGGCAAGGAGGCCTCGAATGGTGCCCTCGAGGCCCTTGACAGCGCTGAGGCCAGTGAGCAGCCCCCCAGTCGCACTAACCGTGGCCTGCAGTCATTGGTTCCGGTGCCCCGCCTCCACCTCCACTTTCGAGGTCCACCCGTACACCCGTCGAGACTCGTTTCTGAACACAATGTTCATGCATGGGATGCGCCCCTTTCGCGGGATTTCCCAGGGTAGAGCCAAGGTACGTGGTTGCCGTCATCGGTCCCGGCCGACGTGGGATCTGTTGATCGAGGAGGGAACCGAATACAGAGCGCGACGATAACTCCTTGCGGTCATAGAAGCATCGCACTCGCTGGGCAGCTCAGTCTCCACCATCACTCCGCCCCTCATAATGTCATCGAGAACTGTCCAGGCTGTTGCTCACACTGAGCCATTCTCGCCAGACCACTCCCCATGTGTTGCGACCCCCGCATCACCAGACTCCGACCAGTTCGTCCCGGCCCCTCCCATCACCGCCCGCACACCAGGCCAGCGGGGCGAGAAGGTGTGGATTCGCCCATTCCACTGCAGTGGAATAGTCATGCGTCTCCACGAGGTTCAGAACGGCTACCTCAAGGATCGCCACATTGTCTGCCGGGACCCGGGCGGCTGGGTTACCTTGCGTATCGCGACTGTCCCTGTAAGCGACGAGGCGGCCAACGCTGGTAGCGGCCAGTCGGCCCCTGCTGAGAAAGCAAAGGAAGTGACGCCCGCCGGGGACGACGACTACGTGTGGATCACGCCATTTTGGTCTGGCGGCTTCGCAGTGCCTACAGAGAGCCTGACGACCGGTCTCGTCGACATTCCCCTGCGCGCAAAAATCAGCGACAGGGGCCAAGTGACGTTCGAGCACTGCCTCGATCCGCGCCGCGACTGGACGCCCGCACAAGTGAGTTGTGCCGTTGCTTACTCGCTCATAAGCTCATTACAGACGTCAAGATCTATCCACCTCGTGCAACCCTTCAGCGTCACAGGGCCGGACGACAGGAAGTGGGCGCACTCTCGCTGGTGGAAGATGAAATTCTCTGACATTCCTTTGCAGCGCGGTGAGCCCGATATTGGGCTTTGGGATGATCCTTGCGACGCCGGGCACGCCGAGGACAATGAGCAGGATCCCTATGGCTGTTGTAGCTCTTGCCACGACAGGATCATGGAAGAAGGGGAGGAGGAGTGGTGAGAGCGTACGATAAAGCCGCACAACTCGCAGAGATGTCACATGGGGCTTGAGCGAGGGGGCTCGGATTTGTTTATCTCGAGGTGGAACCGGATGGAGGATCGATGGACCAGGAGCCTGCCTCCACGGTATAATGGCTCAGCACCACTGATGGTTAGAGAAATGTATTTCATCCGAAGCGAGGAAGATGAATGAACAGCTGGTGCTCGATGCGCTTAATCACCTCCACCCTTCTACTTCGGGTTGCCTCCACATCTGCTGTTGCTTCAATTAAGGTTGCTACGTCAGACTGACCCGAGATGCGGTGCGTCGGGCCGACCCCTGTTGCTGCATGCCTTGCAGGCCGTCGTGACTCGTCTTACGGACCGCGAAGTGCTTGCTGCATACCCTCCCTCGAACAGGTAATCCGTTTAGTTCAATTGCATGTCGAGGTGCGACCATGGCGAATATGCCTGGACACCGAACCCGAGTCGCCTATTAGGAGCTCCCTCCTACCGAGGACATGAGCAACTCCGCACGCCCATGGACGTATCTACGCAGCCATGCAGCCCTCAAGCGCTGACTTGAGTCCCAAACAGCACTCTTGAGTCCGAAACAACACTGCAATGCCGAAACCGGATGTCACGAGGTAATCACGAAAACTCGAGAAAACTCGCCCGACCGCCTCGGCTCAGGGCACCGATAAGCTCTGTGCCTTCAATCTCGGGCCGGCCAGACGCGGTGTTCTGCGATGCCCGCCGATGCGAGATTGGTGCGCCGGGCACCGCCTTGATCGTTAACGGTCTCGTGTGCCCGTCGTGTCTACGACGGGAACGATATAAGGTCTTGTGACTGCTGCTGGTTATGTCGTATGCTGTGCAAGGGACGACGTCACTCGACGACAACACGAGGAAACAGAGTGCTCCACCATCGCGACGAAGCACCGATATGCTTCATCGGGACACAAGCAATAAGCATGTTTGAGGGTTGCTCCGCTCGAAGGAGAGGTTTGGGGGGACCTGGTCGCGAGTGTTTTTAGCAGGCCACACTGGAAAGCATATAAGCGACTCGTCGACCTTCCCCTGGCCCTCCCTAGACACCATGATCGCGCTCCTCGTCGCTCTTCTGTACGCTACCTGCGCCCTGGCCGGCGAACTCCACCGGCCAGTCATCAAGTATCCCGACTCGCGGCGCCTGGGCCTCGACCTGGTCGCGGCACTTCCCTCGCGCACCAAGAAGGTGACGGTCTGGTCCGGTGCACGCGCCAACAAGATCCCCAAGGGGTGTGCCGACGTCGTGCGCGCCCACAAGCTCAACACGAAGGACATCACGGTCGTCGACGTCGAGTACAACGACAGTGACATTGTGTATGCCCTGTGCCACCACCCTAAAGCTAAGATGTCGCTCGACAAGCTGATTGACTGGTACGGCAAGGCGCCCGGGTTCCTGCGCACGAACGCGCGGCACGTGATGGCCATCCCCGGCACGGGCGCGTCGGGCATTGCGTCAAACGACAATGTCGCCTACTTCAGCGACATTGGCATGCAGGGCTTCATTCACGAACTCGGGCACGAGCTGGACACATGGTGCGCTTTCCCCGGCAAAAAGAAGGCGTGGGACAAGTGCCGCGACACGCCCATCTGGCGCGAGGCGTTCAACGAGGACTGGGCCGCTGTGACAGAGTACGCCAATGCCAACCATGGCGAGAACTTTGCGGAACTCACAGTGCATGCGCTGTACCAGTGGCACGTGCAGGGCGGCATCGACCGGCTCGGGGGCACCATCAACGGCCAGCCGGCCAAGTCCAGCTACGAGCACGAGGTCGGCCGCATCATGGACTTTTGCTGGAAGGAGCTCGGCGGGACGACGCACGTGAGGAAGGAGGACGGGTACAAGGAGTACCCTATTGTTGACAAGTAGATATTATAATGGGCCTTGGTGATGCGAGATATGGACTCTGCGCTGGTTTCCGCGAAGCAGGTGTGACCCGCGTCGGACCGAACCGCACGAGGCGGTGCTCCGCCTCTTGAGGTCACTGGAGTTAGGCGTTGTGAACGTGTCTCGTCCACATGGTGTGCACTCCAGATGTGCCCGGTTTGGGGTGATATCACCCAGCCTCGCAATCCGCCGGCCTAAGCACCGTCAGTCACGAGCCGCGGAGAGGTCTAGTGCGCTTAGATGCCCCGGCGGAGGGGAGTCTGCGGTCCGGCGCGTGGTAAGTTCTCGGGGACGCGCACCGGAACAGATTTACGTTACACAGACGCTCTGGTGATCTTCAGATATCGCCCTGAAGCCGCTGGAGTGCGAGTGTAGTGCGATTGTGGTGCGCCGGAATCATCTTTGTCGGAACGCGAAGGTTGGACAAGCTCAGGGCTTGCGTTGTCGCGTTGCGCGTGGTTCAAGAATCCTCCGGCGACCGAACGGCCGAAAAGTCTTGGACCGCGTGATGCAGGCGTCGTGGTTCGGCGGTCTTGGCGAGATCCACGGCGAGGGGCAGGCTGGATGCTCGGATGGCCCCGCGTAGTCATGGCGCCGTTGCATGGAGAGGGACCCAACAGGCTGGCGAAGAATGCTCTGCAGTCTGCCCGAGGAAGACTGGTCCTTGATACACGTTACGGTTAATCAGACGGTGCCTGCGCGTGTATCAGTGGATTCCCAGCTAGCGGACTGTCAGACTGCCGTCACATGTGGGTATGCGTACGACGAGCGAGTGGAACATCTGTTCCGCATCCCGTGGCTCGGCGGTGGCGTGCATGGCGTGCGCAAGGATGCTGTTGACCAGCTCGGCGAGACCGGCATGCACCTTTCTCGGGCATGTGCAACATGAAACAGGCTACTGATCGTCCGCGTCCCTGCGATAAGGGTCCGAACGTCGGTGGAGGAGCAGTACGTGCGCCCTGTCGCCGGAATCTGATTCGTCCGCACATGAGCGTCCTTAATGAAGCCATTCATCCAGCAACCCGTTCCGACAAACACCACATTCACCGGCACACCACTCGTACCGCGACTAACCTCCCGAACCCCGATACTGACACCCACTTGACTCACGCCTAGGTCGATGACAAGGTCGCTGCGTACTGCTCCGGGCCTAGCTGCCGTTCCGCAACCCACGCCCGGATGCGGTCCTGAACTAGTGGACGCATGCACGCAATCCATTCCAGCATGTTACTCTGGCGCGACGACGTGAGGACCTCCTGGTTGCCAGGCGATGGCGAGTGAATTGCTCCATCTGCGCGCTACGGAGATGGTACCGGGTCGGGATCACGCCCGCGACATTCGGTGACGACTAGGGTCTGTGCGGGTGATCTGCTGAAGGGATGCGGAGCTGAGATGTTGGGTTGCCTTGGAGTCTCGCGGCAGTCATTGTCGAGTATAAAGGAGAGAGGCAGTGTCACTACTCCTCACCAGCTCTCCTTCGCCTCCCTCTTCATCTTTCCCGGCTCCGCCACCCCACGTTCCGTAAGCCTAACTGACTGCTCCAGCTCACCGCAGTTACAATGAAACTCTCTTCTGCCATTCTTATTGCGCTCGCGTCGAGCGCCGCCGCGGCGCCGGTCGCCCCCGGCGAGTCGATGCTCGAGGACCCCACCGGGATTGTGACCACTCCCCTCTCGCACGTCATTGACGGCGTCATGTCCGCCCTCAACGGCAACTTCCAGTTCACTGGCACGCGCCAGGACCTGCAGCAGGGCGTGCAGGGCGCCTCGGGCCTGTGGCAGGGTGTCCAGCAGCAGGCGCAGAACGCCCAGCAGGGCCAGCAGGGCCAGCTGACCCCCCAGCAGCAGCACCAGCAGGCTCAGCAGGCTAAGCAGGGCCAGCAGCAGGGTGGCATCCTGTCGGGCCTGTTCAACGGCATCTCGGGCATGTTCAACGGCGGCAACAAGCCCTCCGACAGCCCCTCGGCCACCAACCTGCCCTTCATCGGCGGCCTGTTCCAGAACTCGGGCTCGAGCTCCAACACTGGCACTGGCTCGCTCCTCGGCAACCTCTTCCGCGTTGGCTCGTCGACCTCGCCCAAATCTGCCGCCGCCTCCGTCAAGGCCGAGGGCGGCGGTGCCTCTGCCGACATTGCGATCAAGGTGTCCGGCTTCCCCACCGAGCTGTCCGAGCAGAACCTCCGCTCTACGCTCGGCAAGCTCAACCTCGGCCTCAACGAGGAGCAGACCAAGTACACCATCCAGCTGATCCAGACCCTCGTCGCCGCCTTCTTCAGCGGCAAGCAGATCCCCAACGCCAACGACATCAGCGAGTTCATCCCCAACAAGGTCCCCGGCAACCTGTCCCAGGACCAGGTCAAGGCCATCAACAACGCCATCTACCCCACCCTCAACATTGTCCTCAAGAACATGGGCACCCTGAACGGTATCCAGGACACCATTGCCCAGGTCCTCACCCGTGGCAACTAATCGGACATTACCTGATGTAGCTTTCCTTTTGTAGCTCTTCAGTCTATGCTATTACTTTGGTACATTTAGTGTGATAATACAGGTTCGGTGTGTCGTGGTCGTTTCGGCTTGCTACGAGTTGATGATGGGAGTGATTCCTGATGTCAGCTCGAGACAGCATGGCAACTTACGCGTCGAGCTGGCCGGGAGCCGCCGAATAAGTTCTCGAGGGCGGTCGCATTGCCGACGACGCGTTCGGCGCGGTCGAGCATACGCGCCGTAAGCTCATTCAGCGTCTCGCTGCACTCGAGGTCGTCTCTGGGGTCAGCTCTTCCGGGTATCTGAGCTCACCCCGGATCGTCCAGCCAGCGCAGCGCCTCGGCGCGATACTCGGCCAGCAGCGGAATGTCGTCCTCCCTCATGCAGCGAATGTACAGCAGCCTGCTCCCCGTGATGACCTTGACGCCCTCCTTTCCCGGGGGAACATCGGGGAAGTAGCTCTGCACCATGAGTCGGATCCGCTCGAGGTCCTGTTTCCGCTTCGATAACGCGTAGTTCTGCAGTGATCGCGCGACGTGCTGATGTCAGCTAGGCACAACGGAGTAGTAGCTTACTGCGCGTCGAACGTCTAGGGAGAGGCGGTACAGCTCGTCCCAGAGCGGAGTCACACACGCGTTCAGCAGCCGCACGTCCGCCGCACGCAGCGCGCCCTTGCCCGACTCGTAGTGTCCCAGCGCGACTAGTGCTTCGCTCCGGACCACCTCGGCCAGCAGCGCGACGTGCGAGAAGAGCTGCAGCGCCGTCGGAAGCAGCTGCACGAGCGGGTTCGGGTCGAGGTGTGCTCGCAGGGCGCGAAGCACTTCGGCGGGCGACGCCATGGTGAGGTGTAGAGTGGAGGCCTCGACGCGCTTCAAAACAACACTCGTCATGACAGTCCAGTCACCTGAGGCGAGCGTGGGAAAGTGACTCGCACTCCACTTCGACATTCGGCACTCGCCAAAAGTTAGACCCAGATGGAGATGCAGCAGCAAGATCCAAGGATACATATGGGCCTTAGCCCGCGATACATACTCTACTTCTTGTCGTTGTCGTTGCCCTCCTCCTGCTCCCTGATCTTGGAGAAGACCTGGGACGCAAGCTGCCGTTAGCTTCGGCAAGTCAACCCCCAGCTATAGTCGTACTCACCTCGGGCGTCAGGTTCACACCGGCCTCCTGCATCTGCAGCATGAGCTGGGGTCAGCTTATGAAGGCGTCGCGGTAGCTCACGTTCTGGCCCGCCTCGCGGATCTCGGGGTCCATGCCGAGCTTCATCATCTGCATCGCCGAGGGCGGCTTGGAGATGTCGACGCCTGGGGTCAGCTATGCCCTGAGGGGCCCAGCTGGACTGGTCATTGCGGTACATCCTTGTCCTGCGCGCGACTCACCCTTGGCCTGCATGAGCTCGCCCAGCTTCTGGATCGCAGCCTTGGTGCCCTCGTGGTTCTGGATCTTGGCGCGCATCTCGATGATCTGCGGGTCGTTGAACGGGTCCGCGGCCGCGCGGACGCGGGCGGACGCGTGCAGGGACGCAACGGCGCGCGGGGCGCGCTGCACGAGGGGACGGGCGACGAGGCGGGTCGAAAGGCGGGTCGAACGGAGGACGGAGAACATGGTGGAAGATGTTGTGACGGCGAAAAGTCGGGGACGAGTGTCGTCATAGTGACCCCAGGTTGTGGAGGTTGGTTCCGGCGACTTTTGGCGCCCGCTTGGCTGGCTTCTCGAACGAACGCTGCACATGTGCCCGGGGTAGATCTGGGGTGACAGTGGCTGTCTGCGCCGCTGTCGATGTGTCCTCCGCTGATATCGCGAAGCATCCCACTCTTCGCTTCTCATGGCTCGTGCATTCGGGCTTCTGAACAACGACTACTGACATTACAATTACGGGAATGCTTGCGGGCCCCACTAATATCGCCAACGGAACGCGGGGTGCTTGTAGTCGAGGTCCTCGGGGGCAATGTGGGCGACATCGGCGAGCGCCTCGTCCATGTCCACGCGGTCGCGGCGGCGGTTGTCCCACTTGAGCCAGAAGTAGAGGAGGACGCAGGACAGGAAGAGGAGCGCGTTGGTAGCCAGGTTGAGCCCGTTGCCGATGCTTATCGTCAGCTCTGCAAAGCATTAGACTTACGGATAGTTCGGCCCGTCGTACTTGGGGAAAGCCCAGGTGGCGATGAGACCGCCAATGTTACCCGCGACCATGACGAGACCGATACCGGCAGAACGTGCGCTGTCGGAGAGCGTGTTGGCGGCAGACTGCGAGGGGCACAGCGCTCCAAAGGGGAAGGAGCCTGCGGCAATGATGAACGTCGCGCCGTAGCGGACGTGCGGGTCTTCGCTAGCCAGGAACATGATGTAGCCGACGATGGGCAGGGGAGCGAGGATCATCATGACGACGAGGCGCTTGTTGAGCTTCCACGCGAAGAAGTTGGAGATAACGACGACGGCGGCGCCGACTACGAAGGGCGGAACGGCGTGCAGCTGCTTGCTGACGACCGAGTTGTTGGGGTAGATTGTGGACACGATGGTCGGGAGGAAGAAGGCCATGGACTGCGCTGTGATGTTGTCAAGGAGGAAGATCCACGCGCAAACGACCGTGTTCGGGTTGAAGATACCGAGGATAAGCTTGCGCTTATCGATCTTGTCGAGCACAGTCTTCGTACCGACATTCTCAGACTTGATGCGCGCAACAGCGAGCGCCTTCTCCTCGGGGTTGAGCCAGCGCGCCGTCTCCGGGCGGTCGGTCAACGTAAAGAAGGAAATAATACCCAAGCCGATCGTGATGATTCCCTCGACGAGGAAGAGGTTCCTCCAGCTGTGCAGGCTCCCGATGTGGTCAATCTTGAGGATACCGCTCGCAAGCAGGCCCGAGAAGGCTCCACCGAGGGGCGACGTGCAGATGTACAACGAGATGCGGAACGCAAGTTCAGACTTGCGGTACCATCGCGTAAAGTAGTACGAGATGCCGGGGAGCAATCCAGCCTCAAAGATGCCAAGCAGGAAGCGCACGCCGCACGCCGACGAGTAGTTGGTGATGAACGCGGTACAGAGGGAGATGATCTGGGGTCAGAGACTGTGTGGCGCACGATGCCCTGTGGCGCAGGGACGACTTACACCAAACCCGAACGTCATCAACGGCAGCCAGCGACCGGGCCCAACAATCTTGCACATAATGTTCGAAGGGATCTCGAACAGGATGTAGGAAACGTAGAACACAGAGAGGATTGCATTGTAGTCGACGCCCTTGAGATGCAGGTCCGTCTCAAAGTTGGCGAGACGAGCGTTGCCAATGTTGGTTCGCTGCGGTCAGTTTTCGCCACCTTCCACTCATCTCCCCCAGTCAGACGCACGTCGATAAAGGTGAACAGATACAGCAGGGCCACAGTTGGCACGGTGAACAAGTCGAGCTTGCGCACAAGGCGTTTCTCCGCCTGTGGATCGAACTGGACGATGGGCCGGCCTGTTCGTCAGCCACGACTCCACCCAAACACACCGTAAGCATCCGTCGCAACTTCGCCGACAGCGGCCACTTCGCCGACCTCGTGGAGGACCTCGGCTTGGCGCTGCTTCTCGTCGTACGCCGGGAGCCCCTCGGGGACCCCGTGCATGGCCCGGTGCTCGTGGTGGGAGGTACGGCCCTTCTCCTCGTCGGTCAAAGTTGGTCCGAGGGCGGAGCCCATATGGTCGTGGGTCATGGTGAGGGGTGTATGCAGGTGGGAGTCGGCGGGTGAAGCATCCATCGAAGCATTGCAGATAGTTATACCCGTTCGTCTGGATGCATGTTGATTTTCCCGGTGCTCGCGAACGAGACGCGACCGGGAACTGCGCTAAGCTGCGCTCCAACACTGGGTCCGGCTCCAGAACACTTTGGGCAGTAGTGGGACGGCAGCTGGACCCGGAGCGGAAACACGCTGTGGTGGGGTCCAAGGGCCACAAGGTCAGTCGCCTCGCTAGGCAATCATTGCCCACTGCCCGTGTTCCTGAACGATGTCATACACGCATGGTCGCGCTGTGTTTATGCTGCTCCGCGCTCGCTTGCGAGCGGCTCGTGATCATGTGCGGCGTTGTCAGGCGCTAAGCTGTAATAAAAGTGCCACTCTGCACGTGGGTTGGGCCCATGTTGGGCTCACTCTGACCCCAGGATGCCGAGAGCGGCCATCACGATAAGATCTAGAATTCCACGGATAAAGCAATGTCATTGGGTCTGCTGACCACTACTTCGGGCTGTCGCGGAGCAATAACAGCTAGGCGCAGCCACAGGTCCAGACTGTCGTACGTGGGGCTGATCACGCGCCAGAGTACGACGTGAGCCCTGCCCGCTGCCCGCTGCGACCGAACCCACCGGAATCTCGGATCAATCTGGGTCTCGGTTGCTTGGAATCGGGTGACTCACGCCAAGAGTGCAGGTGGGGAGATAGCAGGTCCTAAATAGCATACATGATCGGTCTATAGTCTAAAAGCCCTGTGCGGCCAAATAATCGGACTGGCGTTAGTTCAGACACAAGTTGACAACTTACAATCTCAAGGTAGAAAGTTCCAGGTTTAAAGCTGACCGGGTTGCCAGTCAGGTTGGAGAACATGTTCTTCATGGCGTTGACCCAGCCCACCATCTCGAGGTGATTCACGCCGAGCAGCGTGCCGCGGTACTCACCCCAGCGGGCAGAGTAGACGGACACGAGACCGTCGTTCGGGCCCTCCTTGGCGTAGATGACGTTGTGGGGCCAGCGGAACGTGTCGAGGAGCCCCGGGTCGCACGACGCACCCCACGAATAGTAGTGCACGTTCGGGTCGTCGATGACTTCCGTGTTGAAGACCCGCATTGCACGTGTACCGAGCGCCGCGAACGCAGAGCCGTCACCCGAGTTGGGCAGATTCAGCGACTCCATCATGCCCAGCAGCTGCGGGAGACGGTCGCGCCCGATCACATTGTCAATGACATAGTCGGCAAACGGACTGCCGCGGTGCGGGGTCGAGATCGTCGTCAATGAGCACACGCTGAACTTGGTCGGCTTCAGCACGGAGATCAGATAGCGGCAGTCGAGGCCGCCCATCGAGTGCCCGATCAGGTTCACGGTGCGGCCCTCGTACTGCTTCTCGATCTGCTCCATCAGGATCGTCGCGCGGTCCTTGATGCTCGCCGTCGCCGGTACACGGCAGATCATGACCTCGGCGCCGTTGCTCTCCAGCACTTCGCGCACGCCGCGCCAGTAAGAGATCTGCATCGGCGCAATGTTGCGCGGGCCGAGCACATCAAACCCGAGCAATCCGTGGCAGAACACGAGCGGGTTCTTTGGCGTCTCGTATTTCTTGTTGATGTGCTCCTGCTCCTGCTCCGCTGTCGGCGCCTGGTCGTCCTCGCTCAGGATCGAGTCGACGTGCTCCTTGCTGACCGATGTGCCCGGCAGCCAGTTCTTCGCCCACTTGCTGATATCCTTGCTGAAATCCTGGCTCGCGGACACGCTAGTGCTGAACGCTCGCCGTCCAACGTCGAAGGGCGATCGCGGCAGCGCCACCGACCCAACGAGCGGCAGGCTCATCTGCGGCTCGTCGTCGACCTCGCCCTCGTGCGACGAAAGCTCCGATATCGTCCTCTGGATCTGTAACCGTGCGTCGCTCGTCCTCATATCGGGCGACTTGGGCAGTCCCGTCCTCGGGTCCAGGTCAGGGAAGGACTCTAGTCTCGTGTGCTGGTGCGCGTAATCCATCGCCCACATGCTAGTGCCTGGCGAGAGGGGCGTACCGCCCGACGAAAGCCGGCGCTGGATTTCATTAATCGTCGCACTGGACGGCTCGTGGGCGTGCGCATGGTCGTGCACTCGGGCCCGCGTGTGGCTGTCGTCCTCGGCATTCGCGTACGTCGTTCCAGTGGTGGAGGATGAACGCGACAAGCGCGACACGAGACGCGGCCGCTGGTGCGACGGCAGCGCCCGCTTCGACCGGTTCACGGGTGCATGGTGTGCCTTCGGGGGCGGTGTTACGCTGTTGGGAGGTGTGAAGGGGCGCGGTGTAGATGACGGGCTGGGTGTCTTGGGACTGTCATGTGGTAACGATGAGGACAGCGCGTCCTGCAGCAGCGACGACAGAGGCTCGGACGACGGCGACAGCGGCTTGGCAAGGTCAGGCTTCTCAACAGACGCGCGCGGCGTTGATGACGCGGACTGTGATGTTCGGGTCTCGGTGTTGGTCTGCGGAGGCGTCGGGGTGGTCGACCCAGGAGACGGACGGGATACAGACATGGAGGCGACTAGGAGCCTACGAGAGGCTCTGTGGGAGTGCGTCGCGAGCAGCATACCGCCGGGCGGCGGTGGGAGGTGGAGCGATGGCGACGAGTTGTTGTTGACCCGGCTATTGAGATGGACTTTTGCGGGATGGATGGTGGAACGGCGAAAAACGTCATGCGGATCAGGTGGAACCTCGTCATTGCAGCGGCCCCAGACGGGGCTTCGCGTGGCACCGCTCCCGCCAACCGGTGACACACCCTGCGTTTCGGACCGGTGGCGTGACAGAACCAAATACATGCATCCTCGTGGTCATTATAATGCAGAGTGTATGCATGGATACAACAAGCTACTCAAATCTTATAATCATCTACCCTTCCAATCTCGGTTTCTTGGCGGCAGGGTCTTCGCCAGTGGCAACTGCCGGCGCAGCGGGAGTTGTAGGGGGAGCTGGAGCATCGTCCAGCTTACGCTTCAGCGAGGCGTCAGGAGCCGCAGCGGGGGCTGGAGCTGGTGCTGCAACAGGTGCGGGTGCAGGAACTGGTGCGGGTGCAGGAACTGGTGCGGGGGCGGGGGCCGGGGTAGCCGCTGGTGCTGGAGCAGGAACAGGAGTGGTGGCAGGTGCAGGTGTGACCGCAGGCGCAGGAGCTGGGGCTGGTGCGGTGGGCTGCGCTGGTGCGGGGGCGGGTGCCGGTGCGGCGGAGGCTGGCGTGGCGGGAGCCGCC